GGGAGAAGCCCAAGCCAGCCGCCAGTTCATGCAAGTCTATGGTCATAATAATGATGACAGAATGCACCATCGGAGGTTCCGCCGAGCCAAGACGTGAGTGTATCGTGCCAGTGGCTTCTGCATGCTAAATTCTTTGCAATGGATCACACTAACACAATATAGAGGCGTTGTCCTCAGGATGCTTTCTTGTGGGAAGGCTCACTCTGGGTAGGATCATACCTATCATAAGAAGGAGTGCGAAGTCTAACCTCAAAACCTCCCGACTTTGCAATCGAATTGTCCCGGCTGAGCGGTAATCGATCTACGGAAGCATATCCTGTCGGGCTTCAGCCGGTCGACGATCGAGCTGGTCGTCGTTGGTATTGTCGACTCAAGATAGCTTCATTCACCCACCTGAGGGCTGCACAACTCTGCTAGCTACCACTCTAGTAGCAAGGCAGCTCTCAGCCACCTCGGCCTTGTCGCGTCTTTCTTCTGCTCCCTCCTTTTCCACATCCCAGTCCTCTGGTCGGGCACCTTTACGATGTCCTAGTCCGAACAAAGACGCCATTTCCCGCCATCCTGGGTTAGATGAGTATACCCTCCCATCCCCTACCGATTCCTTGGACATGGCTATGTCGTAGCTCTCGTCAGCTAAGGCATATGGGTTGCATCGTAACCTTTTGTGTCTGCCAGGTTTCCCGAGTATGGGCGCCACCACCATGGGGCGCGGTCCCAGGAATCTGGAGCGTCCCTGCCATGGAGGATTGATTAATGTCCTTATGGAGTAAGTCTTGCGCGCCTCCATCTGGGGATTGATGGCTTCACCAAAGGACTTGTGCAAGCCACAAACTAGGCAGCGAGAATGTCTCCCTACTGGCTACCGACAAAGAGCGGCACGAGATTGGGGTGTTTGACTTTTCGCGTGTCATCGTTGAGGTGGCTGGCGAGGACCAGATGATCGGTATTCACACGAGGACTTCTTGGGTATTTTTAGTTGTCTGACTTGGACTTGATGGTGGTGTATGACGCCTTCATTCGTGGTGAATGTGAGAAGGTGGGAGACTGCTCCTCGCGGTTCGGAAGATTCATCTGAGGTAAGTAGCTCACTGACGGCTAGCAGTAGGCCCTTCTCTTCGCCGAGTCGGCGTCCAATATCATATGGACGTGCCTTGGATCGGATCCGAGATACTGATTGACTATCTTAAGCCGTGAGGATTCTTCATCTGCTTGAGTGCAAGTGAACTTGGCCATGTCTCTGCGTAACCCGAGATGCAGGAGAAACACACTTGATCTGCCTGATTTTCTAGGCACATACGTCCTGCCGGCACATTATAAGGGCTTATAACCTGGACATACTGCCTTGCTTTTCCACTCAGGAGTGTATGATGCTTATGGGTATCGCAACCTCCTCCCCTCTGCGCGCAGCCAACCACCCCATACACTGCAGAGACTGAACTCATTAGGTTCCGAAAGTCCGATGTTGCCTAATGTGTCAGAATTTACCCTACAATGGAGAGATCATTGCCATTCCCGAGGAGGCCTATTGATCGGTACAGCAGATGGTCAGTGAGCAGGTTGTTTTTTTGTTTACGTGCGTTGCTCCTCGTCTACTCCACTCCCCTGGACTCACCACAATGAGGCGCCACCTGTCATACAACAGCTCAATAGCTCAGGTCAATGTCTGGTAAGCGAGATGAAGAGCACTTGTTGGATTACAAACTCTCGAGTTGTGTTTGGGAATGATGGACAGGCTTCACCTGAAGGTTACCTGCCATTTGATGGCTGGGGACAAACTCAACCGTCCAACTGCTCGCTAGGTTGACTTGAAGTGCTTAGAACCGAGACTTGCGCAACCACCGTTTGCCTCATCGACTTCATATCTTAGCACGGGCTTTGCTGGCGCAGTAGCTGAAGCAACGTGCATAATGCCATCTCCTTCACTGACGGTGATCCTGCAGTGTGAGTCGAGCGAGGGCTCACGAGTTTTATTGGAGTCATTTCCCACAAGCTATTGTATTCGTGAGGTCTTTCTCCTCGAGTGGTCTCTTGTCCGACACCTTTGCTGACATTGGCCTTCAAGGAGGTGTCTACAAGTGAACGAAGCCAACGTGCCGCTCTCTTTGACACCTTTCACCGTACCCGCCCACGATACCCAGTGACGGCGAAGTCCGAGAGAGAACCCTTACAGATATGGTCTCTCTCGATGAAGACAGCACTCCGTCGGAGACTTGAGTCCCGGATTCCTCTGCTTGAATAGACGACACAAAGTTTCGTTCGGCATCCGCCCACATCTGCACCAACTGCAATACGGTATTCCTCCGTGCCCGAAGCCCGAGAGGCACCCCGTCTGCTCAAGGCCACCTTTCGAGACCCAACTACTACATACCTCATGACGTCCGTACCCACGTTGTCACCCATCATGAGCCCATGTCTCTTGAAAGTCGTTATGACAGCTCACAACTCCCACAATACGGGATTCAACCCCGTACACACATAAAGTGGAGTATGCAGCACTCCATCACAATGAAAAGAACAAAAAGAAGAAGGAGGAGAAGAAAGAGGAGAAGGGAGAATTTTTATTATACGCAAGGACCACAGCCGTCCGCCTCAGCTACGGCCACGCCCTCTTGAGCACGGCCTGGCTTGACATCATGGTTCTTTATACTGTACTGTATGTAAGTTTGACAGTACTACGATCCATTAAACATCCAACGACTACATACTACACGTATCCGTGCGTCTATGGCCCCCCCTATTCAAAGCTCCATGCTTTTCCCACTTAGATGACCCTTCACCTGCAAGCATCTCACACGCCCTCCGTGCATCATCAGAAGGAACCCCAGCACATAACTCGCTTACAAAGGGGAGCAACGCCGAAAAATAAAATATGTATATTGACAAAAAGCAAAGAGCTCCAGCAGTCTGCAAAGAGACACACACACAACACTTGTTCACGGAAACCGCCCAATCGGAACTACTTGCCCGAACAAGCAAATACAGCGTCCATCCCCTCGTGTGCTCTGACCTCTTTGTATGTTGGCTTTCTTCCTTGCTCGGTGCTTTGCACACCCTGCAACAAGTACTTATTGGAGAGAGAAACTGTCAAAGCACATTCATGTATATGTATGTATAGGCGAGATGAGATCTGAATGGCATGTGCGGTGCATTCATGTATGCATGCATGCATGCTCGCGTGCGTGCGTGTGAGCATGCCGTGGCCAGAATTCACCAGATCGTGTGATGAGAACGTGCTTACATACATACATACATACATACATACATACATACAAACAAGGGATGGGATCTACCCGCTTTGTTTGTTTTCAGCTCCGTGAAAGAAACTCCGGACTCCGAGGATAAAAGTCCCGTCAAAACATTCCCTGTAAAACAGGCTCAGGTAATGTTCCAAAGGATTCGATCGAGGTACACTAGCGATATCATACCTACCTATGTGTGCATGGGGAACTGGCAAAGATGGACGATTGGTGTAGGCAAGGTACTTGTAGTGAGTTGCTTCAGATCTCACGTAAGCCGCGAGTTTGCCTCGTCCGATCCTGGTCCCTGTTTTCCCGCACACCACCATGGATCTAAATCTCGTACGGGGGTTATGTGAGGAAACCCCAGAAGATCTTATCAAACGAAACGAGTATGAGTCAGTTTCTGGTTCGGATATTCCCTGCAAGTCCGATCAGAGAGGGGGGATGTTGACATCGTCCCCGGTCTTTTAATCACTTACCAGGGCAGCAGCATATCAGCATCATGAACGTAGAAACAATATCTTACCTTAGTTTCTCAAGACACCCGACAAGGTGAATCCGTATACGTCCTTTGCAGAATGTTGACCTACATATATGTACTTGTATAATCATGCTTCAATAATGTCCACAGAAGCATCGTGGCAGCGTTAAATAGACACCTGGCCAATAATGTCCCCTTTACATCCTCCGTCAGTACCGCCATTGTATCAAGTCTCAACACCATTGTCGAGGGAAAAAAAAAAAAAAAGATTAGCACGCCATAAGGTACCTGCTCTTCCACTTTGACTCATCACCAACCTCTGGTAGGTAATAAACCCCTCCCATCTCTTAGTATAGGCATCAAAAAAAAAAAAAAAAAAAAAAAAAAAAAAGCGACAATGCCCTTCTTCGGCGTATTATTCTTAACACGGCTTTCATCTCTTTGGATGAAGTGCTTGTCGCACAAATGGATCAAGTGTACAACAAGATAGGTAGTTCGCACGGAGTAACTAAGCATGCGGTTCGCCTGTCACCCATTCGGCGATTTGTTTTCTTCTTCTTCTCCTCCAGCTACTACTAGCTGTATCATGTATGTAAGACGCTGCCCGACAAGGTACGGAGTAATGTTGCAGTGCAGGTAGGTAGTAATTGTATTCCGATGTCGCCTTTGCTAGAGTCAGCCAGGATGCGCGATGAAACCATCTCTCACTCATACCTTGATGCCATCAGAAGGCAATATCGCATCAATTCCATGTCTGCCAACTGAAACAAAGTCAACACACGATGAAACAACACAACTTCACAGAGACAAGAGACCACAATACAGCGTGCCTTGGCATCGGGCTGTCTATTATCAAGTCTTCTATCTAATAGCTAAAAAAGAAAAACCTGTCTCGACATCTGTAGCCCCGATGAACCGGCAATTCTCCTGTTCCAACCCCGACAACTGACTTTGCATGTTCAGCAGCTCGGTCAAGAGAACTCGGGAAGAAAGATGTTGAACTTCTTCTTGGTTCCCGAAAACGCCGGTGTGCAGTTCTTGTAGTTGTACCCATCATTAGCGTAGCTCATAAGTGTGTGCATGTAACCGTTTCCTTTGCAGACGTGACCCTGTTGCTGTCTATGCAAATAATCCCAGACTTTTGTCTTTGTTGAAAGACGCCCTCACCCCCCCCGCCTCCGTTGATCCCCCAAAGACCCTTGGTATATGTAAAGATGACAATGAAAAATAAGCATCTTCTTTTTTTGATCGAGCAGAAAGAAAAGAAAAAGATTTACGCCGGAAACCGCCTCGCTTTCCCATGAATCCGAATGGTGAAAGCCCTTAGGTTTCGTTGAGAACCGTACGCCGCCTTATATGTGCCTGATGAAAAACCGACATGTTTTTTTTTTGAGAGAAAAACACGTCATTTCGTTAAATCAAGATGCAGAGAATTGTTGAATACTCTGCGTGCAGTACCTTAAGTTGCAGCTGCCCGCTTAGAACTTGAGCGGCTTGGGCTGCTCCCAGGTGAAGGACTGGTTGGTGCCGAAGTGGCCGTTCTTGGCAGTCTGGAGGTAGATGGGGCGAGTCAGGTTCAGCTCGCGGACAATGACACCGGGACGGAGGTCAAAGTTGTCGCGGATGATCTTGACGAGCTCGTCAGAGGTCTTGTCCGAGGTGCCGTAGGTGTCGACGTAGATGGACAGGGGCTCAGCAACACCAATGGCGTAGGAGAGCTGGACGAGGGCACGGCGGGCAAGGCCGGCGGCGACCAGGGACTTGGCAATCCATCGGGCGACGTAGGCGGCGGATCGGTCGACCTTGGAGAAGTCCTTGCCGGAGAAGGCACCACCACCGTGAGCACCCCAGCCACCGTAGGTGTCGACGATGATCTTGCGGCCGGTCAGACCGGCGTCACCCTGGGGGCCACCAATGATGAAGAGGCCAGAGGGCTGGATGTGGTAGATGGTCTTGTCATCAAGGTACTTGGCGGGGATGGTGGTCTTGATGATCTTCTCAAGGATCTCCTTGCGGAGCTCCTCGGTGGTGATGTCGGGAGAGTGCTGGGCAGAGACGACGACGGTGTCGACGCGGAGAGGGACCACGGCGCCGTTGTCGTGCTTGTACTCGACGGTGACCTGGGTCTTGGTGTCGGGACGCAGCCAGGGCAGGGTGCCGTCACGGCGAGCAGCGGCCATGGCAGCGTTGAGCTTGTGGGCAAGCTGCAGGGTCAAGGGGAAGAGCTCGGGGGTCTCGTCGGTGGCATAGCCGAACATGATACCCTGGTCACCGGCGCCGAGGCTCTCGAGGGCCTGGTCGAGGTGGAGACCCTGAGCGATATCAGGGGACTGCTGCTCAATGGCGACCAGCAGGTTGAGCGTCTTGTAGTCGAAGCCCTTCTCGGAGTCGTCATAGCCAATGTCCTTGATGGTGTTGCGGACAATCTTCTGGTAGTCCAGCTTGGCGTTGGTGCTGATCTCACCAAAGACCATGACCATGCCGGTCTTGGTGGCCGTCTCGCAAGCAACCTTGGAGAGGGGGTCCTCGGCGAGACAGGCATCGAGGATGGCATCGGAGACCTGATCGGCGATCTTGTCGGGGTGACCCTCACCGACGGACTCGGACTGGAAGCGCAAGTCAGCAGCTGAGAATATCGACTTGTTTTTTTTTTTGCAAGGCCAATCAGGCAGAGACAGCCGTTCCAGAGGGGAAAAAAAAGAGGGAGAGGAGCTGCTTACGGTGAAGAGGAAGGTGTCCGCCTTGGCGACGCCGTTGGGAGTAGACATTGTGGCGGTTTGTGTGAGGTTGGAGGGGTAAGATGAAAGAGAGAGAGAGAGAAAGAAGACGAATAGAATCAACAAGGCACAAAGGGGACGGACAGACAATCGCTCGAGAGGAGAGGCGACAGGAGGTGAGCTGGCAGAAGAAGACGAGGAATTGCTGGAGAGGAAGGGAAAAAAGGGTGAGAGAAAAAATTGGCGATTGTCTGGACTTTTTATTTAGGCCCGACGGTCGGTCGGAGAGGGGCGGCCAAGCACGGCATGGATAAGATAAACTGGGAGAGGAAAAAAAAAAATTAGTATTCGTACCTACTGCACCTATCAGGACGGGGGTAAAGCGCACCAATTGCGCCTCGTATTCGCACCGCGGGGTACAAGGGATCGCTGCCGGTTCTGCATGTGACGGCAGGTCACCCCGCCTGCCTGCCGCGCCGGAGAAAGGAAGACGACATCTCTCTAGACACATGTACGTACATACGGAGTCCGTCCCTGGCCGTCATGTTTTGTTGTGTTGGGAATTCTCTTGTGAGGAAGCGAAGCTGGGGGGAAGGGGAGGGATCATATCCGAACATGTGTCTTTTGGAACAAATTACCGCAATTGTTGCTGTTGCAAAGAGTCGTCCTGGCAATCATGCGCGCATTGCGAGGAGGCCGTCAGTAATATTCCGAAACTATGTACTCTCCTCACACTCTTGCATTGCTGTCCCTTTTCTTGCACAATGTCCACGGCATACAGACACGAAATGACATCTGCGAAATCCTACCTACAGCCACGAGTATACCTGTACAGGTACTAGGTAGTACCTAGGTAGTCAGGACAATGCGAATCCGACAATCCAGTCCTATCGCGACGAGAGGCTGCCATGTGCCAATTTCCTCCACGCAGGATTGGTGTGACTCCCACTCGGAGCCAGGAGCGGCGCCAACCAGAAAAGGGCCGCCCAACACGCGTGCCTGGGGATGGCGTGCGTTAGAGAGCAACCTGTCGTGCCAATAGACTTGCCCGTGGCGGCTTAGGTACCCCTCTATGGTGGCATAAGGTACTCGTAGGTAGCATGCGGTGCGTGTCAGAAATTGCGCCATCTCGCGCCAACCCGCCATTTGACGCCATTTGATGCTGCGCAGCGGCTCCTTTGGAAAAGGCGGAAGGCGAGGGAAACCTGTCATTGAGAAAAAAAGGTGCGACACTCTAACAATCAAGGTCCTTTCTTACATTCTCACTCCGACACGGAGAATCAGTCAATCTCGGGGCGCAGGTTGTCCAACTCCGAATAGTAATACTATCGCGTCCCCAACTCCTGCGGCCCCCGCAATCGCGGTCGTCTGAATCCCTCGCAAGTCGCAGCCATGTACTATCAGGTAACTAAGCAGCAGCCTTTTTCCCGCCGACGAATCTGACTGCTGCGCTGCTGCAACGTGCAAGTGCTGCGGCCCCCAGTTCGGGACCTTTTTCCTTGTGTTGGTCTTACAGGTACGGATCCTGTACAGTGTCCTTCCAGTTCCACGGAGGACCCTAACCGTTACCTTACGCCATTGCAATATACTACGTACCTTTTTGGCTCCTTCTTCCCGTCTCATTCTTCTCTTCCAGCCCCCCACCTTTGCCCACCAGGCGGTTTCCAAGCGCGCCAAACCCAAAACGACTCAAATCAGATGCGAAAAAAAGCTTCGATCTTTACTAGCTTGCTTTGGGTTTCTTGAGCTTTGTATACGTAATAATTCTTTTTTTTTTTTTTTTTTTTGGTCTTTTTTTTCTTCGGCAGCCAACAACCCAACCAGCAATTCCTCTCTCGACCTACCCAGACCAAGCCCGGCAACGACGACAAAACAAATCGCCGCAATCCTTGCTCCCAGTCCAATATCGCACGCAACACCGGTCACACGTCCTCCGAGGGATACATGGTGTATAAATCAGCCAGCAGCTGCACACCATGAGCAAGTTTGGCGCCATGATCATGGGCCCCGCGGGGGCGGGCAAGGTATGGCAAGCCTCTGCTTCTCTGCTTTTCTTTTTCTTTTTTCCTTTTTTGTTCTTCTACAGCATCGTCTTCATCGTTCTCGCCATGTCTGCTTTGCCTGTGCTCTATATGCGCTACGTTGCCTGATGGGGGGAGGGGGAACGAGAAAAGACTGATGAAGCCTTGATGGTGGTGGTCCGCGAATGCCGATGTCCGAAGCTGGGCTGATGCCGATGACGCTGCTGATGCCGATGCCTGTAAGCCGTTCGTTGATGCGCGAATCCCTCCGATCCGTATCCAGGCCGGTGAAACACAGAGCACAGGGCTCCTCAACCCTTACTGGGGCGAGCTGTGATGAGGACATAGGCGCAAATCATCTGGCGCGCGATGATGTGCCCTTGCGATGCTTCCTGTCATTGATGTGCCAATGCAACCGGCATTTCAAACATGTGCGACTCTAGAGACGCCAGACAACTGACTTGCGCAACCGTCATCTAGTCCACCTTTTGCGCCGCCCTCATCACCCACCTGCAGCTCAACCGCCGCTCGGCCTTTTACATCAACCTCGACCCCGCCGCCGAGTCGTTTGAGCACCAGCCCGACCTCGACATCAAGGAGCTCATCTCCCTGCAAGATGCCATGGAGGAGCTGGGCTTGGGCCCCAACGGCGGCCTCATCTACTGCTTCGAATTCCTCATGGAGAACCTGGACTGGCTGACCGAAGCCTTGGACTCGCTCACCGAGGAATACCTCATCATCATCGACATGCCCGGCCAGATCGAGCTGTACACGCACATTCCCATTCTGCCGAGGCTGGTCAAGTTCCTGACGCAGTCGGGCGCCCTCGACATCCGCCTCGCCGCCGTCTACCTCCTCGAGGCCACCTTCGTCGTCGACAGGGCCAAGTATTTCGCCGGCACGCTCAGCGCCATGAGCGCCATGCTCATGCTCGAGATCCCGCACATCAACGTGCTGTCCAAGATGGACCTGATCAAGGATCAGGTCAAGAAGAAGGATTTGAAACGCTTCATCACGCCCGACGTTGCGCTCTTGGACGACGATCCCCTGGAGCGCAGCAGGAGGATAACCGAGGGCCCCGAGGGGGAGGACGACGAGTCCGTCCCGCCCGACGAGAAGAGCCAGGTGATGAAGGGCGCCAGCTTCCGCCGCCTCAACAGAGCCGTGGCCGGGCTGATTGAGAGCTTTAGCATGGTTAACTATCTCCGGCTGGACGTGACCAACGAGGACAGCGTTGCGGGGATCCTCAGCCACATTGACGACTGTATCCAGTATCACGAGGCGCAGGATCCAAAGGAGCCCGACGACGAGCGAGACTACGACGAAGAGGAGGACTAAAAGAGAGAGAAAGTAGGGTTCGGAAGATTGGAGACATTTCATCTCTCGTCAACAAGAAAGTCCAAGGGGAAAAGGGACAACCAAGTGGTTGAAAAAAAGGAAAAAGACAGGCATTGAAGGGATTTAGTCGGTGGCTTTACTGGTTGGCAGGAAAATGCATAGCGACGGCGTTTTGGGTGGTTTGAATACCTAGCAAGAAGGAAAAGTCGTCGGTTTGGGCTTCGATTCTCGTGACCGAGCCGTTGAGCTAGCGATATACATGTATCAGAAGAAGAAGGAAAGGATCATTGAATCATGCAATCCAAAAAAAAAAGAGGACAAGTTCCTAAGGACCAGTAAACGTATGGTGTGCTTCCCCCCCAGACCTTGACGTAGTGCCCCCATGATTCCCATTGCAATATACATCATCCATACATCATGTCTCGTGTCTGAAACGCCATATCGCCCTTGTTGTTGTTTTGTTTCTTTCTTTCTTTCCCCTCCTCTCCTGCTCGTCGCTGAATCGCTTCCTCCTCATCTCCCACATCACGAAAAACAAGACAACCTCGAGCGTCATCCTCATCCCGTCCCCTGACCCCCTTCCCATCACCGCCTCTGCTCATACAGCCCGCCACCACTCCTCCTCGCCGAGTACTCATCCCACTTGCCACTCGCCTGCTGCCCCTCATACCGATTATACTCATCGACCCAAACGTCCTTCAACACGGCAACATAACCCGCGACCTTGGCCCCCAAGACAGCCGCATCCCTCGCGCTTGTCAAAACCCCGCGCTTCCACACCCACGCGGCAAACACGGCGACGAGCGCCCAGAAAAACGCGCGAAACACGAGCCGCGTCCACCAGAGGACCAAACGACGGATCCAGTTGAGCACCACGACGGTGGCGACGACGGTGGCCAGCGGGAGGAGCACGTCGAGGGCGGCCTGGTGGGCGGAGAGCTGCTCGAGGGCGCGGTCGGCGAGGGGCTGGAGATGAGGCTGGATGCGGCTGGCTTGGAGGAGGAGCTGGCGCTTGAGGGACTGGAGCGGGGAGGACGGGGAGAGGATGTGCGTGTCGATGAGGGTGGTGATGGAGGGGGGGAGGAGGGAGGTTAGGAGGTTGGTTGTTGTCAGGGTTTCGCTCATGGTTTCGTTTGCTTTGGGGAGGTTGTGTGAGGTTATGAGGGATCGCTGCGCGCGGTGGTGTATCGTCGCTTTTTCTTTTCGTTCGTGGTCGCGTGTACTAGGTAGGTGATTGCGATAGAGCAGCAGCGCAAGAAGGATCTGTCGACGTTTTCGTAGATGGTTTCTCCGTCTCGTTCAAAGTCGACGTTTTGCCAGGATCGCAAAGCAAGGGAATGAATGTTGACGAGTTTCCCCTCCTTCCAGGATTTTGTTGATCCGATCAAACAGAGGTAGCACCGCGACACAACAGCAGCGCGTCACCGAATCCACCGGCAGGAAACACACACAGAAAGAAAGCGCCAATAGAAATTCGCTTTCGCAGGTGTGTGATGTAGGAAAGGAAAAGAAGTTTTTTTTTTTTTTTCCTGCTGTTGTCTGGTTGGTTGGGTAAGGTGAGAAAGGGAAGAAAAAGGATGTGTTTTGGCTTTGTCATGTGGACGAAACAAAACAAAGTTTGGGTAATGGACCAAGGGTGTGTGCAAGGGGTCTTTCGCGATAAGATACTAGTGCCGCGGAAGAGGGCTGCTGGCTTGCTAGTTATTTTTCCATGATATTTTCTACTGTTGTTATTGTACATGCTTCTATCACGGGGCTGTATCCCGATTATCTCTTGCCGCACTCTTTTGTATGCACATCGCCTTTTTAACGTCAAGAGTTGCTGGGCTTCTTCTTCTTGTCCTCTTGTCTCTGCGCTGCCAAAAGACCCCCGCTCTCCGCCTGTGACTCCAATGGCGTGAATTTAGCCCTATCAAAGCTGGCGGGTCTGGGCAACTGCATCGCCCCGTTTGCATGTGATGCTCCCAAAAGCGCTCTGACTGCCACCGTTTGTAGCTCTATAATGCCTTCAAGGCCGTACCACGTTTGAACATCAAAATCGCACACCTTATCAACACATCTTCGTTTCATTTCTATATACCACTGTAGTCCAAGTACTTGTTTGAAAAAAAGACAGAATCCCTCCCGCCGCCGCTGTCGTGTCATCGTCACCATTTCATCTCAGCAAAGCATGTCAAGCCATCGCACACTCCCCAAAGCAAACAATAACCGCTCGACAGACATCTAAGTCTCGCATAGTGCTCGAACAAATGAAAAAAAAAAAGACTTCATGTACATAAGGAATTATTGAATAAGAAAAGGGTATCGAAAGGGTAATAGGCCATCCGCGCCATGCAGTGAAAAGCGTCGGATGGCATTAAAGTCATAGTGTGTCCACCTCCACTGCTCCCACCACTCCGTCCCCCGTTAATGATGGGTAATAATGTGCCGTTCTTCTCAGCTCTTCGACAGAATCCAGAGCCGGCGTATTACTCCAATGTCTTCCGACAATGTTCGGCACCGCTCCATGCCCCCCCGCTCAGGGAATTTCAACCTCTCCGTCGAGAACACGCAGAGCTGCCTCGATCCTCCGCTTGTACAGCTCATGGCCCCCGGGATGGGTCCCGTCCGCTTCCCCCAACGCCAGCACACACTTGCCCAAGCTGGCCACCACTCGTTCTACCGTCTGCTGGACGTCCTTGGACAGGACCTGAAGCGCCGGCGACTGTCCGCCTCGGCCGTTGCTACTGTTTTGCGAGTAAATGCTCGAGGCATCCGTCAAGAGCGAGTCTCTAAGTCGCTTGCTGACCTGATCAGGAGAGCCGCCAGGCGTCAAGATCCCGCCGTTGAGCTTGGCCTTGTTGACGAGGGGAAAGCTCCGGTTCGTCCCCACAGAGTCAAAGGACGAGTTCGAGGGTCGGTGCATGCTCTTGATCGAGGCGTTGCTCACCGGTCGAACCATTGACGCCGTGCTGCTCCGCTGGTGCCCCCCCTGGTTGGCGGCAACAGTTCGGTCGCTGTCGGTTGAAGAGTTTCGGAACGAGCTGGCATGTTTGTGACGAGCATCCCTGAACAGATCCGCCGCAGTATACACTCTGTATCCGGACAATGCGGTTGAGCTACGACTCACGATTCTTTCGTTGGCCGTGGCAAACGTATCCACAGAACTGGTCGAGTCCGAACTGGCGCTCCGCTTGTGAGACAGCGTTGGGCCACGAGCCGTTTCCGCAGAGCTCGCCGAGCTCACGCTTTCCGAGCGCAAGTGTCGCCCAGCCGCGGGTATGGAAGAGTAGAGGAACGAGTGCTCGTAATCAAAGACGTCTTCGCGATCCTCGTGAGAGATGGGACCCTCGACGGGTTCGTGATATAGCGACTCTTCGCTTTCGCTGCCGTAGCCATCCCGGGGCGACTGGGGGGTCGATTCGGCCTCGGTGTACTCGGTAGCAACGCTCTCGACCGGTGAAGGGCTGCGAACGTCGTGAACTGCCGCCTGCTGGCTTGTTTCCAGCGGGCTGCCCAGGGCCCGGCCCTTGGGAGTCTCGCTTTCTTCGGGGTCGTCTTCATAGTCCTCCTGCGGCTCGGGCGTTTGCGGATACTCATAATGCACCCTGACGCCCTCATCTATCTCACCCTCTCCCTCTCCGCCTTCTTCCTCCTCCTTGACCAGCACTTCCTCCTCTTCCTCTTCCTCCTCCTCCTCCTCCACTTCTTCAATCACTTCAGCCACATGCTCGACTTGCTTCCGGTCATGGTCACTATCGCTCGTATCAGTGTTGCCGTACGAGTACTCGTCGCTGCTGCTATTGGCGCCCTGAGACTCTGCTTGGCTCGGGTCCCAGGTGGCATTGGTGAAAGGGCTCGGCATGCGAAGGCTTTGAAGGCTGCGACGCCTCATGCTATCCACCCGTGCTTGTTCTTTCAAGCTCGAAATCTTGCCCTTTAGACCCTTTAGTTGATATTGCAGATCGCGCATTTGCGATGCCGAGGCGGATCGGGTCAGTCCCAGGTCGGAAAAACCCCTCGTGGGACTCGCCACGGTCGTTGTCCGTGAACCGTTCCGTTTCCCGTCAATGCCGGCCGCATTGCCATTTTCGCCTAGAGTCTCCAGACTGTGGTCCAGCTGATAGTACTGAAAGTGACCGTGGGCGCCTTGGGCTGACGCGCTGCCCAGACCGTCCATACTCCTAGATGTGGGCAAGGGTCGCCGATAGCCACCGGCAGAACCGAGGGCGCTCGCAGAGCGCTGGGGATAGCCCGACAAGTGCTGCGCCCCAGAAGAGGCTCCGTGGGCAGCTCCGTTTTCCCTGGTAGCTTTCGGGAGGTTCGTCGGAGAGGGCGTGATACCCGACCTGCGGAGGGATGTGGGAGCCCTCGTCGTGGTTGGTGAGGGGGTCGAGGTATCCGAAACAGAAGAGTAGCTCAAGGTCCTAGCTCGTGTGAGATTGTCCTCCATGTGCTACAACAATGTCAGTGTTCGCTCGCGCTCACAGAAAAGAGCGTCGTTGTTTCATTCAGAGCTTACAGTTAATCTCGCTTTGGCGTTGGCCAAGATTTGCTCTGCCCGCTGGCTAAGGGCAGCTCCGTCATCGCTCAACCGCCTTACGGTCATGGGATCGTAAGCGCGCAGGTGGTGTGCGACGGCCGTTCCTTCAACGTAGGCAGATGCCACGCTTTCCTCGTCGTCGCCCTGGAAGATGCTGTCGCCTCCCTGGCTGGCAGCGTCGTCAAAGTCGACAAATGCGCCGCCGTCGTGCGTGCCGACCGTGCTGGTGGACTCGGTCGACATCCTGCGCTCGCCATGCCTGTGCTGTTGGTGCCGCTGCTGCTGAAGGCGCTGCTGGATGAACTTCTTGCCCGTCGTCAGCGACGACGCTCGAAAGGGGCCCTCGTCGCCCGAGCTGTGGGTTGAGCGCTTGGAGGCGTGCCGGGAGGGCACTGGCCCGACGACGCTCTCGACCTCGGTGACCTCGCCAATGTCCGAAAGCATGGTCCCATTGCCGTAGATGATGCGCGTAGACAGAGGGTCGGGGTTGGCGTGGAATTCCTGGCCGAACTGGAAGCCGTCCTCGATATGGTGGCCGCTGTTCCACAGCGACGGGCCCGTGGACGGCCGGCTGTCGTAGGGATCGGGGCCGTCGTAGTCGGGCAGAATCATGTCCGGGTTGGTCAAGGTGGGCGACGCAGGCTGAGGGTAGGGAACCGCCATGCCGCGGGCGTCCTGCTGGTGGTTTTCATAGCGATTCGTAGCAATGGACGGCATCGTCACGGCGACTCAGCGTTGGCTGTAAGTGAGGCTCGAGGTCGGAAAGGCTGGTGCTGCTGGTGGTGCTGCTGCTTCGGCTGCGCTCGTCTGGTCCCCTTTGCTCTCTTTATCCTTGCGAGCTCCGGGGCAAGGCAGATGCGGTCCAAGCGCCCAACAAGTCGCATGCAGAGGAGGGAAAAGCGGTAGCGGAGGGAACGAGCTGAAGGGCTGGAGCTCGAGCGTATGATTGTTGCTTGGATCTGCGTGAGAAGAGGCGAGAGAACGTGGCGGGAAGCCAGAAGGCCAGGAGCGTGGGATATTCAAAAGTCTGCGAGATCGATCGGGCGCGCCACGAGACAAGAAAGGAGCGACAGTGGATCGGGGCGACAGGATTTCGGGGAAAGCTTCAGCGCCTGGGCCTGTGCCTGTGCCTGTGCCTGAGCCTGAGCCTGGGGTACGAGTAAATTAAATCAAGGTATCAGGATCGCTTGGTTCTACCTATTTCTGCGGATCGCAGCGCCGAGGCGAGCAGAGGCGCGTGGCAGCAGGTCAAGGAGCAGGCAGGGAGATGGAGAGAGAGAGAACGAGTTTTGAAGAGTGGTGAGAAGCGGCAGGCGGGAAAAAAAAAAGGACAAGTGCCGCCCGTCAGTCAGACAGACAGTCGAAGAATTGCGTTTCTTGGCTGGCAACCGGTTTCGTGGCTCGGGCCGCCTTACAGGTTTGATGGACGGGCGGTTGTGCCTGGATCAAAGGCATGTATGTATGTACTCGCAGGTACTGGCCGTACTCGACGCAGACGAGGCACAGAGGCGCAACAGGGACAGCTTGGGGGAGGGAGATTGGGTGGAACAGGGGCGACAGGGCCTCTTCTAGGGCGATTGTAGCGCGGCGGACCCCGGCCCAAGGCGGCTAGACCGGGCGGCGGATGGGCAGCCTCTACACGGCGGTACTTGCTGCCAATGTCCAATCAGGAGGCGCCGGTGCTGCGCTTGCGCTTCATGCGTTGAAATTGATGCTTTTAAGTTCCATGTTTTTGGCAGAGAAACGACACGAAACGAAACGACGATGATGAGAAGGGCATGCGCATTGCTGGAGGTGTCTTGTTTTCCAGAGCAAACAAAATAGGCTAGTAACACGCATTGCCTTTCTTTGTTTTTCCATGAGCCTCATGTCTGCCATTCGTTTGAGATGGACGGAGAAATTGCAAGACACCACCAGCAAGGGTCCCGCGGAAGCACTTGGCCTCGACCCTGCGGGTGCTCACCAGGGCAATGCTACAGGACTCGGACGGGTGCATGCGCGTGATGCCTGCTGCAGGCGGCCGGGTGATGATAGTATAAATGCGAGTCCAGCAACTTCCATCCCCCCCATATCTTATATCCATATATCGCGACATGCATGCATGCATGCAGACGGACATCCATGCTTGTACTCTGGAGTAGCAGCACTACTGCTACCGCCACCAACTTCTTGTCACCGCAGTCCACATCGCATCCAGTCGCCAACATCCGAAATAGCATCAAATATGATGCCCGCGTACGGAATACGGTGGCAGTTCGTCCTTGATGCCACCTTTGGTTAGGTCACCGGCGCACGAGCGCAAAGTGCCCCGAGAACCCACGGCCCCCATCTCAGCCCGAGTGATACATACTTTACCAACCAAGCCTGGTGACGATGGACCAAGACATCAATGCCTTGTCCGTCCGCCCGCTCGTCGTACAATCAGTAATACTACTAGTAGCGAACCTCTGTGCCGTCCGGGTGCCTACCTTGACCTTGACCTTGACCTTGACCTTATATCAGACTTGTATCCCACCATCTCACTCGTGACACGATACTTGTAGCACCTACCTATAACAAAAGAATCGGAATTCTACATGCATACATTCAGCTGCCCCCTCCTCGTACCAACATGCATGACTGTACTTGCACTCTCAGTCAATGCGGGTGGAGGGCTGCATAATCTTACACGACGCTCGTAATCTCTCTGCCTTTTTTACCTTTTTCTGTATGTATGTCCCTCCCTCACACCCGGCAATCGACCGGTTTCTTTCTTGTCCTTTCCTTTTTGCCTAGCCCTTCTGGGACGGTACCTGAATTTGCTCCACAGGAAGCTTCATGTGTCGTTGCCTGACAGGGGGCGACTCGTCACTTTTCTGCGTGCCTCGGTGCGGGTGATGTGCGAGATGCGATTGGCCCTTGCTGCTGCAATCTATCGTGTTGCGCTTATTGCTTTCGATGCTGGTGTATTCAAGGTATTAGGTAGGTAGGTAGGTATCTACCAATACTCGGTAGGTAGTACTTTTGAAGACTTGAGCTTGCATGGATATCTGCAGGTACCTTCAAGTAGGGCAGCGTCGATGCTTGACGCAAGCACTGAAAACAGAGGCTGGAAAACGAGACACAACAATAACAAAAAGGGACAAGTCAAGCACATTCAGCAACAATCGACCTTTTTCACTCTCTCTCTCTCTCTCTTTTTTTTTTTTTCTTTCTTTTTAACTCTCCACATGACCATCAAGCTCATCCGCGCCTAGAGACTTTTCTACGTCTTTTTACACGCCGAAAGTTACATTTGCCATTTTCGTTTGCATCGCCGTGTCACTCATCATCTCGCTCCACTCCACCTGCTGCCGCCCACACACTTTTACTCTCCGAAAAGAAAAAGAAAAAAAAATAGAAGAGCAGAAAGGCATACTGCAAGAGGCCTCTTTGCCTGATGAGTTGTTGTTATACATATGTGTACTGACAGGCTTTTGAATGGCATCCGTGCGTGGTTACACAGCCTCGTGACATGAAGCCAGATCCACTCAATCGTCGGCTCCAGGGATCGTACAGATGCTTGCAGTACTTGATACTTGCGCGCAATGCTTCAACTACCTAAGTCTATGAGATCATGACATTATGAACTGTGTTTTCGCCCCCTTTTTCTTTATAGATTCCCTTCAATGATTTGAGAATATATATGTACCCAGCTAGCCTCTCGAGTTGTGGGCCGAGATCGATTGGCCATTTTCGTTTTCTTATGTTTTGTTTGTCTGCCCCAAAGTATCAAACAATGCGAGCCCCCTTTGCATGGCTCATCCAATGCTATCGGATCGTAAACAAAGGGAAACAGGGGACAAGAAAAATCCGGTTGTCTTCTACAACTGCTGTCCAAGGCTCGTCGTTACAGCTCAGTCGTCGGCAAAGGCTTCGGTTCGGGCCTGAATCATGTTCTTATCCGTACTCTCCTTGGAAGGGCGGTTCGCCACCAGACGCTGTCCCAATTAGCTGCCAAAAACCCCTCTCAATCTTTGATAAAGACAGAAAGCACTTACAACAAGGTTCCGCAGCAAGACGGCAATTGTGACCTTTCCGACAGAGGGCACATAGATGGACGCCTTGTCCTTGACGGCAACGCCATCAAAGTTCTTGTACGAGGAAAAGTTGATGCACACGGCACCGTCCCGGATGAGCTCCGTCGGGACCTTGAACGATTCGCTGGGGACTCCTCCAATGATGACATCGCTCAAAGGCAGGCACTGCTCCAGGCCCCAGCCCTCCTTGTCCTCGACCTGGTGGCGCGGCTTCTTGATTCCCTGGCCGCGGGTAAAGAGCTGGACGCCCGTGATGTCGACCGAGTAGACCGTGGCACCATCGTTGGCCAGCAGGGCTGCGAGAGGGCGGCCGTTGACCTCGGATCGGTTGATGACGGTAATGGTCTTGCCAAACAAGCGGTTGCCGTAGGCGAGGATCGGGTTGTAGATCTGCAGGTGCTCGAGGATCTTGACGACGGCCAGGGGGGTGCAGGGCAGAATGGACTTCTTCTTGTTCTCGGGGGGGTCCAGGAATCGGATGTTGTAGTACATGTTGTGCAGGTAGATGTGGCGCAATCCCTCGACGTCCTTGGACAGGTCGACCGTCTCCTGGACGTACTTGTCCTTGGTAGGGTTCCCGGGGAAGATGGGGTAGTAGACAATGATTCCGTCGACGGCATCGTCTTCGTTGGCCTTCATAATCTCTTCCTCGACGGTCTCCTTGTCGACGACGCGGAGCTCAAAGTTGAACCCACTTGGAAAGATTGGCTGTCAGCACCACTGCACTGATGGTAGGGAATTCGGCATGGTTATCCTCACTTTTCCTCGCACGTCTTCTTGGACCACTCGGCATACTTGACGGCGGCAGGGTCGTCGTTTGCAAGAAAGGCCACCAGGGTCGGGGCAGGGCTGCCAGCGTCCTGGACCTTGGCGAGCGTGTCCTTGACCTCTTGCAGCAGCTTCTTGGCAATGGTCTCGGCCGTGATGACCTTGCAGGTCTTGGGAGCTTCTTGGGAAGACATGGCGATCTGCTGCACAGCCCAATTGCTACGGTCAGAATCCCGTGGAGCTATCGCACAAGCAAAGAATTGCTCACCTCTGAAGTGCAAAAGCAAAGGAAGACGATTGTGACTCTTTAAACCCCACCAACGTTGGGAGTTGAAAAGAATTGCGACCCTTTATGACATCAGCGCAACGGGCTCCTTGCAAGGAAGAGCCAATCAAACAGGCGCTCGTACAGAGGATGCGTCCAAGGGACCTACGATTGCAGTTCAAGACGGGCGATGGGAGGCGCTCGAGAAACGGAACAACTCTGCTCTAGAGGCTGTCATTCTGTCTCGCAACATGTGAGAAGAAGAGGGAGAAAAAAAAATCGAGGCTTCTGCTCCGTCAGTCGGCGCTCACTGCCCCTCTTGCCGGTTATGGCTTAGTGCCGAGGATCATGTTGAGGCTTTGAAGAGCACCAAAAGAAGTTGAAGCTACATTAGTACCTAGGTACCATCACCTTCTGAGCTCGATTATACTGAATCTTCGACAACAAAAGACGGGCAATAGGCTGGCGAGTAAGGGCTCATTCTTATCCAAAGGATCTAGTAGAGGCAACAATACCCTGCTGAAGCCATCAAGCTACAATCCATTTCGTAATGCGAATTCGGCAGACCAGGTCTCCTGTCCGAGATTGTGGAGAGATGGAGCCGGATCGAGGCAAACACGCGGGGCATCCCTAAGCATTCCAGTCCCTCTAACCATCCTATTGTTTTATTATCCAGGTAGGATAATAATCTTAATCTTATTAAGCTAAGTCTTAAGTTTATCTATGCACTACTACTACCTTAGTATTAACAGTATTACTAAGACTTGTCTTATATCACCCCTCTATTAAAAAAAGTAAGTAATTAAAAATAAATAATTAAAGTAAATACTTTTACTTTAATTAAATATAAAATAATAATAAAAGTTAAAAAATAATTTTATATATTAATTATAATTAATAATTAAAACTTTTTAATATTATATATAAATTTTTAATATAAAAAGTAAAGTAAATATTATTAATATAAAGTTTAAATAGAGCTAGATTAAGATAAATATGCAGGGCATTCTTAAGCATTCTAGTCCCTTTAACTATCCTATTGTTTTATTATCCAGGTAGGATAATAATCTTAATCTTATCAAGCTGAGTCTCGAGTTTATCTGTGCACTGCTACTACCTTAGTATTAACAGTATCACTAAGACTTGCCTTATATCACCCCTCCATCGCCTGTCACCGTAACACATTCAAGACGACGGCACTTGAATTTCTTTTCGAGGTTGATGGAAACAGCAGCGCCCGAGTTGACTATAGGGCTACTAGTATAAAACATTGGCATAGAGTCGATCAAGTAAGATCCCAGCATCAAGCCGGTGAAGATCCTCTGCGTACATGCATGCATTTTGGGCGAGTGATTCCACTGTACTGTATCCGACTTGACTTGCCCTTTATCGCTCTCGGCCATCACGAGGCACAATCTCAGTCCCATGCGCATCTGACACTGCTTCTCCAACACGCCATGCACTGCCTTTGAATGCTATACATATACGCACAGTAAGCACGTAGCTTGCATGCAGGACATTGTCCAGATGAGTCTCAAATTAGACTGACAATAGGTACCCAAGTTGAACGCACATCAGACAAGCCACGATGCACCTACCTAATTTATGACAGAACCAGCATTCAGCCTTACGCCCAAGTCTCACCTATTTAAAGCAGCTTATGTCAGTCGCAAAAGTCCAAGAACAAGGCGCATTCTTTACCTCAAACAAATGTTCTGGTCTCTTACTACTACTACCTACCTACCTACTGCAGCGTCGCCATTTCACCACTCAATTCAATGCGCACAGCTCCAGCCTTTAAACCCCATCCGGCAGGTCCAGTTCTAGGCACACAAAAAAAAGGGGGATTACCAAGAAAAGAAGGACAAAAAAGAAATAATCACGAAGCAAGGGAGAATCGCCAACCCCCCCCTTTGACTCTGAGACACCACCATCTCGCACCACACTAGACACGTTGTAGATATCTTAGTACTAGTTCAAGAGGTATTACATGTCGAATTCCCACATCTTCAGCAAAAAAAGGCGTGACATGTCTCAACGTCGTACGTCATACTGTCTCGAAAGCACCGTATGCAGATCAATTGCCAAAAATCGCCAGTCTCCATCTTCTTTATCCCAACCCCCATGCTCGCGCGTCTTTTACTAGTCCAGCCTGCTCCCCATGTCTCATCACCGGGGCGAGGACACAAGATCGTCGCTTACAGCCGCCATGGGAAATCCCGATTGGCATGCAAGGACGTCATTGGTTCCATATCAAATGGAAATTGAGATGACCGCTTGGATGTAGATTATGATCGCAACAACAAAGTGTTGCTGATGTTTCCTCAAGTATCACGAGACGGCATGACATCTGATGGAGCTCGTAAATCATTATCAATTAAGAGAGAACCAATGTATTCGCACGCAGGCGCTAGATATCCTACACTGAAAATGACATGGCTCCGTGAAAAAACAGACGTCGTGCCCCGCGCTTTATATCTAGATAGATTCAAACCGGAACCAATCTTCTTCTCCTTTTCCAAGCAAGTGAACAAAATATGTGCAAACAGTAAAAGTAAACCAAGGCTGGCGTCAAACCACAAGCCGGTTAAGAAGGATCCCCAAGCCTCGAATTAACACTTCCAGCATCTCATCATCGCCCGCTTACAGAGCAAAGTAAGCAACGACCAGAGAGGCAACCAGGGCCAGGGAGCTGCCGCCAACGCGAGCACCAGCGTTGGTGGGCAGAGGGGCGGGAGCAGTGATGGCAGGGTTGGAGGCAGAGGGAGCAGCCCAGACGGTGCTGGTCAGGGGCTGGCCGGGAGGAACGTAGACGGGAGAGCTGGGAGGAGGAGGAGGCAGGCGGGTAGCGCTCTGGAGAGTGCTGGGCGCGCTGAGAGTGGGAGGAGCAATGGTGGAGTTGCGGCAGGGAACGGTGGTGGTGGCGTTCAGGACAACGGTGACATCAGTAACGGCCGGAGGAGAGTAGACGGGCGTGGTGACGACGGGAGCCTCGGTAGTGGACTGGGTGGCCAGAGTGACCGTCTTGACACCGGCGGAGGTGGTGACGGTGGTGGTGGTGTCCGCGGGAGGGAGGTTGCCGTAGCTGCCAGAGGACGAGGTGTGGGCGGGAGCAGCGGGAGTAGAGGAGCTGCTGCTGCTGTGGACCTCAGCCGCCTTGATGTGGAAGGGGTTGGAGTACTGGAAGACGGAGGGGTCGCTCTCGAGGCGGAAGATGAAGCCGTAGAAGTTCTGGCCGGCAACGGCAGAGTCAACGTTCCAGGTGAAGGTCTTGGCGCTGTTCTTGACACCGGCTGTTTGGGCTCAGTTAGCGACTGACGTGCGCACACACACGAGAATCTCAACGGATGCAAACTCACTGGCAATGGTAGCCAGGACCTGCTGGGTGGCCTGGGTAGGGCCGCCGATCAGCTCGATGGAGACGGTGCCGGCGGCGTACTTGGCGGGAGCATCCCACTCGATGGTCAGGGCCTGGCCGGCAGTGAGGATCTCGTTGGGGGTAGGGTTGGTGATGGAGTCAAAGTCGGCGGTCTGGGCGAGGGCCGAGGCGACGAGGGCCAGGAAGGCAGAGGCGGACAGAGTGAACTTCATCTTGACGGTTTGGTTTGTTTGTTTGTTTATTTTTAGTTGCTTGGGGTTTTTTGAAAGGAGAAAGAAGGAATGAAGAAGGTTTTTTAAAAATAAAGAGTGTGGGTTGTCGTAAGAAGACAAAGGAATGACTGGCGGGCAAAAAAGCTGGAAAGGAGCGTTATAGCCTGGCGTGAGGGTGAGGGAGAAGCAGAAGCAGAGGCAAGAGGCGGGCGGAGGAGTTGGGGGAGAGGTCGGATAATAAGCACGAGCACTCTGAGCGTTTCATGAGCGGCCAGGCAGAGACGCACGCATCCACTCTGCTCTACCACTACAGCAGGTGCTATAGCCGGACCCCTGCTCGACATCTCGGGCCTTGCTTCTGTTCTGCTCGGGCAGGGCCTCGCTACTAGCTACATGTACCCTACCTAAGGTACTGGTGCCGGTGAGCACGGTGCTGACCAAGTACAGGTACCTACCTACTCGTACGGGCATCAATCTAAATGGGGTCCAGTCTCTCTTTCTCTGTCTCTCTCTCTCGTACGAAAGACGCAAAACCCACTGATCCCGGCGTGACGGCTAGGCGAGCTGTGCGTGGGTGGATGCGAGGGTTTTAGGCGTGGACTGGCCGAGCCCCTACCTACTGGAGGCCTTTTTTCTTTGCGCACGAACGGGATGCTGAGGCGGCTATTTTTCTCTTAACAGTTGCTGAGCAGTGATGAGAGAGACAACACCTACAGCTGCTTCTCAAGAGTTCATCTATATTTCTCATGCAGATCTCTAGTATGGCCGGGGAGGCTTTGTCTGCTGTCGTGCAGCCATCGTGAGATTTGTTCAACCCCCAAAAAACAGACTCGTACCAGTACTTCGGCGGCGCTTCCAGGGCTAAGGGGGGCATTGCTCGCTGGACTCCGCCTTTCAAGCGCTCTTGCTACCTCAGGCGGCCAGACGGAGCTGCGACTATATTCGTACCTGTAGGATTGCTGGTACTAAGTAGGTAGTAATAGCCCACGTTTAGCACCTAGCTGGAGAGCTCGCGATACCTCGGCCATCACACGAATCAACGAGCGCGCGCGAGTCCTCGCACTATCGCTGTCCGCCGGCGCCTGGTCCCTGTCCCTGTTCCTGTTCCTGTTCCTGTTCCTGCAGACGAACCGCGTCCACGTATCTGCAGCCCCCAGGGCCAGGCCACAGCGGGGGCCGCCAGCCGTCAGGGGCAAAAAAGCAAATTGCGCCTCGAGTCGGCGATGCTGATTGGCTGCTAGCGGATGAGGTGCAGACAGGGCTGAGCCGGGTCATTAATGGCATGGGGGCTTTGTGTGCGATGGAAAGGGCCTTTGATGCAACTTCTCACGGTATCAACTGGCCTCGTCTCGTTCCAACTTTGTTCGGTCTGCGAGATGGCGCTCTCCGTCTCTGGTGCTACTACTAACTACCTAGTACCTAGTATAACTAGAATCGCCAGGCCACGAGACGGGCACGGGCTCCATTCCCCGTCCCACGTCACGTTGGTTACATGGATCTCAGGGCATCGCTGCAGGCATGTGTTTGCCTCGTCGTGGTGAGCTACAGCATGTGTGTGACAGGAATGTGCAGAGGAAAGAAAGTGCTCCGCCTCGATACGCTCCTAGGAGGGCTATTGTTGGCTTCGTGTCGTCGTTGGTCGCTGGCTGACGATTGATGGCGTGCCACCCATTGTCTCCTACCTTGCCTAGTTCCGCAGAGGGATGAAAAAGAGAGCAGAGGATCTTCTCCTGTTGCCAGCCCAACAGCTGCTAGAGTCGGTCCGGTGTGCATCGCGCAATCACGGGCGAGAATTTGTCCCTCGATGACGACGGAGAAATCCTTCTGTCGTGCTACTGCTGCTGCCGCAACCCTTTTCTCGTCCCTCCATTCCGTCCTTCTTTTTCTTCTTTCTCCGCCGGCGCTAAGAGTCAGCCTCGAAATCAGGTTTCTTGCCCTCAGCTCTCTTCAGCTTCTCTCAGCTACAGCTCAAAGCGGCCATTCTATCACGATGTCTCAGACCGCCGTGGCGTTGAGACTGGGATCGATATGCACGAGGCGGAATCCGTCCAATCTCCAATCGTCAAACTGGCTGGGCTGCTCATTGCTCATCAAGGTGTGGCTTGTCGCAAGCCGTCAAAGCTTTCTTTGTCAACCGTGACCGTCCAGGTAATAAGCGCTGGAACTCGACTTGCATCGCAACGGGCACCGCATCCCTGTGAATATTCCACCATGACTGGACGCGTTTGGTGCGCGACAGAAGGCCCCTACCGTACCGTATTATGTACATACAGTCAGACGCATCAACGATGCCGTCCGGGGCCATTTTAGCCAGCTCGGGGTGCCTGGAGCTCCCCCACTGGCCGGTTACATTCGAGCTGCAGCGCGAGAGTGATTCGTGGGACTTGAATGGTGGCTTGTTGCTGTGCCTGGATGGCGCATGTCACGGATGGATCTCGGCCCATTCATCAGTCATCGTGTCAAGCAATCAATAGTGATGAATCTGATCCATCGTCTAAAATAGGAAATGCCCGATTCCCATGCCAACTGCACACAAGCAAGACAAGCTATCGAAACCGCCTCCTCGCCGTCGCCTCGGCTGGCCCACCAAGCGGACGAGATGCATTGAGGGCGCTTCCATTTCGGTGCGGCGGCGATTCGCGGGCTGGCTCGACCACTCACGCTTGGCCGCCCGTCACAGCAGCTACAATAGTAGTACTCCGTACACGCACAAGAGAAGAATACGAGTAGGAGTGCTATTCTTGTGGTTTATTTACCCTTTTTTCCATTTCTCCTCTCTCTCTCTGCCACCTCATTTAAATCCGCGGCATGGCGGATGACCATCCCCGTACGAGGCCTCATTTCATCGCCAGAGCCTCTTTCGGGTACCCGCCGAAATTGGAGAGGGGGGGCGGTGTGAAAGTGTCCTGATTGCGACCAGCTTCTTGGCGTCTGGTGTGTAGAACCTTTCAATCTTTCTCTGTACGAGCTTGGCTTCTCGTACCTGTATTGCGCCCCATATGTAGTCTCCGTCCATCTCGGGAAGTTTTGCACACCATCTCGGGCGAGGGAGCGGCAGCGTGCTTTTCTCTTGTCCTTTCTCTCTCGGGCAGGTCAAAGGGTGGATTCGCGTCGGCATTCGTCAATACCTTGGGCCACGATCTTTGCAAAGGCCCCCCGAATCCACCCACGATGGCGGCAGTTGATTCTCTTTTCCCCCGAGTTCTGTGGTCCGTTGTTCTGTCTATTCTGCCTTCCGACTGCTTCTAGAAGCCTAGATTCTGCTGCCCGTTGCCTCCATGACTCAACGGATCCAGATTCAAAAGAAGAAAAGACGCTCCGTCGAACCGTGAGACATCTGCAACAGTCCGCACTAGCGAAACGTCTTGTTCGCTATCCGTCCCTTCTAGACAGAATTCTATTGGCGGTATCCGCACATTGTCGCTCGAGCTACACCCCAAGGGAAAAAAGGGAAAAAAAAAAGGAAGAAAAATTTACGCAAAAGAGAAGTAGTGATGTAGCAATTAGAAGCTTCTCTCAGATGAGACGCACCCTATGCGAGTTGACGAGTTCACAATACGTAGTTGGAGACCTGCTCGTCACAGAGCTCTCCAACAGCAAGCGTTGATGATCAGAAGTGTTCTAGGGCTGATGTCATATTATTGCAGTATCGTCCGATGATCCCAGTTTTCATCTTGCTGCATCTAAAAAGAGAGTGACCATCAGTGCGTGTTTTGTAGGGAATGGATATCACAGGGCCCTTGCCCAGGGGTCGACCCAATGCTTCCAGGACTTGGGACATGTTTCACGGCAAACGCCGCTTTTTATTATTACCTTACTGTCCTCACACACAGTATGAAGACCGCCGCAGGACTCGAGCCCGAGGTACAGATACCGAATTACCATTTAGCATCCTTGGAAAGAAATGACAGCGAGCGTTGGCGTGCAGGGGAAAGAATTTTCTGCTTTGGATCATCGGTGTTCGTCAGATCGAGGAGGAGGCGGGCCCTGCATCTGTGTGGTTGCTGTCACATGCGCCCTGGGATCTGAGATCAGAGGTGGCCCCTCTGCATGTACCGAAGACATGGGCCTTCAAGGAGCAACTTGTAATGACGGCAGTCTTCTCTCTGATGATGAGCAGGCGATAGCAATTGACAGTCACGACTATACTTCGACAAGCTGCACGCTGTGACGGATGAACAGGCCACTCAATGCCCGGATAAACGTCATCAATGTTAGGTAGGTAGTACTCGTAGAAGATATCGGGAGTATCTCTCTCATGAGGGCATCTAACCCCCAAACGATACTACTTGTACATATCGTGTAATACGACAGTGAAGTTCCCCTTTCGTGAGTAGAGTACCTAAGGTAAGAGGAGATCATCGTGCCTGGTACTTGAGTTCCTACACCCTTCGCGCTCATTCGCCAAAACCCCCCTGTGACGCGACAGACCCATAATAATTCTCAGAGCCTTACAGGCACTTGACCGCATACAGCCTCCCAAGCTTCAGCCTCGTCCTCTTCACACAGAGGCCCCGACGATCATGAGCTCTCCCGACGAGCTGGCGCGAGACACGCCGCCGCCCTACAAGCGGCGGAGAACCGGCGACACCCCGTCCCCCCGGTCGAGCTCCCCCGACATCCTCGCCAGAGACCCTGATGACTTCCGGCAGCCGCCCAGGCGAGTGTCGCAGCGCGGCGGCGGCCTGAGCCAGAGCCCAACAAAGGCGCAGTACCTCAACGGCTTCTCGCGGTCGCAGTCTGTGTCGCGGGCGCCCTCGGAATCGGTGCCCAGGTCGCGGTCAGCGTCAAGCTCTGGGTCAAGGACGCGCTCGCAGTCACCTGCACACTCGACGCCGTCTCCAGCGGCAACGCCTCCATCTCGACAGCGCTCGCGCTCGCCCACGTCCACGAACCAGTCGAGGTCGAATTCCTTTTCTCCAGAACCGCAACAGCAGCTCACTCCCCCGCGGGAACTGCCCAAGCCAAACTACAAGGCGCGCCTGGTGCTCCACGGACACACAAAGGCCGTCTCGCAGGTTCGAATATCCCCCAACGGCCGCTTCATCGCCTCTGCGTCCGCGGACGCGACCGTCAAGATCTGGGATGCCGCGACGGGGGCTCACATGGACACGCTGGTCGGCCACATGGCGGGCGTGAGCTGCGTGGCGTGGACGCCGGACAGCAACACGCTGGCCAGCGGCTCCGACGACAAGGCCATCCGGCTGTGGGATCGAGTCACGGGGCGGCCCAAGACGACGGCTCGCAAGGCGGGGCAGGAGATGGCGCCTCTGCGAGGGCATCACAACTACATACACTGCTTGGCCTTTTCGCCAAAGGGAAACATCTTGGCGAGCGGGTCGTATGATGAGGCCGTCTTTCTCTGGGACGTGCGGGCTGGGCGGTTGATGAGGAGTCTGCCTGCCCATAGCGATCCCGTATCTGGCATTGACTTTTGTCGTGACGGCACGTTGGTTGTCAGCTGTTCAACCGATGGCTTGATGTAAGTTGTTGCATACTGTGCATTCACGAGTTGGCATGGGATTTCGCAACATGCTAATGGTTTCTGTCCAGCCGTGTGTGGGACACCTCGACCGGCCAGTGCTTACGAACTCTCGTCCACGAAGATAATCCCGCCGTGACAAATGTCTGCTTTTCTCCCAACGGCCGGTTCGTCCTCGCGTTCAACCTCGACAATTGCATCCGCTTATGGGACTACGTCTCTGGAAGCGTCAAGAAGACGTATCAAGGCCATTGCAACAAGAGCTTCGCCATTGGGGGCTGTTTTGGCGTCCTGGACGGCGAGGCGTTCATCGCGTCTGCGAGCGAGGACGGCGATGTTTTACTCTGGGACGTCAAGAGCAAGGAGGTGCTGCAGCGGGTGCATGGTCACGAGGGGGTGTGCTTCTGGGTGGACGTGCACGGCGAGACCATGGTGACGGCCGGGCAGGATGGCTCGGTCAAGGTGTATCGGCACCTCAGGCACTCTGGCGAGATCAACGGGAACGGGACAAAGACCGAGTCGAAGGCGCCTGGGCAGGGGATGCTACAGGGAGAGCTGCCGATTCGGCAGGATGATGTCAAGGTGGAAGATGCCATTAGCGTTTGAGTTGGTGCGCAGCAAAACATTACGCAGCGTTTTACTTTCCATTTGCCGCAGTTGAACTTGAGATTCTCGCAATGAACGGACAAAGCCCATCAGTAGAGTAAAATCCATATGATATACTCTTTAAGAGAACAACAGACTGACAATTTGCCGTCGCCCTGGGGTTTGGGCGTGGCTGTATGTTGGGTTCATCTCTGGCATGTGATGTGTTTGGTCTATGCATGGTTGATCATTTGCTGACTTGGATGTGTCTTTGCACCTGTTTCATCTCTCTTCGCCTCTCCCGAAAGACGAGATTTGATAGGTTTCCCGTTTGTTTCGCATTGCATGTGTAGGGTAGCTCCGTAGCAGCAACGACTCTGATCTGCTTGGACATCTCTATGGGGAGCATGTGATGAAGAAATTATCGATATCTTGGGAAGATAGAGCATGTATGCAATCTTCATCTCCTGGTTGGTAATTTGTAAGGTAGCCATGCATGCGCCTTGGTTTGGACGCAAAAGTGCAGATAGGATTCTGTGAAAAGACGAGGAGAAATCTCCATTTCTCTGCATGCATATGTACTGTCTGCATCTGCATCTACATACATACGGCATGCCTGCAGTGAGCTCGTGACAACGTGCATACTCAGAACGGCATATGCAGACAAAAAGCCTCATTTCGATCTTCACATCACTTCAAAGCAGCGCAGTCTGATATCATGGGTGTACTTTGGGTTGTTCTACAGTGCTCCGCATGAACGGGGCATTTGTCCCGGGACACACAGCATGAGGCTGTAGAGTTTTGCCGGTAGGGACGTCGAAAATGCACGGGGAAGAAAAAATACTACTAGCAAGAGAGGGCTGGGCATGATTCCCTCCCTCTTTTTCATAGACTTGCTGGCTGCTCTTTGGGTTCTTGACGCCTCGTGGCTGGCCTTGTGCACCAGCCCGAGTGAGACGGCGACAAGCTCGGAAGGTGATTTTTCGGTATGTGGTCGTTGCGGCAAGGTATGTACGGATGTGGGAACAGAAAGGCCGTAATACTTGTTCGTTTCATTCGGCCGGACTCACCGTAGTGGCGAGGCTCAAACCATTGATTGATTATTATGGCTTTTTCTGTACATACGTCTCCTCCCAACGGCAGCTTGTCAGCTTGCAGAGAGCAGTTGCAGCGAGTCAAGAGAAACATCCCTCCTCTGGCGAGGCTAGTAGTGCTAGCCCAAGCCTTGGGCGTCTGGAAAAGCCGAGATTTCTTCTCTTCTATTGTATGTTCACGTTAGCTCAGACGCCCTTTCCCCCCCCTTGACAGCTCCGGTGGCGGGATTGGCGTTTGCCTGGACGCAACGAGGCGTTGGCAAAATGTGTTTTTCTCTCTCCTCTCATTCCTCTCTGTTCTCCTTCTTTAAGCAATGGGGATCAGCGTGATTGTCGGTGCTGCTGCAGATTGGACAATGATCAGTTCAGGGTCCTTTTTTGCTTCGTCGGCCTATGGGGGGGTTGGTTGGCAGACGAGGGCGAGTCATGCGGTCTGGGGCAGCTGATTGGCCGGGTAAAGCTTCGACTGAACGAAGCGGCGCGTGGTCGGACGCGATGCAGAGCAAAAGATCTACTGGAAGAATGATGATGGGGGAAATGAGGAGTGAGAGAGGAGGGGGGGGGGGGGCGACATGCTGTATGTAAGGAAAGGCAAGTTGGTCATTGGTGGAAGTGGTGTTTCGATACATGCTGGATGCACGCAAACAGGCTGCAGGAGCATGTACTGTACATACATATCAAAGCGGTATGTATGGATGCGATGCACATGGACCGAGTTGGAGTTGGTTTGGCGGCGTGGAGGTCCGATAGAGCACCAACCAGAGCGCCGCGCTGGTCCTGCATGACCTGAAGGTGAAATGCCGGGGAGCGTCGTTAGGGGGCTTGTTTGCCTGGCCCAGCGCATGGACGTGCCCTGGACGGCGGCGCTTGGTTGGCTGCCGGAGGAGCGCCGGGCTGCGGCGCGAGGAATACTAGAGGCACTTGACCTCAACCGGGTTTTTTTTTTTTTTTTTTTTTTTTTTTTTTTTTTTTTTTTTTTTTTTTTGTCGTCGCAGGCGAGGGGGAAAAAAAAGAGAAAGAAAAAAGAAAAAACGGCGGGCTTTCAGTGGCGCGGAGACGCAGCGCCACGCACATGCCCGGGGGGGCTGCGGTGACAGTGACAGTGACATGCGCGCCCTGCAACGGCGAGTGGACGAGCGCCGTACCGCTGCACTTCGATCCATGGACCTTCAATGGTGGCCGGTTAGCGATCGGAGGTACTTGCTAGCGACGGCGACAGTGACAGTCTAGCAGTGACAGCCGGGACCGTAGGTATGTACCTCTACAGGCTTAGCACCGCTAACAAACGCCCACCTGCTCGATACAGGCAGCCGAATTCGACAAGGCAGGTCCGACGTCGAGTCGAAGAAGGCGCAAAGGACCACGGAGTACTAGACCCTTCTTTTCCCTCCTCTCACCTTTACTTTATTCTCACCTCGCAACCAACCAACTTCTCTTCTTCTTCTTCTTCTTCTTCTCTGCTCCTCTTCCGCCCCCCCCGGCCAGTCCCGCCTCATCCTCGACCTCGTCCGCCTTGCATCGTCGGCTCGCCTTCGTCTCGCTGCTCTGCCATCGACCGGCTATCTCGGACTCAGGCGGTGTTCCCGGTTGCGGCTCGCTGCTTAGGAATAGCCGTGGCAGGGCGCAGAGGCCGCTGTTTATTTTGTCCCCCTCCGCCCCCCTACCCCGGCCTTCACCAAACAGGTCCAAGTCTCAGGAGACAGGAATGCCGACTGGCCTGCGCACGCTGTGAAAAAGACGGTCGGCTCGCCGCCATTGCATTGTCGTTGCGCAACGCCTTTTCCCCGGCTGCCGCCTCAAGCTCACGCCCTTCGCCATTGCTCGCTCGACTCTCTGGGCGCTTGTCAGCTGTGCGCTGCTTCAGTCCTGGATGCGAATATCCACCTACCTGATACCCTCCGCACTTTTGACTCCCCACCGGCGTTGACGCCGTTTCTCCCGCCCCAGAGTCACAAAAACACGACATCCCGACTTCAGATCCTCGCGCGCAGCCTATTCTCCTCTCTCGCTCGCCGCCATCGTTGCCTGATCTCTCTCTCTCTCTCTCTTTCCACCTCTGCTGAGCGGAACATCTCCCACGTGGAAGCCCAGCGCTGGTCTCAGATCGCCAAAGCACCAGCAGCATCGATTGCTTTCCCCCCCTCCCAGCCGCTTCTCCTCGTTTCCCTCTGGTCGCGACCCTCCCCCGTATGCAACAGTCGAAAGGCCGTAAAGATGGAACCCGTTCCTGAGACGGAGCGCATGGAGGAGTTTCGCGCCGTCCCGACGCCCAAGTCTCGTGTCAACGGACCACATACGCTTTCCACGCTCGATCTCGACATGGCCAGAAAACCACCCAACCTGCGTAGGAGCACCGATCCAAGCCCAACCTCGACAAGCTCCTTCTCATGGACCCCCTTGCCTTATCGGCCCCGAACGACCTCTCCTCTCACTGGCAGCACTCATGTTCGGTCACGGTCCGCTGCTAGCATTGGCGCCGCGCCCATGGGCCGCACCCAGTCCATGCCTGGCGTCACTGGCTCCGGTCATCTGCTCTACTCTCCCCAGTTTCGCCCAGCCAGCCCGGCGCAGTCGCCGAGCCGAGTACGCACGCCGCGGAAGCCAGTGGACGAGTCGTTTCCCATGACGTCTCCTGTACGAACGTCAGTTCTTGACCACGATCGAGTGCCTGCCGACAGGAGCGGCTCTCCTGTCCTGGGTGTCTCAGCCAATGGAACCTTGACTCGGGCCCGTCGAACCTCGTCGCCGATTAGGAATTACGCCCAGTCGAGCACCGGCTCTCTCCCAAACTTGCCCACCACACCAACATCGAGCTCGTCGTCTCTCTACAGAGCGTACGACCCCTTCTCTAGCAGCTATGGGGCGCTCTCCTCGGTCCCCTCCACACCCACGTCATTGAGGTCGCGTAGTCCTAGTATTTCGAGCCTGGAAACCATCCCGGACTCGCCCGATGCGGAGGAGGCAGCTCTCGAAGCTGAGAAGCAGGCCCAGCTCAAGGCCGCAGCTGAAATGTCGGAGGCCGGAGACACATCGGACGCAAAAGGACGGGGCAGCCTGGATCTGCCAGCCCGTGGTCGCACAATGGCCTTTGGCTCCAAAGACAAGCGGAAGCGGTGGAGCGTCTGCGGCGCTGAACGGCGTGGCGACATTGACCTGGAAACCATCTGGGAGGACTAAATGCCCCGGCGGCAGCTTTGATATTTCTCATGGACGACTGCATATGAGCGTGCGCAGGCTCTATTGAGCTTTTGTTCCTGCTTCTTTCCCCCTGATTCCCCTTCTTCTTTCTCTCGTTTACTACTCGGAGGTTTTGGTACGGAAAGGACATTTTTTGTTTCACTCGACTTTCCAGGCGCACGGGACACAGGCATTGTGAGATTTCGGAGATTGGCGCAGCCACAGAGACGCACACACACGCACACACCGACACAGACACACACTTACGCATATTACCTTCTCCCGCACCCTTTTTTCTGATGGTCAATTTTCCTTAACCCCCGTCATGTTTTTGTTGTACGACCAGGGACGCAGCGGGCGTTTAAAATGAGTGTCTCTGGTCCGGATACCCTTTTGCATATCTACGTCTTACAACAAGGACTTTTCATGGCAGACAGATGCTGCCCAAGCAGAGCAGCCACGCTCACAAAACACAACACAACACACTACACAGAACAAAGAGCTACGCCAGACGATGGCACAATGAATCAAACGGCTTCGTGAAATCTCAGTTCGTCCCTGACATGTGAAGTTTTGTCTCTTTTTCAAGTGTGTTTGATTTACCATGTCCTTGCCTCCGCCCTTTGCCCTTTGACTGGCTGTTACCCCTGATTGTCAGTCAGGTTCTTAGCTTGGGGGCAAAGCAGGGAGAAGTCTCTCCCTTGCGCGCATTCACTTTTACCTTCCGGCCAGCAGCCCGTCCACCTGCAGCTGTGGCTGATTTTCTTGTACACCGTGATGGACTATTGCATGCGGTCCCCATCCGACGGCCTCCCTGCTTCTCAAGGGCTCATCCCGCGGGTCTGATATGGTTCCAGACTCATTATTGTTTATCATGCAGGGGCTGGGAGTTGTGATATAAAAGTCGGCCTTCTATCTTGCCTCTGTTAACCTGATCTCATGCCCAGCCGCCCTCCGGCATAATCTCTTGACAGGCCGTCCACTCTTTATATACTCGCTCTCTCCTCCCAGCGTCTGTTTGACTTGTCCATATCCTCCTTCTTCCTCCATAACTTCCACTCTTTTGTGTGTTTTTTTCTTTCTGCCTCTATAGCACATAATTAGTCGATATGCGGTCGCTCACATTGCTTGCGGCCTCTGGGCTGCTGTCCATGGCGGACGCCTCCTTATCAGGCTTACCCAAGGTGAGCAGGACAAACCCCGTACCTCTTTCGATAAAGAAATGACACTGACAAGCTTTTGTTAATAGGCGGAAGCTGAACAGCTTGCTGTTGACCAGGCAGTCAAGGCCTTCCTTGAGAGGCACGCGGCGCTGTCCACATGCGCCCCCGTCAGCATCATCTCCACCAGCACGGTGACGGTTGAGACGACAGTCTACGTGACTCCCACAGGCAACACGCCGGCGTCCCCTACCTCCCCTACCTCCCCTACCTCCACGCCTCCCACCAAGGCCGTGTCATCGTCTCAGACGCCGACGGGGCCGAACGGGAGCAACACGCAGACGCACGTGAGCAGTGTCTCGAACCCATATGTCCTGCCGTCGCAGAGCCCGCCTGCTGGCCAGCAGTCTTCCTCTTCTGCTGAGACCATTGTCGGGCTTACGCCTTCTTCCTCTGGGGTCAGCTCGAGCAGCAGCACAACGCATGTCTTGCCGAGCCAGTCTACTTCGCAGACGCCGAACGGGCCTGGCAACAGCCAGTTTACGTCTTCCGGGACGCCTACCGGCCGTGCTTCTTCATCGTCGTCTGTTCCTGGAGGCCAGTTCCTGACGTCATCGGTTAGTGTGAGCAGTGGTGCTTCGTCTGCTACGTCGAAGGTGTCTACTCGCTCTAGCACTCCGATCGTGTCTACTCGTCCGAGCACTCTGAGCGTGTCTACTCGCTCCAGTACTCCGATCGTGTCCAGCCGTTCCACTAGCTCTACCCCCATCACCCGTGCTTCGTCATCGACGCCTCCTGGTGGTCAGTTCCTGACTTCGTCGGCAAGCGTGAGCAGCGTTGCCTCTTCTGCCACTTCAAAGGTGTCTACCCGCTCTACCACCCCTGGTAGCTCAGTCAGCACCTCGCGCACCGCCTCCAGCACCGCTGCTTCGTCGTCGTCTGCACCTCCCGGAGGCCAGTTCCTGACGTCCTCCAGCGCCGTGAGCAGTGGTGCCTCGTCTTCTACCGCAAGCGTGTCTACCCGTTCTACCTCTTCCGGGACCACGAGCAGCACCACGGTCACTGCATCTAGCACTGCCGCCTCCTCGTCATCTGCTCCCCCCGCCGGTTCTTCGTCCACGTCTGCTACTGCATCGTCGACCTCAAGCCCTCCTGGCGGCCAGTTCCTGACCTCTTCCAGCACGGTCAGCAGCGGCTCCTCGTCTTCTACCGGTGCTTCTTCGTCGACCACCAGCCCATCTGGCGTCTCACCCACCGCTTCGTCGACGGCTGCCTCTTCCACCAGCTCCGCCACCAGCTCGGCTACTTCGTCCACGTCGTCTGGTCCCCCAGGCGGCCAGTTCCTCACGTCGTCCGCCTCCGTCGGCACCTCGACGCCCATCATTCCCACAGTCCCCGCGTTCCCTGACCCTGACGACTGCGATGATGACGATGACTTTGAGCCCAGCCTCACCGGCGTCATCCCGACCGTCACCCCATCCAACGCGGCCTCGACCCCCATCATTTTCCTTACAGTGTCCTCCACCTCTGCCAGTGCCACTCCCAGCTCCGCTTCGTCAACTGAGACATCGTCCATCAGGAGCTCCACTTCTGGTGTTCAGTCTAGCGGCACTCCCATCTTGGAGACTGTGACCTCGCCCCCTGGCGTTGGCCTCGTGTCCTCCACTGCTTCGAGCACTCCTGCTTCGAGCACTCCCGCCTCGGGCACGCCCGCTTCCAGCACTCCTGCTTCGGGAACCCCTGCTTCCAGCACGGTTACCCCTACTGGCGTCCTGCCCACCGGCGACGTCGTCGAGCCGTGCGATCCCACCGACAGTGTCTCCGCGAGCACCAACACCAACACCAACACTGGCACTGCCACCGGCTTGACCAGCAGCACCGGCACCGCTACCGGCCTCACTCCCAGTGTCACTGCTTCCAGCGTCACCGGCACCGCCTCCAGCCTGTCGAGCAGCCTCCCTGCAGACATCCCCACCGATGTCGTGCCCTTCCAGCCCAGTCCTACCGGCCTCAGCGTCTCGTCCTCGTTCTCCTTTTCGGTGCCTGGCGGCGCCTTCAACGACCACTCCACCACGTCCGGCACGCCTACTACTCCCACCCCGGCCGCGTCGAGCAGCCCGACCGCCCTTCCCACGCCCATCATCGGTGGTGATGATGACTGCGACGATGACGACCTCATCATCCCGCCCGTCCTGGCTGTCACGCCCACGGGCCCCAGCGCGGGCACTCCCACCGCCACGGGCCCCAGCGCGGGCACTCCCACCGCCACGGGCCCCAGCGCGGGCACTCCCACTGCCACGACCCCCACCCCTGCCGCCTCGAGCTTGCCCGCCATCAGCTCCGCGCGGTCATCGTCGTCTTCCGCCCCTGGCGGCGGTGCTGGCGCCTCGTCGAGCGTGCCCTTTGTCTCGCAGGGCGTGCCCACTACCTTTGCGACGCTGCCTCGCCCGTCCAGCACCACGCCTTACGCGACGGTCCCGGCTGTGCCTACGCCGACTGGGGTCAACATTGGTGTCACTGACGACTGCGATGAGTAAAATGGCTCCTCATGTCACATACGGGAAGAGAATAAGGATGGATAATGTGCTACAAAGTGGATGAAGCTGTGTCTGTGCTGCAGTGCCTTTTTGTTGATTCTTTCTTCCTTTTTTCTTCTTTTCATCCACTTTAATTTGAGATATATAGATAATACATACGATATTCTACATATTATGATCAAGCTCTCCGGGGGCGATACTCAACTGCAATGGTTCAGTCAAGGACCTGACGATTAGACGTGTCGATGGATGGACTCATGGAGTTTGACCAGTTCGTTTTGAGTCTTGCAGGGTTTGTTTACGCTGTCAACTTTCACCAAGATTAACTCTGCGATAACCTCCCTGTTCTATCCAGGATACTTTTCAAGCTGAATCAAATATAGGGCCTGTCTCAAGCACGTCCCCCATTGTACCAAGTCTCCCTGCAGCCGGTCAACGAAGTATTCTCGCATTGTGGAAATTGTCTTCCCAGACATGCATCGTGTGCGATTAACCCCCTTGTCTCGCTATCAATATCCAAATAAATAACCATGATTCATATCCAGCTACCCCAAATGCAAGATAAACAAAGCTTGAATCGAGTAATAGAACAACACATCACTCCTTCCTTTCAGAGACATGCATGCATCGTGAAATTAAACCCTGTGCTACCCGGTGATACCGCCCACCGCCCACCGCCGCAATGCCCACCCGCCTCCCCCGGACTCCCTTGCATACAGCCAACCCGCGCCAATACTACTAGAAAATGTGGCACAGTGGCTGAAACATGTCAAATCAATCAAACCGATTAGTGGACTCCCGGGGCACCAGGAGGCGGCAGAGCGTCTGGACCGAAAGACATTGGGAGGAGCTGCAGGGAGAGAGAATCAGAAAAAAATATCCGATGCGTTAGCCAATTGTACTGGGAGATTTGGAGAGAGGGGGAGAAACATGGATTGTGTTCCACGGCAGCTGAATGTGCCGTGGGAACAAAACAAGAAAGAAAGCAGAGCAAAGCAAAGCAAGGCGGGATGCAAAAAAGCAAGGGAGATAGTTGGACGCATCGTACCTGGTCCACCGTCATGACAACGTAGTCGGAGTTTTTGTCAAACATGATGATGGGCGTCTTCATGGTGCAAAACTCGCGGATGCTGCATGTTGATCCCCCGTCAGTTCAGTTGTTCAGTCCTTTCCGAAGCCACCTTCATCTCTCTCTCTCTCTCTCTCTCTCTCTCTCTCTCTCTCTCTCTCTCTCTCTCTCTCTCTCCTGACTTGCCATCTCTCTGCCAGCCTCCCCTCTCCCCCTGTACGCAGCTCTCGCCCTCTTCATCCTCATCCCCGTCACCACCCCCCCTTGCATGACCCTCTAGCCCAGCCCAACCCAACCCAACCCAACCACCCGAATAAACATCTCCAAAGAAAAAGAGAGAGAGGAAAGCAAACTCACAACTGCCTGCACATGCCACAAGGACTCGCCGGCGGACTGATATCCGTCGCCACGGCAATCGCCCGAAAGGTCCTGATGCCGCTCGTCACCGCCGTCCCCAGGGCCACCCGCTCGGCACACGTTCCCACCGGATACGACGCGTTCTCCACGTTGGCGCCCGGCACATAAACCGTCCTCCCCGGTCCGCGAACAAGGCCAACCACCACCTCGTCGTCGTCTTGTCCTCCTTCTCCAGCAGCAGCAGCAGCGGCGTCGTTCTCGGGAGCAGTGCAGAGCAGCGTCGCGCCCACGCGGAACCGGCTGTACCGACAGTACGCCGTCGCTTTGGCTGCCGTCGCGCGACGCCGCAGCTCGCTGAATTCGCTGACGGAGATGCCTATGGCGGCGCAGGTGGATGCGATTTGGGCTTCGTCTGCGCCGGAGAGGATGGGCGGGGTGGACATTGTGGAAGGCCTGAAACCCTTTTATATATATATGTATATATATATATATATCCTTTTGATGAGGTCCAAGCTCAAAGCGTCCAAGGCTTTTTACTTGAGTTAGCCCCTTGGGTGGTGTTGGTTGCTTTGGTTGGGTTATTCAGATAGGTGCTCAAAACCACAAGCTCAACAGTTTTACTTCAACCTCGTCAGCAGTGACTCTAAGCAAGGCGAAGGGGGTTTCAGTCTTGAATATGTCGAATCGCCCAAAGAGAAGAAGAAGAAGAAGAAGAAAGGGGGAAAAAGGGAAAAGGGGAAAAAAAAAAAGGGAGAGAAAAAGGAAGACAAGTCAAGTTGGGCGACAAGCCGGGCTTTATCTACCTTATCTACCTAATCTATCCATCGGACTCCCTTTGCCGAAAAGCCCGCTTCTTTCCAGTTCTGTCTCGCCGCTCTTTCTTCGAGCGAATCAAGCACCTCGCCCCACATTTTACAAAGTACTCCACAACCGGAAGACGCCGGCCGTGGGGTCTGCGGGGAGGGAAGGCGCGACGGCGGGTGCCGGCTTGGCTGGCCGAATGCGGTGCTTCACCGGTACTTTGCTGATACTTGTTGCTTGTCTTGATCCGAGGGTTTCCACCTATGGTGGTGAATGCCTTTGATAAGTACCTTAGTCGCTTTGGAATAACTTGATTGGGATCACGAGTTCAAATTGGGAGGACTCGAGAAGGGAAATGTCGCACAGAGAGGGGAATGCCGGATGAGTTGGCAATCAACTGACCTTCTTTGGGCCCCGTATTACGTACGTTCAGATTTCGCTGACAGCCGTTTCGTAAGCGTCTAGAGTAGATACTTGACATGCTTATACAGGTCAAGGACTGCACTGCACTGCACTGCACTGCCCTTATACTCGCGCCTCTAGAGAATGAGATCAAGCCGTAGCATCAAAAAAGTCTTGCTCAGTTGGGTGTTTTCAGCAGTGCTTCCCGCCAGGCAACTTTATATTTCGCTCTCAGGAGGATGGACTATGAAGATATAACAGGAAAAAGACAAAAAGAAAACAGCAGCTCGGTCGCCTTCTTTTTCTCTCAACCTCGTCATGTAGCAGGCGAGTCAACTCCTGATAGTAGGTACCTGTTCGACTCTTCATCCCGCTCTTTCTCAGCCCAGACTCCAATCATCTGTTCCAACCCCCATCATCCGTCAAAAAAATGGCCAAGGCTGTCTGCATTTCTTTGTCAAGTGTCAAACCAACTCCAGACTCTCAATCCCTGATGCAAATCTTTGTGTGTGTGCGTGTTCGTGTATGTATGTTTGTGCGCAGGTATCGATAAAGCAGAATAAACACGGTTCCTCCCCCTATCCCTAAACGTATAATGAAGCTATTGAAGAAGAATAGCACAAAAGAAAAGGAAAAAAGAAAAGAAGAAGAAAAGCCAAGAGGCCAAAGATGGATGCCGCGCAAAAAGTGGCATCAGATCCTCCCGACATATACTCGCCTCTTTTTTTGAACAACTCCATCGCTTGCATCTCGTCACATGCAGACGAAAGAAGCAAGAAGCTGGGAGGAGGAGGATGAACAAGAAAGAAAAAGTAGTCCACAACACCCGGAGGGACGAATGGAACAGAGGAAACAGGATTATGCCAATGAAAAGAGTTACTCCGCCGCCGACTCATGCGGCTCAGTAGAACCCGTCCGGCCCAATGCTGTTCCTGGTCGACGTCGCCGACACAAACGGCGACTGAGACGATCCACTAGCATCGCTCGGCGTCGCCGGCTCAACCACCTGGTTCCTGATGGTCATTATCCACTCGTGCTGCAGCAGCTCGATGGCCGACGATCTCTGCTTAGGATCTCGCGCAAAGCACCGCATCAAGAAGTCGATGCCCTGCGGGCTGAGCTGCTCCGACGTCGGCAGCTGCGGCGGGTTGCCCTGCGCAATGTTGTACATGATGGCCCATTCGTTGTCCAGGTTGGCCCACGGCCGCCGGCCCGTCGCCATCTCGAGGATGACGCAGCCCAGCGACCAAATGTCCACCGCCCCGGCCTTACCGGGGTTCTCGCCCTTGATCACCTCGGGCGACATGTACATGGGCGTGCCCGTCATGGACTTGTTGGGCTTGGTGGCGTGGAGGTCGGCGGCCATTGTCCGCCCCTGGCGAGCAATGAGCTTGGCGGCGCCAAAGTCTACGTACTTGATGATGCCGTTGTGGTCCAGCAGGATGTCTATACGGCATGTTAGCTCGAATGTCGAGATAAGACGAGGGTAGAAGGCGTGACTTACTCTCTGGTTTAATGTCGCGATGAGCAATGCCGCTTTCGTGCAGATAAGCAAGACCCTCAAGCAACTGCAGCGCATACACCATAATGACCTCCTCCTCCTCGATGCGACCATGCTCCAGCAGGTTGGCGAGGGAACCGCCAGAGCAAAACTCCATAAAGATGTAGACGCGGTCTCGGTGGACCTCGATGCCGTGGTATGACACGACGTTGGGGTGGTCGAGGACCTCGAGCACGCGCATCTCCTCGCGGATCGACTCGGCAATCGTCGGGATCAGCTTGGGGTCCTGCAGTCGAATCTCCTTGACCGCCATCAGATGGCCCGTGTCCAGGTTCATAGCGGCGTACACGTTGCCAAAGGTCCCCCCGCCCACAAACTGGCCCTGCTGCCATCGCACCGTGACGTTGGTGGCCGACGCCGACAGGTAGGCCAGCGACCGGTCGGCCTCGTTGGTCGTCTCCAGCACGCGGCCCAGCGCCCGCCGCTCGGCCTCCTTGCCCTCCCGGAACTCGTCGACGCGGGCGAGCTTCTCCAGCCGCTGCTCGGTGACGCTCATGGTGGCCTCGTCGTCGTCGAGCATCTTGTTCTTGTCCTTCCTAAACTGGCTCACGAGATTCTCGATGCGCTCCTTCTCCGCCTGGGCGGCCAGGCTGGAGCGCGCGCCCATGATGTCAAAGTGCGAGATGAGGACCGACATGCAGCCGCCGACCTTTGCGCGGATCCGCTCGTACTCCTCCTCGCCCAGGGCCAGGATGTGGCGGCCGCGCGTCATGCCCATGGCGAACTCGAGGGCGAGCACCGCCCAGCGGAACGTCCGCCGGTCCGAGGCCACGCAGTCGTCGCAGATGAAGCTGACCCAGTCCAGGGCCAGCTTGGTCAGCTTGAGGTTGTTCATCTGCCGGCGGTTGCTGTCCATGTAGAGCAGCGAGCGCTGGCCGAACTCGGTGGCAAAGATGAAGCACGTCTGGATGAGTTCCTGGCAGTCCTTGCCCTGCGTCTGCCTCCGGATGATCTCGACGCTGTCCATGAAGGTGTTGGACAGCTTGTAGGCGACGCGGCGGATCTCGGTGAGCCGCGTGTTGACCTTGTGGATGTTGGAGCGCGACTCCTGCAGCAGGTCAATGTGCATGTCGATGGCGTCGAGAAAGGTCCGGCGGGCGTGGGCGATGGCGCTGCTGCTCGTGGTGCAGAGCCGGATCTGCCCGCGCTTGAGGTCGATGTTCTGCTCCTTGATCAGCACGTCCGCCACCTCGCCGATCCACACAAAGGGGTCCTCGGGCCGCAGGATGAGGATGTACTGGTCGCCCGAGTCGTCGGGGAAGCGGTCGGCGGACGTGATGGCCAGCATGGCCTGGACGTCGTCGAGCCGGTCGCGCATCTCGGGCGACGCTATCAGGTAGATGCCCAGCGTCTCGAAGACGCCGTGCGTGTCGACGTGGAAGTGGCCCGAGGCCACCAGGTGGTCGTAGAACAGCTGCATCTGGTCCGGCGGCAGCGAGATGCTAAAGTCGCACGCGTGCTCGTAGTTTTCGCTCAGCATGCGGGAGAAGCGCTGCAGCATCCGCTGGCGGACGCGGACCGAGTCGAGCGCGGCCTTGTACCGCTTGCTCATGTCCGCCGCGCTCTCCTTGGGCTTGATCTGCAGCTCCCGCTCGAACGTCGTGCTCAGCCTGTTGAGCGCCTTGAACGTCAGCGAACTAAACTGCTCGGCGACCTCAATGTTGCCGCGGTGGAGGGAGCCGCCGATGTCGTTGGCAAAGTCCCACTCCTGGAACAGCAGCTCGGCCTCCTTGAACGTGTTCTTGTTGCCGCTGAGCTTCCAGTTGAGCATCTTGAAGTAGTACTTGAGCGCCTCGAGCGCCACCTGGTCAAAGGACTCGTCGATGCAGGGGGGCAGGTCCCAGCCGGGCTCGGGCTTCTCGATCTCGAGGTACTCCGTCTTGATGCGGATGGCGAACTGCAGCAGCAGCTGGAACTGGGAAATCATCTGATCCTGCATCAGCGGGTTCTGCTGGGCCGTCTCCTTAACCTTCCGAGCATACGCCAGCCGCGTCTTGGTGATCTCCTCGATGAGGCGCGACGGGAAGCTGATGAGCGTCAGCAGCTCGTCCAGGTACGGCGGCAGGTGCCGTTTCTGGAACGGGATCGAGTTGCGAATCAGCGTCTCCTTGGCCTTCTTGATGACGTGGGAGATGGGCATCAGCATGCCCCACTGGACCAGGTCGCCCTTGAGGATGACCTTTGCGTTTTCGTTGTACAGCGACTGGAGGCCGTCTTCCTTCATCAGCCTGTCGAGGAACGAGGTCTCGTCCGTGGTGATGCCGTCCACGGCCGGGGACCGCTGCTTGGTGCGGGAGAAGTCGAGCTCGTCGTTGCCGACCCACTTCTTGAGGATGGCGAGCTCGGTGTTGATCATCTCGTTGGTGTTGTACCACGACATGATGGCCTCGTAGGCTTCCAGAAACTGCGGGGAGACGGCCGACTTGTGCTCCGCCACGAGGGCGTTCCACGAGGGGTACATGCTCTGGCACTTTTCAATCTTCTTGACCACGTCCTTGACCTGCTCAAACGGCGGCTTCCCGGCCTCGAGGGTCCCCTTGACCTCGAAGTTGATGACGTCGTCCAGCAGCTTGTCCACCATGGCGCGGCCGTCCTCGACCATGCGCTTCTGGACCGGGACCCTGCGCCCGCACGACTCGGCGCGGAGCTCGAGCCACAGCTCCTGCCTGTAGGTTGCCCTGTTGGCGGTTGTGTCGGTGGCGCTGATGAGGCGCTTCTTCTCCTGCCGGACGACGTCTCCCGTCAGGACGGCCTCGAGCATGCTGTGCCACTCGAGCCTCTCGCGGTTTTCGGGAATGGCAATGTCCTCCTCGGTCGGCTGTATCTCGTCGTTGCCGTAGAACATGATGGTCTCCTGCTGGTCGAGGCGGTCGTCAAAGGGGCCCTCGGACGACGGGGTCTCGCCCTCCGAGTCGGAGTCGTTGCCGTTCTGCGGCTGGAACTGGCTAAAGTACTCGCCCGTGTAGCCTCCCTGGCGCAGCGTCTGGACATAGGCCCGCTCCTGGGCGCGGAAGCGGCTGTCGCTCTGGCGCGGGCGCGTCTTGGACGAGGACCGGGCCGACTCCGAGAAGGACGGCTGCGGCTGGGGGGCGGCGGGCTTGCGCGAGTTGGCCGGGTTGTACGTGTTGGACGGCGTCCGGATGGGCCCCATGGGCCGCTGGAGATAGGGCGCGTCGGCCTCGCCGCCGCTGGGCCTCGGGGCCTTGGGCGGCGGCCCGCCGTTGATGTGGGAGGCGGGCGGTAGCGAGCTCAGGGAGCCGGTGAGGCCGTTGGGGGCATCTGCGTATCTGCTGAGCGAGCCCAGGTCGTCGTGCCGCTCGATGGCGTGGTGCAGGTCGGCGCCGTTGGACTCGGGCGACGAGTCCTCGTCCTCGGCCTCGGGCAGGGCGTGTTTGAGGCTCTGCATGGCCAGGTTGGCGGCGGCCTCGTCGTCGTCGCTGCCGCCCGAGAAGCGCACGGCTCGGTCCAGGGAGTTGGGCATGGCGGCGATGCGTGGCGGCGAGTCGGCGGGGAGGTTTTGTCTTTGCGTGTCAACTTGCGTGTCAACTGTCGTGTCAACTGTCGTGTCGTGTCGTATCGTGTCGTGTCGGGTCGACTGTCGGCTCGTGGGCGGTCTCCTCCTAATGTCTTCCCCAAGGTCCCTGTCGGTTCGGGCGCCTCCCCCCCCCAAGGCGCGGGCGGCGCAAAGCTTGGCGACGGGAGTTTGTCGAGTCAAAGCGGCGATGGGTGAGTTTCTGTGGCGCGTGTATCGACTGCGTAAGATATCAAATATTCGAGGGCTCCTGGCAGTGAACCGGGTGCGAGACGAGGCAATTGGCGTCTCTGGCGTGAGGAGAGCGAGGATTGAAGCTTGTCCCTGGCTGATGGACGATGGAAGTCCCAGCAAGGCTGTTAACAGATTGGCTTGGCTTGGTCGTGCTGTTTCTCGCCTGGTTCGTCATTCGAAACAGCGGAGCCGCGGAGCTGGGCCGCTGGCGAAACAGCGAATAGCAAGGCGGCGCTGAATTACAGAAGGGCCGGGGCCACCTGCAGTGGATGGTTGGGGCAGGGATGCACCTGGCAGTGGCCTGTGCGGCGCCTGAAGCCTGCTGGAAAAGTTGGGGCTAATGGGGGGGCGATTTTCAATTCCTGCGGCTGCGTGTCTGAGGTGGCCCTGTTCCCGAAGAAGCGGAGCATTTTATCATGCGGTGCCAGCTCAGGTCAAGATGCAGGTACTGGGAGGGTTTCCTCTTCTCTTTTCTCCTTTCTCTCCAGTGATATCATTCTCGCAATGTTCACCAGGCATATCAGTGCAGTCAGAAAGTGAAGCATGAATGGAAGTGACATGTCCTGTCTCTTGTCTGTGATTTGGCTCGTGACAGCGCAGCATCCATGCTGGCAAAAAGAGCCGCAAGTGCTGGCATGTGCCCATTGGCTCGTCCACGTGTGCATGCCACCCAACTCTGAATCCTCCAGAACAACAAGCTGTAGACTATAGTATTGGGGGTTACATTGCTAATACTTGTTGCTGCGGCTCCTGAGTTCTGACAGAATACGATCCAGGGGGTGCCTGGACACAGCTATCTACCTAGTCGATGCCCGGGCTGTGGCGAATGCTGAAGCAAAAGAGTTGTCCATCCACTTCCAGCCCGCTACCTATCAAGCAAACTAGGCTTCGTGGCAACAGACTGGGCTGTCCCCTAGTTTGTCGACTAACACGCGTCTCCTGAGTTCTGTGAAGATCAAACGGCCGCTACATATATATCCCGGTCGAGCGGTTACACAGCATTCGGGTAATATCATGTGAGTGTCTTGCTTGCCAGAGCCACATGAATGCAGGGAGACGAAGCTTGTTTGCTTCCTGCTGGCGAATACATGTACTAGTAGTAGTCATCTCAAACCTCTGTCTCACCCGGCAGAAGCATGTACGAGTTGTAGTATTTGCCACCACCACTGGTGTCTTGTTGTCCAGGCTCTGCATCATCACGACTTGCTTACGTGTACACGGATTCAACATGTGACAGCGACATCAAGGTGACTCTCAGCCGTATTCGTCTCGATCAGGTCTTTGACTTTTACCATTGCAACTGTAGTAACGCAATGTATAGATGCAAGGGATGGAGACTGACAGGATAGAGCAGCCAATCCCTATCATTTACCCCCAGTAGTAGAAAACGAGGTCGGCTGGCACCATGCCGGCACGGTGCCGGCACCGTAACATAGGTGCCTGGCACGTACCAAGAGGTGCCGGCACCGTGCCAAAGGTGCCAAAAGGTGCCAAGTGGTGCCAGGTGGGTGCCGCATAGGTGCCTTACAGGTGCCAGAGGTGCCCGCAGGTGCCAATGGGTGCCGCAGTACCAGTCCGTGCGGCCGCGCGCAACACTATATAAGGCAGGAAAGACTGCCCTTCTATAACAGATCTGTAGATAGAATAGCTTAGTGGTCTAGATAGTAATTAACTTGAATTTTTGCCTTGTTCGAATCCCTGTGACTGTAAAAAAAAATACCTGCGCCTTGTAAAAGAGATGGTACCTGCGGTTGCGATTGATACATCGCGACCGACTAGAGGTACAACCACTATTTTTGCTGCAGCGGATACCCTTTGGCACCTCTTGGCACCTGGATGGCACCATGCCGGCACCGTGCCGGCACCTTCTGGCACCATACCGGCACCTGTGGCACGGTGCCAAAATCTGTAACCGTGCCGGCAGGGTTTCAATATTTTAGTACGGTGCCAGCAGGTGCCACACCAAAATCCACTACAGACGTTTTCTACTACGGCCGGATTTCAATGTTTGCCATCCATCACTAATCTTCGGCCACCACAACGGCGCCCCACCCGGGCTTACCGTGTTACCGAGGCTCAGGCAACCCCAAACCTTGGGAATCCCCAAGCTTACAAGCATCTTCATCCAGGCATCGCAGCAAGACCAACGGTCAAAAGCTCCAGATAGCCGTCTCTCTCTCTCTCTCTCTCTCTCTCTCTGTCACTTCTTCTTCCCTCCGTTCTCTCCTCCTCCCATCTTCACATAGCAACTCGCGCGACTCCCTCAATTGCTCCCGCCGTCTCTCCGCCACTTGTCGCATCCCTCCCTCCTTCATCCTCCACGCCCAACAAAACGAGTCGCATCGCAAACATGTCGGTCCCCGAATCCACATACTTGAGCCCGATATGGCGAGACGACATCTTCAGTCAGTTGCCGCACCAAGAAACCCACCCATTTTGAACCCCAATTGGCTAATGTCTGTCTGTCCGCGACAGAGGGCAAGGTCATCTTCGTCACCGGCGGCGCGGGCACCATCTGCAGCATGCAGACCAGAGCCATGGTCCGGCTCGGCGCAAACGCCTGCATCCTCGGCCGGAACGCCAGCAAGACGGAGGCTGCGGCCAAGGACATTGCGACGGCGCGGCCGGGGGCCAAGGTCATTGGCATCGGAGAGTGCGACGTGCGCAAGGTATGAAGAACATAAGGAGGGGGGAGGGACCTGGCAAGGAAAAAGAAAGAGACGTGAGGGAGAGAATATCACAAGTGCTGATACGATGGGCGACTGTACAGATTGAGAGTCTCGAGGCCGCAGCTGCGCGATGCGCCAAGGAGCTCGGAGGCATCGACTACGTCATGTGAGCCGTCGACCACCCAAAGTTTTCCAAGGTCCAGCACAAGGATCAATACATGTAACTGACGAACTAAGCAGTGCCGGCGCGGCGGGCAACTTTGTCGCGTCCATCGACGGCATCAGCTCCAACGCCTTCAAGACGGTCATGGACATTGACGTGCTGGGCACCTACAACACCATCAAGGCGACGCTGCCGTACCTGCTGCGCAGCGCGACGCCGCGGCTGCTCGCCGTCTCGGCCACCTTCCACTACACGGGCATGCCCTTCCAGGCGCACGTCGCGGCGGCCAAGGCGTCGGTGGACTCGCTCATTGCCAGCGTCGCGCTCGAGTACGGCCCGCGCGGCGTCGTGGCCAACGTCATCGCGCCGGGCCCCATTGCCGGCACCGAGGGCATGGCGCGGCTGGCGAGCAGCAGGCCGGAGCAGATTGCCGAGCACGAGCGGGCGATTCCGTCGGGGCGCTTCGGTACTGTGCGGGACATTGCGGACGCGACGGTGTTTCTGCTGAGCGATGCGAGCAGCTACATCAACGGGCAGGTCATCCCCGTGGACGGCGCGTCGTGGAGGCGGCAGGGCGCGTATACGGTGGGCGTGGACATGGGGGCCAAGTATCCCGACTTTTTGGAGCCGGGGCGGACGACGGAGGGCTTGAAGGGGGGGAAGAAGGACAAGGCCAAGCTGTGAGCTGAAGAAGAAGAAGAGGAGGAGGAGGAGGAGGAGGAAGGAGGAAGTGGGTGTTGGGGTCTGTGGCGTTTACTGGTGGAAGTCGGGATGTTCATTGGGACGATTCATGAGCGACTGTTTGCATTCGTGACGAAGCGGTTCTGTTTGGCACGTTATATACAGATATATATATATGTGTGTATATATATCGTCGGGAAGATGGAAACATCCCTCAGCCAAGGAGATGGATTCGGGCTTGTTCAATGCCATGGAAGGCCAAGCTGAACAGAGCAAATAGCGCCGTCAAGCGTCGGCGCATGTCTATATTGTCATCTCACGCAACACACTTTGCAGTCTCCATGCTAACCATGCATGTCAGCGGGTTCTGTCGCCCGCCCATCGTCTCTCTTCCTCTTCTCCTATCCTCATAGCCTGCTTGGGTAGGGAGTAGAGTGCCCAGGTAGGTAGGTAAGTACATGTAGTAAGTAGTATTGAAGTAGCAATGCATCGGCAAAGCGGCAATATAAAGCGATAAACACACAGCTGCCGCCCTCCATCGAATGAGAAGCTTGCGATTTCGGGCCATTGCTCCTATCGGGCCAGATACCCCACCTTTTATCTATCATCAATATCTTCTTGGTGTGATGGTGATGGTGGTGGCGGCACGGGAGAATAACGACGAGGAGGGGGACGAAGCTTGGATTCTAGAGGAATCTCTCTAATGAGAGTTGATTGATACTGAAACTGACTTGGGCATGTCAGTTGGATACTGCTGAATCTGTTTAATATATCTGTCTATTCTCAACTCCACGACACAAAGTCAACCAACATCAACTCTCCCCCTCTCAAGCCTATCATCCAATCCAATCCTCTACCCGAGCTCCTAGCTCACGACTATCCTCTCCTCCCCTCAGCGGGGCATCTGCATCTGCATCTACATACAACTGCATCCACCTCAGCGCCACCTCCGTCTCTTCCCACATCTCACACACACATAGTATTATACTCGTACAAGTAGTAATACGAGTTACACAACACACACAAGCAAGAAAAAGAAGAAAAAAAAAAAAAAGCTTCAATAACCTCCCCCACCCTCACAAAAACACCCTCCAATAACAAAGCTCCATCATCACAAAAGTGCCCTGGACAAATCGGGCCTAGCAAAGCTTGTTGCTGCAAACGGCTCGCTCAGACTTGCCCAGTTGGGAAAGGCACCGGGCGCCTACCTAGTATGCAACAAAGTCAATTGCAGGCGATGGGCCGACAGAAGAAGCAGAAGCAGAAGCAGAAGCAGAAGAGGAGGAGGAGGAGGAGGAGGAGCTTCACGCCCGACATCATCCAGCAATCATATGCAGATGCTAGACGGAAAAGACGTAAGTAGGAAACCCGACAGACATGTGCCTCGATAGATCGTCATAGTACTACCTAGTGCACCATAGCTTAAGGTATAATACAAACACACGCCCTTCCCCTTCCCCCCTCTTACTTACACCTCCAGCTTCCAGCTCCAACTCCAACTCCCCTCCCCATCGTAGGTGCATAGACAGTAGGGCATCTATAAGCTCTATCTCTCTCTCTCTCTCTCTCTCTCTATCTCTCTCCCCTGCACTCTCTCTCTCAACACCAACCAAAAAGGGCCATAGCAAGATGCTCCCCAAGCTCCTCCTCGCCTCCCTCACGGCCACGGCCACGACCGTCTCCGCCGAGCAGGTCCTGGGCGTCTACATCTTCCACCGCCACGGCGACCGCACCTCCAAGGCCTGGCCCCCGGTCAGCCTCACCCCCCTCGGCGCCCAGCAAGTCGCCTCGTCCGCCTCCTTCTACCGCGCCCGCTACATCACCTCCTCTTCCTCCTCTTCTTCTTCAGAGAACAGCAACAGCACCACCACCATCGCCGGCATCAGCACCGACGCCGCCGTCCTCTCCCAGCTCTCCATCACCGCCCCCGTCGACAACGTCCTGCAGAACTCGGCCGCCGTCTTCGCCCAGGCCCTCTACCCGCCCTCCAAGTCGGCCGGCTCCCAGAAGCTCGCCAACGGCACCACCGTCGAGGCGCCCCTCGGCGGTTACCAGTACATCCCCGTCAACGCCGTCGCCTCCGCCGCCAGCTCCGCCGGCTCCGAGAGCAGCGCCTGGCTGCAGGGCAGCAGCGGGTGCAGCGATGCCGTCGTCAGCTCAAACAGCTACTTCCTCACGCCCGAATATCTCGACACGCTCAACCGCACGCACGGCTTCTACCAGGACCTGCTGCCCGTCATCAACACCACCTTTAACTCTACCACGGCCACCTTTAAGAATGGCTACTCCAGTATGTTCTCTCTCTCTCTCTCTCTCGTCCCATCTCATCCCATCTCATCTCATCTCACTCACTCCACCCCCCCTTCACTCACTCACTCACTCATGATATAATCCCCCATGTAACTCACACACTAACCCCTTCAAAACAGTCTTCGACTACATCAACGTAGCCACCATCCACAACGCCTCCATCCCCTCCTCCTCCCTCCTCACAAACTCCACCCTCGAGACCCTCTACGACCTCGCCTCAACCCACGAGTGGAACCTCGCCTACAACGCCAGCGAGCCCTCCCGCGCCATCGCCGGCTCCGTCCTCGCCGGCCAGATCCTCACCGCCCTCGAGGCCATCGCCGAACCCTCCTCATCTTCCTCATCCTCATCCTTGGCACCGCGCATCAACGTCCAGTTCGGCGCCTACGGCGCCTTCATGGCCTTCTTCGGCCTCGCCCAGCTGCCCGCCGCCTCCACCGACTTCTACGGCATCTGCGACTACGCCTCCTCCATGGCCCTCGAGCTCGTCGCCCCCAGCCCGGACAGGACCTCCCCCGACGACCTCTCCGTGCGCTTCCTCTGGTCCAACGGCACCGCCGCCGCCCACGGCCTCAAGGAGTACCCGCTCTTCGGCCAGGAGAAGCAAACGACGACGCTCAGCTGGAACGACTTCAAGGCCGGCATGAACAAGTTCGCCGTCGCGAGCACCCAGGACTGGTGCAGCGTCTGCGGCAACACCGACGGCGCCTGCGCAAACTCTACCGACGCGAGCGGCAGCCCGTCTGCCCAGTCGTCTTCCTCCTCCGATAAGGGTAGCGGCAGCGGCATCAGCAGGCCTGTTGCCGGCGTCATTGGCGCGCTGGTCACGTTGGGAGTCATTCTTGGTGTCGAGGCCCTCGTCTTGCTGCTGGGTGGCTTGCGCCTGGTTAAGAAGTCGACGCTGGCTGGGGGAGCGGGTGCGGGAGGTGCTGGTGCGACTGGTGTCAAGGCGTGATTAGTGGAGAAACAGCCCTGCGAAATGAAGGAGTGAAGGGGGGAAGAAAATGACGAAAGTAAATAGTTTATATACCCGCATATCGAAAAGAATATTTGAGTCTGTATGAGAGTTTGTCTGCTCGTTGAGTGTGTCAATGATCTTGATAGTCAGTCAGAGGGGGCGTAGATGCACTGGATGTACGTGGATGAATTCTTTCTCAAGATATTGATAGCTCATATTCCACTTCTTCTGCTTCCATTAGGCTATTACTCTTGACACCTTGGTCAAGTTTGAAGTAAAAAAACAACAACAAAAAACAAGAAAACTTCTTACACCATCAACGCCCGTTGCTGATTGGTATCGTCTACACATTATTCGCATTCAAAACCCCATACAGAACAAAAAGAGAACCCGATGAATACGAGCGTGTATGTAACTCCTCACAGAGCAGTCATCGCAGACCTGTGAGAGCCAATAAATCGTGGCGATGATAAAACGCTCGACAGCGCTTGCCAAACACATCTGCATTGCGCAAGCATTAGTTGAACAGTACAGCAAGACCCGAAACCACCTTTCAGAGATAGTCATCTGAAGACGACCAAGGGGAAAAGGGGGCGGGAGAGACATACACATCGGAATGCTAATGACGCATACGACAACCTGGACAATCGAAATGGCAATCATGGTGTGCTCGATGCCGCCAGTAATGAGCCAGTCGTAGGCGAAAAATGTCAGGATGAAGCTGAAGATGTTTTTGAAGATGATCATCAGGGTGAAGCCTTCAATCGTCAGGTCTCCTACAAGGACACATGTGTAAGCAATTGGTATGTAAAGTGAGGGATACAGCCAAAGAGAAGCAGGACTCTTACGGTAAGCGTCGACAATGTACAGCGAGCTCGCAACAGCGCCAATCACCATGCCGGCGACCTCGAAGCCAAAAAAGACCAGAGGCACAATGTAGCTGAACTCGCCGGAAATGACATTGCCTGCCGTCATGGCGAACCCAAACAGGCCGATGCCGCCGACAATCAGCATGGGAATCACGAGCAGGATCCGAAACTCGGGCTCGTACACGCCACGGTTCTTGCGCGTCAGGTACTTGACGCTCGAGTCCGCGAGGAGGCCCGAGATGGCAAAGCCGCACAGCGCGCCCACAAAGGCTCCCGTGTAGGCGTAGCCCGCCTTGACCTCGCCCCAAAAGTACGGCGGGCCAATGAAGATGGCCGCGACGAGGACGCCGATGAAGATGGTCCACCCGATCATGGTGCCCTGGATCAGGCACCCCCAGATGAAGGCCGGGTTGAGGATGAGGGGAAACGGCCGGAGCAGCAGCACCCAGTAACGCTCCTCGGTCTTGGCGCCGTCAAAGAGGGATAGCGATTCGACAAACGACTTCTTGGGCGTCCTGGCATTGCCAATGGGCTGCAGCGCGCGCGACGTGGGGAAGAGGACAAAGCCCGGGCGCTGCTTGGGCGTCTCGTCTTCATCGGACGGCGGGTTGCTGACGGTGGCGATGCGCGACTGGAGCTTGATCTCGTCCTCGGCCTCGGCGTTGGTGTCGGTGTTGAGCTTGGTGTCTCGCCGATACGCCGTCTCGGGGCACAGCAAGAAGACGGCAGGGAGCGTCGCCGCCATGAAGATGGAGACAAAGTAAAACGTCCACTTCCAGCCCATGGCCGCCGTGATCTTGCCCACGACAATGGGCGTGAAGAAGGCGCCGCCAAAGATGGCCAGGTTGGTAAAGGCCATGCGCACGCCGCGCTGATGGACAAAGTACATGTCGCCCACGGCGGCATTCAGCAGGCTCTCGTACGGCGCGGTGCCCACGCCCTGGAGGACGCGGGCGCCCAGCAGGCTGCCGTAGTTTGTGCCCGTGGACCCGGCCCAGGCGCTCGACGCGACGATGATGAGGATGCCGAGCAGGAAGAGGTGGCGCTTGCCCCAGACGCGGCCCGAGGGCACGAAGAAGATGGCGGCGGCGCCGGCGCCGAGCAGGAAGTAGCCGGTGAGCAGGGCGACCTTTGTAAAGGTCTTTGTGAAGAGGCGCGACAGGGTGACGGTGTTGGCGGCCAGGATGGGGCCCAGCGACGTGGCCAGGACGCCGGCCCAGCAGAGGGTGAAGGTGACGAGGTCGCGCTTCCACAGCGGCCAGTTGAGGGGGTCGTTGGGGTCATCCGAGGGCTGGGGGACCTGCGGTGGGAGAGTGTCAGTCGGTTGAGGTCCTCGGGCAGCGTTGAATCCCAGGCATCGATACGCACGAGGATGATGGGCGTCTTGCCGCTGGTGTCGCACTTGAGCCTGGCCGCGTCCTGCTCCGTCGCCAGCTGCGGCTGCGAAGGGTCATCGTAGAAGTGCGTCGTGCCTGTGACACGGCAGACGAAGGCGTCGTCAGTCCATAGCCTTTCTTTGCAGTATGATATTGATCCTGCGCGTCTGCTGCCGAGACTCGCATTGCTGCCATGAGGGTGTCGCGACGGCCGCTCTCTCACCTGGAACCTTTTCCCCCGAGCTTGGCTCGAGGATGCCAAACGCCATCTTGCACTCTCTCTCTCTCTCTCTCTCTCTCTCTCTCTCTCTCTCTCTCTCTCTCTCTCTCTTCTCCTCTCAATGTTCAGGTAACAAGGCGTCGCTTTGAAGAAAGAGTACCTATTGCTGATATAGAATCCCGTTGAAACGGCACGGCGCAGCGAGTGCCCAGAGCGCAACCATTGGCCGATCCCCAATGCAATGCGATGCGATGCGATGCGATGCAGATTTGGGGGAAGTTCTGGAAGCTGTCGTGGGGGTGCCAGAGCCAAGAAAAAATGGCGTCGTGTTGGACAGCAGCAGACCGAAGGAAGCAGAACCCGAATACGACAATGGAGAGTGTCACTAGTCCTTGCAAGTTACCTATCATATATTATTGGAGGTGCAGCGGGATGGAGGGAAACCCCGAGACGGGAAATCTCCAACTTTCCTGTGTGGCACCAGCCTAGAGAGGGGGACCTACTACACCCCACAAGCATCTTGAATGTTAAATCAGTACTTTTGCCACTGACCCAATAATTGATTGGCTGCAAGCGCAGGTAGCTTCCTCAGTGATTTGCGTCTGGCGATACCTCATCTCAGATTTGCCACAACAACAGGACCGGCATCGTAGGCTTTCAAACCTTCTACAACTATTCTTTATCTGCCTTCCTTACTATTCAGGCCCTTCTTCTATAAGTCAGAGAAGGAGTGCGTTTATACAGGCTTCTAGCTAAGTAAGGAGAAGTAGAAAAGGAGTACAACGGCAAGTGATAAAAAACCAGTACCAGTACCGCTATGCGTGGCTTAGTTACCAGTGCCGATCGGTACCTATACCTAGACATTATCTGGCCAATCAAATAGCGCCCTGGGCCTTGTACTCAATTAACGTTCAAGATGCTTGTAGGGTGTAGTAATAATAGTAGCCGTAACCCCAGGATCGGCAGCTGGAGAAGGGGCGGGTGCCTGTGAGATGTTAGTGCATCGATCGGGCTTTGTGGAGGCTGCAACTCTGATTGATGGTGATGTCTGATACTAGTATCACGATGAGGGACAGGCCACAGCAAACAGTAGAGAGATAAACATCAATATTTTTTTTGTAGTACTCAGACATTAAGCAAAGACATGTACAGGTATCAATCAAGACTCATATATCATCGCCAAAACAAATCTTGTGCCACCCACGAGCAATGCCGTCTCTCATGGCCCTTCTCACCTCAGACCTCACCACCACACACAATCTACAACCTCATCCATATCAATCCCCATCCCCCAATCCCAGCCTCATCCTCAGCCTCACACAACTCCCATCATCCCATCACGGCCCCTTTCACCAACCAACTCATTCCACCCCCTCACCTCATCACACATCCCCTCCACCGTCAAACACCCACCCCTATACCCAATCCCCCCCTCCTCCACGCCCCTCCTCGCCTCGCCATCATCCACAAGACAATTCAACCCCGTCGCAAAAACCCCCGGCTGCACCCATCTCAACGGCTCCCCCGGCTCGCTCACCCACCTCTGCAACGCCGGCACCAGGTTCACAACCAAGGCATACCACTCCACCACGTAGCAAACCAGCAGCATCAGCACCGGCGGCGGATAGCTCACCCTCAAGCCCGTCGTGCTCGCCACGTCAAGGATCCGATAGACATCGTCGAACCGCACAGGCGTCCCCCGATCCGTCACGATATACGGCCGTCCAGCAACCTTATCCGCGTGCTCCCCCAGCAGCGCATCCTCGTACAGCAGATGCGCCAGCGAAGCGTTCTGCACATGGCACCAGCTCTGCACATTCCCAGCAACCCACGTCGGGCAATACTTCAGCCCAAGCATCCTCCCGACAACATTGTCCCTCACATGCCCGTACACTGCATTCCCAGGCCGAATAGCACCCGTCCGCATCCCCGCGCCAGCACCTCTCTCGTCCGCACAACAAATAAGCCTCTCGGCCTCGGCCTTGCTCCGCGCATAATTCGTCGGAAACCCACTTGGCGGCCTCAGCGGCTCAAAGAAGTCGGCATTGTCCAAGAGCTGCACGAACCCCTGAGGCTGCTGCTGCTGCTGCTGCTGCTTCCGCTGGTTGCTCCCCCACGGCGCAAACAGCCACTTGACCTGCTTCAGCGCCGCGTTCGAGCTCGAAGTGTACACAAAGATGCCCGCGCCAACCTTCTTCGCCGCCTGCAGGGAATGCAGCGCGCCCGTGACGTTGACCCTCGCGCTCCGCTCGTAGAACATGGCGTGCCGCTCAAACGGCCGGATCACGCCCGCCGTGTGAAAGACGGTCAGCGGCAGGTCGGCCACGGCTTCGTTGGGCCAAGGCACCTTGTATGACGCGAGAGTGGCCGCTTCGTCGGTAATGTCCGTCTGGACAAAGGCCACTTTTGACGCTGGCTCATGGGAAAAGTCTTTGCTGAAAGTGAAGGGCGGGCGGATGTCCAATATGCGAATAGCTTCAGGCGGGGTTCCCATGGCTAGGAGATGCAGAATGATTTGTCCTCCAAGCAGTCCTACCCAAAACCATTGTTAATAAACCCAAATTTTCTCTCGATTTGTTTGATATCCATCAGATATTCTGAAAAACTCACCAGAGCCTCCCACCACGATATACCGCCTATCCTTCCTCGGCGGCAACTTTCCCACCCAGTCGATTCCATCCCTCTTCACCCTCTCAAACGCATCCTGGATATACTCCTTTGTCAACGGCTCCCCCGCGCAAGCAGCCGCTTCCTGAGGCGTATGCGAAAGCACCCAGTTCAACCTGAGCGCGTAGAGCACCAGGCAAAGCACGCCTGCTGCGAGCACGACGGAGGCCCATCCCATCGGGGCATAGAAGAATGACGTGGACGAGCTGAGAAGATTGAGAGGCAACAATCCTGTCGAATCACATAATCGAGATAGACTCGGCCTCGACGCAATGGAATGGCAGTGAATTGCACAAAGAGAAAGCGAAGGGAAGAAGAGAAGAAGAGAAGTGTGCCAAGGTGTGCAAGATGGCGGGGAGGATATAGGCCAATGGATTGATGGCCTCTATGTTGTATTGTGAGCAGCGGGGTAGATCTGGCTCACGTTTGAACAGGAGGCGAGCAGATGCCTACTACTCAGGTAAGTATATATCTCCAGATGAGCAATGTATCATCATACAGTCAATATCTCTCAATTCTGTGGCTATCTAATCTCCAGCCATTCATTGACAACACGACCATCGGCTAGACTGCCCTTGATAGCTACCTACTACATAATGTCAACCATACAACAATTGCTCAGACAGCTTCTCAGAACCTGCTGCATCTCACAAGCACCGTCTCACAACAGTCTTCAGAGACGCAGTCCTTCCCGCTACTTGAGCAGGGACACCGCTTGCTCATGCAGAATTGCCATCCATCACCAAAACACCCACTTCTTCTTCTTCGCATCCGACTCGACAAGTGCGTCGTGGATCGCATCCAGGTCATTCGTGTCTCGCATCGTGTCATTCGACGATCCGACGTGGTCCATGTGCGAAATCATACCAAAAGCCGGCCTGAGCATGTCTTCATACACGTTTTCGCTCTCGAGCTGGTCTGTGTCCCACGCGGCCTTGTCTCCGTACTCTAACTTGACATTCTTGTCAAAGTAACGGCTCAGCCGAGAGGATGTCACGCTCGCCACAACATGTTGATGGGGCAGAGCGCTGTTCACCGAGCTCTTGGGACAGGCAAAGATTCGAACCGTTTCTGCGTCCCTTGACTGGTCCGTCGACGAGCTTTCCTCCATCGGGCATGTCAGTGTGATCGTGAGAACACTGCTGTCCCTCTTCTTTCCATGGCGATATCGGGCCACTTGTCGCATAGTGATGCTCTCAACCTCCCGAGTGCGGCCGTAGTCTGGGTACTGAATTCTCAAACCCCTCTTCTCATCGACCCTGCAAAAGACATGCTTGTCAGCCTCTGTTGTTTCCAAATCACACGTCTTCACAGGTAACTCTCTCGTCATCTTACAAGATAGCCATTTGGTTAACAATGGCCTCGACAAAGCGTTTCAGCTTGTACTCTGGCGCCAGCGCAGTTGCGCGCACTCCGCACGCCTTCATATCCCATGCTCTCTGAGGGCAATGAAGGTAGACTGCAAAGACTTCCTGGCGCTGGCCACGAACACGATATTGATAGTTGTCGGCGTTCAGTTCGACAATAACGGGCTCCTCGCCTTTAGGGCCATAAAAGACGCATTCCAAGTCGTAAAAGGTCTCCTTCTGGAACAGGTGCCAAGGGGATTCTCCCGGGGGCGTGATACCAACCACCAGGTTGGCATCGCTCGCCAATGTCGACAGAATGGGCGAGAAGCCGATGCAATCCTGTGGGAATGTGGCTCCATTCAGCAGCCCAAGAACCTCCTCGGCCGAGTGAGTCGGACCAGAACCATTGTGGTCCACCAATCCTGGAGCCATCTTCTTGATATAGACGCGTCCGAATACCACCTCCAGAGAGACATAGCCAGGAGCAAGCTCAAGGATTTGCGACGCTTTCTTGAGCTGCTGCTCCGCTTCTTTCAGGACATCGCTCTTCTCCTGAGGCAGATAACCGTCCTTCTCGTGAATATTCTCCAGCTTTGGCTCCTTTGATAACTTGACTTGAGGCTCAGGAACCCATCCGGGCTGCGTGCTGCTTCCACTCAGAGAGGGAAACTGGGGTGGCCTCTGTAGTGGCCGACCCGTCGTTGAATGGGGCGTATTCGGAAACTTGGCGGCATCAGCATACAGCAAAGGTTTCATTGCTTGCTTCTTGGGTGACTTTGGTGTTTTCACGAGAGCTGGGAAATCAGAGTCAAGCTAAAAGGGGCACTCCGTCAGTATGTGGCCGCCCGGGTCGTGTTGTAAACTCACTTCTGGGTTGCGTCTCGGTTCTGCAGGCGTCGAAGTTTCGCGGCGTGCCGAGGATTGAATGCTTTGGCTTCTCTTTGCCGGGGCCTGCTTAGCACGAGAGCTATTTCCTTTCGGAGAAGGGGCTGCCTTGCCCGGGGACCTGAGTGCACGTCCTCCCTTCTGGTTCATGGTACGGTACAATACTCTCGGCTCTTCTTCCATCAGTCCAAAGCGAAGAGAGTCATTGCTTATCAGGTCCTGCTCCTGGGCTTCGAGAGGGCTGTTTTCATCGTCCGGGCCATGGTTGAAAGCCTTTGAGACGGATGTTTCCTGGGCCTGTTCTTGAGCTGGTGGCTCATCATAATCCAGGCATATCAAGTCGTTGTTGGAACTCTTGAACTGCTCAAGACGTGCAAGTCTATCAGTTACTTCTTCAAGTTCCATGACTGCGCTCTGGATGTCACTGCCAGCTGGTCCGCTCCCACTCAGAGTCACTTCATCCACCTCGTTGAATGAGATGAGAAGTTCACCGTCGCAGTCGTTTGGAATCGTGGACTGATGCTGCAATACATCTTCCCGAGAACTGAAAAGCTCATCTCTGAAAAGATTGGGCATCGTGGACTGGGGTTGGGTGTCATCTTGCCAATCCAGTATGCAGCGCCCAGCCACCGATGCTCCTTGGTTGCGTACTACGTCGGTTCTCGGAGATGCCAGTGGCTGCATTGATGCCACCATCGCATTCGCATCGTACAATGTGGGGGAGAGCAGAGTTGATGCCGACAGCTGGTGATAGTCAAAAATCTCGTCATCATCGAGCAAGTGCCGGTGGTGTTCTGCAGACTGGTCGTTGCTGGCCGGCATAGGAGAGGTCCGTTCTAGGCTGCCTGCCACCGCGTCGCGAGAAGCCGTGCGGCTGCTTAGAATGTATCCGCGGCGATTATTCAAAGTCTCTGTTCTAGTTGGCGATGAAGCCCTTGGCGACATAACTCTTGGCCCTTTCACAACTTCCGATTCATGAATCAATTGAACCTTGGCGTCTCTTGCCTTGGCAGGCGGAACGTAACCCTTGAAGGCAATGGAGGCGGTTTCTGCCTTGGCCGGTGATGCACCTTTTAAGGGATAGACTGTGTTATCGGGGATCCAACGGCCATGCCTGTCTAGACTCTCCGTCCTCACGACAGCCGCATTCGAAAGCAGCTTGTACTCGGCTGCAATATTCAAGTCGGCAGTCGGAATAGCAAAGGTAGTCCGAGCCAGCCCAATGTGGGACATCCATTTGTATGTAAGCCTTATTGGTGCCTGTCCTTCGAGCAGGAGGATGTGCGATGCTACTTGAGGTTTGCTTGCCTGGTTTGTGTTAGATGCAATGAGGCTCGCTTGGGCCGTGGCAAATTGAGGGTAGGTAAAGAATATACCAGCAGATTGAGCATCGAGTTAAGCTTGCGTACTGTGCTTTCGACGGTTTCCATTGACTCCCAGGATCCAATGTACACCAATTCTCCTCTGAGGTTGTACGAGATCTCGCAGTTGTTTGCAAAGGCAAAGTCGTAGGCCGTGATGGGTGCATCCTTGGACTTTGAGAGAAGAGAAAACGCAGATAGCAGGATGTCCAATGAGACGCCATTGGAATTCTGAAGGCCTCTCCAGATGGATCTGTGAGGCATATTGGCCATTGTTACCGGGAACTGGTGGTCTGCAAAGGAGTCGTAGATGTCGTTTCCGAGAGACTTGTACAACAGCCACGCCATGACGCGGGGGTTGTCTGGGACTTTCTGCAAGACGTCTGGGTGTAGAGTACCCTCTTCGACGTCAACGTCCTCTATCGCGTTGAAGTTGAGACGCTCAACTTCTGCGTCCAAGAGGTCGTGCATCAGAAATTGAATAGTCTCGGCGACTTTGTGCTGATGCTCTGCCATGGTGATGCACTTGAACCACGGTATGTCTGGCTCGTACAGGATCTCAATGAGCTCACCCTGGCAATGGCATTAGTGTGGGATTTGTTGGGGTTGATCTGTTGCGCAATCACCTGGCATGCCAACTGGACAGATTTGACGAGGTCCTTGACGCCCAGCGCGAGTAAAGGGGGGTTGCAGGTGATGTAGAACTCCACAGCCCCAGATTCCGCCATGATGTAGGAAGAATCGCAGGTAGCAGGAGATTGTGAAGGTCCAAGCAATCAAGAATATTACTGTGTCAACTATTAACTTTCAATATACCGCACCGAAGGGTAAAAGGCAAGATGCTGCAGATAGAGATTGCAGAGGCATATCAGACGCCGACAGCACCATATACGCGTCTGTGCCTAAGCTCAGCATTAGGTTGAGATTTGCTGACATACCTAGTTGTGATGCTCCGAGCAGGTGAACAAGAACAAGAGAAGATGATACTGCCGCAGCAGGATTACGTTGGCAACCGCAGCCTCCTGGCAATGCTGAACGCCACCCAAGAACGGATCACGTCAACGCAGGAGACAAGAACAAAGACTCATAACATCATCGGAGACGACAACATGAGCTTGCAGAGATTCCACAGACAGCCTGCAATCACCTCCGGTAAACAGACTATGAGGAGTTCGCGACAGCGCCGTGATTCGCTTCGATCGCCTGCAGAGAAATAGTACAAGCCCCTGGCGGTATCGTCAACAAGAAAAGAACAATGGCAGTGGTTTCGGAAGTGAAGAAGAAGGGGGAGAGGTGAAGAAGTAAACAAAAGGCAAAGAGGAGAGAAGAGAAAAGAAAAACAAGTCTCCGAGAGTGGAGGGCTAAGGGCAAGGTATATAGGGATGCTGCAGTGGCACGGCAGGTGCCAGACGGGTGGCAGCTGGAGGGCCGGCACGTGAACCCGTGACTGCTGGAGGAGTCTGGCAGAGAGCCATTCACTGCAGTGGACTGTCAAGGTTATGATATACAGAGTGATTTGACACAAAAGATGGAACAATGAGGTTCTTGAGAAGTGGGAGATTGTTGGTGAATAGGAGAGTGGTGTCTGTGTCTGGATGAGGCGGAGAGTTGCGTGGTTGTGTGTATATTTGTCTACAGTTTATGTTTGAGGAATGAGTAGAATTGAGTAGCGAGAAGAAAAGAAGAAGAAGAAGAATTTATAGTATCTTAACAGGCTTTGTCGACTTGTTGTCCTCAATTCCTCAATAGCCAAGGTAGACCAGCGAAAGTGCCATCTATTAATTCTACAGCAGATAGTATTTAAAGACACCAGCAGCACATCTACAATCCACCAGTAACACCACAGACCAAGTCTCATATATCCATAGGTATGCTTTCGTATTCCTTGTCTCTATAATTCCTTATCACACATATCCGAGCCTCGTTTCTCTCTCTTTCAATGTATGCAGTAACACTCTTTCACAGTAAATCACAATTCCCATCTCAGACCGCAAGCTCTTCATAGTTGGTACTAACGCAACCCCCAAAAGTCAAACAGCGCAAGCATGAGACAGCACACCATTTATATATTTCTAATCTTCTTTCTTGGTTCAAAATGCATCCAACGCCATATGCATTGCGGAAGCAGCCGCTCTCTAGCATGCCAATAATGATAAAACAGAGGTGAGGGAGGCGGGGTGAAGAAAGTGTAGAAAAGACGTATCATATCCTGTCCAAAGCCAACTGACCGTTCTCTCTATATAAATTAACAGAAGCGAAGGAAGAAACAATATGGGTCAAGGAAATAAGCATATATAAAGAGAGTGAAAGAAGAAGTGGTGAAATAAAACACATAGGCGATATTAGAAGAGAGACGGGGGGAGAGAAGACAATGGTGTGGAAGAGAGAGGGAGAGATAGAGAGATAGAGAGAGAAGTGGTATCATTATGGAAAGCCGCCGTGTGTACACGCTTTGGTAGGAGGTGTGACGTGGGATGAGGACAACGCAAAACCAAGAAAAGCCATGATGAGCATAGAGTCCCCGTAAGAATGCACCAAATAAGACCGACGCGGAAAAAACAGCAAGATCAACGCCAAAGGACAACGAAGAACCCAGACGGAAGTTTGTTTGGCCGTGACGGAGAAGAGAAATGGCGAAGAGGCTGAAAGATGGGATGGCGGAGAGGTAGGTAGGTAGGCAACATGTAGTAGTCGCTTTTGAGGGGGGGTAAGGTAGTTTGGCAGCTTTTCATTCAGCCCCCTTGACATTCTCCTTGACCTTGAGGGCCCATCTCAGCTTGTTGAGCGTCTCCCTGGACTCTTCCAGTATCCTCTGCTGCTCCTCCTCCGTCTTCCTGGCGTTCTCCTTAATGTCCCGGAGGTTGTCCTCCTGGGTCTTCTTGTACTCCTCAAAGAGGCGCGCAATCTCCTCCTTCTCGCGCCTCAGCTTCTGGATGTTGCTGTCCTGCTGCTCGCACAAGTCCCGCAGCGTCTGGATCTTATCGTCGTCCGACTTGCGCTCGTCAACGATGGTGTTGATCTCCGTCTTGATAGTGCTGATGGCCTTGTTGACCTCGTCGCCCTGGTCGCGCCAGTGCGACGAGATGGCGTTGTAGCGGCCCTCCATGAGCTGGGCGTAGCTCGTCGCGTCGTCGACCTGCGTCTTGGCGTCGCGCTTGACCTTCTCCATCTCGTCGCGCCAGTTGCGCTCCAGCTCCTGCGCCGCCACCGTCTTCTTCTTCTCCGTGTCGACCGTCGCCAGCAGCGTCTCGACCTGCCGTTCCTTCCTGGCAAGCAGCGTCTTGGTGACGTTGGCCTCGAGCAGCCGGCTCTCGTAGTCGTTGATCATGCGCTCCATCTTGTCCTCGACCAGCTTGGCCGCCTGCTTGGCCTCCTCCGCCCGCAGCTTCTCAATCTTGATCTCGCGCTTCAGGGCCTCGTTGTCGCTGACGAGCTTGTTGATGACCCGCCCCGTCTTGCCCAGGCCGGCCTTGCCAATGGTCGAATCCCACTGCGCGCCGTCGCCGTGCTCGTCGCCATTGTCATCCAGGGGCACCACCGCTGACGCCGGGTCCGCGACCGCAACCGCAGGCTCGGCGTCGACGGCGGCGGCGGCGGCGGCATTGTTGCCATTGCTGGTGACGCCGTTCGCGCTGCTGCTGCTGCCGTCGTTGTTGGACTGCTCGACCGGCTCGTTGGCCGTGCTGTCGGGGCTGGGCTTGGCCGTCTCGGCCTCGTCGACGGTGGACAAGTTGCTGGCCTTGCTGGTGACGCTGCTGGAGAGGCCGCTGGCGGCGTGGGTGCTCTCGGGGCCCGTCTCGGAGCCCTCGAAGCTGGGGACGCTGCGGATGGTGGCCGTCCTGCCCAGGGTCTGCGCCTGCTTGGACACGGAGGCGGCGCGACTCGGCATGGCGTGGACGTGGACGGTGCCGGCAGAAGCTGGTGTCAAGGTCCTCGTGCCTGGTGAATCATCTAGCGAGGGGCGGGCGGGATGCGAGGCTGCCAGCGGCGGTTCGCATCAGCGGTCAGTCCAGTCTGTTGAGGCAGCCGATCGAGGGGAGATTCGGTTTTGGGCAGAAATGCAGGGAAAATGGGGGGGGGGGGGGAAAGAGTGGAAGTGGTGATGCAAAGGACGGAGAGCAGAAGCCGGACTTTGATGGTGTTTGAGGATGGATTTGTGCAGGGCAGGACAGTGCAGCAAAAGTACAACTGAGGTACAGTAAGCAGCCGGGGGGGGCGTGTCTGTGTGTGGTTGAAATGGTACCGTCCAGGCAACGTATGTATTACTATTGCAGACCGTCTGTCTGTCGGGCAGTTGTTACTGTGTTTCTCATTACGGAGGAAATAACTGAACCGAATGCAAGTGCAGGCAATTGTGCTGTGCCGGTATTAAGATGAAATACCGTAGGAGGTGGGTACAAAGTACGGGGTCGCCTTTCGCGTAAATGAGCAGCAATGCGGAAACGCGCAGCCGAAGCTGTCAAGCAGCAGCAAAAACTGGCAGCGATCCCAGGGGGAGCAGAGAGAGGCTGAACCTGGGTAAAGCAACAGACAAAACAGAAGAGACATCAATCACCCACCGAGATACGTGTCTGTCCCCGTACGCTGCAGCGAATCCTGGCGGATGCTAAAGAAGCGCTCGTGCAGCCGGCGAAGGGGCATGACTGCAGTCTGCAGTCTGCAGCCTTGTTTCTTGTTTCTTGTCGGGGGCGGGATCAATCTGCTGCTGCTTGGGTGCGTGTTCTCATGCGCTTGGGAAGATTGGCCGTGTTTCGTTCGTCTTATGCTGCATTAGAGAGAATCAGTGACGCTGCTTCAATGTTTCAAGCCTGCAAAACAGCCCGGGGCTTTGCCTGGACAAGGGCTCGGCGTCGTTTGAGTGTGATGTGATGGTATGGATCACGCACTGCCGGACAAGAGGGATGCTGGTGATATATATATACACATGTAGTATATCTAAAATGCATCTACGGGATGATCCCAATCGTCACGGCACAGGCCCACGTCATGTAATTGACAGGTCTCAGCAATCTATCCATTCATACCTACCTCCGACCGACATACGACCATCCTACGTCGTGGTCCTACCGAACTTGTAAGCAAGGGGTAAAACCCACGAACGGGAGACCAACAAAGGAACCCGACAAGAAGGCAGGCGAAACATCAACACACAAATGCACACCCAGAATGAACCAATCACAGGAACATGCGAAGAAGTGTCCAAAGCCGTCTCTTTGTTTTCCTTTTTTTCCTTTCGAATGCCTTACGCTATTTCGTCTAGGCTTGTCTCTGCCGCTTCTGGTCTCTGCCGCTTACAAGTCCAAGGGTTACTTCAACTTGGCCTTTGTTTGAGGCTTCACGCCTCGCGCCTTGTATACTTGTCACCGTTACTTCATCATCAACCTCAAGCCCGACCATGTAAAAGAGATGCAGACTGCAGGCCTTCTTCAAGGGTCGAACGCATGCAACCACACAGAGCTGACCACACAGGCAACCAAAACACCTCGCCTCAACAGCAACTCCAATATAAACCACACCAAGCCCCCCCAAAATCACCTCCAGCATCACGCCCAATGTTTACCAATGATGTCAGCAGGCCTTAAAACTCCCGTAGGTAAGGCGCGCCATGTACCAGTAATGAAAATGAGCATGCAGGGTTTAATACCCCAACTCAACGAACCCGGAGTTTCTTAAGACAAATCTCGCTTCTTTCAGGTGGGCGACGTATTAGTAGTCAGACCTCGGGTAGATGAGATTGGGGCACGGCCTGGTTTTTGCGGGATACAGCAAGGGCTGCCTGTGTTACACGAGTAGGTAGATAAGAACGAGACTGCAAGGTAGGTGATACTCCTTCGTCACGATGTGAACGTCAATGACCAACATCCACGTCTTCGAGATGAACAATCAACGACTTCTTAGTCTACTCTTCTATTCTGACGCATTGGTATTTCCAATGGCTACCAATTGCCATGTCCCGCCAAATTCCTTCACCTGCATTTCCCTGTATATGTAACCCTCCCGAGACCTATCATCAGTCTCGTCTGTGGTGGCCTCGATATGATGGCAACATTCGCTCCTGTAAAAGCCAGCCTCGACATCTCTCTTATATGCCGCATATCCACGCCATTCCTGTATCCGTAGTCGCGAAGCAAACGACAAACGCCTGCCCGATACATCATTCATACAACAAGCTCCACGCCGCTACCTACTAAGTAGTACGGCCGCTGAATCTCCCTGTCCTGCGGCCTCTATATCGTGTCCAGTCATGCCAAAGGTACTCTGGTCATGCACTCCGTCATGACTTCTTCCTGAGGCCTTATGCCATAAGGCAGCCTCTCACCCTGTATTCTTATCCTCCCAGCTGCCATAGAGCTGTGATTATCACTTCTGAACCCCCCCCCCCCCCCCCCCCCCTAACTGCATGTACAACAATGCTAGGAAATGTCAAAGCATCCCATCGCCTAAGTGGTGATGGCAGTCCCTGCCGGTGCAGGCGTCGGGCTGTCCTTGTTCTCTTTCGTCGCGTTTTCAAGGAACTGTGGCCGATATTTGCTGAGATATTTGCTCGCCATAGGCCTAGCATCTTCGACTATATCGGCAGTTAGCTCTGTCCTCATGTCTACAGCAAACATACCGCGTAGGGAGGGGCCATACACTCTGTCCATATATCCTGCACAACGTCCAGCGCAGCCTCCTTCACAGGCGGCCGCATAATCACCAGATACAACAGACTCGTCAGCGCCAGCTGCGTCACGCTCGGATCCCGACACATGTGCTTCACCCGCGACAGAATCGCCCGGTTCAGCTCGGGGATCTCGCTCAGGAACCGCGTCAGCACCTTGTCCTGCGGGTGCAGGTACGGGAGGAACCCATCAATGAGCCGCAGCGTGCACTTTTCGTAGTACGTCGGTTGGTCGCCGCCGCCGCCGCCGCCGCTGCCAGCCTTGCGCTGCACCCTGTCGTTGTACCACTCCTCGCAGAGCCACGAGACGGCGACGTCAATGTGCTTTCGAAAGTCTTCCATAATGTAGTTGTAGAGAATCTCCCGGATGCTGTTGTTCAGGGACGGGGTCCGCTTAGAGTCGTCGGCGGCCTCGTCCTTGACCGTAATCTCCTCGAGACCGGCTGATGACCGGGTTGCGAGGCGCGTCAGAATGGTCATCCACGAGTCTCTGCTCTCGGAGCTGGCCGCGAGCCGGTTGAAGCCCGCCTTTTGCTTCTTCGTTCCCGAGTCGTCCAGGGACTTCATCATGTCCAGCACGCTCGTCACCGTCGCTTTGCCTGCAGTGAGCGCCATCTCCGGCGTCAACGGCTGCGGCTGGGGAAGGCTGAAGGATCGCAGCCCCAAGGTGTCGTCCAAGCTTATTCTGGGCTCTGCCGCAGCCGGTGCCGGGGCGTTGTCCAGCTTGTTCAGAATCTGCTCCGTATCTTCGGCCTGGTAGAAATCCGGCTCGTAGTCGTCCTCGTCCTCCTCCACGCCCAGGGGAGCAGTGTTCGGATTCAGCTCGGCGGGAGGGCTATTGTTCAGCGTCTCCAGCCGGTCGCGAACACCATCTACAGCCTTTGCAAGGACCTGGGCATCCAACCGACACAGGGTATTCACGGTGATTCTGGCTACGAGGCTGGGGGGCACCTGGGAGACGTCAAAGTACTTGAGCCCGTCGTTGCCGATGAGGGTGAAGACGTCGGCCAGGCTATGGGGGCCAGGGCCCAGGGGAGGGATCTGGATCTGGGAAGCCTCGATCCTCTGGCGCTTGGCATCATATCCATCTTGGGGCTTGGGCTCCAGAGGCCTCTTGCGGCCGGCACTGTCGAAGAGCTCGGCCACCATACGCATTGTGGTCTCGACATGCTGCTGTATCCTGGGCACGATTGGGTTGTGGGGGTCTCGCTTACTCAGGTGAATCAAGAGCAGCCGCGAGGTCTTTTCCATGGACTTGATCATCACCTTTGTCTTGGGGGTCAATGGCGAGTTGGCTGCTTGCAGGGGGTTGAAGCTGAGCAATGCATTGAGGATGCGGCTGGATGTGGAGGGGCGAGTCCGCGCCATGATGGACAGGCAGTTCAGAGTCGCATCTACTAGAAGACCATCGCTGGGCTATGTGTGAGTACGGGCCATTCATCGCCGGGAACCGAAAACCGTCTCGAGACTTACTTGTTGCCCTGGAAGATGCTCAACATGCGGTCCAGCAGCCCACTTGCCTCTGCCTCGAGCATTCTAGGGTCAAGCGTCTGGTGATTGGGCGGCACCTTGTCCAGCGAGACGTCTAGTCCACCGCCATACTAAGAAGAAAGACATGTTTGATGAGACCTATTATCCTTGTTTTGCAACGGCATTGTATCGTTTTTCTTACCCTGTGCTCGGCGCCAGAAGCGACGGTTTGCGCCAGAACCACTCGCTGGGCAAACTTGATGCAGCATATCCTCACCGTGGGAGGGGCGCTGTCCCACAGCTGCAGGATCTTGTGCTTGATGCTCACCATCCTCTCCCACGTCACTGTATCGTAGCTGTTGTTGATGCTGCGATGATGATGTCGAGTCAGTCATGGATACATATGCCCCTCTACTACACAACTTGTGCCGAGGAGAGGGGGAAGAGGGGGAGAGGGAGAGGGAAAGATAGGAGGAGCACCAACATCCACCTCATGGCCAGCGGATAGATGCTCGCCGCCGCCTGGATCACGTTCCGCAGCACCTGCGCATCCACCTCCGTCTCAATCAGCGACTCCAGCGTCGTCAGCACATACGGCTGCATCGTCTCCTTCTCGGAATTGGGCAGCGCCGGCGTGGCAAACGCCTCGGCCAAGAAGTCCGTCACCCATCGCCGCAGCTCGATCGGCGCCTTGGGGCCGACAATGGGCAGGATGCCTCTGACGACGCTCGGGTAGTACTTTACGTCGCCCAGCACCAGCTTGCGGGCGTCGTTGAGCTGGCGGATCTGGTCCGGCACGGAGAGCGTCGACGAGGAGGAGGGGGAGGAGGAGGAGGAGGAGGAGGCCATGGCGTCGGAGCTTCTTTTTCTTCTTCTTCTTCTTCTTCTTCTTCTTCTTCTTCTTCTGTTCCTTTTTTTCCGTTTCTGCTATCGTGAGTTGTCCGCGCTCTGTTTGTCTCTTTCTTGTCGGATTGGTCTTTCAATGCGCAGGCGAGGGAAAAGGCACGACGAGGCGGGACGACATCAGACGAGGGGGAGAAGACGCTGGGAGATGGAACGATGCTGCATTTGAGGTCGCGCGACAAACAGGCTAGACTACCGCAACAGTAATTGATCTTCTCCTCTCTCCCAGTCGAGGCGTCATGGGCTAATCAAATCAGCAGCAGCAGCAGAAAGCTCCCACGCCAGCCCTTCCAGGTTGTGCCGCAGATCGGATCGAATGCTTCGTAGCAGGGATGTCGCAGCAACTTCCTTCGCACAAAGGCGGAAGCGCCGCCAGTCGAGGATGATGCGCTGAACGAGGCTCTGTTTTCCGCTCGATTGTCGAGATGCTGGGGGGGTTTGCTGCAGTTTTGGCGGGCAGAGGGATGCAATGCAGTTGATGCGAGATGCAAGAGCTTCCGCTGCCAGAAGCTTTTTGGCGACGGGGAGCGTGACGCGGGTCCAAGGCGGCAGAATCACCTGCATCCCTGTCGAAAAAAACCGGGTTCCGCAGCAGCAAGTGCTAAGACTGCAGCGGACAGGCGTCAGAGCGCTAACACAGCATGCACAAGAACTCGGTAGAGCAGCTTTAGCCGGAGAAATGCCGCCACTGTTTCACGCAGCAACAACCAACTCATCCCACCCTCTGGCGCATGATACGATCCATGACAGCGGCGAACCAATTCCGAACAAAAAGCAGCAGCTGTACCTTGAATTTTCTCGAGGGAATCGCAGCACAGCGCCTCACACACACACACACACACAATGTCGTACGTTTCTCCAGTGCCATGCAGAGCCACGTTCTTGCAGACCCGGGCAACTAACACCAGAGCTCTGAAATACTAGATCCCATTCCACCTACTACGACCGGCGCCTGCGGCAAGGCCCTGCCCTCGTTCGAGCTCGACGGCCATACCTCTTCAAGAATGCAGTGACGGGCCTCGGCCTGTTTGCCCTCGTCGGAGGAGTCTGTAAGGGCTTCCCAACTCGCCAACACATTCAATATTGCTTAGCTACGTTGCGATCGAGTCGGCTAACAAATGTTCCATCACCAAATCATAGACTGGTATACCCTTAACGCTGTCGGCCAGGACGACTTCGAGGACGTCAAGGTCCCGGATGCGCCACGACAGGCCAAATGAACGACATTACTGTTATCTGCATATTCAAACTTCAAGAGGGAATTAATTTAGGCGACAACATGGGGGCGCTTGGGTGTTGCGAATGAACATCTGTCAGCTAATATGCTGTGTATTATATATCAATTCTTTTCCAGACTTTGGGACTGGGCTCGATACCTCTCGAGCCCAAGGCTGCTCGCTCTCTCCTGTACATCACATGCAAAATCCACGCAATGACACGCAATTGCAACACTGCTCTGTTGCCCTATAAACTTGTAGAAGAGTACAGAAGAAAAAAAACGAAACAAAAAGCCGCCAGTTCTGTACAATCAAAGTACAATCCCCTTCTGCCATGCCAAAGACAATTCCATTGCCGCCATTGCCAGCCTTCCGAAACCTGATCGTGATAACGCCGTTGAATCTGTATTACCGATGAACCCATCCCTGCAAATTCCCAGGCCGAAATTCGCATACAAAGATAGACAAAAGAGGGGAAGAAGGGGAGAGAAAGAAGGGGGGGGGGGGGGTGGGGGGGGTTGATGAAGAACAAAATCCAAAGGCCGCACTTCTTCTTTTTACATAAATCGAGCCAACATCAAGCCCTGGTCTTGGGTATCATTAAGTGTCCGAACGCAGAAATCTTCCGTACCAATAGCCGAGCTCCGCAAGCTGCTCTCGAACAATATGCATCGTCAAAAACAGAAGAGTGGGCAAGACCTCAAGCGGCTGCCGCTTTGGATCCGCGACCGAGTCCCGAGATGCTGCTCATCCGTTTCATCTGATGAGAAGACGGGTTCAAGAGGTTGCGCGTGATTTCAGGAGACTCAGATAGCCGTGCCGAGTGAGCGGGCGATCGAACGGCACCTGGGCCATCGAGGGCCGCCTTGAGATCAGCAGCATGTGGGATCGCATTCTGCGGCGGCCGGCCGGCGGCGGCAGCGGGCTCAGGGCGCACTTCCACAGCAGCCGCATGGTGCTGGTAGAGCTTGTGGGCCGAGTGGTTCGGGTTCGCCCAAGGTGTGTTCTTGACGAATTGCTCTCCCGCCGGATCAAGACGGGTCAGGTGCGGCGGCTGATACTCCTCTCGGATGTGGCTGATCGAGGGCTTCTGCCGCAGGCGTCGGGTTCGCTAATGGCAAGGTCAGTAATCGGGGTATATTGTAGTCTAGGAAATTGGGTGCACTCACTTCCATGGCGGCCAAGTCAGCTTCAAGCTCAGACGTAGATGCCCCCTGCAACTCGGGCCCGGCTGGGAAGCCTTCGTATTTGGCCAGGCCGGCGAGGGTCGACACCTCGGTGTTGTAGGCAATGGCATTCCTGATGCGCTGCGCGGGATCTTTGGGGAACAGCAGGCCGTAGTCTGGCAGGCTGTGCGCGCTCCGCCGAGCGCTCTGCACATCGTACCACTGCCTGTTCAGGGCCTCCAGAGCATGCTCGCGCTTCTCTCGGACAGCCTGAAAGTATTGGCTCCAGATCTGCGCTCTCTGGGCCACGGCGCGCCGCTCGAGGGCCTTGAGTCGATAGTCGTGCTCGGTATTGATGGCTCGCAGCTTCTGCTCCAGTCGATCATCGAGGCACTGCTTCATGTTGAGGTACTCGGGATGCGTAGGCTCTGGAGCATGTAGCGACTGCTCTTCTTCCTCGAGCCTCTGTAGCCGATCCTTGTAGAGCCTAATCGAAAGGTGTGAGCACTTGGCCCTCATGGCCGAGGCTGGGGAGGAATTCCGAGGCTTACCGATCCCTGAAAATACCAAACATCTCCTCAATTTGAGTCCAGTCTCGATAGGCAGCCTGCTTCCTTTCCACTGAGGGGTTTCCGTGTCAGCAAATGTACGTGGTACACACCTGGCATAGCTCGGGAGGGTGAAGAGCTTACCTTCTTCGAGGTTCCTGGCCGCAGCGTCAGTTTCCTCATCAGCTTCGGGCTCAGCCTCCTCTTCCTCGGCGTGGTCGGGCTCGGGCTCCTCCTCCAGCGCGGGGTCTTGCTGTTCGTCACGGGCTTCCGCGGGAGCCTCGCTCTCGGCATCGTCCGAAACGACCGTCTTCCGCTTGGAGCCGCCGCGCTTGGTCTTCCTAGGCACCTCGGGGGCTTCGTCCTCCGCGGGCGTGTCTTGGTTCGTGGCGGACGCCTCGTCGTCGTCCGCAGCAGGCCCGACGGCGCGGACAGGAAGAGCCGCCGGTGTCGCATCGTCTTCAGCAGCCGCGAGATGATCGTCGCCGTCTGCATCGGCGGCCGATATTGAGCCCGTCCGCTTTCTAGCCGGCTGCTCCAGGTCCGACTGATGCTCGGCGGCGGCAGATCGCTTCCGCTTCCTCTCGTGCGAGTCGCCGCGAGAGCTTTTCTCTTCTTTCGGGGTAACTGTTATGGGCTTCGTCGGCGACTCGTTCTCATCGACGTCGTCCTCTTCGCCATCGTCGTCGTCGTCGGCGTCTCCATCATCGTCGGCGTGGCTGTCGTCGCCGGAGACGGAGTCACCGTCGCCATTGACCAGCGGCCGGCGGAGCTTGCTCGGCGTGTGCTCAAAGGGCTCTCTGTCATTGAACCGCCCAATGCCGACGTCGTGGTGTCTCTGCGTCTGCGGCGTGTCGTAGAGCCTCAGCGTCTCGGCCTCGGTGTCGTTGGCCTCAGAGTTGACGTCAGACGCTGCGTCGGAGAGGGCGCTGTCAGAGTCTGAGCCGGCGTTGTCGGTGCCGGCAGCCTCGTCTGGACCAGCGCTCAGGTGGTCTCTGTCCAGGTGCATGTGTTCAATCTCCTCGTCGTTGGCGTCCTTGTCGTCGACCTCGCTGAGCGGGCTGGAGATGTTGCTGTCTTCGAGATCGCCGCCCGTGGCAGCCACGGGGGGCAAAGCAGCCGACGCCGAGGCCGTCGCTGCCATTGCGTCGCCGATAGCGCAGAGCGAGGCCGTCTGGCAGCTTGCTGGTGCGAGTCGGCGGCGGGAGGGAGGCCGAGGGCAGCCTCAGCTGTTGCGTCGGTCGACGGTCGTGGGAAGCGTCTGCGCGGGCGCTGAGGTGGGATCGGTTGCCGGCAAAGCAAAAGTGCAGAGGCCGGAGACGGGCAGCGGCGACGTGCTTGGGGAGCTCGCTGGCCCTGCTGAAGCTGAGGCACTGGCTGGCGAGTGCCTCTGTGTGTGTAGTCTCTTGAGTCTGCGGTCCGTCGGTGCTTGCGTGACGCCTGTGTTCGGGGTTCGTGTGCAGAAGGGCCGGGAACGGGCTGGGAGGGGAGAGGACTGGAGAGAAGAGATGGAGGCAGGCCGGTTCGCGCATGGTCGGCTGTGACCAAGTGCTCCAGCGCTCTCGCACTGCTAGCACTCAACCACAGCGCTGCACCCGCCGCCTGCACAAGCCCCGAACAGGCGAGCCAGGCCCTGGAGCAGCGCCCGGGCGGTGAGTCTGGCGTGGCAGAAACGCGGTCATCTGCGGGTCGTGCGGCCGGCCACAGCCAATGGCGCGCGCTGCCGCTGAAAGTCCGGCGGCGGGACCCAAATTTTTTAGAGCTTGCTGTGAACTTTTCCAGTTGCTTTGGCGCATTCCAGGCGAGGCCGCAGTGCAGAGCCGGCAATTTTTCTGATTTCCAGGTTTCTTGTCCAAAGCCGATTCCTGCTGCAGCGACGCCGAGATGGCCAAAACGTGAGCTCTTCTGTCATTGATGGTGTTGATCGATCTTGCTGACTTGTCTTCTCGCGTTCAGAAAGAATGTGCTGGCCGTGGCGCCCAAGGCCATCGACCCCACGCTCGACGCTCTGTTCGCATCCAGTGTCAGTACCTCTTCTCGGGTGCCGTACGTTTGCTAAAGATGAATGCTAACATGCTGGGCAGGCTGGACCTGTAACGGCTCCCTCAAAACCCCGGCTGGGAGCGCCGCCGACAAAGAAGAGCGCCAGCTCCGGCAAATCAAGCAAAGAAGATGAAGACGATGACGACGACGAGGGCGACGATGAGGTGCTGTCCGAGATCAGCGAGGAGCTGGACTATGGCGATGACGACGACGACGACGATGCCGAGCAAGAAGAAGGATCAGACGACAACGCCGCTGAAGAGCAAGAGGGTGCTGAAAGCAAGGACGGCAGCGGCGACGAAGATGCCATGTCGGTAACATTGGAGGCGACCGCCACAGAAGAGCAGGCCAAGAGCAAGCGGGACAGGAAACGCAAGAGAAAGCACGACAACGACGATCTGGAAGAGAAATACCTCGCCAAGCTTGCGGATGACGATGAGCCCGAGCCGTCTGGCAAGCGCCTGAAAGGACAAGAGGAGGATGCCGACAAGGACAGCGATGACGAGCAGCCCGTGCACGAGTCTCTCACGCAAGAGAGCAAGCAGTCCGAGATGGAAAAGGCCGCGCGAACCGTGTTCCTGGGTAACGTTGCCACGGAGGCCATCTCATCCAAGTCAGCCAAGAAAGAGCTCATGAAGCATCTCGCGTCCGTCCTCGACAAGGACGCCTCGCCGCCAGAGAAGATCGAGTCCCTGCGTTTCCGTTCCGTTGCTTTCTCCACGGGCTCCATGCCCAAGCGAGCAGCCTACATCACAAAATCCTTGATGGACGCCACGACCAAGTCCACAAACGCATACGCAGTCTTTTCCACCCCTGCCGCCGTCCGAAAGGTGGTTGCGGAGCTCAATGGAACGGAAGTCCTGGGTCGCCACATTCGGGTGGACAGCGTGGCACACCCAAGCCCGATGAACCACCGTGCCTGCGTCTTTGTCGGAAACCTTGGCTTCGTGGACGACGAAACCGTGATCAGTCAAAAGGCTGGTGGAGAGACTGTTGAAAAGAAGCGCAACAAGGTGCCTTCCGACATCGAAGAAGGCCTCTGGCGCACCTTCGGCACCCAAGGCAAGGTTGAGAACGTCCGTGTTGTTCGCGACTCCAAGACCCGAGTAGGCAAGGGCTTCGCATATGTGCAGTTTTATGTAAGTTGCCCACCTCGCCAGGCAGAAAGGCCCTCGCATCTCGTTTTACAGAGATGTTTGCCTCTTCAAAGCCTTGCGCTCATCTTGTTTCGTTTTCAATCTGGTTTGCTGACTGAGCCCTCCACAGGACGCCAATGATGTCGAGGCCGCTCTCCTGCTCAACGGGAAAAAGTTTCCCCCCATGCTTCCCCGTCCGCTGCGTGTAACGAGGGCAAAGGATCCGCGCAAGACGGCCCAGGCAGTCGAGCGGGCCAGGTCCAAGGCAGATGTCGCCGACGGCGCTAGCCGCAGCACAAAGTACAAGCCCAAGGCGACGCCAGAGCAGCAGGCGGCTGCCGGGCGAGCCCGCAAGCTGCTGGGCCGGTCCGCGGCCGCGAAGCAGCGTCACGGCGGCAAGAGGTCGTTCCCAGCGGCCACCGCAAAGGACAGTGAGGGTGAGGGTCAGGGTGAGGCGGCGGCCAACGGCATCATCAAGAGCCCGGAGCGTATCATTTTTGAGGGGCGGCGAGCCTCGTCCAGGGACGGGCTTCCCAAGGACCTCAAAATCGGCAAGAAACACAAGAAGAAGGCGGGCAGGCCGCAGAACCGGAGCGCTAAGAGGGCGGCGGCGTGGAAGAAGAAATGAAAGTGGGAAAAATAATAGAGCCAAAGCAAAAATAAAGGTTAATGAGGATGAAGTGAAAATAGAGATATACCAAATCAGTGAACGATGACGGAGAAAGGCAAAGAGAGAGAGAGAGAGAGACAGAAATAAAGCCTGAAGAACCCGGCTGTTGTATCCGATGTTTGGCAACCGGATGAGCGAGCGAGCGAGCGACTGAGTTAAGTGAGTGAGTTGTGTCCGGGTTTGATCTCCCCCTGCACGGCTTTTGCTGGGCTTGGTACGGGGAGCAAAGAGGCAGCAACTTGTTGGTATAATCCTTTTGCTACCTAGTAGGCGTGGGTTTCTGTGGAAGGGCGAGTTGGCTTACCTCATCACACGAGACAGGGCAGGCGGGCCTTTTCTTCTTTGGTTCTTGGTTTGGAGGGGGCAAGTAAATGTACATGTTGAAGGTTCCTTTTTCTTTTTGTCGCTTTGCCTTCCCCTCTCCTACCCCCTTTGAAGATGAGCCTCCTCTTTGGGATTACCTCATTGGCTTGTCAGTTGTCAGAGACATGCTGCTTTTTTATACCTGATACAGATAGTAGAACAATAGAGATGGAGATGAATGGCGTTTGCCGAATAGATGATGAACATAAAGGTTACTTGATGTGTTTAAATATTAGGAGGAACTCCAGGGTATTCCTACCGCCAGCGCTTTACCTACTACTACCTAGGTAATAGTATGTAAGGTACCTATGTGAATGCTGAAGACAGCAGTTAGCAGTTTGAGTCCTTTCCATCTCCGTGCACATTTTGGGATCAAAGAATTTGAGAATAAGAGTCGAACATCCCTATATGAAATTGCTACATGTTTGAGACGTGAGCTGGCAGGTCAGTCAGTATTGCCACAAGGCTGCCACGTCATTTGGAGGCGGAAAACTCGCCCTGCCGCCCAATGACTGAATGCCCGGTGGTAAGCAGTACATGCATGGTTTTGAAACACGAACGAAAAGAGAGCTTAAATCAAACGGCTCCTCAGTATTAGATGACGACAGGTAACAACAAAAGGTAAATCAAATGATGATAGACTGGGTAGGGGGGGAAAAGGATCATTCATATTAGGTATGTACAACGAAAGAGATATCAACTTTGGTGGTATTAGAGGTATCAACGTGGTGTTTTTTTCTGTGCATGCTTGCTCCAAACATCCATATCCAGCAAGAAAGGCAAAAAGAAAGGGAAAATAAACAGACAGATGAAAACAAGGGGAAAGGGGCGCGAATGGCGAAGGAGGGAATGGAACAGTCTAGACTCCAATACGACCACACCGATGTCAGAGAAAAACTCAAGGCCAAAACCTTTCCGTTATATCACAACAAGTCCTCGTTTCGTCTCCATTTCGTTTCAGCGTCAAGTCGTCGTCGGCCGAATCACATTTCTTGTCAAGCGCGCGGTACTTTTAATACTCGGCAGTCTCGTCAGGCTCGAAAGAGTCGGCAGCAACCTCCGCGTAATCCCTCTCCAGAGCAGCCAGATCCTCTCGCGCCTCCGAGAACTCGCCCTCCTCCATGCCCTCGCCGACGTACCAGTGGACAAATGCGCGCTTGTTGTGCATGAGGTCAAACTTATAGTCCAGCCGCGACCAGGCTTCGGCGATGGCGGTCGTGTTGGAGAGCATGGACACGGAGCGCTTGACGGCGGCGAGGCCGCCCTCCTGAGCGTCGACGGGGACGGCCGTGGGCTTCTGGTAGGTGATGCCGAGCTTGAAGCCCGTGGGGCACCAGTCGACCATGTTGAAGGTTGCCTTGGCCTTGACGTGGGCGACGGCGACTGTGCAGTCACGAGTCACGACGTCGCCGCGATACAGCAGGACCACGGCCATGTACTTGCCGTTGCGGGGGTCGCAGACGACCATCTGGTTGTTGGGTTCAAAGCCTTGGTTACAGAGTCAGTACCCCGGGGGGGAGATACACACAAGATGGGTATTTGGGGATCTTTGAGTGCTTACACTGAAGTGTCAGCTCCTGAACCTTGAAGCTTTCGTGGGAGGCCTTCTTTGTGGAAACAACCGGGGCGTAGCTGATCAGGGGGTAGTGGATGCGCGGGAAAGGAACCAGGTTGGTCTGGAACTCGTTCAGGTCGACGTTGAGCGCGCCGTCGAATCGCAGAGACGACGTGATGGAGCTGACCACTTGGGCAATGAGGCGGTTGAGGTGATCGAAGGACGGCCGAGAGATGTCGAGATTCCGCTTGCAAATGTCATAGACTGCCTCGTTGTCCACCAAGAAGGTGCAGTCCGAGTGCTCGATGGTGCTGTGGGTCGAGAGGACTGCATTGTAAGGCTCGACGACGGCCGAGGACGTGCGAGGAGCTGGGTAGACGGCAAACTCGAGCTTCGTCTTCTTGCCGTACTCGGTGGCCAGACGCTCAAGCATCAGCGCACCAAAGCCGGAGCCAGTGCCGCCGCCAAAGGAGTGGAACATGAGAAACCCCTGGAGGGAGTGACAGTTGTCTGGGTACAGCGATGACAAGTCAGGCCACCACTTCACGTCAAACAAGGCATCGTCCTGGTCTCGCCAGCGCAGAAAAAAAAACTCACCTGTGACACGGCGGATCTTGTCCATGACGGTGTCAATCATCTCCTTGCCGACGGTGTAGTGCCCGCGCGCATAGTTGTTGGCCGCATCCTCCTTGCCGCTGATGAGCAGTTCCGGATGGAACAGCTGGCGGTAGTCGCCCGCCCGGATCTCGTCGATGGGGGACGGGTCGAGGTCGACGAAGATGGCCCGCGGCACGTGCTTGCCGTTGCTGGTCTCGGTGAAGAAGGTGTCGGGAGAGCCCAGATCATCGCGGTCCTGGACGTCCGCGCTGATGCGACCGTCGCGGCCGATGCCGTGCTCGAGACAGTAGCTGTGCGAAAAGAAGAGAGAGAGAGAGAGAGAGTTAGCAAACATGGGGCGGCTTCTGAATCGGCCTTGCGCGCGCGCAAGCAATGGTGGAGGGGCTCACGAACAGCTCCCAAGCTGCGTTGCCGAGCTGAACACCGGCCTGGCCGACGTGCAGATGCAGAATCTATGTGAGGCTCATGTTAGCGACGCTCTCCTGTGAGAAAATCGCATCGTCGAGATGGGCGCAGAGGCTGCGAAAAACGGCTCTGTCGGGAGTGACGCATCGCCATGTCGCAAAAAGTGGAATGATATCATCGCACCAGATGGAAGAAGTGCGAAACCTAGAGAATCGCTCGCGCGGGAAGAAAGGGGAACACTGACCTCGCCTCTCATTCTGGGAAATGTTCTTTGGCAATATAATGGAGGAGTAAAGCTGTATAGAGTGAGAGAGTAAATAAATAAGAAAAAGTTCCTGGAAGAAGTTGTCGCACTTTTGGGCAGAGGGAAGATCTGGTGATGGTTCGGCTTGGTGGAGATTTTATAAAGCTCGCTCGGGTGGGATTTTCGACTTTGGTGGGGTCCCGGTTCTGGAACGTTGGATCATCAATCGAGCTGCCAGGGGACTTTGTTCTCTCTTTTCCCCCTCCTCCTCTCCCTGCAGAGCTGTTGAGCTCGCTACCTAGACAGGAGGTACTTGCATGTGCCACTGCTTGCTGCTGGCAGGCGAGGTCCAGGCTGTCTATCGTTGGGCTGTGATGGCGCGGATAACAGCCGCTAAAATAGCGCATGGGATGCAAGAGGCTCGATACGGGATTGGACTTTGAAGAAGCTTCATGGTGTAAGTGGCTGCTGCTCTCTGCTGCAGAAGCGCCTGTTGGTGAGCGCCATGCTGTTCCCGAATACCTATGGAAACCTAAGGTAGAGCTCTATTCGGTAGGTACCTTAGTGACGGATCGTGCATTTGCTTACAGATTGCCAGATTCAGTCCGACTGTACCTTAGGCACCTGAATTTTCAAGGGCATATTGCTACTGCCTAGCTCTAGGTAACGACATATCTTGGACGCAGACGGGATTGAGAGGATATATGGTGGGGTCGTGTTTTTCTCTACCATTTCCGAAGCTATCCACAGCGGCCCGATACGAATGCTTTTTTAAACATGTGGGCTCTTCTTAGGGGAATGGCCGTGAATAGGTAGTATCATCAATTTTTGTTCATCAAGTAGACAGGAGATAGGAGGTAGTTATAATGATGACAGTTTAGGTATGATAGCGATCATGAACACATTTTATAGTTGTAGTAGTAGCATGCAACGGACTATTAGATACATCAATGTGAACCCATGTCTGCCAGTACCGAACAGATGGAACCGCTAAGGCGAAAGGCTGGATGCCTACGAGCTCGACGAGCATGGATAAGGTATGGAGGCTTCAGGCATGCACGTTTAGTCAGATCGCCATTGGACCCGTCTGGGGGGGCGGCACATGCAGTGAGTTACGGGCGCTAGTAGTTGAGAGGCGATGAGGATTCAGACGTCTGTCTGGTCATGATATTTCCATAGATGGCATGTTGTTTCTGCTGTTGATGAGAGGGCATTAGCGGTATTAGCTCGAACCCGCAATGGTACACCACGAAGCTCAAGATTGAAACACTTGTTGGCTGCCCAGACGCCTATATGCTCTAATACCTAGGTATTACTCCCAAACTGGAGTCCTTCCACCACACTGTCAATACTTTCAAGGCACGCTCCCTTCTGCCTCCTCTTGAAACAGTTACCAGTTCAGTTCCAGGCTTAAAAGCGATCAAGTTGAGCCAACGTCATTCCCTCGTATCACCTCACACCAAGGATATCGTAGACTCGACTATAGCTTCCAGAGATAACTCGTCCGCCCTGCTTTCTTCTTTTTTTGTGCGCAAAGTGGTATCATAGGTTGGTCCTTTTCTAGGACAGATCAAGAAAACATAAACCATAAATCACAATCAAACAGCAAGAGCATCACCTCTCGCGAGGCTCATCTCGACTCTCGTCTCCCGACGCCCTCTCCAACTCCTCGATACGCCGCTGGATCGCCGCCTTCTGGGCCATCAGGACCTGAATCTCGCCGTCTCGAGCCACGGACGCGTGCACGCCAGCAGCGTCATCATCATCATCATCTGCGATGCTATTGGTTTCGGGCGTAAAGTCGTAAGCTGGCGGCGGCTCGGCATCGCGTGCCCGAGCTCGCGGATGGGAGCCCAGCGGCGAGCTGGTGCCGTACATTTGCCCCTGTGTTCGCTGCACGACACCAAGCTCGTGCGACGTCTGACCTGTGCGACGCTTCTTCCTGCGCTCTCGCCCCCACAAGTAGAGAAAGATGCCCGCTCCAAGGGCGAACAGGCCGAAGAGGGCGACACCAACGCCGATTCCGATCTTGGCGCCCAGCGATAGGCCGCGGTCGTCCTCCGGTTCGTCGTCAATGTCATCCTCGTTTGTGAGGCCCAGCATCGGCTTGTCCTGCTCCCTGAAGAGCGCACGGATGGTGTTGACGGCAATGGTGGCGCTGTAGAGCGTCGTGGTCGAGTTGGTCAAGACGTCGTAGGTGGCGGCAGTGTGGTTGTAGATGATGGGGACCGCCAGCACCGTAGGAACCTGGCGCTTGCAATGTCCGCCTGCATAAGAATATTCGCTGTGAACTGAGTGTTAGCATCTATCATTTTTTGTAGGATACAAAGAGGCCCGTCCAAACGTACGACGAGCAGCACAGAGCCGTGGTGGTTGCCTCCTCCACGCTCTGGTCCGTGTTGACCGCGAGAGACACCGTCGTCCATCCATGGGGGCACGTGGCAGGGCTGAAGACGCCGGTGCGTCCGTCGTAGAACATGCCATCGGGATAACACGACAGGGTCGAGGCTCCGGGAAGGGGTTCCAGATCCAGATACGCAATCGGCTCCGAGACCCCCGCCGGCAGGTTGCTGTCGTAGACGTATGTCCATGTGCAGCTCAAGGGCCGGCTCCAATGCGTCGTCATGGGCGGATAAGGGTTTGCTGTGATGTGGGAGTCGCCATTGGTCGTGACCGTGGCGAATGTGGTTGCCTGGGTGGTTGATACAGCAGTAGGAATAGCAGTCGGCGACGCAGCCGGAACAAGGACCGGAATAGACGCGGTAGTAAAGCTCGAGGTCAACGGGGAGTCTGACGTCGTGAGAGACATGGTCGTGGTGCCTCCCGAGAGACACTATCTAGGTAAGTATCTACTACCGTATGCTCCACCGCGATGGGATCGGGGAGGGTGGTGCGATCGACAGCAAGCAGAGACGGTGCAGCTGTCAGCACTCGGCCGGCAGCGCGAGATTGATGATAATTGGCCGTCGACCGATCGTTTGCCGTGCAAGTATGTATGTGATGATCCCGGGCCTGCTGCATGCACGATTGCTCAAATCTCGTATTGACCTTGGCCCTGATCTTGACCTCGAGGGCGTTGAGGCTTGCTTCTGGACGGGAATGGGAGGGTAGATAGAGACGCGGTATAGCACCGTGAAGAGCCGAGGGAAGATGGGTATCTTGGATGCTTTCGAACAAGCAGAAAGGGCGCCGGCAAGTGGACAGGACAAGGGCTGCGCAGGCGTACAGGGGCAGACGAGCAGAGACGGGCCTCTGTAGCACCTGGTGCTCGCCTGCTTGCTTGCAATTTTCTGACTCGAGGCTGATGAGCTGCCAGAAGAACGCGAAGCCGTGGGTTTCGATCAAGGGCTGCCAAGAGACGGGGCGGTACACGGCAAGACGGAGGTTTCGTTTGTTCTCGGCAGCGAAAATAGTTGCACTCTTCCTTCAGTCGCAAGCAGCAGCAGCAACTCGCAGGTTTTTTGCGTCTCAGCTGTGCTTGTGGCTAGCTGTCGAGGAGACGCTTCGCAGCCTCCATCACCACGAGCGAGGGCACCGACACGATTGAGACTCTCTTGCTTCCCGCGCCCCCGTTTTCCCGGGGGGTCATGAGGTTGACAGAAATCAGAGCCAGAGCCAGAGCCAGAGCCAGAGCCAGACAGAGCCCGAGTGCCGACAAGTAATAGCCCGACTGACGGGAAGCTTCAACGTTTCCCATTCGTGAAAGGGCGTTGGCGGGCTTCGTGCCGAGACTTTGCCAAGCCGACCGCCATCCAGCGGTGCAGGTCTCGGCGTTGCTTACTTTTGGATTTTTTTTTTTTTATCTCAACTTGAATGCTGGGGGAAGAAACTTGGGCTGGGTTGGGCCACCACTAGGGAGAGCGAAAAAAAAGCTGATGACGGGGGTTGACTGTCTGTTTGTTCATTGGGGAAGAGTCTGGAACTCAAAACTAGAAGCCATGCCCAGCCTTGGCACAGGAGAGAGAAGGACAAAAAAAGACGGGCAAAAACAGACATTAGAGGGGGGGAAATACGAGCAGTAATACATACATACCTAGAGAGACTGCGAGTGCGGACATTGTCTGTCGGTGGCATCGATGGTACTATCGGTGCCAAGAGAAAAAGCGGCAGTTAGTTGTGGATGTCAGGCAAATGAAGACACGCCGGGACGGACGTGATGAGAAACACCCGCAACCGGGTTTCACTAACACGGCCAAGCAATGACGTGTTGATCGGTGCGAGTTCAGTATTACATGACCAAAGAAATAAAGATGGTACTCCCTTACAGTAACATCATGTACGAATCCCTCAAGCCAACAACTGGCAGAAACACCAGATGGAAAGATGCCGAGGGAGGGCATCATCTCGCCTGACGCAGAGGCAGGCCAGGGGGGACAACGCTTTTGGGGGAGAATGCCACAACACCCGACATCTTGGCATGCTAATTTGCTTGGTCAAAGTGCTGCTCCGTCTGCCATTAGCGCTGGGCTGAGAGTCGAGCGTGATGAGTGACGGGATCTGCAGAGACAAGAGACAGAGACAAACAGTGCTGTGTCTCCAGCTCCCCAGCTCTTCCCCCCCCTTCGAAGCTTCACTGCGCTTGGCATCATGTAAGTGCTTGCAAGCTGTATCCACCCCCTTGTCGTGCGACCTCTCATCGTGCAGCCCTTGGGACGGACGACGGAGCGAGTCCCCAAGGGCCAAGATCCGAGTTGTCACCGCCGCGCCTGACCAGAGGTACAAGTATTATTGGGGGCCGGTCACGCATCGCCCAACGATATGGATCGTGTTGTAATACTGTACACACCAAGCGACAAGTTTTCGAGGCGAACACGAGAATGAGGCTCCATGCGAGGGAGTCGCAGGACGTTACAGTGGCTTCCATGTTGTCGTTGGGGTTGTCATTCAGGCTCGTCTGCACCCAGGATTCAAGCCGTGTCTGTGTCACATGTAACGCGGACCTCGCCAACTGGTGCCTATCCCGGCCGGATAAGCCGCACCCTCTTTTGCTGCAAGCCTCGCCACGTGAGAAGCATTCGAAGCTTCCAAAAGAGACAGCCGCATCTTGAGTCACCACAGGAGTGACACGGAGGACGGGCTGTGAGACGGAATGGTTGCAAACAAGTGCAACATGTTTCAATCTGCCCGGTTTCAGCTCAAGCTGCCGTCCGCTCTGGACAGTACAAAGCAAAAGTACCTGCATCTTCGAAAAGACCGGAAGAGCTTCGGATCATGAAGCGGACTAATGCACTTCTAGGTAGTACAGTACGAGTAGTGGCAGAATGCGGAACTTCAATCTTCCAGTCGCGCATTCACCAGCCACAGCTAGACAGGCTCACCCAGCCACAAATATCCACCTTTTACCCCGCCACGAAACAGCGCACCAGAAGAGGAAAAGAAAAAAAAAAAAGGCGCCAACTTTTTTTTCCCATTAATCGCCAAAGTCACCTGACGTGGGCCGCAAAGGGCACGAAAACCCTACCAGGCCAGAAAATTAGTTAGTGCCGCCATTACGAGACGCAAGCCCTCGCAAACGCCCTCCCTCCCAAAAAACCGACTCCATCACGGCCACCACATTCGCTCGTCGATACCCTGCGCGTTTCGATAGGCGAATTTGCATCAACACAACACCGCGATCATGGCTGACGAATACGTACGTTGTCCCTTTGCTGTCTTATGCGAGTCTATTGAGGGAGGATAATTGGAGGGGGTGGAAAAAGGCAGAAGAGTCAAGAGATGGATGGAGGAACCGATGGCGGCAGGCGGAGGACTTGCGACATTGAGATTCTGGGGAAATATTCTCTCGCTACGGGGCTATCATCATCAAATGAACGGGCGCTGACAATGCTTTCCATGGACAGAACGCCGAGGAGGCCGCTGAGATCAAGAAGAGAAGAACCTTCCGCAAGTTCTCCTACCGAGGAATCGACCTTGACAAGTACGTTTCTCATTCAACACCGTGCCATCCACAACCACCACTCGAAAAGACGACCTTTTCCAATACTTCAAACCACCGAAGAAAAACCAGCACCACCAAACCACATGAAAACAAATTCGCTAATCTGATACCTCGAAAACAGCCTCCTCGACCTCTCCTCCGACCAGCTCCGCGATGTCGTCCACGCCCGTGCCCGCAGAAGGATCAACCGCGGCCTGAAGCGCCGCCCCATGGGCCTCATCAAGAAGCTCCGAAAGGCCAAGCAGGAGGCCAAGCCCAACGAGAAGCCCGACCTCGTCAAGACCCACCTGCGAGACATGATTGTCGTCCCCGAGATGATTGGCAGCGTCATCGGCATCTACTCCGGCAAGGAGTTCAACCAGGTTGAGATCAAGCCTGAAATGGTTGGCCACTACCTGGGCGAGTTCTCCATCTCATAGTACGTCCCCAATCTGCAATGCGATTGCTGCGTTGAAACGCGGCCCTCGTTGGCTCTTCTGTTTACTGACTTCCTCTGCAGCAAGCCTGTCAAGCACGGTCGACCTGGTATCGGTGCCACGCACTCTTCTCGTTTCATTCCCCTCAAATAAGAAGGCGTGTGGTCTTGGGTGGTTTCTGCATTCTCGGACATTTTCGGGCGAAAAAGGACTGGTTTTGGTAGACGGAGGAAAGCCGCTACTGAAGTTGTTGACGACAATGATTTCTATGATAGTACAATGAGAAACATTGTTCACGCTTTCAAAGCTGTCAGCTATACCTGCGCAATACATGCTGCTGGTGATACATATAATCCACTCCCAGCTTCGCTTGAACCATTCAGTCGCTTTTCCAAGAAAATATATACAGTCAGTGCTTGCCTTCCACCTTCACTTTCACGTGCGTGTGCCGCGAAAGCGATTCTTCCGTCGTCTTCGAACAGGAGACCCTTCATCCGTTGGCGGTTGAACCCTGAGAATAGGAATGCTAGAAGACACAATCTCGGGAGACGGACTGTATGGATACGGAGTCCTTGGAGGCGATTGCCAAGGAGACGATTGCCAGGGATGCAACCAGTCACATCCTTCTCTTGTGAACAAGTGACCCCAGCGAAGCACAGTCTTGTTCCTCAGCCGCTTTGCGCGATCCAACACAGATAACCGCGGTCCCGGCACATCAGCATTGAAGTCGTCCTCTTCCACGACTTCGGCACTTGTCGCAACAGAAGCCCGGGCGTCTCGTCCTCCGAGCCTCAACCGCCACTCCTCCAACTTGTTGCGAAGGAGCTGGCACCGAGTTGGTCGGTCGGACATGCTACCGCAAACGGCGCAGGCAAGCTTGCTGCCCTCCATCGTGTTGTAGTGGATCAAGATCTCCTGGCCGGCCTTGACGGGCTTGATCAGCGTGATGAGGATGCGATGCGGCTCATACCAGTCCATTCGCCGCACGGCATTGGCACAGCCGCGACACGCATGGTTGATGCGAGACGCCAGGGAGTAGATGTTGGCAAAGTCCCCATCCGGGCTGCTGTACGAGTACTCGAGAGCAAAGTTGAAGAGCATGATGCTCTGGAACAGGGACAGCGCCCGCCTCCCCGACGGCACAGACCGCAGCTTGGGGAACTCCTCTCTGAGAGCTTCCTGCTCATGGATAAGAAGATCGCACCACTGGGCCTCGATTTCTTTGCGCATGTTGGCCATGTTCACGTCCCGCGGCATCCAGAAGCTGAGGGCTGGCTGCTCAGACAGGAGCAGGTGGTCGGGGAGGAGGTCGCTCGTGGCATAGAGGCCGTATCCGCGCCGGGTCTTTGTGTCTTGGACGACGGCGGCGAATTCGTTTCTCATTTCGTCGATGGAGTCTCCGCCTTCCACCTCTGTCTCCATCTCCATGATGGACTCTTTGGGCACCTTGGCCGGCTTGGGGATTTCTTTTCCATCGACAACCACGAAGATGCTGGAGCTGCTCTGCGTTCGGTTTTCTTGGCTGAGGATGTCGCGGAAGTTTGGAATCGACTGGTGCGCAGGCCGGGGCTCTTGGGCAATTTGGCCTATGACATTATCGCGCACAGATGGAGAGTCTTGGGTAGACGCCATGGTTGAGGGTCTTGTTGGAAAGCCTTGGTGTATAATGAATGCTTCACAGCCGAGAAGGCCGTAATACCTAGAATAGAGGAACCGAGGATAACTAGAGCTGAAACGAGCGCAAGAAAATGACTGGTAAACGGCCAAAACTGCTAAAAGAATGCCTTGCGTGATGATGTGATGTGAAAGGACGAGGAGAAAACACGAAGTTTTCATTGTGAAGATTGTCGTTCCTTCCGATTCCTACAAGTCAGGCTAGTTGGGGCAATGACTATCTACCTAGTCGGCAATAGAAGCAACTCCGGTAAGTGTTACTGTATGATGCGTGATGTTGGCGAGATGCAAAGGAAGAAAGCAGTCCTTGAGGGTGGCTGCGGCAGCTGCAGTTGTGCCTTGGACGGTTCCTGGAGGTTGACCTAACCAACGTACTCTCTCTTCGTCATATTCAACGGATCGTTCGTAGTCGTTAGCAACAGAAATAGCAATCATGAGCCGGCTATACGCTGAATTGAGAACCCGAATCACACATCAAGAGGGCGGCTGTGGTGCAAATTTTGTTCTATAAATTGGATATGGATATACTGCAGCTCCGTGCCTACTCCTGCTTGCCGGCGGCAGCCAGCTTGGCCGCCTTCTTCTCCTCCGCCTTCAAATGCTGTTGCCTGTAGTGCTCCACGACGTGGTCCATGTTGACGAGGTGGCCGGCCTGGATGTTTCGCTGGGCGTGGGACTGGAACGCTCTGCGACGAGGTGGTTAGCTTAGACAAGAGAAAACAAGAAAAAAGCATCGTCGCAAGGTTTCGACATACTCGGGGTATGCGACGTCGACGAATCGGTGCTTGTTGGAGGCGTTCTCAAAGAGGTTTCGGTCGAAGCCGGCCTGCTCCATGGCCTTTGTGTGCAGCGAGTTGATGGCCTCCCAGTCCTCGGCCTTTGATCGGTACTTGGTGAGCAGGTTGGAGACGTTCCAGTTGTCCGTCTCCTGGGGGCGGAACTGGTAGACGAGGACGGTGCCGAGGAAGGTGGCGACGGCAATCACGGATCCTTTCTATAGCGCAACCTGGCAGTCAGCGTCTTGTTCTTGTCTTGTCTTGTCTTGTCCTCCGAAACACCATCGAAGCAGAACTGATTGGCGGATTCTAACCCCAAAGGACTCGTTGACGGGAGCAGCTGAGTGGTGGCCGTGGCCGTGACCGTGGGCGTCAGAGGCGTAGGTCCGGGACGTCCGCTGCAGCTGGCGGGCGGCGCAGACTGCCCGTGATCGTGCGGCGAACATTCTGGCGGCGCGGGTGGACGTCAATTGAAGGTGCAAAGCGGGCGCGATAAGGCTGAGGCTGAGCGTTGAGACTGGGCTTCGAGTTGAAGTCGTCGCCAGATGTGGGTTGCGGATGACATAATGCACGTGGGCCAATGACGAGGCTGCTGAGCAACTCCCCGCCATTTTGAGGGCAGCTCCCTGTTAGAAGCTCGGATATGGTCCTACATGCGTGATGCTATTCACTTTGATAGGAGCGGTAAGGTCTGCGGATTGACAAGAGCATTCAGCTTCATTCTTGGCCAATCCAATTACTACCTACCTGGGCTTTGATTCCTTCGTGGTGCTACGTACCTTATCCCCGTCTTTCAGCCAACCAGGTCACGACGAGAACGCCTCATTGAGACATTTTGCGGTTGCAACGAGGTATTGGCTGGTCTGTTTAGCCATGAACTGCTGTTGTTGGCTCTGCCATCAGTGACTTGCCTCATTGCTACAGCACCTATAAGCAGAGGATCAGATGCCGGTGAAGCTGCACTGCATCGTGACGGCATCAATGACAGCGCGGGAGAGGTGATTCCGTCCAACCGGCCGATCCAAGCTCCGCGACTGTGATAGTGTGACTGATGGCCGACGGCTGGTGGCGTCGAGCCGTCTGGCATGCTGCAGACCGGTTCGTCTAGATGCCCTTTGGCTATTGGGCCGTGATGAGGGAAGGATGTTGCCCAAGGATGCTGAGTTGCTACCTAATGTGGTCAGTTGGGTTGGAGTGTGCAGGTGCTTCGAGCTGGTGGGATCCAAGCTCGAGCCCTCAAGGCCTATCCAGGGGTGCCGAAACTATAGCCAGTCCGCAAAGAACAGGCATAGGGGCACTATCAGGAATGATTCCATGCTTTCCTTTTGAATGTTCAAAGTCGCACATGGGCGGACTTGGCCCTGATGATGATGGAGGCGCCATGATTGGGGGCCTTGCCAGCACATACCCGGCACCAACAGGCTCCGTATTCGCATCCTCCATAACAGGGACGGAGCACGGCTGAATCGACCAAAGCCACAGCTGCACATTCCAAGGAACACATGCCGAAACACTCAGGTTACGGTATACTACACGACTTTTCAAGTCATCTGGGCAATGTTTGGCAGAAGTTGGGCGTTTGTTGCTTGTACCTAGTATTTCCACGCACGCGGTACAGCAGCCCTGCAAACGGAAGGCGCCGTATCGTGCCTCAGGTATGCATCTTATCGAGCTTGAGGCAAAAGGGGGAAGGATGGCGAGATTCTGCCCTTGTCCACTTCCACCTCCCACCTACAGGCACATCTGCACGGGCTCAGACCAGCACGCATGCATCCCGCAGCCACCTGATGGAAAAAAAGAAATTCTGTCCTCCCCTTAGGCAATGCGACTTCGCAGGCCGGCATCCGTCATCACATCACACAGCCCGTCACCGCCCGCTCGGCAACAGCGGTAATCATACACATGGAACCTCCCCTTGACGACAGAGGCTGGCGGCGAACCAGAGAAAGCAGGGCCATCTCGGCCAAGGCCAAGGCAGCGCCATGTCACTACTACCGGCCGAAGCAGACGAGCGTCCAGAAGGAGCCGTCGTCTCCGCCATCCCGTGCAGGGCACATGCATATGATACGCACCAAGTGGTTGATCGGTGTGGGGGACGACGCACGACGAGGTCCACCTCGGTGAGAGCTGCTGACGACGCCATAGGCTGCTGCACAAGGCCTGCGTTGGGTTCATTTGCCTATTTGGCTGGCATCTCATGCAAGACGCCTGGCGCTGTGGTTCGTCGGTCGAGAGACTCCCGAGCTCTGGCTCGCTTGCCTCGAGAGACTGACTCCTGGCAAGGGGATGCTGTTATGCTCCTCCCATCCTGGCACCACGCGTCTGTCGTCCTACGATGCCGCTGATGATTGACCGACCCGGGCAGTCCACGGCAAACATTGCAGGGAGGTGAATCCCGATCTCATGGGCCAGGGTTCTGTCTCATGTCATGGTTACTCAGACCACACGCAAACCGTTGAGCAGCAAACCATGCTGTCGGGTTTGCTGGCGACAGCCTCCCTGGAGCGGAGTGACCCGCCCATCGCCTTCAGCCTTTTCTGTTTTGCTTTTTCTCAGCTTGCCTCTGGATCAACGCAGCTGTCGACTGATAGCTGCATATGCTACCCACAGCGGAACCGCACGGCACTGGCATCATCAACTGGGATAGAGACGCGGATACGGACAGGGACGCGAATGAGGCAGGAAGAGGGCCGTGGTATCGCATTTCTGCCTCCCCTTCCCCAGCCCGGACCTCTCTGCGCTATGATGGATGCCGCTGTCAGTGACTCTCGGATAGCTGCAACCGCGTAGCAGCTCCGGACGAGCAGCTCTGCTAATACGAGGGCTTCGGTAGGATGCCCATTGCCATGCAAAAGCGTGTCGTATCCTTGGACGACTGCACCTTGCCGGCTCGCCTTTGTCGGAAGCAGGCCAAGCTCTGTACCTGCGTTGGGTAACACACATTCGGGTCCTATCTCCAAGTTGATCAGTGGTGTGTCACATATATTCATGCCTTCTCCTGGAATGCAGATGTTGTGATGTGTGTGATCTACCTTGCCGAGTATAATACTCGGGCGTCATCCTGTGCTGTCTGGCGTCCTCGTTCGACATCGGACCAGACGTTCTCTGCCTATTGAGCGATCATCTGGCTTCGCAGAGTACGTAGTCTTCCCCCTTCTCGTTTGTTTCTCTTTCGGTGTTGTCCTAACGAGACTGGGCGGCAATAGAGTCACCAGAGTCGGCCGTGATCAACCGCCGCTGAGACGGGACGGGACGGCACGAGCCACTTTGTGCTCGTTGGGGCCCTGATACTGCAAGCCGTGAGGGAGTCGGGTCTCAATTCACGGTCCAGTTCTGTCCGTCCTGCGAGCATCGCCCTTATAAAACCCAGCATGGCGTCTCTCGCATTGCCTGCCAGTAATACTAGGGCTTCGTCGCCGATTCTTGCAGCAATCCCCGGTTCTCTCCGCACGTGGCTCGCTTTCCCTGTCGATGTTGATGCAAGTGAAATGGGCTCTTTTTGGGACGTCATCTGCCGATGCAACAAGTTTGACGAGGCTCAGAGTGCGGCCATGTGGGAGTTTTCCATCCTGGACAACTCAGTCCCGGTGGGGTATATGCTTCCTGAGCATGTCGCCGAGATGATATGGGAGGGCACGAGCTTCAACGTCTCCAGATCTGAGCGGAGGATACATCTAGACCCGGTTGTCCGGCCAGGCGACGATGTTGTCGAGATATGCCGGCGCGAGTTCATAGCCCTCTGCGAGAAAAATGTCGACAGGCTCAACGGCTGCTTCCGAAAGTGGCTCCTGAAAAGATCCGACTTCCACCCCATCCGTGGCCTCGACGAAAAGCTGGCTGGCCTGGTGATTGCTTCGCCGGCCAGGGGCATCTTTGGCATCGTCACCACTGGGGTCCACATGAACATGTTCACCGTGAGAAACGGCAGAATCCACGTGTGGGTGTCGAGGCGATCCCAGAATGTTACATATGCCGGGAAGCTCGATCAACTGGTTGCTGGAGCCATGGATCCAGGCGATAACATGGAGCCGTTGATGACGCTGAAACGCGAAGCCATGGAGGAAGCAGGTCTGGAAGTCGATGCCGCGTCGCACACGGTGACTTGGAATGGTGCCTATGTGGGCAAAGTCACTGCCGAGTCGCTGATATCGTTCTACGACCAGAAGGACCACATTGCCGGCAGCGAAGAGGGCCACGTTGAGCCCGGAATCCGGTACACTTTCGACTTGGAAGTTGGCCCCGACTTTGTGCCGCATCCCCAGGAGCCGGAGTCTATCGACGGCTTCGTGCTCAAGACGGTGGAGGAGGTGAAGAGGGATCTGAAGAATGCCGAGTGGAAGCCAAATTGCGGCCTCGTCATGCTGGACTTTTTGCTCCGAAAGGGCGAGATCAAGGAGGGCGACGACGAGAATTTCGGGCTGCTGCGACGCGGTCTCGCCAGAAAGCTCCCCTTTCAGAACCTGTGAAGCTGGACTTTTTCCATGATGGAGCCGGGCGGATGAAATTTGTGTGATGGCCTTGTGTGATGGCCCAGAGCTGGGCTCGGGCAGCGTGTAATGAGGATCGAGATGTACGTTGAGTCGATTGTTCGGGTTATTTGGTTTTCGCGATCGGGTTGTTTTCTGTTTCGGTAGAGATCCTCGGGTCGAATGCGCAAGCTGTTGGTCTTTGTTTTGCTAGCAATGAAGCTTTCTTGGCCTTCCAGTAGCCAGTGCCTCCTTTTCCTTCTGTTGTCTCGAGTGTTGGTGATGGCGATACACAGGTCTGTTTCGATGGCCGTGTAATGTGTTTTTCCTTCTTCTTGTTTCTTTCTTTTCTCTCTCTCGTATCCCATGCTACGCAGGTGGATGGCAAGATGAATGTGCCGCGGCACGAAAAATTGGTAATCTGTCTTACAAGAAGTCTTTACGGCGTACAGGGTAAGTTTGTAGTAATCTCGGAACGGCAACTTGGACAAGGGCAAGGTTTAACGATGGGCAGCTCGTCGATACGGCTGGTTTGAACAAGTCTTAAGTATTAACATTCCCGGGGATATCTTTTTGCAGTAGTTTCAGGCTGAATTCACGCAAGGATGTGCAGGGTTGAAGATAGTATAGACACTCGGGATATTTTGTTTGCTACTTGAGCTTTGACTGGGCCTGTCGATGGGATGTGATGCGGCGCTGCGTCTGACTCGTATATTCGTCCCGTTCTGCTTTATTTGGTGCAGTCACACGGTAATAATACTATCGGAGAACGGAGAAAGAGAGAGAGAGAGAGGGAGATGTTTGATTTTCTTATCGTAAATTACTGCGTTTGCTGGTGGTGGTCCAAGTGTGTTCTCTGAGACTTCACTAGACGCAAGGCATAATGCAAATGGTATCATATGCATGCGCTCTGTCTGGTGTCATAGCACAAGATGTGTCTTTGACAGCTCCATTCTTGCATCTATCCAGTGACTGTGACGACAGCTAGGTAGACTAACCATTCGTCTATCCTTAGGTAGATTTTTAAGGAATAAGATAGAGTAGGCTACAACCGATCTCATCTTGGCGCAGGATGAAGAAGAAGCGGGAAGCGGGACAGATGGACAAGACAGGCAGTAGTTCGGGGCTTTTTTTTTTTTCGCATCCTTTCGTCCCGTGGCGACTCAGCTCTTGTAAACAGGGGTGGGGGGGGAAGGGGTGTGTCTTGAGGAAGAGGAGATACATAGTCACTGGGCGTTGGTAGTATCCAGAGCTGAGGTGTGTTTCGCCGTGTTTCTTGGGGGACCTTGGGGACGATCTACTTTGTTACGACTTGATTTGCATGAGAATTTGGGTTGGTTTTTGCATGAGCCAGTAGGTATGTAGGTATGTCAGTATGTATGTATGTATGTATGTATGTATGTATGTAGGTACTCGTATATGTAGGTAGGTTGCGGTTTGGGCATCTGGTTGGGCTGATATCCTGGAGGAGACGTGCATGTTTGCGCTCACCAGAAGATTGTCTGTGTGTGAAAGAGAGAGAGAGAGAGATCGAGAGAGAGAGAGATCGAGAGAGAGAGAGATCGAGAGAGAGAGAGATCGAGAGAGAGAGAGAGAGAGATCGAGAGGCAGCCAAAAGGAAGATGGAGAAGATTTCAAGTTGACGGAACAAACATGTTGGACTGAATCTGGATCAATCTCCGTGCCTTTTGCGTCTCACAAGAGCAATGAGGCTTATTACAGACAGAACCCTCGATCAGGGGTCTCGGAACGAAAAAGGATCTCAAGAAGATGTGACACAAGCACGACTACAAATTTGTACTGTAGTAGTACCAGCACATAAAGTACCCGCACCCGTTGTCTCTGCTGCGGCCAAATTAAGAAACAAGATGCGCCTTGTTTTCTCCGAACGCCGTCACCTTGTTATCTCTCCTCTGTCAGGTCTCTTGTTCGGATAGATTTACTAGTATTACTACTACTAGTCGCAGCACTTGTTATGCAAGGGAGGCAGACGGACGAGGGGCTGCGTGGCGCGGCTGCAGGAGTAGTAGCACAGCTTTTTTTTTTTTCTCTCTCGACAGCCGCAGCTTTGTGATGGCTTTGACAGGGGGTGGTGGGAGGTAGTATTAGTGGCCTGCTGTGTGTCGGCCGGAGGGGGGGGAGCTGAAGCTGATGTTGATCGGTTGCCTCTTTTTTTCTTGGCTTTTTTATTTTTGGAGGTTCTTTTGTTTCTGTTGGCTTTTCCTCATGTGAGGGAGAGAAGACAGGAGACAGCAAGGTGGATGAGCTGAAGAAGAGCTGAGCAAGAGTGTCTTATTGTAAGGTGGTTAGATATACATAGTATGTCAGTTGTTATAAGTGAAAGTGAGGAGACGATTCCCGATCCTTGTCAGTAGTACTAGTAGAGCCTCGTTTGTATGGAGGAGTAGTCAGTTGAGAACTTGGACTATGGCCATGACTATTGCTCTGCATATCTATTACTACCTAGATCGTTGATAGTCTAGCCGTCCATCACGGATCCCTCCATCTCATGCAATGCACCCCGTCGGAACAGATCATTCTGGGGGTTAATTCATCAAGGCTCGCAACGCCATGTGATTGATTGATGGCTTCTCCTCCCCCTCCCCTCACTCTCTCTCTGTCTCCTCCTCCTCCTCTTCCTCCTCCGATCCAGCTCATCTAACCGCGGGATCCACCACCACAAATCAGAGCCGCTGCAGGGGTGGTTTTGCCGTCCGCCTGGGGGCTGAACGATTCGGTTACTGCCTAGCTTTCGATAGATGATGGGCAGCCCGCTTTTTTCTTTTTAAGCATAGTTTCTGTATTTATTTGTTTTTGTCTCTTTCTTTGCTTTTTTGGGTATTTATCGTATACGATAGGCAGGTACCTATTCTGTCCGGTTTCGTGGCTGCGGGTGGCTCGCGGGCTAATGCGTGTTGGATGGAGAATTGGCGAGGCTTGGACAAGTAGGAGGAGCATATGCAAGCCACTTTTTCTGGGGTGTGCTCTTTGTACGAGGGAGCGAGCAGTATGTACGAGCCGTATGTAGCTGGGGAAGATATCGTCCTCTTCCTCTGTGTTGTTCTCTGGGGGTTGGGAGGGGTGTTGGGTGTAAGTGTATCGTCGGGGTTCTGAGTGAGTGAGTGAGTGAGTGAGTGAGGCGGTTGTGCCTGTTGGCAGAGCCGCATGTGGGCGGGAGAGGCGGTGGGAGCGACGGTCCTCTTCTTCTCGGTCTTTTTGACTCGACCTCGCCATCTCTTCTTCTTCTTCTTTTCTTTTCTTCTACTGTCCTCTGTTTAGGAGAATCGTCAGGGTAGAGCGTCTTGCTTGCTCTTGACTGGCGTTTCCCCCCTTTCCCTCTCTTGTGCTGTCGACAAGATCTCCGTACTAGTTCAGCTGAACCGTTGCTCTCTTCCTCTCTTGTCCATCCCTATATACTGTATACGTTTCGAACATATACCAGAAAACATAGGAAAGAAAACTCTGTACCATCATTGTCTGTCTTTATATCTCCAAATCACTTATACAAACACCACCATCCCATCACAACCACCGCACCAATGCATCACAAACCAACAACAAGCCTCTTCCTCCTCCTCCTCGGCGCCGCTGCTGCCAGAGCCGACAACAGCAACAAGCCAACCCCCAGATCCGGCCCCGACGAATCATGGGCATCGCCGGCAAAAGAGACCGTCGCCATCACGGGCCATGCATTCGAACAGCAGCTCGCCCAGGGCTGGTCCCCGCGGCCGACGGAGGCGCCCAAGCCGCTGATGGGACGCATGATGGTGCCGCGGGCAGATGACTTTACCCTGGGACCGCAGACGTGCGGCTTCATTCCGGGATCTGCTGGGAGTGAGTTGCTTCTCCTCCTTTCCCTTATTTCGTTGTCTTGCCTTTGCCTTGGGTTTGATAAATGGAAGATGTGGAGTTGGAAAAGGGGGGCTGACTTTTCCCATCAACAGGGTCGCTCACTTGTGTAAATTCCGCCCACACATGCGCCGTTATCCAGGACTATGTCGGCTGCTGCGAAATTAACGGCGAATGTAACCAAATCCAAACGACGTGCATAGACTACAACGCCTCCCTGGACGGCGCCTGCGACCTTCCCTCCAACTACCACACACTCTGCTGGTAAGCCTTCATCATCCCATCATCATCTTCCCTTTCCCCTTCCGCTCCTTTCAAACCCTCGAGAGGTTCTTTCAGCTAACACTGACAAATTTTCCTTCACCAGTGACACATCTTCTCTCCCCAACTGCTACACATGGGTCATCTCTACATCCGCCTCAAGCGATGACGCAGTCGGTTTGCACACCATCCTCGCCTGTTCCCCGCGAGTAGGCCGAGGAACTCTCTTGACTGTCGACCCAGGCTGGTCCTCGACGCACAAGTTCGACCCCACGACCACAAGGTCCTCGAAGTCATCATCCACGACGTCGACGACTTCGACCCATACAGCTTCGCACAAGAGCAGCAGCACGCCTGTCGCCGCCATCGCGGGGGGAGTCGTCGGAGGCGTAGCCGCGCTCGGGCTCGTCGGCCTGGCGGCATTCCTCTTCATCCGTCGTCGACATAGACCACAGGATGCTCCTCCCAACGCAACCCTAGGCGGAAACCCTCCTCAAGACCAGACCCCTCCTGCCCCTGGCGGAGGCGGAGCTGTGTATCCCGCGGGCGTGCCGGCTGCATATGCCCCCGTGCAGATGCAGCAGCAGGGTTATGACGCGCAGCACATGAACCAGTATGGACAGCAGGGCGGCGTCTATCCGCAGCAATACCAGGGGCAGTATCCGCCACACCACCAGCAGCAGTATACTTATCCTGCGGGGGTGAATGGTTCAGCGCCGGGCGTGTTCAAGCAGGGTGATTTGTCGCCGCAGCAGCAGCATTCGCCGCATCCGACGGAGTTGGCGGCCACGGCTGCTGTTGGGGCGGAGACGAACAGGGCGGAGCTGTCCAACTAGAGGGAGATGTAGAACTGCGATATTAGGGTCGAGGACTGTTGGATATGATGTTTGTATCATGATATTGGTTGGAGCTATGTAGGTCAATGTCAGTCTTGTTCGGTAGAGCTCTTGGGTAAACAGCTTGAGATGGAGTCATGAAAGGGTATGGAACATAACGAGGGGCGCCTTTGTTTGTTCTCAAGGCGCAGGGTATATAATTGATGTATTAACATTGAGAATGTACGATCAGTCCAGAAAAGACGACGAGTAAAGGCACAATGACCCGTTGACGCTTTCGATGGGGTATTCCAACAACTTGACTTGCGACCGTAGCTCTACTCCTTTGTCGCCCTATCCCAAAACTGCGGCCAGTTGACGACCGTGTTGGTCGTGCGGGCCTCCTCAGCGGCAAAGACCATTGCGTGGCTGCGAATGACCTCTTCCACGGTGCACCCGACAAACTCGTTCTGTGCCTTTTCCGCCTCCCATCCATGGTTCTTGACGCGGTCGCAGGCCAGAACAAACTGCCTCGTCAGGCCCAAGTCGCCACCGCCATGCCCCTTGTGTTCGACATGAGGAGTGTATACCGTCTGCTTCTTGGTGTTGAAGTCCTCCACGACAATCTTTTCCGAGTCCGTGTAAATCTCGCCGTGCTCGCCGTAAAAGTAGGAGAAGCGGTAGCACTGCTTCTTGGTCTGGGCCACCATCTGAATCGTCACCCGCTTGGCGGGCTTGACAGACTCGGGCCAGGTAATCGTGACGAACTGGTCGTCGCACACGTCATTGTCTGCCTCAAAGACGCATCGTCCGAACCAGTTGCGCGAGCTGACTTGGTCCCTCGGGGTAGACTCATCATAGTCTTCCTCTAGAGCCTTGGTGACGGCAGCACTGCGCTCGTCCAGGGTCTTGTAGTCTTCAATGTCGTGCACGACGGTGGTCAGGGGCCAGTCCGTGTTGCCAGTCCCGACTCCCTCGCAATTGGCGCTCAGATATACATTCTTGGCGGAATACTTGCAGCCCGAGTCGCCCAGGGGACACGTCATGCAGTTGGTGGCCGATCCAGCGGCAGCAGGCTTGCGGCTCTTCTTGAAGAACTGCAGGCCGCCAGAGGACGAGACATACTCGGGCAGATGGGGCTCGCCTTGGCCCGCCTTTTCCGGCGAGCAGAGCAGCCACAGGATGAGGTCGACGTCGTGGCAGCACTTGGTCAGCAGCGACGGGCCCGACGTCTTTGAGTTTCTCCAGTTGCCTCGCACGTACGAGTGCGTAAAGTGCCACCATCCCACGGGCTCTGTGTGGACGACGCTGTTGATGTCGCCAATGACCTTGTCCTCGACGAGCAGCTTCCTCAACATCATGTTGTGAGGGCTGTAGCGCAGGACGTGGCCAATGGAGAAGATGCTGGATTTGAGCAGGGGCTTGAGGGACTTGTATATGTCGAGGCAGTCTTCCAGGGATGGCGCAAGAGGCTTCTCACACATGATGTGAAGGCCCAGCGGTGCCAGTCCGACAACGACTTCTCGGTGCATCTGATCCTGGACACAGACAAAGGCGCCATCGACTCCTTTGGGGACATTGCTCTCGCCGTTGGCAACCCGCTGGCGCCGCTTCTGCTCGTAGTCGACAAAGTCACGCCAGTCTTTGAATATCTGGCCTTCTGCAGGGTTGTTGGTGCCCCAGATGTGCTGCTTTCCCAGCGTCTCCCGTCGATACGTGTCGGGATCAGCCACGGCTGCCACGACGCCGTTGCTGGCGATGTCGATGCCCCTGGCGTAGCCGATTCCTCGGGCTCCGGCGCCGATGATGATGAAGCGAGGAGGGTCCTCGGACATTTCAGGCCGCGGGAGCGGCTTCACATGGGGGTCGTTGGAGACCTTGAGCGAGGCCATGGCAATGACGGACCTGAAGCTGCTTGGGAGTCTTGTTGATATCGGCCGAAGGAGGCTGAACTGCCGTCGATGGATGCAGAACCCGAAGTATATGAAAGCTCCGTATTGGTATAAATAGTGGCCATCAGCCGTTTAGCCAGGGACGCCATCAATGAGCTCTAGCAAGAGGCTTTATCCAATCAGCTTCAGCTGATTCAAAGCATCGCAAGCATTGGACAGACAATGTTGCAACGTTCCAGTGCTGGAACCGCTAGCGATGAGGGGGAGGAGCATCATGGCGCAGCTTATCGAGGCCTTGCTTGTATGGATGGGGAAAGACTTGAGGGGGGAGAGAAGAGGCCCGGATTGAGGGGAAGCGGAGAGAGGAGAGCCTTGGATGACTGGTGGAGGGCAGCCACAGCGCCACATGGCTGCGAGTACAGGGGGCTACAAGGGCCCTGGATCGCTGATTGCTGGGCCCACCGGTCGCTAAAGCTGCAGGATAGGGCGCTGCAGGGCCTGAAGAGGGGCCTGAAGGGGCCTGACGCTGCAGGCAGTGGAGGATACCTGTACCAGACCCAATAGCTCGAGTTTTCTGATGGCTTCCTCTCGGATCGACAACACACGATTGGAACTTGAAGAAGAGCTGCCCGTCGCCAATGCTGGGGATCCATTGCTTGGGCAAAGACTATTATCACTCTCCCTGTTTCTCTCTCTTTTCCATCTCTTTGTCCAATTTCCCCGCCGTTCAGGCTCAAACTCAAGCTTGGGAATCAACGCCTGCTGTGTGGTTACATCCGATCGTCGAGCATGCCGGTATCCGAGTCTACCAGCCAGGCCGCGGCCATGGATGACGCCCTAGTTTGGATCGATTGTGAGGTGAGAGAGCATGATAGAATGTCGACGGTTGGCACACTTGGTTGTCCATCTGGAAGCCCAACCCTCTACTGATCTGCGTGCTTACCGCGGTGATGCCGTTGACGTGCAGATGACCGGCCTGAACCCAGACACGGAGGAGATTCTGGAAATCTACTGCATCCTGACGACGGCCGACCTCGACATCGTCGACCCCGAGGGCTTCCATGCCGTCATCCACTGGCCCAAGTCGCGGCTGGACCAGATGGACGACTGGTGCACCAACACGCACGGCAAGTCGGGCCTGACGGCGGCCGTCATCGCCTCGGACACGACGCCCACGCAGGCGGCAGACGCTCTGCACCGCTACATCACGCGCTTCGTGCCCAGGCCGCGCACGGCGCTGCTGGCGGGCAACAGCGTGCACGCGGACCGAGCGTTCTTGCGAAAGGAGCCGTTCGCAAAGGTCGTGGAGCATCTGCACTACCGCATCCTGGACGTCAGCTCCATCAAGGAGGCTGCCCGGCGGTGGAGCCGGCCAGAGGTGCTGTCGAGGGCGCCGGCCAAGATGGGGCGCCACAAGGCCAGGGACGACATTCTGGAGAGCATCGAGGAGGCGAGGTACTACCGGGACGTGATTTTCAGGGCAGCCTCATTGTCGTCAGCGGCCTCTGGGGACAGTGGTTCGTGACGATGCTGTCTGTACCTACTTGCTCCGTACGATACTCCATATAAAGAGTAGCAAAACCTGCTCCATGTCAAGGCTCCCCGTTCGCCGTCGCTGTTCTCCGTTACCGCAGAGACCCAACCACAGCCAGAACCACAAAGAAAAAAGCACCCGATTGCGCCTGTTTGATGTCATTGTTGGTCGACAGCTCGGCTTCTCGTTGGACAAGGCGAGCTCCGTCGGCATTGGGAGGGTCGTGCTGGCACTGTAGCATGGCACTGTACTTGTGACCCTACCCAAGCCCATATTGTACAGTGCAGACGGCTCCCCGCCAGCACCGTCTGCCCCTCCACCATGCTCAAATCCCCACCACAGAAGCAGAGCTCCCCTCATCGCCCCTTATTAGTAGAGCTTGCCATCCCCTATTATCCCGCTTGCTTCAGCTTCTCTCGAGGCAATTTGGCGATAAAAAGCTCTTCATTAGCCTGTTGCTATTGCTTCTCGTTCTCCTCCATCCTCACTCTTATCCTCACCCTAGATCTCGTCTCTCCACCCTCCGCCATGAGCATCCAAACTGTCCAGTTCGAGCCCTTCCAGGACCAGAAGCCCGGAACGTACGTCATCGACTTGCTCTCTTCTCTCTCTCTCTCTTCCACGCGCAATCGAGTGGGAATCGCTGACACGAAGCTGAAAACCACACAGTTCTGGCCTGCGAAAGAAGGTCACCGTCTTCCAGAAGCCGCACTACAGCGAGTCCTTCATCACCAGCATCCTCCTGTCCATCCCCGAGGGCGCTGAGGGTACGAATCACCCCCATCCATACCAACACCACCATCGCCGTCAACATGTTAGAAGCAGCCCCATGCTAATGCTCTGCTCCTCCGCTCTTCAGGCGCTTTCCTCGTCATTGGTGGTGATGGCCGCTTCTGGAACCCCGAGGTCATCCAGCTGATTGCCAAGATCAGCGCCGCGTACGGCGTCAAGAAGCTGCTCATCGGCCAGAACGGCATCCTGTCCACTCCCGCAGCCAGCCATGTCATCCGCCTGCGCAAGGCCACTGGCGGCATCCTGCTCACCGCGAGCCACAACCCCGGCGGTAAGTCCCTCAAGCCGTCAGTTCATCAGGTCAAAAGGATCAAGAGGTGCTGACGACGACATTTGTTTCCAACAGGCCCCCAGAACGACTTCGGCATCAAGTACAACCTGTCCAACGGCGGCCCCGCCCCCGAGTCCGTGACCAACAAGATCTACGAGACGTCCAAGAGCTTGACCTCGTACAAGATCGCCTCGATCCCCGATATCGACATCTCCACCATTGGCACCAACACCTATGGCTCCCTCGAGGTCGAGATCATCGATAGCACCGCCGACTACGTCGCCATGCTCAAGGACATCTTCGACTTCGACACCATCAAGAAGTTCTTCTCCTCCCACCCCGACTTCAAGATCCTGTTTGACGGCCTGCACGGCGTCACGGGCCCCTACGGAAAGGCCATTTTCGAAAAGGAGCTTGGCCTCACGGGTGCCTGCCAGAACTGCGAGCCCAGCCCCGACTTCAACGGCGGACACCCCGACCCCAACCTGACCTACGCCCACTCCCTGGTCGAGGTGGTCGACAAGAACAAGATCCCCTTTGGCGCTGCCTCGGATGGTGACGGCGACCGCAACATGATCTACGGCGCCAACGCCTTCGTCTCTCCCGGAGACTCGCTCGCCATCATCGCCCACCACGCCAAGCTCATCCCCTACTTCCAGAAGAACGGCGTCAACGGCCTGGCCCGATCCATGCCCACCAGCGGCGCCGTCGACCTGGTTGCCAAGGCCCAGGGCCTCGACTGCTACGAGGTCCCCACGGGCTGGAAGTTCTTCTGCGCCCTCTTCGACGCCAAGAAGCTGTCTATCTGCGGTGAGGAGAGTTTCGGCACCGGCAGCGACCACATCCGTGAGAAGGATGGTCTGTGGGCCATCGTCGCCTGGCTGAACATCATCGCCGCCCTGGGTGTCCAGAACCCTGAGGTTACCCCCTCCATCAAGCAGATCCAGAAGGACTTCTGGAAGCAGTACGGCCGCACATTCTTCACCAGATACGACTACGAGAATGTCGACTCTGAGGGTGCCAACAAGGTCGTTGGCGAGCTCGAGGCTCTGGTCAAGGACCCCAAGTTTGTGGGCAGCACCATTGGTGGTAAGCATCTCCTTTTTACGTTGAATGAAACCAACAACAGCAGCAGCATCATCATCTGACATGTCTTTGTGAACAGAGCGCACCGTCACCAAGGCCGGCAACTTCTCCTACACCGACCTGGACGGCTCCGTCTCCTCCAACCAGGGCCTGTACGCCGGCTTCTCCTCCGGCAGCCGCATCGTTGTCCGTCTCTCGGGCACTGGCTCGTCCGGCGCCACCATCCGCCTGTACATTGAGCAGCACACCGACGACCCCTCCAAGTACGATCTTGATGCCCAGGACTTCTTGAAGGACGAGGTCAAGTTTGCGACGGAGCTGCTCAAGTTCAAGGAGCACATTGGCCGTGACGAGCCTGATGTCAAGACCTAAAGCTGCGGCGGTGATGGCGGGAATGATGGAAAGGAAGTTGTTTTTGTTTACGTTTGTGTAATGAAAGCGTAGTGCATGGGAGGCAAGTAACCCGGAAAATCGCACGAGATTATGCCCAGTAAATAGTTTGTTTAAAAGCAATGAATTACAGAATATGATGTTCATAAATGACATTGAGCCTATAAATCGTAGAGAGAACCAACAACATCGAAAAAAAATACGTCATCATCGTCGCCGTCAACTTGCCATAGCCTGGGGAATTTTGACGTATCTGAGGGCAAGCTGAAGTCCATGAAAAAACATCAACATAGTTGAAGATCCACGGAATAAAACACCACGCGAAAGAACATTGAAGGAGAAAGGAAAAAGAGCCACAAGTCAGATCGTAAACAAAAACAAACAGTTTCTGGGTAAAGGCGAGCATCATCAGTAACCCCGCTCATGTATAACTTTGTCGCTGCAGAAAGAAAGAATATCAAAACGCCAAGTCGCCTTGCAGCAGAAAAAGTTATAAGCGTGGCAGGTCGTTAGTTCATATATCGTCGTAAAGATGCGTGTAACAGAGATTGTTGAGAGGGTATAAGCGGAGAAACAAATGGACTGTGTGGCCAGGGTTGCTAGGGCAGAGTCGTCGAGATGGACTGATCAAACCAAAACCGTATAACAAGGTGAAAAAACAGGAGAAAAAAAAATATCAAGTCAAATCGCTCGAAATCAGGCTCGTGGAGTTGTTGGTCGAGATACGATTCTGGGCGTGATTGGTCTTGGGGTGATGGGCCGCGACATGTTTGACTTTGTCGGAATAGGGGTGAAGAGATCTTTGAAGCTTTGAGCGGCTATCACAATGTCATTAGCGGTCTGTTACCTTCAGAGATAGCAAGCACCAGGGGAAAGTAAAAATGGTGTCGTACCTTCCTCGCTGTAAAATTGAATCTCAAAGGAGCCTCCCGAACCCTTGCGCTGCGACTGTTGTCGGTACTGCTGACAGAACACGTACAGCTGGACGTCGGCCAGGCGGATCCTCTTGCGGCTGACGCGCTTGAGCCAGGTGGGCGACGCAGATTGATGGGTCACTTATCAACGATCTGTTAGTCGCCATTCCACGTCGATTGGAATGTCAAGGAGTAGGAGTGAAACTCACCAAAGGCTGTCCAGACAGGGCATTGGCGCAGCTCGCCCTCCCAAACGGCGACGTGGATGCGGCGGCCGCCTGTATACTTGTCTTCGTAAACGATCAAGGAGTGCTTGAAGCCGTCGTCTAAGATACACCTGCTCTATAGTCAGCAACGGGGCCGGCAGTGCTCGCAACAGACAGACGAGACTCACGCTTGAAAGAGCTTCTTTTCACCCTTGAGGGCGTATTCTTTGGTTCCCAGCTGGACCGTCAACGTGTTGCGGGACTTGAGGGCCAGGAACGTGCAGTACATGAGAATGAGCTCTGGAGATGTCGTGTTAGTGGCGAACAATCACAACGTCCATAGCTGCAATGAAGGCATCATCACCAAGGCTGATTGATGCAGCACAGAGATAAGCTGAACATACCTTCCCACGTCTGGAAGCGCAAAGTTGCCCAGAGCTTGGAGCAATTTTCGGATCGACTCCATCTCTTGAAGTGGATGGCCTCGTTTTCACGCTGGATGCACAGCTCGTGGACTCCGCGAAGCGAGAACCATGGTCCGCCCATGTAAAACGTTCGAAGAAGCAGATAGGGCGACCCATCCCGACCATCTGAGTAAGCGATAAGGGAAATCTTGTCATCATCAATGGGCCTGTCGTCTTGAATGAGCAAGCTTGCGAATGGCTCAAGGGAGAAAGGAACGCTTGTATGGGTAACCTACCGTCTAAACAAAACTTTGGAATTGTTGGGGATGCTGAGGTGACCCCATGGTCGATGTGGTCCAAACGACTCCGACCTGTCAAATGTCACGTCGATTAGTTAAGCTCACTATACCAGGGCGGCTGTCAATACTCACGGAAGATGGCTTTTGAAAGGCGAGCGAGAAGGCAATGGCAGGGAGAATATCTGCTCGGACCAGTGGATAGACTGCATCAACACATTGTTAGCTCTACATGGTTGTTCGTCAACCCGGGAGAGTCAGGCTGCTTTACCGGGTCCGTGTCTGCAGGCGGTATGGCGCCGTAGCGAACCAAGGGACCGGCTTGGATAGGGGGCGGAGCTGCTCATTTAGGTAGTCAGTGTCGATGCTTCTTATTCTCGATGTTGTGATCTTGTTCGCACTTACGAATTCCTCTTGCTTCTCGCAAATTCATGATCTGCAGGCGGAAGGCTTCCATCATGTTGAGGTCGAAATTAGGAGATCTGGAGAGGCAAGTCAGCAGCTTGAACTTTGGATCTAAGCCACCAAGGCGTCATACCTGGACAGCAAATCCCGAATGGCAGCAAGATAATGGTTATAAACGACAAACCGCTGCGGCAGCTGCAGACCGCCGGCCTCGTTGGTCATCTCATGGAACATTGTTCGCCATCGGTTGACTTTGGTCAACTTTTGATTCTCATAGTGCGTGGTAATGTCCCGTAGAGATCTAGACATGCAAGGCAGCACGGTGTTGAGAGGGTCCAGAACCAGTGGCACGCGGTCATGGTGAACTTGGGAGAGGTCGGCCAACTCGCGTAAAAGCAAGCTCGAAGTCCTGATTTCGTCGATGAGTGGCCTCAGGTGCCGGCGGTTTGCTTCTGGCAGGGCAATGAACAGGCCCTCGAGCCGCAGCCAGACACTGTCCGACCTGTCCGCCTCCAAACAGCACCCATTCAGCAGATGGGCGTCAACCAGAGAGGCATCTTCAATAGGCGACGAGAGCTCCATGGTGTGATTAAACAGATGATTATGTGACGAGTGGTAATAAAAGCAATACGAAGAAAAAATAGAAAGGGCAAATCTGGAAAAAGAGTCGATGAGACCTATTCAAGCATGACCAGTCGGGATGAATCAATGTTCGGCGGGTCGAGATGAATCAAAAGTGTCGAACCAGTCGGCGGCTCGACCCTATGTCTCTCTACTCCTTCTCTGCGGATATGCTGTTGGTCAAGCCGGTTCACGCACCGGAACCGATGGATTTTGGCTGGCCTTTACCAACAGCTAGCCTCTATACGATATAGGTACGATTGGAGCACAACGATGCTAGACGGTCGAAGGAAAGGGGAAGTAGTATAATGTGCGTGCAGAAGAAACTCTCTGGCCAGCTGTTGCAGCACCAGAGGCAGTCAAAGAGAGCCAGATAGGATCCGAAAGATGGGGTCGGAGCAGATCAAATCGAAACGTCGGAGTAGCAGGGTGGACCGGCAGTTTAAGTCGGGGCGGGGGGGACTGAGAGCAGGGCATGCAACATCAGAAGCCGGAAGCGTGGAGGGGCATCTGTCTCCCACACCGGTGGCAGCCCAACGCATGGGGATGATGGAAAGCAGGGAGAAGGGGAGAGTGATCAAGAGGCAAGGGCATCACCAATGCAGCAGCAGCTTTTGGGCCTCTGCGGCACTGCAACACTGCAACACATGCGGCACCAGCAGATGCCAGCGTGTCCGGCATAAATTGTGCACATGCTGCTCTCCTGCTGCTTTCCTGCTTCGCTCTGCGTCTCTCGAGCCCGAGTCGCCGCCGGCGGTCGAGCAGCATCCATCCATCGGATGACCAGCTGGTGCATCGCCAGAGTTCCACCACGAGGAGGGAGAGCCCGTCACCCCATTTGCGGGTGGCGGATGCGAGCCAGAGGAGGCTCGCAGCAGCGCCAGCAGCTCACAGTCTGCCACGAAAGCAAGCGTGTGTCGACCCGACGGTTTGCGGTGCATTGGGCCGGCACTTGCATGGCGCGATGCAGCAAAGCATGTTCATGTTCGTACAAGCACGCAGCCAAGCAGCCATCTGTTCCACCGAACGGAGGCCAGCGTCTGCACCAATTGGCTCGCTTGGGGTGGAGGCGTGATGCTTGCCAACAGATTAGCTGCCGGCATCTGATTGAGCGGTGATGCTCGCGAGCTTTAGCCCGTTGCGAGGATGTGGCTGGAGCATGGGGTTGGTCGTTGTCGAGGCTCGGTGCTTGTGTGGTTGGACTAGCAGCTCGTCAGCCTCTTCTTGTGGTAAACTGTTAATGCAAGGGATGTGAGACGAGGGAGGGGGAGAGGAAGAGCTGTGGCGAAGGAGCCGCAGAGCCGCCCTTGATGCTGAGGCTGGTGCCAAATGGCGGAGTGGTGGAGAGCAGAAAGGCGAGCTTACTCACGGCCCGGCCCTCCGTCGACCGGTTCTGCCCCCAAGCTTCGTGTGTTGCAGCAGCACTTCTTGCAACCATCGTCGCCATCCCTTCATTTTCTCTGGCTATGCTCACACTTCAGACTTGCAAGCTGACGGAGGTCGCTTCCGGGTTCCGGAGTCGTGAGGCTCCGCAAGCTTGGATTGATCCGAGCCGATTGCACACCGCCACCTCCTCCACCGCCCATCGGGATGCAGCCAGTTTACTGCCAGTCATATCATATGAGGAGCAGCTTAGTCACGATCTTGTGAGGCTGTTGAGAACGTGGTGAAGCGTCCTGAGAGGGAAGTGATGAGTGTGCTGATTGAAAATCTCTTGATTGACGTTAAACTGGAGGCGCGTCTTCAGTTGGTATAGAAATAACCTAATCTCTTCCAGGACAGTGCACGCAAATGTGGCAAATTGATCATGTTGTATTGATATTCTCAATTCATGGCATCGTGGCTTCATTGTTATTACGATGAATGAAGCTCACGCAGTTGTGTGATATCGCATTGTAGCTCTGCCGGCCACTACCCCGTCCACAATTACAAGCATGCGAGACCCTGTTCCGTTGAATTTCCGGCACCTGAAAGCAAATAGTACGCAACCCATTCCGTGCATTCGTACAACACCGTCCTGCCCAAAAGACTGAAGAAGAAATCGACATCACCAGCCAGGGCCACGAGGCGAGCGGCCGGTTGCCGTTCTCCTCAGCCCAAGGCTTAATGAATCATTGCTGAAAGAACCACCATAGTCATGATCCTGGATTTTCCACCACGGCTGGCCCCCAGCTTACGATGAGTCCTCCTCCTGATCGGCCTGTCCAGGCGGGTCAGCACGCGTCTCATCGGAGGCCAGTCGACTCAAGGACTAACGTTGTAAGCCTGCTTCTCATCCTCGTAGCGCTTCTTGTCGGCGGCAGCCTTGGCCTCATAAGGGGCACGCTGCTTGTCGTTGAGGGCCTTCCACCGCTCGCCGAGAAGCTTGCCGACCTGGCCGAATGAGATGCCGGGGTTCTCCTCACGCACGTTCTCACGCTGCTCGTTGGCGAAGAACATGTAGGCGGAGAGACCGCGCTTGGGAGCGTTGGGGTCTTGCATCAAGTCAGCCACGAAAGGGTCCTTTGACGTGGAAAGACAGAAGACGTGAACATACCCTTCTTGGTGCGCTTCTTGCCACCGTCCTTGGCACCACGCTTTCCTGCTGCGGCCTTGGGCATTTTGACTGTGTGATTTTTCTTAGACAGACGGCGTTAGTTGTGCATGGATAAAAAGACGCGGAGAAGCGAATGAAGCCATGTTCAGAACGAGAAGGAGTGTGATGAGTCGGGCGCAGCCACAATCCCGCAAATGGTAGCGACTAAGCTTCACCCCAAAGGCAAAACAGACGACATGGCCAAAGTGGGATGTGGAGAGGTAGAGGCGGAGAGGTTAAGGATAAAAAGGGTAGAGAGGTAGAGGGGTAGCTTCTGGGGGTGCAGCTCATTGAGCTTGCCATGAGGTAGCGGGCGAGGCGATGGAGTGCAATTGAAGGTGGTTGCGCGGCAAAAACGGGACTTGAAGCTCAAAAAGTGCAACAAAGAGGCCATCTTCATACTTTGAAGAGGTTTTTGGTGCCTTCCGACCGACGAGCGTGGTTGCGATGTCGAGGTTCTTGACCTCTCCAAGCGACCGCCCGGGCGAGCGCGTAGCTGCGCTTTTGCTGAGGATGCGCAGGCAAGCGAGGATGTGTGATGGGAAGAGGCAGAGATGCAACGAAGGGTGCAGGGCCGCACTTTGGCAAAAGCACAGCTGCAGAGGCAGAAATGAGGCAATGAACAATGGGAAAAACAGTCAAGACCAGCGAAACGAAGGCAATGCGCGCGGCAGGCGACGTTGTTGCTGGTGACCTGGTGTTTGGCTGTGATGCAGGGCGACGGCGAGGTACTCACCAGATAGGCGCGTTGTGTTGCGACGAAGACGCGGGTGCTGTGGTTTGTATGGGAGGATTTTGTATGGGAGAATTTGTATGGGAGAGGGAGAAGGGGAGCGAGTGTGTATGGGGAGAGGGCCAAGCAGCCTTTTTACTATGGGCGAGTGATTGAGTGCGGGCTGCCGAGGGAACGCGCACACGCGCCAGACTGGCCTAAAGGCCGTGATTCAACTCGTCTAGTTTCTAGTCAGCAGATTGGATAGGATGTATAAAAATGTCACTATCCCTAGATTAGTAGGGATTTGCAGCATAAATGCAGGAAAAAATACCTTACTAAGAATAACCCTAGAACTCCCCCTGCTATTAATATACTATACTAGCAGGGGCTGTGTATATTTTTATAAAAGGCATAGTTACTAAGAAAATTATAATAATTCTGCTAAATTTAAAAGACAGTAAGTATAAAAGAAAACTATTTATACTTATATTAAATTATATATATACTATTTTACTAGTTTATTAAACTTTAGCTAAGTTTATTATAATGCTATAAACTTAATTACAGGCAATATCTTAAGCACTAGTTAGTTAATGCTAAATACTATTATTAACTGCTGTAAGGCTTAGGATAACCTTTATATAGCTATTTTTATATTAGTATTTATTACTATAATAGTTAAGCCTGTTAATAAAGACTTACCTAAGATACTGCCTATTAATAAAGAGGTATTAGATAGTGTTAAAAATACTAACCCTATCTCTTAAAGCACCTTTATTACTTTAAGAGAATACTATAGGCAGCTCTTAGGCTTGCTAAATGCATTATTTATTACCCTCTTTTATATAAAAAAGGCTGTGTTTTTTAACCTTTATTAGTGGCTGTATAATAATACTAGTGTAATAGGGAACTGGCAGTAGTTAATTAAGTAGAAGGTTATAATCTTCTTATAGATTTATGCATATAGTAAGCCTTAAAAGAATATAGTATTATGCTTTTAGATAAGCTAAAGTATAGTATTATAAGTCTTTTATAAATTAAAGGATCCTATATAGCGACTTTATATATAATTTATTTAGCAGCTAGATTTAATATATCTCTTGCCTACTATTAAGCTTAACGCTAAGTTCCTTACCTTTAATAGCATAATTAAGGCTATTAATAAAATACTTATCCTAGCTTATATCCCTTTAGTATATTAGTAAAAATTCTAGTTAAGGAAAAATAATATTTTATAAAATATATTTATAGCTATTATTTTTAATAGCCTATTTAGCTATATTCTTACTAGTGCTAAGGGATTTATTAATAACTTAGCTTTTTTATAGCATATACTAATATAGTTATTTATAATACCTTTTATATAATATTAGCTAGGTAATGCTAGCTTTAGTTTTTAAGTTAGTGTAATAACTCCTTATAGTAATAATATATATTATTATTTATAGGACTAGGGAATAGCAGACTAACGCCCTTAAAATAAAAAGGAACTTTTTAACTTATAGCATTTTTAAAAAAGAATTATTATTAAGTAAGTCTTTAGTAAATATAAGCAGAAGTAGAAGATTATATACTATAGCGCTATAAAGTATAAGTTCTTAAACTAGATTTATATTATATATGCAGTAACTAGTCTATTTAACTTTATTAAGCTTAAAGGGAGAATATTAAAGTAGTACTATAAGGAGGAATAACTTATCTTAATTAATTATAAATAAGATCTTATAAATTTAGCCTAAGAATATGCTAAAACTATTATCCTGCTATTAAATAAGGATGCCTTATATAAGTATATTACTTTATAAGCCTAGAGATATTATTAGCTTTATTTAAAATATAGTAATAATAATACTAAATTCTTTAATAGTAACTTTAATAACTCTAGTAGCAATCTTAGTAATAATAGTAATAATAGGATTAATAGTAATAATAAGGGTTAATAGTAATAATAAGAATAAAGAAAAGCTTAAGGCAGGTATTTAGGGCTAGATTTAATATTATAAAGCAGAATTTTAAGGCAGAGTGAATATAATAAAGCAGGAAATTAATAATCCTTTTACTAGGCATTATATTTTTAAAGCTATTTACGCTTTAATAAAAAGAAATTATAAATTTATAAGAAAATTAATTACTAATTATGCATTTTTTACTTCTTTTAATAGTATTAAATTCTATATTAATAGATTTAGCGGATTTTTATAAATTTAATACACTAAATAGCTTATAAAAGCCATGCCTTATTCCTTTATAAAAAGGAAGTAATTTTTTATTACCTTTTTAAAGTCCTCTGCTTTAATAGCCTGTTAGTTATAAATAATATAATACTTTATTAGCTGCTGCTATAAGTTATATACTGTAAGTATAAAAGTAAGCTTATAAAAGCTATTAGCTATTATAACCTCCTTTATAGCTTTTTTCTTTTTCTTAGCTATAAGGCTATTAGCTTAAACTGCTGCTAATAATGTTATTAATAATAATTATAATAGTTTAAAAAAGGCTGCCTAAAGCGTTAATAAAAGTGGCAGTAATGCTAGTATTAGTAATATTATTATTAGCTAGCTGGCCTTATTATTATTATTACTGCTATTAAGTGTTATAGTAAGGTCACTAGGTTTATTAGTAATAGTAATAGGCTAAGTTAAATCCTCTGCTTTAACTTAAGAATTTATTAAACTAATAATATCTCTTAGGTTAGTGTTTTAGCTGTTTATTATAAAGGCAGTCTTATTATTTATATTTATAATATTCTTACTAGCAGGCAGGTTATTTAAAAATATCTCTAGCTATAACTTAAAGGTAATGCTATTATTAACAGGGAGACCTTTTTTAATAACCTAACGCCTAATAGGATTATGCTATTAAATAACTAGATCCTAATTCTGCTAGCTTATTAATAGCTTCCTAGTCTTAAGGTTATATAAGGTGCTAGATATCTTCTTAGCTATTAAAAAAACTTGCTAGAATTTCTTTAAATACTAATACTTATTTTCTAGTTACTTAATCTTTTAGAGATGCCTTAGAAAGCGCTAAACTATATATAGAAGGAGGCTTTATAAACCTTCTTATAAGTATACTTTTTTTAATAAATTTATTAGGCCTTACTGCTATGCCTTAAAGAGTAGTAAGAGGAAGTAGAGGGTCTGCTTATTTAACTACTTAATAATTATATGCGTAGATATGCTAACTTGCAATAATAAGATAGCTGACGTTTAGCTTATAGTAATATATAAAATAATAGTAATACTATATAAAAGGAGGTATCTCTAAGTATAAAAGGAGGAGAGGCGTTAAATAAAGTTAAAATTAACCTAAAGGCAGTAAAAGTAAGGTATCTAGTTCTAGTCTAGCCTTATTACCAGGGTGTTTATAGTATAAGATATGCTGACCTGTAAATTTAATTAGCAAGATATATCCTTTTTAGCCGGCTTACTAAGAAACTAGACAAGTTGAATCACGGCTAAAAAGCTACCACCCACACACCAGCGCTGGCCTCTGCCCACGCTCGCTCACACTTTTCTGAGGGCTCCCCTACCTACTCCGTACTATGGAGGTACCTGCTCCTGGAGGGGTGACGGGTTCTGGCCCGGGTTGGGGGGGGTATGCACTACCTTCCATACTACTGACGCTGGGGGTACCTGCGCCGTGGCCGCGCCGCCGCTGGTCGCTGAGGTACCGCCCGTACTGGGTACGGAGTGAGCTGGCTGGCTGGCGCTTCTGGTGCTACTGTGCTAGGAGCTGCTGCTGCCATGGGTTCGAGGGCTGCGGATGGAGCACGCAGCACTGCTAGTACGGGTACGGCGACAGGTACTCGCAGGTCCTGGCCGGGTCTGGAGCGCTGCAGCAGGCGCTTTCCCTGTGGCCGGTCCGCCTGGCACTGGGCGCACACTGGGCATCGCACACTGGGCTGCTGGGCTGCTGGGCAGCGCAGAGGTACTCGTACCTGCTGGCGGGATGTGCCCAGAGGGTGAGTACCTGCGGCGGCAGCACGAGGTAACAGAAGGGAGGAAGAGAGAGACGGGCGGTTCAGCTGTCTTGGTCGATGCTCATGTTACGTCTATCCGCAGCCAGGCTGTTGAGCTGCTCTACTATTCTTCTCTGTGTGCGGAATTTGCTCGTATTCACAAAGCTTGATTTCCTAGAGGTAGGTAGGTAGACAGCGTATTCGCAGAAGATCTATTGATTCTTGTATTCCAGCAGCATCTTGTCGGAACGCAGCGGCTCATACTTCGATATAGTAGGTATGATGGCCCAACACACGTCAGGTCGATATCAACAGCTTCTGCCCATCAAACCAAGAGAACTATCTATCTCGCTACTCTCGCCGCCTCCTCTGCCTCCTGCCACTAGCAAGTGGCTCAAACCAAAAGCTCCTCAGACCAGTGAAGCCAGCATTTCGTCAGTGCCCGTGCTGCTGCTTCATGCTACGAGTACGTAGCGAGCTCTCACCTGGCGATCCGGCAAGCCTCATGCGTCCGTCCTCTCCTAGCTGAGCTCCCCCGTGGTCTCTCTGTCGTCATGGATGCCGTGCACGTTACGATAGCAGCGGCAGTCACAGGCGAGCGCTGCTTGGCTTGCTGATTGCGCAATACTGTACAGGTACGAGGCCTGCTTAGCCGTCCCCTCCCACGGACAGTACACGCCCTTTGTACCCCATCGTCCGCCGCGCATTCGGCACTGTGTACTTGCCCCAACGCCAGACCTCCGCCCATCCTTGGGGTGGCTGTACTTGTACTCCGTTCCTGCCTCGTACTCCGTACCAACGACGGGAGCGTCTCACCGGAGCGAACCCACCACTGATTGCTCGGCCTTGACTTGCTCTTGCCTCCCTGCACCTGCACCTTGCCTGCACCTGCTTGCACCTGCCTGCTCTTTGGCTGGAGGAAGGAGCGACACCAAGACCAGGAGCTTCCCAATTGATGCCTCACTTCATAGTATCTGGATATTAGCTCACGTCAACAAATGATGAGGCCTTTCAACCTTGAATCCTATTTGTAGATACTGCTGTTCCTATCTAGGTACCTAGTACCTATTCCTTTCTCATTACCTACTTGCTCCTACGACACAAGGGCAATGCCAGGTTTCTGCTAGTACTACTGACACCCTCCTCCAAGTTCTCTCTGTCCTCTGGCGGTGCCACACCTCGATGACATTGCCCGCAGCGGTATCGAGTAGTACCTCGTACTAACAGAGCACCCATGTTCTTGTTTTGCCGGTTGCGCTGCGAGGGCGAGGGCGAGGGCGAGTGCAAACAACTCAGACATCCATCAGACAGCCAATTCCGGCAGTAGCACGCAGTCCGGAGCACCATTCGCAATAGGCTGGATTGCAAGGTGCGGAGTTACCACATGAAAAGGACATTGTGGCTTGCCCATGCCCTCCGTGGCTCTCGCTCGCGCCTCTCAGACAACTCCCTCCCATTGCTTGCTAGTACTGACGAGATAGACTCTCTGGCACTCTGTCCTAGCCCTGCAGCGTTTGTGTGGTTCGCACTCACCAGGTACTTTGCGATAGCGTGTTAAATATTGGGTGCAGCTCCCCTTTCTTCGCCAGCGCGTGGATGCGCTCACTGCTGTGGTCCCAGTACTTAGGTATGTACCTACTTGTCCTTGTGCATAATACTACCTGACCGTCAATATTGCTGCTGCAGGTAGGTATCGGCTTCCTGTGAGTCTCAAGTCGGCTCAGCGTGGATCCTCATTGGTGTTTACGTACGAGAAGGCGGACGAAGCATGGCATGGAGCAAAGGTACCAGTTGGTATTACGGACCGCTGGCAGATTGCCATTTGCGCCTAGCAAGGTTGAGACCAAGGCCAAAGGGCATGTGCGTGACCAGTTGCATGCGCTTCTCGACTTGCATGCGGAAATTGGGACGGCCGCGATTCCATCACAAAGGAGGTACTTTTCGCGACAATGACTGGGCCGAGCACGATACATCGTCCAAGGAGGCCGTGGAAATTGCTATGGGTGGCCCAGCCAGGCATGGAGCTTCTCACCTCTTGCTCCTCACTGCAACACCACACTCGCATTGGCGTGCCAGAGAGTTGCGCCGACTGCTGCCAGAGCTGTTAGCGTGGAGCTTCTTTCGTGTCTTTCCCCTCACACTGGTCTCACGACTGGAACCGGGGCGTGCTGGTCATGTTTTCCCTTTGCCACATGTGCGGCAAGGTTTTGGGCGATTTTTGGCAAGGCACGGAGGGAGTCGACGATCTCTGTTGAGATAAGTACTGTATGCAAGTACATACTCGTACTCTGCTCGACTCTGTTCCGCGCGGCTGATGCTCCGTATTGGGGGCGAATTGCTTGATGGCCCAGTCGGGCTTTGGGTCTTCTCGAAGCATTGCTGAAACGAGATGCGGCAACCAGGCGTGCCGACCGCTGACCATTGCCATTGGCACCAGTCGCTCTTTTGTCGCTGATTGCTCCATCGGCTGTTCCGTGCTAATAAGTGCTACCGCCATTAAAACTGCGCTTTCGGCAAAGACTTGGGCCCTCCGTACTCGTACGTGGCAGATGTTCGACAACCAAAAGTTGTCGAGACCCGCGCCGCATACAGACGGCCCTTGTTGACCATCTGCGGTACCTGATGAGATGAATCGCAGAGACAAGGCCAGACAAAGACCCCCCTTTGTGCTACTGGATCTAATACCACGGGCTAACGTCTTGCAGACGCATTTCTCGATGGGCAAGCCAAAAATGTCAAGGTGTTCAGGTAGGAAGAGCAATCCTTCTCTCCCCTTTGAGCATCATCATGAAGATGCATATCTAGGAACAGCCACTTCTCACCAACGTCGTGGATAGACTGCTTACTGCTGGTCGCTTCAGTTCCGAGTTGTTGCAAGATGGAGCCGCGGCGAGCGTGGAGGGTGGTGCCACTGCAGGCTAAAGGCAGAGTTCTGCCATGGAAAGGGTGTACTTGTAGTGGTGCATGACGAAATGTACCGTCATACGACTTTTGCAGGTACTGGTACTTGGCCCTTGGTACCCCTCCAACGGCAGCAGAAAGCGCGCGAAAACCAGCAGTGCTCACAGATATCGGCAACTACTGACTGGTCCGAGTCCTTTCATTTTCCTGGCCATTGACGGTCATACGCAGCCGCACCGCTAGTACAGTACTGTACTTCGTACTGGGAGGCGATGGACCGAAGCCGCTGGCGGGAGCACAGGCGTATCAGTTGCGCGGGATATCACGGGCAATGCAGCTGAGATGACCTAGTATCTCAAGGTTATCGGCTTCCTCTGCTCGCTCTGGCGAGTCTAGCTGGTTTACAATGCTACGAATGCCTTGTACGGAGCACCGTCCTCAATTGAACCTGCCGTGCGGCAAATGACAATACGGGCAAATGTCGCATTGCTGAGCAGGGAAGACGGTGGTTCAGAGTGTGACGTTGAGTCGACTTGTCTCGTTTCAGTACGACAAACAGCAGCCACCTCGAGTACGAAGCACGAATAAGGTATGTGTGTACGCGGACCTCGAGTGGCAACCCAACGCATCCGTTCATGCGAGTACTTTGTACGCCCGTCAAGACATGATCGTCTCATGTCGGCGTCTTGTCGAGTTAGGCATTCCTGACCGGGTGCGTACAGACTACTACTCTGAGCAGGACACGAAGGTACCATACGAGTACAGCGTCTGGTCAGCCATTCCGACGCCTGCAACATTCCGAGGCGAGATGAACACTTCCTTGCTGCAACGGGATACTTTACAAGCAGATGCCGAGGACGGCGCATTGGGCATCAGCACGAAGAGCAAGCGAGAACCACTTGGCTGCTGTTTACATGCAGATAGGTATTAGGTAGTACTGCTGTAGCTATCTTGCAACCAGCCACCTGGCAGATTTACGGACTGGCTGCATGTGCTGAGTACCGCCGAGTACCGTATCGGCAAGGGGAACTGAACGTTGGGTGCGGCAACATCGTAACCGTACAGTGCTCGTACAGAAGCTCAGCGCTCTGCCCCCGACATTTCCCACCAGGAGGAGCCCAGATGCGTGTCGCTCAGAGGAGCCGTCTCGCAGCGGAAGCAACAAGAAGCTCCAGATACTGTGCGGTACTTAGCCTTGCCGTATGTACTCGTACCTTGCAAGCATCGACCCTGGCGCGCGCTGGTTTTCTGGTGCTTCTTACACTCCCCACGCACGCCTCCCTCTGCGAAAATGCGTGGGTTATTACTGATCAGACAATGCCTGCTGCTACCAAGTGCGGCGCTCCACTCGTCGACGCCTCTTTTTTGTTTGCGTGGAATAAACACATCTCGTCAATAACAAACGCGCTCAATGCGCCTGATGAGGTCGACGGACTGGGAAACCTTTTGCTTTGCGTGAACAGCAACATGAGACGTCTGAGCATGACCGCGGCATCCAGGAGCTCATCTCACCATTCAGGCATCCTTTGTTGAAAGATCCCCCTCAAAGCTTCGATGAACAAGGAGCCAGATGTCCGTCACGTGGCTCCCATCAGGTTCATTGGGTGGTCATAGCTCCTGAATCCCCTTCTGCCGCACGCAAGGAACAAGGCACAATGCGTTTGGATTGGCTGCCCAGCGCTCCCAATCTCGCTCTGGGCCCCCATCATGCTCCATCCTCGAGGCTTGTTTTTTTCCTTCTGTCTCTCTGCCCCTGGCGTCGATTTTTCTTTTTTTCCTTTTTTTCCTTTTACCTTTTGGGACAGGGCAGGTCAGCTGCACAGAGCTTTTCTGATCTTGCGCGGGTGCTGGGTCCAGCCACTGATTAGTCATGCGTATATAAGGCTCAAGGCTCTTCTTCCCACCTGTTTCCTTTCATATCCAGCCCCACGCGTAAAGAGGCGCGTTTCAGTGAACCGACGCGCCATTGTGTAAGAACATGTTGAGCACTGCTGGCTGTGGCTGTGATGCGTGTCTTCGTCATTGTGAAGTCGTGTCAAGGTATCTCGTAGTGGATCTAGAGGTTCGTCTGACGCGCATCGACCCAACTGCCCTCTCCAGTCTGATGACCAGACCCAGACTGTTCCGAGGATGCAGTCCCCTGGAAGTAGGCGTCAGCCATGGACCTGGATGACTGGAAGCCGAGGGCAACGTCTTCAGATGCCGGACCCGATGGCGAGGAAGTTGCTTGCTTGCTACGAAAGTTTCGATGACACTGAGCTTTCCAACAGCCGCCGGCATCTACCTAGTCTTCATCCTCAGGGTCTAATACGATGTTGCGCAGCTCCTCATCCGCAGCCCAATCGACGCCACTGCCAGCAACGATGCCACTAGCTACGCCCTTCATGACCTTCCACCGCTGCCTGCTGGCCTTGACCTCTCTCGTCAGCTTGTCCATCTCCCGCTGGACGTCGGGATCGTCCAAGCGGACGGCCTTGCGCTGCTTGGCCTGCTCCGCGAGCTCGAATACCTGTGCCGTAAGCTTGACGTTCTCGCGGCATACGCGTATACTCTGCACCTGGACGCTGGCCAGGTCGCGGCGGAGCTTCGCCATGCTGTCTGCGTGCTTGGCTACCGAGATGGAGGTCTCATCCCTCTGCTCTATGTAGGGGAAGAGGTCTCTGTATAGTTAAACCCAAGAGTTAGCTGCGGGGGGCATCCAAAGCCATGAGACTCAGCTAGATTTGGATTGTGTGATGAATACGTGCCGCTCTATTGGTGATGCTTGTGTGCCGCTGTGGACGGCCTTGAGGATGGGGTTTGCCATCATGACGGCCTCGATTGCGTCGTTGCGTAGTCTGTATCTTGCTCGTGCTGTGAGAAGGGCGTTTTGCGCCGCTGTGAGGTCCCCATCATCTTTTACGCCTGAAGAGCCGGATGAGCAAAAAAATAAAAATAAAACCATGATCATCTTCGCAACGACAACGCGTCTGGCATGTGATATTCTTACCGACTTGCTGCGCGTTGATGATGGCGATCTCGAGCCGCAGCTCCTGCAGCCTGTCGTACAGCTCCAGCACCTTCGTCTCATCTTCGGAGAGGGGCAGACGCGATTCACCGCCGTCGACGCCGGTCATGGCTTCGTCGGTCTCACTCATATTGTTTGCTGGCGTGTAGAACTCGCTGCACAGAGAGGGTTGCTGATTTGTCGAATTGGCTGACTTGGAGTCTCGGGCGGTTCGGTTCGAGCTTTGTCCTATTTTTTGACTTCTGCAGCCCTTGACACACAATGGACTGAAAGAGCTCTTTGGTTGGCTTTCAAGGGTGCTTGTGGCGTTGCGCGATGCTTTTCGCTTTGTGCCAAAAGGCAAGCCACAGGTGGTCGCGGCTTATCTAATGCGCCAGGACGGAGGTCGGAGGACGGATGCGCAACTGCTACAAGAAGTCACAAGGCACCGGTCACACTACCTGACGTGACTGACTGTCGCTGATAAGGCAAGGCAGGGCATCACCAGCATCTGATTTTCTTTGGGCTGACAGCCCTGAGACGCCCCTTTTCCTTTTTCTGCCAGTTCTTCTTGTCCTGTAGAGACACGACTTTGGCTGTCCATTTGCTGCCGTCCGATCACGACTTTGATTCCGCCTCGAACTACTACCGCCTCGTATGAGCCCAGCGCCGCTCTGTGCTTGACGGGAGATGTCTTGGGATGGCTACACAGGTGTTGATTGCCCATACGGGCCAGCGGCTGGAGGTCGATACCGCGCAGTTTGCCAGGTAACGATGTTCCCCTTATGTTGTCGAGTCGTCGTCGTCGTCGTGTCCGTGGCGCATGGGTTGACGTGGTAGCAAATAGTCTTGACGACCTGCGATCGTGGGTGGCTCGGAATAGCGCCGTCTCGCTGCAGCACATTGTTGCCTTGACGCCCCAGGGCCGCAGCGTGAAGTGGGCGAGTCTTCACGCAGAGGTATGTGGTAGCCAGACATCCAATGGAATAGGAGAAGCTATCGCGGCTGACGCTCCTTTAGAAAGAGATATACATCTACGACATCCGTGTCACGCAGCCGTCGTCTGCCGGCAGTGCGTCATCGCTCATATCGGAGGTCGCGCCGCCTCGCCGCCAGTCCATCCCGAACGCCCCGAACTCGATCGACGATGTCCAATCCATCAAGTCATGGCAGGAACTCTGCAGGGAGCGCCGCAGCTGGGCGACGCGCATCATGGACGACTGCGCCCAATTGAACGCTGCCGCCCAGGCCCGATACGACGAGATTGACGTGATGATCCGATGTCTGGATGCCGCCGTTACGAATGTCGAGATCAGCGTCAAGCAGATTGAGCCAAAGTACAACGACTTGAAGAAATGGGTGACGCCGGCCTTGGCGGAACACGAGCAGCTGGTTTCTTCGTGGGAGCGGTATCTCGACCTGGCCAAGAGCATACCGATATCGCCTGCCTTGGTCAAGTTTATGACGCGTGGGCAAGTGAACAAGGCCAATCCTACACTGGAAGACTTGATCGAGCAGGAGACGGCCAACAAGGCTGGCAAGCTGGCTCCCACAGCCCATCGAAGGTTCAGCCAAAAGGCCAGCGAGCTGGATGGCGCGGCAACCCAGATGTACCAGGCGCTGGAAGCCCTCGTTGGCGACTTTAACCAGTTGATGAATCGGTCCCTCCTGGGCCACAGCACCGATTCGTCCCAGCTGATGGAAGATATCGAGGTGGTGGTTAAGCAGATCGACTCCGACTATCGTACATCGCTCAACTACGGCAACTCGCAGCGAGATCTCGCCCAGGCTTCCAAGACGGCGTCGATCCACACCGAAAGACTGGTCCCAACTCTGCGGAAGCGTGCAAAGGAAATGGATGAGATGGCCCAGTACGCCACGCAGTCGCGGAACACCATCGCGGCAGACTGTGTGAGCTTCATGCGAAACATCACCGAAATCACCACCCTACACGGCAGTGTCAGGAACCAGATCAACGTCTTGAACCAATCCGAAGACGACATGACAACCTTTGACTACCTGCGACTCATCCAACAACTGCCATACATGTATGCCTCCTTCATGGTCGAGGCCATCCGCCGGCGCGAGTGGATCGACAAGATCAAGACCGACTCGTCGACGCTTGCCAACGAGATGGCCCTGTTCCAGGATGAAGAATCCAAGCGTCGTAAGAAGTGGCAGAAGATGGTTGGCAGCATGTACGGGCCTGGACTTGACACCAATGTCATGGGGCTCGAAGTCAACCTCCGCGGCGAGGACCTGTCCTGGCCTGCCATCGGTAAATCCGAGTTGGAAGAGTTTCTCCAGTTGCTGCAAGAGCGAAACGTAGACCGGGAAATAGTTGAAGATGTCGCGAAGCTCCTTCAAGAACTCTCTACCCCGACCAAGCAGCAAGCCAAGAGACTCAAGGCATTTAAGAACGGCAGCGTGCACGAGGCGGCATTGGGGAGAAGCGGGCTCATGATCCGCGGCGACGAAGACCTCATCACCTCTTTGCAGGATGAGAAGCTCAGGCTAGAGAACAAGCTCAAGACGGCCGATAGCAGGGTGCGCCGCCTGGAGGATCTCTTGCACCGGCAGAGCCAAGCCTCGCGTCCGGGCAATCTGTTTCCGCTGCCGGGAGCGAACGGGCATTCGAGACACAACTCCATTTCATCAATCAAGTCGGCTCGCGTTGACGATCGACAGCCACTGTCGGACGGGACGGAGCAGCTCTCGCAACGGATAGCGCAGCTGGAGAACGAGCTGCGCGAGGAAAAGAAGCGCTCGGCAGAGCTCCAGAAAGACCTCGACAGTCGCGTCAACGAGCGAGATGATATGAAGGATAGGATCGAAGAAGTCAACTCCACGAAGAAGGACCTCTTGGAGAATATGGAAGCTCTGAAGCGGGAATTCATGGACGAGAGGATATCCCTGGAGAATGAGATCAAGACGCTCAAGGCGCGATTGGAAGATACGGAAGAAGAGATGGACCACTTTGGAGAGTCTCGAGAGAACGAAAAGGCGACGTTTGACGAGAGAATCCAAGCTCTCGAGGCGGAGCTTGAGCAACTCAACAAGGAGCGAAAGGATGATATGCTCAAGTCACAGGGTCAGGTTGACTTCCTGCGCAAGGAGACGCAGATGCAGCGTGATCAGCTCGACGCTTCCGAACGACGGCTGCGCACTCTGCGGGAAGAGGCGCGGGCGACATCCAAGAAGCTCGAGTCGGTAGAGGAGATTTCAGAGTCCCGGCTCGAGTGGATGAAGAAGCTGCATGCTGAACTCTCGCCGGACGCTGCCGTGCCTGCTGATGAAGCCGACTTGGGTGAAGCTCTCCTCTCCAACGCAGCTGACTTGGTCGAGAAGCTGCGCAATTCAAGTAGCGATACATCGATTCTGAGATCTGAGCTCGACAAGGCTCTCAACTCTGCCAAGGAAATTCGAGCCGAACTGATGCAGATGAAGGACAACCTCGCCTCACAGGAGATGTCTACGATGCACGCTCGCGAAACCCTTGCTGAGGAAAAGGCCAAGGTCACGGCTTTGGAGCGCGAAGTGGCCGAGAGCAGGGAGGAGCTGAACCAACTCCGCAGCCGGCTGTCGGATGGCGAGACGGGGTCCGAGACGCTCCGCAAGAAGCTCGAGAGGGAGGAAAAGAAGGTTGCGGAGCTGTCAGAAGAGGTTGCGTGGCGACAATCCCAAGTCGGCAGCCTCGAAGAAGAGGCCCGACTGTTCAAGCAGAGATTTGAAGATGTCCAGTCCAAGCTCTCGGCTCTCACCGCGCAATACGAAGCGCGCGACGGACGGACCAAGGACCTCACGCAGAGGCTCTACTCTCAAAATGACCGCCTTACCAGGCTTCTCGAACGCGTGGGATACGCCGTCAGCCGGGACGCGGGCCAGATGGTCATTACGAGGGTATCCCGTTCAGACAAGCTTGCCGCCAACCCCAACGACTCGTCCGACCCCGGCTCTTCGATTCGCCGGTCACTCAGCCTGGGCGGCCGTGCCATGACTGACAGCGCCGATCTGGAGCTCCTCTACTGGGTCAACAACTCGGATCCGTCCGTCGAGGACGAGAAGTACCAGGCGTTCATGGAGAAGCTGGGCACGTTCGATACCGACTTGTTCTCCGACACAATCTACCACAGGGTTAAGGAGGCGGAGCACAAGGCGCGAAAGTGGCAACGGGAGGCTAGATCGTACAGAGACCGGGCGCACAGCTTACAAAAGGACTCTCATAACAAGATTGCGTTTAGGAACTTCAAGGAGGGCGACCTGGCACTCTTCCTGCCCACCCGCAACCAGCAAGCCGGGGCCTGGGCTGCCTTTAACGTGGGATTCCCGCACTACTTTCTCCGGGAGCAGGACGGCCATCGACTGCGTCACCGCGAGTGGCTCGTCGCGCGAATCTCCAAGATCCAGGAGCGTGTCGTGGATCTCTCCAAGAGCCTGCAGCCGAGCAACGAAACGGACTCCAACGATGAGGAGCACGACAATCCCTTCCAGCTGTCAGACGGCCTGCGATGGTACCTCATAGACGCCCAAGAGGACAAGGCAGGAGCGCCGGCAACGCCAGGGATGGGTAAATCCACCGTTGCGGCCACTACCGTCGAGGCCACGGCTAATATTCAGTCCCACGCAGCCAAGGGCAAAGGGAGGAGCCGGGACAGCATAACCAGCATCGAAGGCATCAACAAGACGCTCAGCAAGAGCCTGGAGAGCCGCCGGAGCAGCTCGGCCTCTAAGAAGGCCCTGCCGTTCCACATCGCCGGTGGAACGGCGCTGCTGAAAAACAGCGCGCTGGCGAGCGAGACCAACTCTCTCCGTGCTGCTGCTCCCGAAACACCAACGGCGACCAGCCCGGTCCAAGGCAGCGTGCTAAGTGCTGCCAATACCGAGGGCGGGCAGCGAGGAGGCGAGTCGTCTTCGCAGGACAAGTCGGGAAAGGACCCCGAGGTACGAGCCGTTGACTCTCTACTTGGGCCCTAGGTCACTGATCGGTTCGTGACAGCAGTCGCAGCCACAGCCTCAGCCGCATGGGATCCCACGGCGCAAGAGCTCTATTGCTGCTAGCCCGCTGAGGACCTCTGTTCTGTGGGATCAGCTCTGGAGCCTGGACTTTAGCTATGAGAGCGCGCCAAAGAAGCGGTGATGGTTACTGATGCCGAGTATAGAAGTGCACAGGATGGAGTTGTGGGAATGGAGGAAAGGGTCATTGACGGCGTTGGAAAGCGGTAGGTAGGCTGGGACCACTTGCGCCGCTATAGCATGTTTGTTCTTTTATTTTGGAACTCGATTATCTTTTTCTTTTTTTCTTTTTTTTTTTCCCCTTCTCTTTTGGTTGCTTGGGGAGATTGTACTGTAAGGCGTTTGGGGGATTGTTGCAAGGTTTCGCAGCTGTCCATCTATATAGATTTTCATTTCATGACCATTCTGACTTGGGAGGGACATGAATGGTAAATTGCTCTAGACAGGACGACGTAGACGATACGGCCTAGGATGTCGTATATAATTCCAATTTCTCTTCACTGCACGGTTTCATCTTATTGGGAGTTGCTGTGTAAGTCAAGCTGTTTGTGTTCGATCATAGGTAGGTAACTGAGGCATAATCAAGAGTGGAGATGGTGTTGTCCAGAGGTACCTCAGGTATGTACGTACCTCTGCGCCCAACTTCAGCCGACGTCAAACAAGGCACAAGCTGAGGAACCTCAACCCTTGTATCACAGCTTCGCCCGCTGAAGGATCTCGACAGGGCCTCACCACGACTTGTCCCGTCATTGCTCAACATGTGACAGCCATTTGACAGCAGCTGAGATGGAGCTTGTTCACTCCCCGCCACGCCCCACCGGACCGGCAGACAAGATGCCATCGCCGACGAGACCTTCTTCGCCTCCATCTTCACCCTCCTCGCCCGCTCTCCCGCCCGAGCTGCTGCTCCTCGTCGTCGACGCCGTCCTGCCGCCGAATCCGCTACAGCTGCTGCCGGCCTCGCACCCGGCGACCAAGACGCTGCTGTCGCTGACGAGGGTATCGCGGGCGACATACGCGCGGGCAACGCGGCTGCTGCGGGAGCGGTGCGCGTTCGTCGACTCGGCCAGGCGGCTGGCGGACGTGCTGCTGTGCGTGCCGCGGCTGGTGCCGGGCCTGCCGGCGGTGCTGTCGCTGCGGCACATGACGGCGCTGTACCTGTCGCCGTTTGGGCCGTCGCTGGCGGCCGACGACCTGCCGACGGCAACGCGGGTGCGGGAGCTGCTGTGCGAGGTGTGCGAGACGCTGCGGCGGCTGGTGGTGCAGATGCCGTTTGGGAGCCTGGACCCGCTGGACGACGGGCACCTGGGCGTGCGGCGGACGCTGCGGGAAGGCTTCGAGCAGCTGCACCGGCTGGAGGAGTTTGTGTGCCTGGGCAGCTATCCCGCGCTGAGCGTGCCGCCCGAGGGCAACACGGACGTGTGGCGGCTGTGGCCGGAGCTGCGGCGGCTGGTGCTGTTTGGGGTGCCGATGGACAGTCACTGGCTGTGGTGGGACATCGCGACGTTGCCGCGGCTGGAGCACGTTGTGCTTGCGCGGCCGGTGGGGTTGGACGCGGTGAATATCAAGGATGAGTATTTCCACAAGTTGCCGAGGGACGATGCGCGGCTGGGAAGGGACATCAAGGTCGTGCTGATGGATTTGGTGTACGACTTGGGGGTGGTGAGGACGGAGCGGTGGCGGGAGATTGATCCCGAGGAGAGGATGACGGTGGAGGTGTTTGAGGTGCCGCTGCCGTTTTACGGGGATGAGACGCCGCTGCAGCTTGTGACGGAGTGGGCGAGGAGGGGAGCGTTGGATGGGAGTGTTTGGCGGTTGGGTGGGACGAGGGTTAGGGGGGAGGAGGCAGGATGATGGTGGTGGTATTGGTGGCTGTGATATCTTATATGATGGGACGAAGTGATGATATTTTTTTTGACATGGAATGCTACAACGAAGAAGAACACACCATAACATATATATGTCCCATGAGTATTGCTAATTTATTGGTTGGTATTCTCACGATTGTATTTGTTCTAGGCATCATGCCTCGTCATAGTGCCTTCTGCTGGTCAATGTCATCGCCGGAATCTGCCCCGGCCTCTATCAGAAGCTTCAAAATGTACAAATTCACATTACGCCTCGCCATCTTCCAGGCTGTATTCCCATAGTAATCCTTGGCATCAACGTCGGACCCTTTCTCAATAAGGAGTCTGGCCAAATCCTCGCGATCAAACCGGACCGCAATCAGCAGGGCTGTCTGGCCATTCGAGTCCCTGGCATTGATGTTGGCACCGGCCTCAATAAGCAGCTTCGCGATGGCATCATGGCCGTGAGAGAGCGCCAAGAGCAGCGCCGTGTTGCCATTGCGATCCCGTGCGTCGATGGATGCGCCCATCTTGAGGAGGTGCCGAACGGTCATCTCGCGGTTCTTGATGACGACCCAGTGGAGAGGCGTTTGGCTTCTGGTAATGGCGTACTCGACTTCAAATCCGGGCCCCATGGTGGTCATGAGCTCCTCCTCGTCGGTGGACGATGAATCCCATCCCAAGAGCGCACGGACAGCGTCCTTGTGCTTGTTGATCAGCGCGGCAAAAAGGGGATAGCGAAACTGGCCCCCGGGGACGTCGAGATGGGAGGGCGGGAGGGGCCACAATGTACGGATCAGGTTGGAGAGTCCTTCTGCCGCGAGCATGTAGACGAGGCTTGCGTCTAACGAGGTCGGCAGGAGGTTATACTCTGCTACGATGAAGCTGCTGAGGGTGATGAGGTCGGGGACGGCTAGTTGGGAGAGGAACTTGTCCTGCGGAAACTCGCGTGCGGCCATGTTTGCGTGGTAGAGCATGTGCGAGACGGAGTATTCGAGAAGGGGGATCCTTCTGAGCGTTGCTCGCTTCCCCCCGAGGAGGAGCCTTTGGAGTGCGGATTCGCCTGATGCGTAGAGGCTGAAGTACCTGTGGCAGCATTATTTGAGGGTGTTGTGGCTGGAGGCTTCGATGTTGGTGCTCGGGTCGTCGGGCCAGAGCTCGAGCAAGCCCCTGTCCTTGAGGAGGAAGTCTGGGATGGATTCGTGGATGAACTGGACTGTTGGGTGGGCGGACTTTGTTACTTCGGCGAGGCCCTTTGAGGAGCTGATGACGAATTTCTCGAGTATGTCGCTGGTTAGGTGAGATGGATCGCATTCGGAGAGGGCATCATCGTCTGGGGACCCTGATAGGAGGGCGACGTAGAACTCTTCGGGCTTGAGGGGGCGCTTGGCATAGAGGATCCATTGGAGGCAGAGGAGAAGCTCTTGCATGTTGTCGTCGTCTCTTCGGAGGATGTTCTTGAAGAGATTGCTGAGTCCGACGGGGAGCTCCTGGAGCCTTTTGCGTACGGCAAAGATGCGTCCTCGATCGAATTCCGTGTTAAGGATACTGACTACGAGGACAACCCACATGAAGACCCCTGCGGCTTTCTGCAGGATCTGTGCCTGGACGTCGCCAAAGAGATCCGGGCTGGGCTTGAACCTGCTCTTGACGTACCGCTCCATGTCCTGGCCGTGCCCCGTCTGGTCCTCGAGGGTGAGTCTGAGGGCGTGAGGGACGGAGATGTAGGGGTAGTGGCGGCTAGAGAAGCAGATTCGGAGCTGGATGTTGTGTTTGATGGCTTCGCGGCCGAGGTCCTCAAAGTAGCTGACCATGTCGCGGACCTGCTGCTCGTCGCTCTCGTCGAGGGCGTCGATGACGCAGGTTAAGGTGCGGGTGTTGAGGAGCAGGACGGCGTTGCGGAAGAGCTTGCGGATGATGTTCATGGGGGGGCACGTGTGTTTGTCCTTGGGCACGAGGGAGAAGTCGTCCAAGACGCTCTGGAGGTCGGGGAAGGTTTCGAGAAGCTGGAGGAGCAGGGAGCGGTACATTCCCGTCGTGGACTTTTCGAGGAGTTCGCCTCGGGCGTGGAAGAAGAAGGATATTATGGCCGATGTGGAGGAGGAGGAGGGGGAGGAGGAGTCTTGGGGGGCTTGTTTGAGGTGGGTGTAGAGGAACTTCATGATGGTGGACTTGCCGGCCCCTGGCTTTCCCGCGAGCCACAGGATTCCGTAATGCGTGGGCGAGCCGCCGGCGTGGAGCCAGTCTAGGTATGTGGGATGTTCGAGGAACCAGTTGCATGTCTCCTCGTGGGCGGTCTCGATGTTGGACTGGCGAGAGTTGATTTGGTCGAATCTCAGGGAGTCTAGCAGCTCTTGTCGGCGCGTGACGAAGTTGTCCTGGCCAACTTTGGATGTAACGTCTGGCAAACGCTGTAAGTTGGTGTATGGTAGATGCCTGTGGGAAGAGTCGGACTCGGCTTACCTGTGTCTCCTACATGTAGAGCACCTCCAGATACATAGGAGTTGGTTTCGAAGGGGGGCATCTCCTCCAGGAGCTCCCTCGCATACGCTGCTGCCGCCGCCGCGGCATACTCCTGCCATTGCTTGTTCTTGTGAGAATCTGCATAATCACAGATGCCTCGAATGACTAGACATGGACAGTAATCCATCAGGCCGGCTGCCTCCATCTCGAAGCAAATCACATCAAACGCCTGGGCAATCTTGTCACGAGTCTCCGCATGCTTCATCACTTGATTGCCAGAGGCTATGCCACCATGGTGAATCATTGGATCCCGGCTCAGCCTTGGGGGGCGAGCTACCAGACTGTCCTCGCTGCATGTGCTGCAGTCAAACGCGCCCGGGAGGTGCTCATACGCAGCCTGGAAGAGGCGATCCGGTGAAGCTGGGCAGGCGTACTTGGTCATGCCGGGGTGCCTCTGGTGCATCTCTTGCAGTATAGCGGGCACCCTGCTGGGCTTGAGCTCGTGGATTGCGCGGAGGCTGGCGACGTGCGTCGAGTGGTCTGGCGGCGTGATCCTCGGGATGCCCGTCGGCAGCGTCTCGCCGCCTCGAACGACCTTGCCCATGTCGTACTGCATGATTCGACAGCCGACGACGACGTCGCCAAGCCGTACGTCGGCGTGCTGGCTGGGGACGCCGCCTCCGACGCCGACCATGAGGCGGATCCGGATGGAGGGGAAGCTCCTGTTCATGTTGCTCGCCACGTTGGCCGCGTTGTTGGTGCCGTACTGCGCTACGGGGAGGCATGCCGTGACGATGTTGTGCGGGCCGATGCTGCCCAGGATGTAGGCGTTGCTGTCCTTTGCTCCCACGGGCAGCGGCTTGTGGACGCAGTCGAGCATGGCGCGGGCCGCGGCCATTTCAATGTGCAGCGCGCATATCCAGCCGATGGTGTAGTCGCTGTGCTGGAGCCGGGGGGCGTCGGACGAGTGCGTGAGGAGGTCATTGCTGAGAGAGGCTTGAATGTGGGTTATGCCTTGGTGTTGAGGAGGAGCTGAGTGAGGGGACATGTCCGCCATGGTGGTGGTGAGACACGGATGAGGACATGTATAGGGGGGGACAGTCTATGAAACCGCATGATTAGAGCATCATTTGAGATGCTGCTGATTCAAGATCAAGATGAGTTTGTGGCCTCATAGAGTGCGCTGCGCGTTCGGTGGCGATGCTCGTCTGAGCGTGTAAGTTGAAATGGGGCGGAGTCTGCTTTGTCGGGCGGTATTATCGCTCTATCGTTCGTGCGGCTGAGCTGAGCTCTTACACTGAGCACTGTCAGCCTCGAAGCGGAGAGGATTCGCAGTCTTTTCGCCATTTCTTCCAATCAAACACAGCCAAAGAGATGCATGTAATGGTTGGTACCTCGACCCCGGCTTGGTGGGAGAGGCATCTCACGTGCCGCTTCTGGAGGGGCAAGGGTTATGCCATACAAGAGCCAAGATCGATGTGATTATGCCTCCCTCAGAACTATATTCTGTTCGTATACGTGCCATTTAATTCGGTGTGGACAACATCGAGAGATTCGAGAGACGTTAAAGGCTCAATGGTAGTGTGTTCACAGCTCAGAACCACGGCCACGAGCATAATTGACCAAAATTCCCAGGGTCATCCTCTGGTTGTAAGCTTGGCTGGAGACTATGTATTCTAATTAGGTAGTTGTAGTTCCTTTCTCTCAGTGACATCTGCTGCATTCCCTGACGTTGACAACGTAGGTCACATAGAACCCTCCGGGACAAATCAGTACAGCACATATCCTCAAGCAGGCCACACCTACCCCCTCAGCCCTGCGGAGTAAGATGCAGCTTGCTGGTCGCCGATTGACAACCTGGTCTTGCAGGCAGTGAAAAGGTGACTATGCTGTTGGTTGCGCAAGAGGCCTTTGTAAGTTGATAGCCTTAGTGATGGGCCCTGTCATGGCTTCCCCTCATTAATAGCTTGAGAAAGAAACACGAAATGATGCATTCATTGCTTGCCCGTGACGGCAGCTAAATTACCCATTGAGGTATTTGTTGATGAACATATTCTCAATCTCGGATTATTATTGTTCTGCATCTCCCCCAGACGTATAAAATGAGGAGGCTGTTGTGCATCACTTGGGCGACAACGTCTATGTGTTAATGGGCGCCTATAATGACTACCTTACCTCTGGAGTGCAATTCTTCTGACTCGGCAGCACGCAGGCTTGGTATTTGTATAACATACTTGTATAGATTAAGTCAATACGTAGCAGATGCTGATGCTCATGACCGATGTATTGCTTGGTGATCGCTTCTGAGTGTATAGTGGAGAGATATGACCGCTCACTAGCATGGTGACAGAGGTCCACAACTATCACCTGTGTGTTGGTGTTGGTCCTCACTCTCATATCACATGCAGATTGCAGTAGGACTTTTGTTTCATCCTCGTTTACCTCCACCTGATCGGCGGCTACATCCTGCCATGCTCAGGGGGGAGACAAAGCCGGCGCTTAAACTACGTGTAGTGTTGCTCCTAATATCCTCCTTCGCAAGCAAGCCCTGCGTTACCTATCAAGATCTCAGCCTCGCGGCCTCATGTGAGTAGCCTCGCCTACGGATATACGTATGACAGCTTGTCGCGCGGTACAGACTCATCGGCCATGGGCTATGGAATCGGCATAGTGATGAAGTCCGGCATCTACGCCCTTGTCGCCTCGACAGTGGGCTACTTTCTGTTCCTCGGCGTCTTGACTATTCCCGCCTGTCAGAACCAAGCCATCCATCTGAACAAGATCACCTTGACATGGGGCCAAGACGTCAACGTCCCCGAGCAATGGGGATTTCTTCAAAACCAAGTCACGCCTTTCTTGTTGGATACGAGCGACGGCGAAACATTGCATGCATGGCACATTCTCCCGCTTGGACTGTACAAGAAGCATGAGGAGGAGCTGATAGATGAGCCAGCCGGGCTTGCCGTGGACATTACTTCTCGACTGAGCTTCAAGATGTTGCGCGAGGATCCAGAGTCTCTGCTGGTCCTCTACCTTCACGGAGCGGCTGGCACACTGGGATCTGGCTGGCGGCCGCCGAGTTACCGGGCCATGTCTGCTCTGAACCCAGTCAAGATTCACACCGTGGCCATTGATTACCGTGGCTTCGGCACCAGCACTGGAACGCCGTCAGAGGCCGGGCTGTTGAATGATGCTCTTGCGCTGGCCAAATGGGCAATGGAAGTTGCCGGGATCCCGCCCTCACGCATCGTCCTCTTCTCGCAGTCACTCGGCACAGCAGTCACCATCTCTTTAGCCCATCATCTAGCTACCCAAGTTGCAAACCCGATATTCTTTTCGGGTATGGTCCTTGTGGCTCCGTTTGCCGACGTCGAGCAGCTGACGGCAACCTACAGAATCGCGGGCACGATTCCGTTGCTCGATCCCATTGCCCGGTTTCCTCGGCTACTGGACTTTTTTAACCGCTTCATCATCGCCAAGTGGCCGTCCAAGGACAAGCTTGCGGGCTTTGTGCGGTCTTGCGAGATGTCTACTGATGATAACGCGCGGTACCACATCACTATTATTCACGCAGAAGACGATTATGATATTCCCTGGGAGCACAGCGACAAGCTGTACTGGCATGCAGTCAACGCGTCTTCGCCTCATGGGATTAGTTACGAGGAGCTGGAGGAGGAAAAGGCCGCCTCAAGATCAGAGTTGCTGGGTGGGGGCTGGGTTGTGGAACAGAACACGCAAAAGGGAAGTCTACGAGAAGCAATCTCAAAATGGGGGCTGCATGACCGGATTATGTCGTATCCAATCGTCAGCTTGGCAGTATGGAAGGCTTTTCAGCGGGAGGCGAGCGAAGCTCCATGAGATCTGATAGAATTGAGGATAGCATACGAGAATGACACAATTATGAGTCTTCTCTTGTGCTATGTGACTGTCAGGACGGGTATCGCTTTGCCATAGATCACGGCAACGTTGGTGCGCATAGCATGATGACTCGGTCGAAATGACGCGGCATGATGGCGGTTATTGAGGTATGGATGAAAGGTTGCCTATCATGTTCTAGTGCCAGCCTGACTCTTCGAAATCTTGACAGCGACACCACCACAGAAGCCTCGCGATGGCGCAGCTGCTGAGATATGGGAATAAGAGCATTAAACGTGGACCTTACGGCTATATGATAAGGTGCTGAGATAGATGAAGACAGAGACGAAACATAAAAGGACACACTTTTCGCCTCGTGGACTGATATCGCCCAACTCAACCAGCTTCAACAACCATCGGTTATCAACACAAACACTTAGACACGAGAACCAACCGATTGCGCGCTAGCACTACAGGCAAAAGCCTCTACAACATACCACCATCACAATGTCTCGCCAAGAACTGTACCAAGGCTACAAAAACTACGAAAACTCTTTCGATATAATCACCACGGAGATGCTTCACCGTGCTACGGGCAACCAGCCCCAGCAGTTCCCTCAGAGAAGCTTTGCTGACCTGGGCCGGATGAAGCGCGAAGTTGTGGTCGAGATTATCAAGCTGCGCCAGGAGGTGCAGGCCCTTTATGGAGATTCCGACTATGGCCATGAGAAGAGCATTCAGAATTGGCAGGACATTCTGAGAGGCTTGCCTTAGAATTGGACATCAAGCTTGACTTGGGAAGAATACACTGCGGTTGTATGGAGAGGAGTCATGATTGTGGGATAATCGTTGTTCAAGATGTTGGGGGGGAGGTTCGGACGGCGGTTTGGATAGGGGTGGATTGCTTGGCTGAACGAGCTTGTGTACTTGAAGTATTGCCGTCTGTCTTCCGCCTCTGGTAAAGCGACTTTATCGTTACATATATTTTCTGGAATATGATACCTTTTGATGTATAGTTACAATGTCCCAATAGTCAATTGATCAATTATATTATGATTCTTTTTAATAAAAGGAGTATAAAGCATGCATTTTTAACAGCCTGGCGACTTCATCGGTAGAGGCTGTGGGGGGCATTTCATGAAGGACTCAGTCCACCACGAACTCTCCTCCGACGGTCAAAACCACGTAATTGCCACCAATGCCCGCCATAGCCATCATCTATATCAGATCCATCTGGTCCATAGGATCCTCCTCTCTCGAGACCCACGCAAGAGCTTTGTGCCAAATAACTGGTTCCCAGTTGCCATTCTCGGATATGATACTTGATAGAATCAGTGGCCGTATGATGAGTCCAATTGGACGGCCGTTCAACAGCTGACCCAGGGCTGAGACCAAGGGTGATTCTACCTCTGACCAGGCATTTCCGAGTTCAAAAGGTATCTCGCCGAAGTCCCTCGTGCTATACCAGCGGACTTTGGCTCCCGACTTCCATAGCTTCATTGCCAAACTGGCAAAGTCCGCAAAAATCTGGGCCAGGTCTCTCATGGCCTCATAGTCATACTTGTCAACAGAAAGTAGGAACCAATATTCTTGCACAAATTTGTCGGCCGCTTGTTGGGCATAATCCACGATTATGGGCACTGCGGTTTCTAAACAGTCCATTGTCTGGATTCTCCAGCCGGGGACCGCGTCGGGGTTCACTGCAAACCAAATATATCGTATCAGTTTCGGCTTGACCAACTCTATACACCGCCAACTGCTTACCTTGACTCAAGTGATGCTCAAACTGGGATAAACAAGAACGCCCCGCAACATTGAAGGGTAGTGCTTCCGCCAGAAAATATGCGTCTGTCATATACAGATCGCAAAGTCTCTGGGCCAAGGCTGCCTGAAGCAATACCAAAGGGCCGCTCCCGTCCGGCGAGTTCATCTGAAACCTGAGATGCTCCGGGCCAGCCCAATGGCTGCTGCTCGCGTTGATGATGCCAGCATGCAGAAGCTTGGCAAGGACAAAGTTTTCATCCTGAAGGCGATCAGTGCACAAGTCCGCACACCAGGAGAAGAAATCGTTCTGGAAGAATTTCTTGAGGTCTTCTCTGATTGTGTCATCCGTAACACTTCGGGAAACATTTCCGGCCAAAGTCTTGACAGCGGCAGCATGAGACTGGGTGATGATCGCCTCGTTCTCAGCAACGGTTTTCCTTAGAGCAGCCACTTTGCTGTTCGCCGTTTCAAGATTTTCTCGCAGCCCTCGTACGACTTGCTCCATGTCTTCAGCATGAGTAGTTGCTTCTTGCAACTTGGTTGTATATCGTCTTACTCTTTCCCTAAGCATAATATTGCTTTGGCGGAGTGTGTCTGCCTCACGCTTCTCTTCATTTCGAAGCTTCTGCGCGGATTCTTGGGGAATGCTTGGTTCTTGTTTTGCTTGGGCTTTGTCTGTGGGTTCCTGAGCCTCTGACGCTGTTGCAGGTTGCCTTTCTTCCAGAGCGCTCGACTTACCCTTCTGCCGCCTTTTTTCACCGTCGCGAGGCATGATCATACCCACGACTCCGGTGAAAATTCCCATGATACCAGTTCCTTTGGATTGCTGAGTAGACTTATCTTTCAAAGAAGGCAAAGAAGGAGTATCCCCGCTGCCGTTCTGTAAACCATCAGGTGCAGCACTGTCGGCATTCTTTGCATCTACCCGCACATAGCTTGATGATACGTCTTCTGCTGTGGGTTGGTCGGAGTCTTGACTTGATTGATGAGTTTCGCAACTCGTCTGGTTGAACAAGGCAATCGTGAGTATCTGTTAGAAAGCGCTTTGAAAGAGGGGGAGGGAGGAGGGAAGAGATTAAAAATACGAACCCCTTTCTGCGCCGTTCTGACGTCGCCAGACCCAGGAGTCTCTGGCCGCCCAGTGAGTGTCATTCTGAGCAAAGTCCTGGTAAGAATCACACCTGCTTAGACACAGCAACTCCACAAAACTGACCTACACACACTTTTGAGTTAAATATTGAATGAAAAGAACCCAATATTGGTTCGGGGAAGCCTGAAGCAAGTTGGCCAATGAACAGCGCGGGCGAATGGATTCCAGGCTGGAATGACGGTAAGGGGGGGGGGCGTCGACCTCAAGATGTCACCGCCTGACACTGAGGTAGGTATTCACTGTTGAGTACCTTGATAGGCTCCAATATCTTCTTGATTGTCTCAACTCACTTTGAAAGACAGCTGGAACTTCAAGGTCTACGTCGTTCACAATGACGAAACTGAGCGGTGGTTGACTTCATAAATACGACGCTTCCATCACCTGCCCAAGCGTGATTTACTGAAGGGCTATACATTCATTTATACATCTTATGGGACAAAGAACAGCACTCATCGGCCCCATCGTGGAAGAATTTGGGACAGTAAAGATAGGGGGAGGGGGGGTCGCCAACAAGCCACACAACTTGTTCGGTGTTACTCTGTTAAATGGCTTCAATTGCCTGCCCACCAACCCGAAGCGAAAGTTAAAACAGGCGGTGTGATTGCTTTGTTCTAGACATCGTGGTCGGCTGTTTGCATCAAGAATAGATACGGCGGCCCTACTTTCTCGGTAATTCTGGCGCGGCTTTTGACTTGACGAGAGGGGGCGTGAAGAAACCTCTCCAACATGAATTTTCAGTGACATCAGCCGTGCAACCCCAAGGTGACTGCAGGTGCCAGCTCAGTACCTTATCTTTACCTTCCCTTCTTCCATTTCTTATATCTACCGCATCCATTCCCTCAGTCTCAACTGCGCCTTGCAGATCAATCCTTCATCTCGAGGCTCTCACACGTGGACACGATGTTTACACTCACGGAGAGAACGAAGCTCATTGTCGGCATTGACTATGGAACTACATATTCGGGCCTCAGCTTTGCTTTCTCCAACGCAACAGACTTCAAAGACATATTCCCATGGACAAAATACCCTGGATCCTCCTCACATAGTGCTGAGCACTGCGTGAAGGCCCCAAGCCAGGTGGCGTTCAAGGATGAGAATCCAGAGCTGGACGACAATGCTTGGGGATACCAAGTAAGCCCTGGAATGAAAACGTACTGCTGGACAAAGCTGCTCTTGGATAAGTCGGCTGTGAAAACAGAGTTTGATGATCCGGAAATCTATTCAGGGGGTGAATTCAATACCATCCAAAACTTCAAGGGTCGTTCGGCCAAAGATGTTGCTACGGAATACCTCAGAGGCATGAAGCGAATGTTTGACGTTGCCGTCAGAGAACACCTTGGCGGGCAGAGTATCGATAGTCTGCCAATCGAATACTGGCTCACTGTTCCAGCATCTTGGAGTGAGAAAGCCAAGCTGCTCACTAAATCCGCAGCTATGGAAGCAGGCTTTGCTACGCGACCCATTGACAAGATCATGCTCATTTCGGAGCCCGAAGCAGCTGCACAGCTCGCTTTGAAGTCCAGCCTACATAGAGTGGAAAATTTTGTCCAGGTATATACACGCCTTCATATCACGGAGAGATGATTCTTCATCGTCAACTGCATTCGCTGACATGTCTGTAGCCTAAAACCGGCGTTATGATCTGTGATTGCGGAGGAGGCACTGTTGTAAGTCCAATGTCTTCACTTAGTTACGAAATGCTGACCTGTTGGAAAGGACATTACCACTTACGAAGTCGAAGAAACGCATCCGACATTGATGCTGCGAGAAATTGCAGTCGGCAACGCTGGGAAATGCGGTGGGACATTTGTGGATAGAAATCTCTCCAAGTTGATGGCACAACGCTTCGGGGATGCCTTCACTTCTCTGGAACCTCAGCAAACCGGCCCAGGCAGCGTTTTCATGGACCAGTTTGAGCTGAAAAAGAAGGATTTCAGTCTTCATGTACCCAGCAGACGGGCCCATCGACTCGTACTTCATATGCCACAGCTTACATCTACACCTGAGACGGAGAGGTTTTACGAGAGGCGGTCCTCATCTGTTCTTCTCACCCAGCTTGATTACAAGCTGCTTTTTGACCCAGTGGTCGACAGGGTCATTGGCCTCATTCAAGATCAGATCAACCAGGTCAAAGTCAAAAACGAGCGGCCTGTTGAGACCATAGTCCTAGTCGGTGGCTTTGGTTCCTCGCCTTATTTGAAAGAGCGGCTGACAGAGTGGTGCGATGCCAGAGGCATCAGGCTCACGACACCAATCACTGGCGCGTAAGTACTCGAAATATCATATTCTGCCTCCAGAGTCCTTGAGAAAGAAACAATCGTCTGGGTAGATTGTATCACTAACGCGTTTTTTAGGTGGTCTGCTGTTGTCTGCGGAGCTGTTTTGCGTGGCCTGGAAGGGTCTATTGTTAAGCAAAAGAAATGTCGGAGACACTACGGTCATATGCTATCCGTGCCATATAATCCATACGTTCATACTTACTTCGACAGTGAAAAAAGAAGGCTGTACACAGATCCTGTTGACGGAATTGAGTATCTATCGGGCTTCATGTTCTGGGAAATCAACAAGGTGCGCAATAACAGCTTACCCCCCTTCCCCAAATCCACATCTACTAAGATCTTTTTTCTTTTTTTTTTTCAACAGGGCGGCTTAGTTGATCCTGATACTGAGATCAACTCACCGTTTGTGTGTAGCTTTGTGGGTCGCTTACCACGAAGCCGTCATCATATGCTCTATTCGTGCAGCATGGATGATGCTCCCGAGACTATAGAGAATGAACGTAGGTGCACTCCCTGCTACATCTGATCACATTCATATTACTCCCCGAACATCTAACCAAGAACGGTCTCGATTGCAAGAAGATACTAAAATTTTCCTTAAACAGGCGTCGAAGAACTTGGCAAGGTGGTTTATACTCTAAGAGGACTGGATGTTGACTTCACAAGTCTTGCGCAAGCTAAACATGGCGATGTCACTCACTACCATCTTCCTCTAACGCTGAACATCCGTCTAGGCGACGAAGCTGGCCATCTGATATTTAGGATCTTATACAAGGGTCGGGAGGTTGGGAAAGCGGCAATCAGCGTCGCTGATGACTGAAAGTAAGAACTGGGTCCGAGACGGAGTTTTTATCAAGAATGTACTTGGCATCACCATAGCTCTGGATCAAGAATATGTTTGTTTTTTGTGAAATTAATGCTCTATTAGTCGACTAACAGAGTTGGATATCGTTAAAGGTGAAAGACGCTCAAACAAACATGCAACTCCGACAAAACCCATTTCTCGCCCCTTTACACTAAGGGGTATCCATCGCAGAACTTGAAATTACAAACGCCACTTCCATGCAGTTATTCCTCCTCCAGACCAATATCCGTTAAGTAAGGAGTGACAAAACGTAGATGAAATGCTTCGTGGAGCTTCTTAAGAGACGGTGATGCGGCGAGGCTCGGGCTTGGCCGCCTTGGGGACGACAACGCTGAGGATGCCGTCCTTGAAGCTAGCCGTCACACCGTCCTGGTTGACACGGTTGGGGAAGCTGAAGGAGCGAGAGAACTCGCCAACGCTGCGCTCAGTGAGCCAGTATTTGGCAGAGTCGGCGGGCTTCTGCTTGGGCGAGCCGGACTTAGCGACCTGGCTCTTGTTGTCGGAACCCTCCTTGTTCTCTTTCTCGCCGGATTCCGTGATGGCGCCGGCAGGAGGAGTGCCGGCCGTGTAGGTGCGCTCGACCTTGCCGCGGATCTGGATGGACTGCTCGTCGGTGAACTCGATGGTGACGTCCTCCTTGTTCACGCCAGGGAGCTCGCCGTGCAGCTCATAGGCCTCGCCGGTTTCCCGGACGTCGAACTTGGGCTGCCAGTGGGCGATTGTGCGGCGGGTTGAGCTCTGGGTGTCGCTGTTTTCGCGGGTGTAGTTGTCGAAGTCCTCCAGGAGTCGGAAGAGGGGAGTGAAGGAGGACTCGGGAGCGTAGAAGTTGCGGAGAGACATTTTGATTGTTGTTGTGTGGTAGAGTGTGTGGTTTGAGTGGTTGTTGAGGCTTTTGAAGCGTTTGTGCGCGTGAGTTGTGATTGTTGGTTTGTGTTTGCTGTCTTTGTTCTGATCTGGTGAGCAAGAGAAGGGTTGACTGGGAGGCTTCAAGCCACTGCTTTATACTTGGAGGCACATGGCCAGGCACAGTCCTTCCACAGTTCACGAAGATGCTAGAAACGAAGCATCAGGCTATGCTGGAAGCCATCATGAGATCATTGCGCCTGCATGACGCTGCTCCCGAAAAGGGTCGAAAAGGGTCGATGTCCCTAGAAGCTTCGGTTGCCTAATCGGGTAGGTGGGTCTTGGGGTGGCGGGGCGGGAGATTTGCGGGAGCTAGTGGGGATGGGTGGGCAAGGTGGGGCAGGTACCAAAGTCTCTTGCTCGCTTCGTCCTGGTCGAAGAGCTTCAGGAAACACAAGTTGACAAGCTTGACAAGGTTGTTTATCGGAGAATTTTGCAAATACTAGCTTGTTGAACCCTTGAAGAGCTAGCTGAACGCCTTTAGATCTCATGCAAACGGTAGTCCACTATTCTAGTGCCAGGGTGGCTGGATCACCTTGTGTGAATGCCGCGACTTGCTTCTTTGCTTGACGAGAGCATGGTGAAGGTATGCTTGATCAGGTGAAGAGACGAGTGTGTTCAATGGACGCTCGTTACTCCACCTCAAACAACACCGCAGATGAGCTGGAGCTCGTTGCCTTGTTTGCAGATCCGGAAGCATCTAGAGGGGGTGTAGGTAGCATTGATTTGGCAATCTTGTTCGGCTTGACGAAGAGTCGCAGAGACTGGGTCAAGCTTGCGTGTATTGCCTAGATTAACCGGCAGTGCCTTGTTTCAACAGCTTCTCCCACTTTTCTCGATATTTCTGTCACTGTTTTTACGGACGATGCCTCATTCGTTCGGTGCTTTCCCCACCGTAACGACGATACTATCACAATATCAACGTTGCCACCCGGTAACTACCCTAGATTACTTAGGCTCACTCTGAATTGTAACTGCATACTTGATGCGTTCTCTCGCGAATAAGCATTGAGTTCGACATCTAGAATACGCCAGTAGTAGATGAAATGCATATGATGCAATCCAGGGTGGGTAAACATAATGACAAGTACTTGGCCAGCTCGCTCCATTGACGAGACAGTTTCACATTCGCCCACTGCTTTTTTCTTTCTTTCTTGTTTTTTGTTTGTTCTCTTCCCTTGTTTCGGATGGCCTCTAGTACCGCTGTTGAATTGCCGATCACATCATCTACCGAAACGTCGTATTCCTTCTATACCATTCTAGAAGCAATTTGTGCTCTCTTCCGGTCTTTTGGTAATCCTTCGCTTCCATTGCAAATCTGTTGTTTTGGACACCTCTCAACAGCGCCGTGTCTAGCAAGAAAACCGACATGCAGACGAACAGTGATTGAGACTGAGTTTTGACCTCACTTGGTTAGATCGTTGCCTATCTTTGTTGCAAGAATGGCATAAAGCTTGCTGAGTACACAAACGGTGCTTAAGCAGCGCCTCTAGGAGCATCACGCCGCATTTGCTCCCTTCCGTCAATTTCTGCCATGAGCTTGCTCGACCTGCAGCCATGAGGCGCCCCTCCAACATTTCCCAAGTTTCGGACTTTTGGATAGAGCTCCTCAAATTGAGTCCGAAATGTCCACTACGTGAAGAGCAGCATGCCACCATGCAGCTCTTCACGGCTTCTTTTTTGGGCATGGTTTCCACTGCTGGACTCGATCGGCAACATCCGATCGAGGCGCCTCAACTCAGCCACTGGCCCCATTCTAGGCGTTAGAACCTTATGCATCGCTGCCATCATGCGGTCGTGGCTTCATACCCACCTAGCAAGACTCGACAGAAGATGATTGACCTTGCGTCTGCTTTTGCCTGTTCAATGGCCTCCAGCCTGATGATCAAAGACCAGAAAAAGCACACAGGCCCAAGAGCCACACTGGAATTGCGGCAGACCCTTTTTACTCGTCTGGACAAAGACACGCGTTCATGCCAGGATCTATACACGAACCGCTTCAAAGAGAAAAACAATATTACAAACAGCGCTTAGCCAACACTCAGCGAGAACACCAAGAAGCACACAGTCTCTTGCGGCCTAGAATCAGGGAGAGTGTGCTTTCAACCATATCTTGTTCTTTGACATGACTCTCCTTCTCCTCTAAATTGGCCAACCTCTTCCAACCAGCCACAGCGGCGTTCCCATCGGCAACATCAGCTCTGAGTTGGTGGCCCAACATACTTGCACGTAACTTCCTCTTTCCCAGCAGAGCACTGTGATAGGACAGTACTGGTTCTCGTATCAAAGAGCGCAATATCAGTTCACCCCCCTCCGGAGTGATTGTGCCCGCCGATCCCTGCGCGGACGCATTGCGGATAGTAATGGTGCCGTAGTCGGGAGACGCCACGATGCCGGTGTCATTGCCTCCAGAATTGTTGTAGTCCTCGACGATCCACTCGACACTCTTTTGACACAGCGGTGCATCTGGCGGGGCGTCGGCGCTGGTCAAAGTATGCGACACCGTCTGCCCAGTGCTGAGATTCTCCAGGATAGCCGAGCCGTTGAAAGGCCCGTAGGCGTGGACGGTCATTCTCACATCGTCGCCCTCGCTGACTGCGAAGCCCTCGAACACAGGCGCGCTCAGGGGAACCCATTCGAACCAGCCAAACGCTGTACCGTTACCGGTAAGCCTGACGCCCGTCTGCAGTAGGCCGCCCCCAGGGCACTCTGTGGAACCGTCGATTCCGACCCAGATAGAAGGCCCAAAGCTTTTGCCTCCCTTTGGGACGGTGAATGTGCCAGTCACCGAGGTGAAGCCACTGCCGCTCTGCTTAACACCAGACCACACGCGGTCCAGAGTCTGAGGGGAATTCGCGTCAGTCGATCGTTCGAAAAGGGCTGATGCTAGGGCAGTCATCGCAACAGTAAGAAAAATGGGCTTCATGCTGAGACCAGTGTCTTCCTGTCGGGAGACCACTCACTTGAAGCAACCTAGTAGTGTGAATAGTGTTGTTGTCGAGAAGAAGAGATGCGCCTGTTTTATATCAGCATGGGGATTTCGTCAAACATGACAATGTCAGCCGGCTATCGGCTAGCTGTTTGGACGTCTATGCGGACTTCGCATGCCACCCTACTTTGATCGTCATCACTTCATAGTGAAAACCCGCCGAGAGAGTTCCACACAACCCAAAAGACCTGGAAGCACAGCCGTGCTGATTTGTCTTCTACCCTGCCATTGACAAGGATCGGCACGATCGGAGCTGATTGAGCAAGGCGTTTCAATTGTCTTACATAGTAGAGCCTGAACTGCTGTGAGATCCTGGCTGCTGCTTTGTTTTGGAGTCTAAATGACTGTTTTGGGTCTTTAGTCGACGTCATTTCTGCAGTTCTATAACTGTATGCATGGTAAATATTGGCGTCCTCCTACGTCAAGGATGTATATTAAATTCTCCTAAGCAAGATTGGCCATCAGGCAGATACATCTATACGCCGCTGAGCACCGGGCTCCAGAGGTAGTACTTTGCAATGTTGTCAATGACCCTCCGTGGCTTCGCACCCGTCAAGACCGCCTTTTCCGCATACACGTTCTTCTTGGACCACCCCAGCTGTCCCAAGCCCAATGCAGCCCAAAGGTTGACTGTCTGCTCGGCCGCATCCTCGCCCGCCAGAGGCTTGTCCCACTTCTCCTGAACGGCGTCCCATTGCCCTTCTTCAAGGGCAGGTATGGGCGAGAATGCCTTTGTGGGCTCATCTGGCATTGCAATGTGGTCATTGTTGTCGAGTGTCGAGATTTGGAACTTGACGACGTCGTATGGCACCGTCTTGTCGAGCGATAGTAGTGGCAGAGGCCTGGTAAGGTGGACTCCCATCATGAGGTACACCGACTTGCCCTTTGTGCCGTTGAGCATGCTCTGCGGGTTTCTGTTATAACTGGGATCATCTGAGCGGTTGTCTGAAATTCTCGTTAGTATACAGCGATCTATATAAGCTCTGGTAACGACTGGCTTGACTTACATTGTCCCCAGAGGGCAAGCGGAACATCTTTGCAGATACTCTCGTTAATCGTCCAAACGGGCTCTGTGATATTCTCCGCCAGACCAACATCCTTGTTTGCTTTGATCGATATGGTCAAAACAGAGGAAATGGGTTGGTCGGTATGCATTGGCTTTGCATAAATCGGGTTTCCGGTGCCCCGAACATCGTCTGTCTTCAGAAGCTTGCCATACGGGGATCTGGTCTCTACCTTTGCAGACTCAACGGCAAACTTGCAGTTGACAGAAAACTCAAAGGTAGCCGCTCGGACATTCCACATATCGCCGCTGGGCTTAGACTTTACGTCGTCTTTTGGAATGAGACCCTCTTCAACAGCAAACACGAATGCGTATGGGCTGTTGGAGGCTTCCTCTTGGTCGTCAGCCAGGCCGAGAGCTGATTCAATCATCATGGATGCTATTCCAGCATTCTTTGCTTGACATACAACCGCAATAAACTCATCAAGAGGCAATGGCGGAGGCTGATCAACCTTTGAGGCGCCAAAGTCAATGTCGAAGCCGAATACCCAGAAATCGACGTGCACACGACCTTGGATAGGAGGCCCCTTGATGTACAGCCTTGCAGAGATCTCAATGTTGATGTTGACCGTCACGAGCCAGAGATCGAGCGTAAACTTGACGCCAACAGTAAGGCCTCCTTCGGCAATGAAGTAGAAGGGCTTGAAGTTGATTAAGAAATCAACAAAGGCGTTGAAGTACGCATAGAGAGGGTCCAGAGATAGTGCCACGTCCAGACGGCCGCCACCCATGCAGACCTTGGGGGTGATGGCAAAGTATGCTTTTCCACTGATGCTGATGGCACCGCCAAACTGCCACGATATGCCCAAGCGCGGCACTTCTGGATAGCCGGGCGGCCTGCTGAAAGATGGATGATAGCCGCCGATGGTAAAGACCCAGTCGCCGCGGAGAGCTTCGTCTTTGCTGTCGAACCAACTATACAAGGCAAACCCGCCCGTCAAGTGGCAGTTGGGATCCAAGATGTAAGAAGCAGGCGTGAGCTCCCCTTCAATCTTCAGGACTCCGGTTTCAAAGTTCAATGAGGCAACAATCCCAAGCTGGACATGGGCAAACTTGACCTTGGAGGCGCCTCCTGGGATGCTGGCGGTGGCAAGACCAAAGATGCCCAGCTGAACGTACGGGTTCCACTGGATGACGATGACCGCTTCAACTGACAGGATCTCAAAGGCCTTGACGGTCAATCCTGCGGCGACCCAAAACGATCCTTCTTCCGGGAAGAACCACGAAGTACCCAGCAGCTGATTCATAATCTCGAATGGCCCATCATTGGGATCAGGGTCTGTTGCATCACCCGTGATCAACGGGAATTGGAGAACGTTGTGAGCCGTGGGGAACTTCAAGTTGGAATTGTAGCCTACCATTGTTAGCTAGTGGTTGTGCCATTTAGAAGAGGGTACACTCACCAAAACCTCCAGTCACTCCCTCGATGGAAACAAACTCAAGGGTAATCAGTGGCCCTTTTAGGACACAGAACAGGAATATCGTCTCAAACTCCTTGGGCTTCTTGATCTTGCCGTAATAACCGGCGGCTTGGAAGAGCCAAGGAGTGTAGCCGACCTGGATAGCTCCGGCATAATACATCCTTTCATTGTCATTGTGGTACAGAAGGCCACCTGCAATAGTGATTGGAGGGCGATTGAAGCCGGCTGCAATGCCTTCAAGAGTGACATTGGGCTTGGGCAGATTGTGTAAGCTCAGGTCCTTCGAGCCTGCAAAATTCAGGTTGAGGGCCAGCCCCATGACGCCAAACTCGACAGGACCAATGGTCACTGATGCATCAAGTCGAATAGAGACAATGGATTCTTTGCCACTCGAGCCAGTCGAGTACTTGAGCCCGATGTTCTTGATTGAGAGGGGGCCCTTTCTGGTCTGATACGGTGCCATGGCGGCGCCCTTGTCTTCCACTTCCTCGGCGTCCTTTGCCAGGACCAGCTCGTTGCCAGCTGGCGGCTGAGCCTTGGTCTTTTCAAAGGCGTAGTCGAGTATGACTTCGGACTGGCTGTCTCCTTTCTTCCGCAGGACCATAAAATGCATTCCTCTCGTCAGTACTACATCTCCATCGCCGGGTGGCGACTTGGAAACCGTCTTGTAAGGCATAGGCTTCTTCTCCATATCGACTAGGACCTTGTTGATGGATTCCAGCTGGATCTTGGTGATTCCGTCCTTTTCAGGCTGGGCTTGTCCCTGGCCCTGAACCCACAAGAACAGAATGTCGTCAAACGGCTGCGGGATCTTGCCAATCATGGGGAGAGCAGCGTCCACAAGCTCACCAACTGATGCGCTGAGAAATCGCTTGACGGGGGGCGCCTTGACACCCTCGTCAACAATCTCGCGGAACTGGAGGTATTGAAAGATGAGGCCGCTCAATCTCGCAGTGATGAGTACGACCATGACATACTTGTCAGAGGTGCCTAGTTGAACTTTTTTCATGATCAGCTCGAGATAATCTTCCTTCTTCAGCCCAATCTCGATGTTGGTCAGGAACTCTGGAAGATTGAGATCTGTATCGGCAATGCTACGAATAATCTCGCCGACCGTTGAGGTGATATCCTTGTTTTGATCGGTGTTGACCTTGGCCTCAAAGTCCCAGACTTTTCCATCGTTTGTAAACTTGAGCGAGAGCTTGAAAGGGCCAAGGACAAGAATTCCATCAATGTCGAACGAAGATGCCGCCTTTTTCTGATACGTGTAGTTGATGTTCAGTTCCTGGACTTTGATCGTCTCCAGAATGCTCAAAGCTGTCCCGCTCAAGTCGGAATCAAAGAATTGTGCAAGCGTGGATGCATACAGATCGTAGATGGATCCCGAGAGCACCCAACCGTTGTCTGTGGTATAGACGACCTGGCCTACTAGTTGAGTAGGCCAACCGTACTTTGCCCCCTTCGGCTGCTGGATGAGTGCCTTGATCAGAAAGACACCGGTGAATTTGCCAGCTGATTTGGCTGTAGCAAGAGCCTTTGACGGCACGGTTGACTTCTTCCCTCCCCATTCATATCCCACATAGAGGAATATCTCCCCGATACTGAAAATGGGTACTTTATCTCCCTTTTGGGGCTTTGGCTGCATAGCACCCGTGAATGATATTCCTGACTTATCTGCCTGGAACTCTGCCATGGTCACCTGTGTGGGCAGGAAGCTCGGGGCGTCGTCAATGTCAGCCATTGCTGCGAGATCGAGAGTCGGTTGCCACTTGGACACATCGATGGAGATTGGAGACATTTCGTAGTAATTCTCCCACTCCGGGAGCAAACGCCATTGATTCAAGGCGGGCATTGCGGGTGGTGCTAAACATGTTCGTCAGTCAAGCTTCTTCCACGACTACAATCGGGCTTGTGAGATTTCCAAAGAGAGCTTGTGCAGAAACAAGAACTTACCAGTCCAGATCTTTGCGCTGATGGAGCTTCCATCCTCTTTCTTGTAAGAATAGGTGACAAGAAACAATGTTGGGCCGGAGCTGGACAGGTCCAGCTCGACTTCCATATCAATACGAAAGGTTGACATCTTCGCCTTGCCTTTCCCTTCGTCTTTGGTCAAGCCGACGGTAATGCGTCGAAAATGAAACTCTCCTAGGCTAAAAGAACCGACAGACTGATTCTCAAGGGAAGTAAAGTCAAATTGGCCAACATCAATATCCAGTAGCTTGCTGACCCAGGTCAACAGCTTCACCAGAGCGGAAGTGTCCTTGGTGTTCAATGTCATGGTAAAGGTGGAGGCTGTCTCATTGAACTCAAAAAGACCTTCCAGCTTGATTCCTTCCAGATCGATGTTCGTATGAATGACGAGGTCTCCCCTGGATATGAGCTTCGACTCTGTCCCGCTTGTCGTCCACCAGGTGCTTCTGCGGGTGACAACTGTGGTTTCACCCAGAGTCAGTTGCAGTGGCTCGAAGATTGAGTTCAGCTCTTCGCGAGACGTCTCGTCCATCTGCCACTCCAGACGGATACAGGTTCTGTAGTCGTTGCCGGGCACAAACCAAACGGCATTTCTCTTATTCTTCAGCTCATCATTGGTCGAGGGCGGCTTAAGGGCCATGGCTCCCATCATGGCAATTAGCGGATTCTTCTGCAGACTGCCCAGCCCGGCAAAGTTGAGCATATTGACAATGTTGACGGGCTCCGATGGCGTTGACGGATGCAACCCGAAGACCAAGCCTGAATTTTGTTTCAGCAAGCCCTCAGGAGAGATGAAAGCAGCGGATGCCAATCCAAAAGCCAGTTCCAATATAGATCGTTCAGTCGAGAATTTGAGCCATGTGATGGAGGGAGACCCTGGTCCTGCTCCAATGGGAGCAAGTGAGACTTGCATGGTAAAGCCTCCAATCTTGTGTCCTTTGGCGTCAATCACAGCCAGGCCTTTGGCGTTGAGGGCGTCCGAAAACCAAGCTGCCCACTCGTCAACCTTGCTCAACGGCGTTGTGCCATTCGGGGGAGGATCGTCTTCAGGCCGCTTCTCCAAGCAGATGACGCCGCAATGGAGATCGGAGACAAACTCGTTGAGGAGACCTGGGTCCAGCCTCTCATAGTCATTGACACCCTGAGCCTTGATCTTGGTATCTTCTAGTCTGCGGGTGAAGACGGACCACATCCCACTGGGATTCGTGTTCAAGTTAACAACACCACCGCCGCTCTGCACCTTGGGAGATAGTGAGACGGCCTGTGCTTCGAAGATCTCGTCTTCAGTGGTAGCGGAAGACGTATCAATTAGAGAGTATTCTTCGATACCCTCGATGTTCTCTTCGTCTTCTTCATCCCCAAAAGGCGAATCCATTTCGTCCGGATTCGTCGTCTTGGGTATGAAGAACGCCTGGGGCTGCACGCGCGCGTGAGAAAGAAGATCGTAGTCAGTTACTCGGTCATCCTCGTCATTCTCTGCATCCTCCTTCATGTCATCATCAACGTCGCTGAGCTTCCTTTTTCTGGAGACAGCGCCTGGAGCTGCAGGGATAGCTGCCGCAACAGCCGTCGAGGGCGTGACCGTGGTCTTGAGCGCCGTCAACACCATGGCGCGTTCAATGACAATTGGAGTCGGAGTATGGAGGAGGGACAATCCGAGGTCGACGTACTGGAGCTCGCCATCTTCGTCCGTGTTCTGGCTGCACTTGATCCGAACGAAGCAAAGAGACTTGTAGGCTGTCTTCCCCTGCGTCACGGAGTATATCCCACAGCCACCCATGTGGTATTCAGTTGTTGGAAAACCCAACAGACTCCAGATTTGAGCGTATCTGTCTGCCACGTATGCTCGCTGTAGATTCTCGGCTTGTTCGATTCTGACGAGTCTCTCGTTTGGCACCTTGGGCTTGTCATTCTTCACGAGAGCTTCGTTGAGGACCTCATACTGTTTGTCGTGGTACGTCACATAGGTCTTGTAATCCTTCTTGCCCTGGAGGGCGTCCAATTTGACTTTCTTGAGGTTGTACCAGCTACCCTTCTCAGGCTCCGTCTCCGACTTAGGCACCCAAGTGATGGTTGCCGGAAATGTGAGGGCGACTAGTCGAGGAACAGCTGGAGGAGCCAGGGAGTGTGCCCAGAGGAACCATATCACGATCACGGGCCATGCTAACCTCTTTGTCAGATATGGCCTATCTCTAAAGAACAAGAATTACAGTTACTCACATGGATGGTTATGCAGAGCATAGGTCGGAGTTGGGACCAGGGTGTTCTTTGGCTGAAAGTCGTTGAACATTGCCAGGGGCGTCGAGAAGTGCGATCCGTGGTGACTGAGCTTCACGTTTGTGATCTTCTTTACTCCCGCCGTTTTGAGCCAGTTGAACATTGTCGACTCGTGCTTCTGCCCAATGTCTCCCGCAAAGTAGTGGGAAATGTGAGGAGCAGGGGTAGCTTCCCAGACAATCAAGCAGGCGATACTCGCTTGGTTGGTGAGTGTGACACTGGTGTCTTTGACGACCAGAATGTTGATCGGCTTGTCAATTGCCAGCTTGCTGATCTCCGTCTTGCTGGCAAAGTGACGTTCATTCGCGGCAATACAGAGCATGGCTGGTCGACCAGCCTCGAGTTTCTTCGCCTTCAGCAAGTCCACCAGCGGCGTGCCGTCGGATCCAGGCATGATGGCCGCATCGTTCTTGAAGAAGTCGACTCCAAGCACGTCGTCCGTCCCCTTATCGGCGGCGTGAAATTTAGCAAACTTTGCACAGTGCTCTTCGCCGTCCTTCTCGAACTTGATGCTGATGGTATTATCGGCATCGTTGACATGGAAACTGTTGTTCATCCCGTTGGCTTTATTGCTCTTCGTCTTCTCCCACGCCGTCTTGACCGAACAGTAGAAATGGGTTGCTGGAGTCTCGTCAATGTTCCACTTTAGGATTGTATCCAGCTGCTCTGTCTTGTCTTCAGTCGTCGCTCCATTCTGGAGTATCTCCACGATTCCATGGTAGTGGTCCTTGTCCCAGTGGGTGATGATGATGGTGTCAAACGCGAGTCTCTTTATCTTGTCGACTTCCTTGCCGTCAATGATGTAGTTGTCTTCAATCCATCGCATTGCGGTATAGATGGGCATTTTCTTTTGTCTTGTGTGCTTCGTATCTCCCGAATCTTTGTGCCTCCCCGGCTGATCTTCTCCGCCATCGATCAGGACAGCCGAGAGGACTTTGGGCTTTGGGTTCTTCGCTGTGACGTCCGTAACGTCAACGAGGAGATGGATTGCCGAGTCTCCTAGGGAGATGGCGACGTGAAAGGAGTCGACGCGATACTTGGTCATTATGATGGCGTCTCTATTTCTTTGGTCATCACCCGAGTAAAGCTGGTACTTGAGACGAAAAGTACTGATGAACAGAGTTTTCCGGAAATTCTTGATGCTTTGGTATGTGTGTATTGTACTGTATCCGAAAGAGTTGCCCGTATGGTAGTTGTGCTATAAGAACAAACAGTATCACCAGTTGCAACGTCGGCTGTATACCAGCAGGACACAAAAGGAGCCACCGTTTGATGAGTATCAAGACTAATACCTTGGGCCCCTTTTTCTAAGACAAGGCCTTTCTACGCAATTGATCTCACTACCATACAATGTTTCGCACACTGCCTGATCACAAAGCTGCAGCCTCTGCATTGACGGCTGAGCTCAATGCCTCTCCCATGAACTCCATAATGAAGGCCTCTACATGCCTTGGGCCATTGATCTACGTCAACTCATCCGCTGCCAACCCTGCTAAGCTCTGTGCTTCTTTCTCATAACCGATCATTATTCACTCCGAACTCATGTTATTCTCTCTCTCACACCACAATCCTCTCATTCTGGTTACAGCTCGTTGTCGCCTTTGCTACCTTGTCGTCAGGCAGCCACAATTGGTGCAAGACTCCATCAAGCCCTTCGATGTCAATGTGATTCCTGCAATGCAGACGTCCAATAGAGTCTCCTCGGTACGCAGACATGCATATATCACGCTCAATGGTCCGAAGAGACACGCCATCTCCTCACCCGGCCACGGCACCATGCGAAGAATAAAACCAGATCCAGCCTAGTAACCATGATCTTCCTGGAGGGGTCTCGCCAAATCGGGGTCTCCAAGGATCTGACATCCTTCGTCATCCTTGACCCCGCGGCTCCCACATGGGGTTGCATCGCGATGGATCCCTTCAGCCGTCCACTTGCCGCCCTTGCATGAGCCGAAGGAGTCTGCTAACTCAAAGGGGGGCCCCTGTCTCCCGTGTAGAGCAGTGAATGCGTCAACAATGGCACCTGAAAGTAAGCACTGAGGGTCGCAATGGTACGATATGCATGTCCACAGCGGCCATCAAATGTGCTGAGCATATATGACGAGTCTATACAATCCACAGACACCACAACAGAAGACAAGGACGATATATCGATATGACAGAATGTGCCTCGATTGCATACTAGTACTACCATAGCTCCCACTAAACACACAAAGTCCTCCCCATACTACCTGACTACCATAGCCGCTCTCTCCCGCAGCAATTCAGGCCCCCTAGCGAGCTTGAGTCTTGTCATCTCCAACATCCGGGGCCGTGATAGGATGAACCATCTGCAGGAATCCTTCAAGAGCCGTCAGAGGACCCGGCGCAAACTGCGGAACGGGATCTATCTTGCCAAGGCGCAGAGCCATGTACACCTCGTCCGTCACCTCCCCATCCTCGTCGCTCTCTTGCCTGGTCGCCTCCGGGTCCAAGTACGGTTGCAGCCAGCTCCAGTCCGCCACAGCCAGGGAAGGCAGCTTGATCTCGATCTTCTGCTCCTTGAGCTGCTCCAGGTCGTAATTGGGCAGAAGGATGCGTTCTGGGTTGTATACCGGGACGTCCTTTTCTACCATTAGCGGCCCAAAGTGGAAAAAGGCCGTCATGTTCTTCAGAGCTGACTCCCATGTCCAGGTCGATAGCGCCAGAGGCTCGACGGGCAGAATGCTGGAGTAGGCATTCACGGGTGTGAACGGATCCATGAGGAGGCCGACAACTGTCAGCTTCTTGTTGTGGTCAATGATGAACTTTTCCTGTGGGGTGTATTTGCTCTCCTCCTCTTCCTCCTCTACATCCTCCAAGTCTTTTCTCTGGGGCCCCTGTTTGGTATTGTAATCATTGGGGTTGAGCCAGAACGGCTTGAGCTTGAGAAATGTTTCTGTGTCGATGGGCTTGATCCGGTCCGACTTATCGTGAGGACTGCCAGGCTTGAACGAGGTAAACAGCTGATCCAGCTTCAGCTCGTCCTCGGGAAGTGGCTTGTCTCGAGCCCGGAAGTACGCCACCAGTCCGTCGTGAGGCCGAGCGGCATCTCCAAGCTTGACGGAGAACTCATACTGCTTCGTGTCAGGGTGCGAGTCTGGCAGGAGGGTGTATGGGGGCCGCTTCGACGGCTGATCACCGACGGTTGACTGGTTGGTACGGGCATCTGCCGAGAGCTCGAGCGAGATGCCTGCATTCACCAGAGCCAGTGGCCGTCCAATCAACGAGTTGACGCATTGTGCATAAGCGCCCGGGACGGTGCTAGCATTCCGCGTGGCTTGCGTGGCCATGTCCATGAAGCCGTTGAGGTAGTCTCGCCCGCCCTCGCCCGAGAACTGCTCGATCAAGTGGTCCAGCTGTCGAATCTCCTGAGGGTCCACGGGGGGCTTGAAGGGGAGCCACTTGTCCGTGGCTTGCGTGCCCTCGTTGGGATTGTTGGGAGCAGCCAGTCGGACTTCGCGGTAAAAGGTGCCGTCATGGAGGAAGAACTGGATGCCAAAGTCGACATAGTTGACCAGCACCCAGCCCCAGATGGGGTTCTCCCACTCTGTGATTGGCCTCCAGTGATACTCGCCGTCATGCTGGTCAAGCTTGACAAAGTCCATGTTCAGCCGGGCTGGCTGGTTGATGCTGGGAGGAACCTGCATAAACTGACAGTCACCCTTGTTCTTCGGCTTCTCCACGACGTTGGGGTAACCATTCTTGTCGTAGATCTGCGGTTCGTAGTACTCGCTGATACAAGGGTAGATGGGAGGCGGGCCGTCATGGCGTCGCTTGGGATCAATTGCAGCAGCCGCTTGTCCAAACTTGTCGATGATGTTGAGCTTGGTCAGCTTGAACTGGCCGTGGACGGCAGGCTTGAAGACGGAATACGGCGTCGTGCCCACTCTCACAAGCGAACAGTAGGGGGTGAGGTCTGTCTCGACGCCCATCCGTTCAAGCTCGACCGCCCCCAGTCCGATGACGACAGTGTCTTCATAGGCGTCCTTCATCGGCACCGGCTTCTGTCCGGGATACCGCACGTTGGGCTTCAGGTGGCTGCCTTCGGTCAGGGTTAGGAGGTGGTTGGCAAAGCCATCCAGGGGGGCAGAGACGAATGGTAGCTTCTTGAGGTCTTTCAGAACCTGGTCACGTTTGTCCTTTGGCAATATTGGGGAAAGCTCGTCTTCGGGAACGGTCGTGAAGAGCCGCTCAACCTGGCCCACCAGCGAGAAGACGGGCTGGGGGAGCAGCAGAATCCGGCCCGATATCGTCCTTCGATCATCGTTCTTGGACTCCCACAGCGGCTTGTCGTCCTGCTTCACAGTGTAGCGGAACTTTTTGTCGTGCGTCGACCTGGTGGCGCGCTCCTCCATATCCCACTTGTCATAGTCGATGTGATAGTACTCAGCCTCCCACTCCATGAAGAGCGGAAACCACGGCTGAGTATTCTTCCAGAGATCACGTCCGTCCTCGTCGTGGTAAAGCGGCGGGAAGACGTTCTTGTCCATCTCCTCATTTCCCTCTCCCTTCTCCTCCTCTTTCGTCTCCTCCTTGATCAGAAACTTCCTATTGGCTGCGCAAGCACATGTACATGACTTGCATTGACACTTGGCGGCACTGCTCGACTCCTCCACCAGACGCTCTTTTTCATAGTGCAGGAACTCGCCAAGCAATGACTTGGCCATTCCTTGTAGAGCATCCGGGATACACTGAAGTCCATAATCGGCCTCTTCGTCTGGTGGTGGAGGTGTGTGCTTCTCAATCTGTGACTGCAGCCGCACCAGTAGCTTTTCGAGATAGTCGGTAGGCCAGCCAGCCTCCACTCCTCCGACAAAGATTGTCGGGTCCCTTTGTTGACTGAATACTGGAGCAACGGCCTCTTTGAGCTCCAGCTTGAGCTTTTTCTTAATTTCGTCTTTGGCAGTGCTAATGGCGTTTGTCTGGCTGTTGAGAGAGGCAACCAACCGCTGCCAATCCCAATCGAGGTCCTGGACCTCCCGCTTGTATTGTCTCATAGCAGCGCTGTGGTTCCGCTCAGTATCTGTCACATATCGCCACCAAAGAGCAAAATGCTTCCACTGGAGGCGGGAAAGCTGTCGAGCCGAAGCATCGTACAAGACTTGGCTCTCGTTCAGCTTCTTCAAAAGAGCAGCTGCTTCGTCAGAGGGCGGCGCGGCAGGATTCTTTGGATCAATCTGGAACACATATCGCGAGCCCCCTGCAAACTTGGCAAAGTTGTAGTTCTGCACCTCTTCGGCCCCCGCCCGACGGTTCTCGATGCTCTCGCTCTGGGCCTGAAGCAAGGCGCTCAAGTTATTCAGCAGCTCCTCGATAGGCCCGTTTTGGTGAGCGGCCACATAGGAGAGAAGCGAGTCCAGAGGCGTCGTCCCGACTGAGATGGGCGTTTGCATGTGTAGCTGGTCAGCAACCTCATCGGCGATGACGCGAGGCCGGCTGTTCTCGTCCCATTTCAGGTTCCAGCGGACGCCGTACATGGCGCCATGACAGAGTATGCGGCCACTTTCGGTCGACTTTAGCCATTCGGTCACATCGTCTGGAACAGGGCCGTCGGACTTGTTGAGAGCCATGGAGAGGGCTTGCAAACGATCACCTCTAGTGCTTGTTGAGTGGTCACTGAGGTGCATGAGATCATCCTCGGGGTTGACATGCCATCCAAGCACGTAGTAGTCGGCCACGGCGCGAGTAGCGTACTTTGACGGTGCATACTCGAAGCTGTCTAGCATCGAAAAGACGTTGCTGTTATGGGGCATGTAGTCGGGGAACAATTGGTTGCTCGAGTTCAGAACACCCAGGGAGATGCGCTTCTTGGCTTGGCTTGTGCTCTCATTCCACTCCTTTGCTTTGATTCGTCCACCAATAAAGACTTCAGCTTGCTCGTTGATGGTCGGCTCCTCAGTCGATCCCGTCTGCAGATACGGTGACACATCCACCTGCAGGTCGTACTTGGTGTCGTCCGTGTCGTCCATCTCGTCAATGGATCTCATCCAATCGCTCTCAATCACCCAGGCAGTGACCGGTTCGAGACTAGCTTCAGCTTCCGGCGGCTCGACGTTGCCAACAATTTTGCGGATGACAAGCCAGCGGTTCGGAGTCTCGGGAAACAGAGGCGTTGCCAAGTCCTCCTTGTCCGTGGCGACATTTGACGTAAACAGCCCACGCTGAGCGCGACTTTGGTTCGAATCCTGCCCCGTAGCCGCCGCACCCGTACGGTAAGGCCGAGGAATCATCCAATGCAGATAGACACCCAGCCTCTCTTGGCGAGTCTTGCCCGTTGCGAGGTCGGTGATTCGCGAGTTGCGGGTGGCTGGGGCCGCGGCATGGAGCTCGATGGGATGCAACACATCGTTTTGGAGCATGAAGTTCTTGATCTGCAGGTAGCTGTAGTTGGGCTGCGTCAATGGCGAGATTTTGGCTTGGTTTATCTCGGTTCCATTGCATGTATCCGGGTTGAAGATGAAGGCGTCAAGTTTGACGGGAATCGCCAAGGGAGAAGATGCCATGGCGACGGGTTGCGGATGGGTCTCAATGAAGTTATTGAGTTCACATTGGCTTGCGTCCAATGTCTGGTTTGACGAGGTTTCAAATTCTAGAAAAAATCAACGAGTTTATATACACCGACGAGCGTCCTTGAGTACATCTTACAGATTGAAGTATAGTACATGACGTTGGACGCTGGAGAGGTGAAACTGTAGCCTCGGCTTTCTGCCAAGTTGCGGCAACCCCTGTAGAAGATAGTCAACTCACAGCTTCCTTTGACAAACACACCCTTCCTGGTCACATAGCTCGGAAATACGCCCATCCCTCATCGGCATTTGCATCTGCAATCTGCATCAAGGATTCAGTCTAGCTGAGCCCGTGGGTTACATCGGGCGTCCCCTCATTCAGCAGCCTCTGAACAATAAGCCATGCATATGCCGTTGCCATTACGCCAGCCACTTGGGAAAGTCTTGTGCTGGATTCGGACAGCGGCATCTGATCCTTCGTAGCACCGCCCCATGCACGCGTTTGACAGTTGACAGCTGGCTGGGCTCGCTACCTATGTCACTGGAGGGAGGCGATTGGCGCGCTACAGGGACCTGAGCCAGCCTTTGCCGAAACAGAGCTGTTGAGCCCTTGGCTTCTGTCTTGATGGCCGATCACTCTGTGCATTCGATATGCAGTATCTGTATGCTCAATTGAGACATCTATCGCACGATATGGACGTGAATTCAGGCACTGCTTGCATCATATATCTGTTTACAGCACTTCTACTGTGACGAGATAAAAGGTCGTCCAATTTGGCGCTTACCTAAGGTATACCTCTACCAGAGCGGCGGGACACCCACTAACCCGAAATCGCTGGTGGCTGAGCTCTACATGCTACGGTACCTGGAAAAGCCTTTGAGTTGCCGCTGTTTTCATTGTCCCTTGTGTACATCGCTGCCGGCACTAGAGCCGAGTGGTCGACTAGGACTAGCTGGACTGGGATTAGAGCGTGGATAAAATCGGGTCAGCCGCCATTAGCTCAAGACCCTGACTCCTCCATCCAAAAGAGGTTCTGAACGTAAGCAAGGTAAGAGAAAGGAAGAGCAAAAAGTAAACAATAACGTCTCAATTCCACTAGCTGGCTATAATCCGAATACGAAGTAAAAAATCAAGAACGAATGACAGTATCCGACAAGTCACACTAAGCCAGCTATTCTCATCTCGGCTGCATCTGCATACATAGAGCTCTGGGGGGGAGCGCCTCCAGCTGGCCGTTTTCACTTAGCCGGCTCAGCGTGAAAACCAGCGACGTGGCTGACGCTCAGCTGGCTCTCGTCAGGAAGATCGTTCACGTCGTGAACAATCTGGCCGTCGTTCCAAAAGTAGACGTGGATGTTCTTCTCGTGGGCAACCAGGGCAATGGCCGAATCATCGTCCATGGCATCTTCCACGGCCGCCTCCTCGGGAGACCACTTGCCGTTATGGAGCCACGTTCTGGCCACGATTCCAGTCTGGTTGCGGTAGTAGAGGAAGAGAATGGAGTTGTCGGGGCTGAAAGTGACAGCCAGGTGCGTGCCAGTTTCCGCCATTCCAGTGGTTGGGATCTTTGAAGCTGATGGAGTAAATTAGCTTTAGTGTACCATTTGCAAGGACTAGGCATGTTTTCTCAAAAGACATACTCTCGCCTGCCAAGATATTGTGGTAGTACAAGTACTGCCCGGCCTTGTTTTGGAAGAAGACCCAAGGCTTGCCCTGGACGACGATGCTCGCCAGCTTGGAGTACGCTGCGACCGTGACATCGACTGCTTTGGAGGTCACAGACAACTTGTTGATGGTGTAGTTGACCAAATTGACAGTCCCACCAATCTCTCTGAGAACCATAGTTAGTTCTTTGACGCTCCAAGACGTGACCAGAACAAATTAACTTACTTCAAGAGGGACACATAACCGGTGTTGGTCGTGCTTCCGCAGGCTGCAACGGCGGAGTAATCCCCAGGCTGAACATTGGCTGCAGAAACCTTGTCGATGGGATTCACAACTGGACTCAGCTGAGAAATGACAGCGATAGCAGGGTCTGTCGACTTGACGGCCTTTGGAATTTGGGCAATACCAAAGGCACGCACCTAGTAATCACCGGACAGGTCAGTAATCTTTGCCGTCGGGAAGTGGAAGGAAACCCCTTACCAGGCCGAGAAAGCTAGTCACGGCAAGGTCAGATGGAGGAGGCTTGACTCGGGAGCCAATCGTGTTTCGGTTCTTGAACTCCTGGTCTCGGCCACCAGAGACGGAAGACTGCAGGAGAGCCAGGCTGTACGTGTCCTCGATCTGCAAAAGTCTCTGTCAGCTTTACAACTTCCTGAGAAGACCCGTTTCCATTACCTTCTCGTAATAATACACCCATGCCTCTGAGGTGTCGATGGGCGAAAGGATAGCAGCCAAAGCCATCTTGTTTGTTGTATGGTTTGTTGAGCGGGTAATTTGCCTTTGATGAGACTTCTGGGTGTTGGTTAGAGTTGAGTTGTTGAGAGAAAAGCGTGGCGAACTGCTCGACTTTTGTATATCTCTGTTTCAAGACGCGATCCATAGGAAGGTGAGACTTGTTTTCCTGGTGATGTAAGAGGCGTGTTTGTTGGAAGCTGAAACGAGGTTTTGGGCGATAGTTGCGAGCTGAAGTTGTGATCGTTGTAAGCTGAAGAGTACATGTATGGAGGGGGTGGGTGAGTTGATTGAGCATCGTTCTGCAATGCGACCCTCACCACCGTGCTTTCTACAACATTTGAAGGATCATGCATGCAGTACGTCAAATAATGAAATGTGACTGAAAATAGTTACCCGAAAGAGACGACAGTGATGACATACCTCATGGGCCGTGGCGCGACGTGTGGAGAGAACGCATCGACCGGAGATAGAGCTTCCTAGGTACTATCAGGCTCGCCCCAGATGTTTTCATCTCTCTTGACCTAGAACACTCTACTCTATCAAGTTCAACTATCATCTTCTGTTTCAAACACTGTTCAAGTTCTTCCAAAGCTCAACAAAAGTTCTTTTAAAAATGGCCGGCCGCAAAAGAAGAGAGACTCGTGCACGATACATTGTATTTCGCCATGCTGCTCGTGTCCAGCGCTTCCTCGCCAGTCTTGAAGACGACCGTCGACTTAAGCCAGGGCATCAACAACTCCATTCGTTTGTTGTTCCTGGCTTGCAAGGAGGCAAACACACGGTTGATGTCACCCAAGACATCACCGCAAAGTCAGTCCCGAAGCAGCTGACTGCAACTCAAGAGTTCTACGTCGATACTCCCGAGTTTGCTATACCCGAGGGCGAGATCCATTCTGTCTATCCGCCTCCTGGGCACGAAGAGAGGTCTGAGACTTTGCCGCATGTCGTTTTCAATACGCCCGAATTCCCGTGGGAATGGCGAGCAAGCTACATTGAAGATCCGCCGGATTACAAGCAAAATAGGAACCGTGTCCCTTGGCTCGCTGTGCTGGTTTTTACCAAGGATGAGCTTCAGTTGTCGCCAGACGACCTCCAGGGAGAACAAAGCATCTTCCGCAATACGAAGAAGCTCCCAGGCGGTGCGAAGCAAACCTCCACGCTGGCCGTCAACATGCTCGTCAAAGATGTGCCAAAGCTCGCAGATACAGCGTCACCTGTGAAGCCTTCCCCATCAGAGCCTGATGCCACGACAGACATCATCTTCATCAAGAAAGGGCTTTTCTCGACCCTCTTTGCCAAATACGATGACAAAGGCCATGAAGACACGACCGCCACTCAGGCAGATGTGCGCCCATACAGATTCCTGGCGCACAAGAGGGACATCAACACAGAAGGCATGGCTATAGCGGCCCTCACAGCGACAGAGGAAGATCAATCCTCTTACGGCGTGGTCTTTTCCCACAGGACGGGACCGGTCACTATTACCAAGCCGACGCAGATTATTGCCCACCTTGTTTCTATCCGCAGCGTTGAGGTAATGCCATGGCCAGTAGCCAACGACAAGAGATACGTGGCAATGTCCAGCTTGCACAGTTGGAGCTACACATGCCTCCCTCCTGATACCCCCAGCATCAAGAACATGTTTGAGGCACTAGGACGATCCAGTGCGATGCTGCGTTCCATTGTCCAGCTGGATCAACTGAATCCTCCAACTAATGCTCCCAAGGCAGTGCAAGACCGAGTGTTGCAACGCCTGCACGACGGTTACGCTTTGGCTCGCTATCGAATGCAGACGGGAGAGCAGACAAGCTGCTTCATCCGAGGGCCATTCATCCCGGTCAAGATCCCGTCTGACATTACTCGTCCATGGCACTCTCTCTCCACTTCGGGCTCAGACCTACAGATCCTCGACCAGCAGCTCGGTTTGATGGACATCACGTATTCGGCAGCTTGGCAAATTGGTCGAACTCTGGCCATCTCAGACGCCGACCTTGTGTCGAGAATCGGCCAGGTCCGCAAGCAGATATACGATCGTGGCATGCATTACTATCAGCTGGCCGCTTTGAAAGCCCACGGAACGCGTTCCAAGAGCGAACTCATCGCACAGCTCCCTGCCATGGTCGATGCTCTGCAGAACTTGCACAAGACGGCCCAGCTTTGCACCTCGGATGTCCAGGCTCGCTCTCGACGATGGCTTCGCCACTCGATAGAGCCTGTCGATCTTTCGTATAGCGGCCATGAGGCACATGCCATGCGCTTGGCATCAAACGAAGAGAATAAACTTCCACAGTGCTTTCTCAGAGCCGCCAAAGAGATTGCCAGTGCGATTGACCCAGAGAAACCAGATCAACCATCTGATGTACCTTACAATGAGTTCAACACACCGTATTCTCCCGATTGGATGGCTTTGCTCAAGTTTGTTCTTGACAAGCAGGTACTGGAGAATATCCCCTTTCACTATCTGATCCCGGATATCAGCGCCCTTCCGTTGGAGAGCATGCGCTTCTTCCGGATCGATTGGCGCTGGATGGACGCTCTGCTCGATGGAGCGCTAAGTTTGTCCAATTATATCGATCAGGACCACGACAAGGTTCGCGATGCCATCTTTGGCGCCCTCAAGTGGTATCACGAAACGGGCGTGGCCGAGCACGGAGGCGAAGTCCCTCCCGTGCCTGTCTATGGCTGTCTGATCCGCTCTAATCTCATTGTCAAGTTTCCCGATATGAAAGTCGAAGTCCTGCCTCTACAATTGCCCGACAAGCCTCCCGTTCTGATGAGACACAAGCTTGTGACTCCAGATACGATGCTGTGCCTTTTCTCAAAGGAACCGTCGGAGCCGGACTTTGATGGGCTCGCCCTCACTCAGCCGCCTCACCAACAGACCTTTGTGGCCGGCAGCGACCTCAAGAAAGACAAGATTGAGATGAGATACAAGAAGGCCTATACAGCAGATGAGGGATCCGACGATGTTACCGTGCCTATTGCCATCAAGGAATGGTCACCAAATGATCCCAAGACCAAAGAGGCCGTTTATCTCTGGGATGTCACTCCATCGTCTTCACCCACCATAGAAGCACGCAGACTGCTGATGGAAAGTCTAGCGAGCGACTACTTGAAGACGGTCCAGGAAAAGATGGACAAGAAGTACTTTGACGACGACACTGCCACCTCTGCCCTCATGGCGGCGCAGATGGGCTCCGTCGCTTGGCGCCTCAAGCTCAAGCTCTCGCAGACAAATGCCAGAGATGAGCTCGAGATAGACCCTAATGTCACTCCGAGTGATGCGCCTCTATCTGAATGGGCCCTTCGGCGTCGCCGTCATCCAGTTCCATCCCACGCAATCCAGAAGCTCCCTCAGTACTACGCTACGAGGCCCGTCTTTTACTACCAGGTTTCGTCCACTGAGACGCCATCGTCAAACACCATAGTCGCAACGGACGTTGAACAAGATCTCATCTTCCGTATCAATCTCGAGCCTTACACAGCTGGGGATTACAGGCTAGAGGAACTCAAGATAAAGGTCCCGTTTGGCACACCGCAGCAGTTTCCACGCGTCCTCATGGCAACATACAAAGGCAGTGGAGCAGACATGACATCAAACATCAGGTTCAACGTCATGATTGATCTTGAAACAACCGATGAAAAGGTAACGGGCATGACCCTCCGCATGGTCCCCCGGAGCAGACGCGGTTACGTGCCGGTAACGAGCTGCAGCGAAATCAGCTTCATCCTCAGCGGCGTCGTCGTCAGCCAAGTGACGCAGAAGACGTGGGTTGATTTGGAGATTAAGGAGCATTATGCGAATCAAGGGGAGTGGAATCCAAAGAACAAGCCTGATAGTATCGTCTTGGTCCCACCGCCTGCTGCGGAGAGGGCGATGAACCTGAAGAGGATCTTCTCAAGGGGGTTGTCCTAGATGCTTTGTATAAGCTGTAGCATTCATGAACATCTCTAGTGCGTTGTGGTGAAATCAGTCGAGGTATCTCGACATTGTTTATCTATGTCATTCGTTTAGGTCATTGATTATATACCCTCTATTCATAGGGCGACGTTCTTAAGGTTCGGTGAGCCACAACCACGCGTGCCAATCATCTTTCACCGATCCTGAACTCGCATACAAATAACTCTTCCACAAAAGCCAGAATCGGCGTTTTAGATGAAGAAGATTGGAAAGATAAACTCCCTAGTCTCAAGTAGGAAAGGGGGAACCTAGCAAGGCGTCAAGGCAACAAGGCAACAAGGCAACGGATGTGGCTGCGCAAAGGTGAGGTCGACCAAGCACCGAAAGGGGGCTAATTATGATCAGACTATTCCGAAGCTCCTTCAACGCAGCAATACAGTTGAAGTGACTAAGAAGCAAAGCAAACGCACCGTATCTAGCTTAAAACAGGCTCCCTATGCCGACCAGACTGAGCCGTCCAAGGCGTATTCTCTGCCATTGAAAGCCTTGTTCTCCGTTTCTCTGTTACTTTCTACACCTGCACATGTCGAGTTCCGGGATGATAATTGAGGATTACAGTTCAAGCGTGACAAACCTTCATTATACGATCACATCGCCGTATTCGTCCACTTCACAAACGAACAACATAATATTCGGTCATGAGGCTCTGTCTCAGAACAAGTCTACTATCTCACAGAACGTAGCCAGTAACAAGGCTTTTCTAAATTGCATTGCAGCAGTTGTAGCGTTTGACGTGTATCTTCCTATAGTAGGTGCATCTCGACGGCCCTCCACGAAACCTGCGAGCGTCAACAGCAAAGACTCCAGGCAGCAGGACCTGCGCATATTGTCTTCGTCTGTTCAAGTGCTTTCATTGGCACCGAGATGCGCAAATGTTGCGCCGCTGCGCAGAAAACGCCCCGCGTCTCGACGACGATTGGTCTCCGAGCAGAACCTGCGCCTTTTGCGCAGCAGCGGCAATGGTAAGGGAGCTACCAAGCTATAAATGATCGCGATGCGTGGCTGGCTAACCTCTGGGCTATCTCCTTCTCTTTCATTCGAAAACTATCGCCACTCTCACTACTATCTACAACTCCCTTTATGCCATCAGTTGCCATCAAGATCAAATGGAAGAGCCAATACATCAAATGCTTGACCGATATATATCGCAGCCTCCTCATGAAGACGGTGTATTTCTTTATGAGGAGCCAGTATCAGAGGCATGCTACTCATCCCCGGCGAACCGCCAGTCCATGATACAGCAGCAATTCACACAATTCGACAAAAAGCACATCGATGGCAACGAGCTTACTCCATGCCTTTGCTATTATGCATGCTGCGCATTTAGAAGCTCTAGTGGATCATCTTTGGCGGAGCATGTTCAGCAATGCCATCCTCAGTTGACTTCATGTGGTCAATCGCCCACCAACATGGACTCTTCTGCAGGTGAGAGTCAACCATATCCAATGTCTGAGCAATGCCTAGCCTTTGGAACTTGGAAACAATTTTACGAACAAGAGCGTCTGGGTGAGTGGCTTGAGCATGTCCATACGCACCTGCGGCAGCACAGTTTTCAGATCATCTCCCAGTCGATTGAAGGGAACAATGACTGCCTTCAATGGTCCGGCAGGCCGGGCATAGAGATCCATCATAAGGACGAAGACCAATGGAACCTGTGCAGCGTTTGCGGAAGTCTGGACCCCTCAGACAATTTGGAGCCTCCCATTTCTTCCATGCACAGCTCAGACGATGTCTCTAGCTGCCCCTCTCTCACCAAGTACGAGATCTTTTCGAACAAGAGCTTACCTACATGTACTCCCACAACTGACTCGGTACCTGGTGCTTTCGGTCGTGCGAGATCTCCAAGAAATCACGAAGTCGAACATGCTTCTCGCTCAGACCTTCTGGATGCAATTGAAGAATTTTCCATTTCATGGTTTTCCGCATGGCTTGCCGACCGGCCCGGTACCACGGGGTTGAACTCAGCCAGCGAATCGATTCATACTTACAACGGCGCGAATCAAGGCGAACCTTCGCAAGCAGGAAAGCGGAAACCTCGTGGCCAAAGAGACAAGGACAGAGGGGACAGGAAAGCCCGGCGCCTGAACGCGGCCAAGGGAGACGAGCATGATGACGAGTATGACGATGATGAAGATGACGACGACGATGATGATGATGATGATGGTAATGGCGGCGCTCCCACTGCGGAATGTGTTCAGTCGATTCTTGACGCAAGGAAGCCTCTGGCTTGCCCTTTCCACAAAAGAGATCCGTTATTCTACGGCCATGGCAAGTTCGGGGTCTGTGCAACCGGCATCTGGACGACGTATCACAGAGTCAGGTCCGCCTAACAGACTCGCCCCATCAACATATCAACATCAAATGCTAATACGTACTGACAGAGATCATATACGTCGCAAACATTTACGCCCACGTCATCTCTGTGAGCGATGCTTTGCAGCCTTCAGGAACCAAGCAGGCCTACAAAGGCACTCCGCGTTGCAGTGCATCGCAAACGAGAATGACCCTTACCTGAGCTCCACGGATTGGGAGCGGTTGAGAGCGGCCCGCATTCGCAACAAGCCAGATGACGAGAAGTGGAAACAGATGTACCATGTACTATTTCCAAATGAAGAGATTCCCAACCCATGTGTGTGTTATTCTCTTCATATTCCTTACCGAGACGTTGCTGGCTGCTGACTGATCTGCGCCCTACAGACAAGGGTGGGCCAGCTTGCAACGAGCATGTGAGGGAACTGGCTTCGGAAATCGAAAGCATCCTCTTGACCACCGCCAATGCAGCACAGGACCAGCTCCAGGCAATTTCAGACATCATATCTCTTGTGCGTGACGCTATCTTGAGCGCCAGTGGCACCGCCAGAGATGTAATGGATTTCCACACGGCAGTAGCAAATGCCTTCAGTGAACCTTCCTGTTGGTTGGAGGAGGCTACAGATATTCTGGATGTCGCCCAGTATCAGACTGAGCGAGATTTCCTCAACTTTTCGGCAGACTGTCCAGACACGACGAGTTTTAGAGACGACCAAACTGGATCGGGGCTCTTGCCTGAGTTAGAGAACCCATCAGATGCGACGAACGATGGTGTGGGATATCAGATTGGTCCATGGGCTTCCAATACCCTGTCAATGTTTTCGAGCATACCATTTCTGTACTACGATCAGGTTGCTCCAGGGCCAATCGATGAGAGGGGACAGGATCAAGATATGTCAAATGTTTCATGGACACGGAAGGGATTGGAGGAGTTTCCAGAGGGAACAGGTGAGAGGGGACAGTATCCAGATATGACAGATGTGGCATGGACACAGAAGGGATCGGAAGAGTTTCCAGAGGGAACAGATGAGGGGGGACAGTATCAAGATATGACAGATGTGGCATGGACACAGAAGGGATCGGAAGAGTTTCCAGAGGGAACAGATGAGGGGGGACAGTATCAAGATATGACAGATGTGGCATGGACACAGAAGGGATCGGAAGAGTTTCCAGATGGAACAGATGATGCGGAACATCAGGATGGCGCGTGTGGCGATTAGGAGAGCAGATAGAAGTACTAGGGTAGAGAAGTTTTAAACTGATACACTATCTCTCAAGCCCTCTTCACCAGTAGGATAAGGTCCATCTATGTACATGTAGTCTAGGTAAGTAAAATTATCACTGCTCCTGCTGCCGACCGCTACTGCTACTACCTACTCACTGCTGCAGGTGTTGTTTACTGCTTCCACTGCTTCCACTGCTACCACTCTACCTACTACTACCTGACCTGAACACGTCCGGAAGCCGAGGTGGTCGTAAGAAGTCTCCTCGCCGTAAAGAAACGGGAGGTCGATCGGACGGCAAGCAAGATCGCCAGACGGCAGCGGTGAACGGTTCCATTTTGAGAAGTTGGCCGCCTTCAGATGTTCGTGTATCGTGGGCTGCAGAGCGCTGAGAAGACGGGCTTGGTCGCCTGCGATGGTCAAAAAGCAATATTATCTCAGTCAAATCACCCAAGATTAACGCGCGCATAGTAGATGTCAAGGGGATGATCGCGTCCTCACATACCTTAAGAATTGAAAGTGAGCACCTGAGGTATGTCGGTCATGGCATGACCTGAAGTATGAGGCAACAATTTTTGGTCACTATCGCAATTGGTTAGTCGGGAACAATAGATCGAGGTGGCAGTCACGCAAGACAGCGCCTGCCAGGAACACCCCATACGGGCACGGCAGGCGATGCCTGTAGTGTTCCTGCCTAAGCAGCTGCTGGTTGTGAAACTTGAATCGCCTGAGGCATTCGAGAAAGATCACCAATATCAGCATCAGCATCATCAGCATCAGCATTTCGACTTGGTCATACTCGTCCCTTGACTCGGCCGTCTCATAACGGTAACCAACTTATCGTCTTTCCTACTTACTAACTCGAGCCATTAAAACCGGCCAATTTGTCCTCGTCGCCAAGATACCACAAAGCCACAGACGGTGCCAGTATCCAGGCAAGTTGCCGAGAATAATGAGGTCCAATGCTGATGTTCAATGTCCAGGGTAGATCAATGACCTCCATACAAGGACCCCAGATGCGGCTCAACCGCGGCTCGTCTCTGCAGCGTCGCATCGCATCTCCGATCTCTGCCTGCCTCAAGGGACGAGTACGAGAATATGACCGGCGCCATCTTAGCCCTTTCCTCTAGCCCCAGGCACCGCCAACAAAAAGAGACGCACACACACGAGCCAACGCGCCCCTGCCGGACCCGAAAATCGGCGGACTCTGAGAGAAAAGAGCGAATCTCCACCGTGTTGCTGCCGTTCGATTCGCCGAGAGACAAGTCCTCTCCGTACTGGCAGCCACGAGAGAGCCGATTCGACAGCAGCAGCTTCGGCCGGTTTCGCGCCATACCAAGGCCAGGCAGACAGAGAACAAAGGCGGGACGCCACGAAGCATGGACAGACAGGGCACACATGGCACTCTGGGGCTTGTTACGAACTACCGGCACCTTTGGACGGACTTTTGCTGCAGACGCCCTCTTTGGGCCAAGAATCCGGGGTTTTCCCCGCTTGTCGCGATCCTGAAGCAGAGACGGAGTATTGCGTTCCTGATGGCTTCATTGGGTAGGTAGGTACGCAACAATTGGCACAATAACCATCATTTGCTGAAAGCAACGAAGTTGGAGGTATGAGGACAAGCTAAGGCAATGTCAAGTGGCTTCTATCAAAGTTGCGGAGTTAGAAGCGACAACTGGACTTGCTCCGTGCCGCTTCACAGGCACTGTTCCTTTGGCTTGCCGCGTTTTTTTCTTCTTCTTTTCTTTTTGGCGCACACTCTCGGAAGCTAGCCGGGCACAAGAGACGAGGCTGGATGCGCCGGCTGTGAGACAAAGCCTGCCCTGTTAGCCTGTTCCTCTCTGCAACTCGAAAGACTCTGTCAATGCCGCCACTGCCCGCCGCCTGTCACTGCTCAAAGTGAACGCCGAGCCCGCATCTCCGTCTGCCCTGTGCGTGCGGGCAAGCAGGGAGCCTGTATTTTTTTTTCTTACCTCCCCCGTTTTTTCCCTTCTAGGTAGGGCAGTCTCCTGGTCGACGGCGGCGCGGTCTCTCTAGCTGTCGCATATCCGCTTCTCCGCACCTCGCCCGTCAACCCGAGGCTTCCGCTCTGCTGCTGCTCTTCCCCCACGATCCCGCGATTCTCCAGCAATGCCCGACAAGACGACGTCTGTTGTTTCTTACGCCGCCGGGGCGTCTCTCGCGGCGGCAGCGCTCTTCTACGTCTTCGGCCCGACCTTCACAATCGACCACGACACCACCAGCTCGCGCAAGAAGACCATTGTCGGGCTGCGCAACCAGGCCAATGACTGCTTCATCAACTCGGTGCTGCAGGCGCTGGCCGGCCTGCCCGAGCTGCGCATCTACCTGATCCGCGAGACGCACCGCCGCCGAATCGAAGACCCGTCTGTATACGCACACCTGGTGCAGCCCCTGGATGGAAAAGAGCTTGCGCAGTGGAAACTGCAGGGCCTCCAGGATGGGCTGGTGACGTACGGGCTCAAGGAGATGCTGGACGCGCTTAACGAGCGGCCCATTTCGAAAAAGGCCATTTCGCCCTTTCCCTTTGTCAAGGTGTTGGAGATGGCGTTCAAGCAGCGCATCAGCAGACAGCAGCAGGACGCGCAAGAGTTTTTGCAGATTGTGGCAGAGAGGCTCAAGGACGAATACCATGCCGGCCAGCGCGCGCGTCTGTATGCCCGGAGACAGGGCCTTGCCTCACTCGCCGAGTCGAGCCAAGCCAAGGACGGCAACGAAACCGACCGATCGGATGACGCTGCCGAGAATGCCGACGGCATGGAAGCATCTACCTCTGGCACCCAGATCCCCATCACTGTTGATCTGGCAGAGGTACAGCGGGCGGTTCGCGAGATCCAGGCTGCGCCAGAGCTTGAGGACGGTTTCCCGCTAGAGGGCAAATACGAGTCGCACATTCAATGCCAGACCTGCGGCTACACCACCAAGCCGAGAGAGGAGACCTTCTGCACACTGACGTTGGCAGTTCCGCAGGTCTCGTCCACGACACTCAACGCGTGCTTTGACGGTATCTTTAAGACGGAATATATCGATGATTTCAAGTGCGAAATGTGTCGACTGGTGCAGACCAAGACCAACCTCGAGCAGGAGATGGTCAAGTCGACGTCCGACAGCTTCAAAGCATTGGCCCAGGAGAACATACAGAAGCTTCAGGCTGCGATGGACGTTGACCCGGAGCGGCCGCCCGAGGATGTGGAGCTCGGCGATATTCGATATGCGCCCAAGAGAAGAATTGCAAAGACGACGCGCATATCTACGTTCCCCAAAATCCTGGCCATTCACCTATCCCGGTCCATCTACGGCATCGGGCAGATCACGCAAAAGAACTCGGCCAAGGTGTCCTTCCCCGAGCAGCTGCCGCTGGGAAGCGTCATGAAACAGCGCAAGTACAAGCTCTTGGGCGTGGTCACACATCGGGGAGGCCACAACAGCGGACACTACGAAGCCTTCAGGCGGCAAAACACACCGTCTCCTTATGCAAACATTAATCCTTTTCAGCCTTCCGATATCTATAGCAAGACACCAACACCCATTTCCACCCCTCAGATCTCAGCCCTCCGATCCGACAGCCCATCCATTTCAACGCCGGATCTGCTCTCGCCATCCTCAGACACGACCCCCTCTACGCCGTCACTGGAATCCAACGGGGCGCCCCCTCGAAGCGTTCCTGTCGACCTGCCCAGCTCTCTGGTGAACGGCAGAGATCGGGACGGCGAGACGAGCAGCCTTCGGTCCATCACTGCATCTACCAAGTCAGCGCTGTCCAAGCTCGCTCCCCCGAGAGCAAGCCTGAACGGCTCCTCTTCACCCAGCACCCTGGCCGTCGGCAAGCCACAGCCGCGACCTAAGAAGCGAAAGCCTGCGGACAAGTGGTGGAGAGTGAGCGACGAGAAAGTACGCGAGGCCAAGACGAGCGAGGTTCTGGGCATGCAGAAAGAAGTCTATCTGCTGTTTTACGAATTGGAGCCTGAAGAGTGAAGCGCTCGTTTCGCTCCAAGGACAGCAGCTTGTTTCCTACCTCAGCATCTACCCCCCTTTCGTTGGTCCTGAACGGACTGTTTCTACAAAGTGTCCATGATGCCGAATGTTTTCCCCCTTCTATTCTTCTATATTATATTTGCTTGATGCATTGTCTGGCGTTGCTCACTTTCTTTGCTTTTCGCTTTTTCTTCACGATACAAAAGCTTTTTTGATGATTGAAATCTGTACTTTTGGAAAAAGGAAAAAAGAGGTTGCAAGGGGGGAGTTTCCATTAGAACGCTCTTCGCTTATTTCTTGGCTTCAGGGGAAAGGGCCACATTGAACACTTGGTCGCGGGATGTGGTCGAGGAGATGGTATGTTCTTGGAAGAGAGGAGAGCGCTTGAAAAAAGGGGGCGATGGGATGCCATTTGGGAGAGGGAGTATAGGAGGCGTCTGTTCCGTGAGCAAGGCGTGGTGGTGGTACATTACCCGTTGTATGAGAGAGAGAGACAGAGAGAGAGTACAGGTCTTAACTTGTAGCAGTACGAAGTAAATAGTTATTTAAAGTAGCATACGCGGCATTCTATATAAAGACATGGCAGCGGTTCTTGTAATTTGGACTTGATTCAGATTGATTTGAATGTGATATTGCTGTGAAATTGTGGTTGATTAGCTCGGGTCGGCATAAGACACTGGTGAATGCGGTTCGTGGGGCTTGATAAAAGTTGAAGAAGATTCTCAAGTGTACCCGCAAAGGAAACAAAAAAAGCAAAGAAAAAGAATAATAGAATGGGAAAGGCCTCAATTTCACCGAATGTAAAAATGACAGGGCATTGACATTCTCCCGTTCGTTCTAGAAAATCCCATTGAAGAACTTGTTCAATTTTAAGATTGGCCATGGGTCCTTGATCCAGCGTCCCGGATTGCCGCGTAATTTGAGGCAATCTTTCTAGAAGCTCTAGAGCGTCTAGGATTCTTTATATAGAAAATTGAAGCATTTTCTTGACATTCCACTTCTTCTTGTACAAGTACATGATATGACATGTGATATTCTACTGCCAATAATGATTTCTCACCTGGGTGAGTGTGATGATGCTCGTGTGTTACCGGGGGGCTTAAGCTTAATCTCACAAGATCCTGGCTACGACTTTCCTCTTCACTCTTGTCCAAATGCATGTAGTTCGTCAGCCTCTCGTTTGAATTGAGGGTAGAATGGATAGCTGACACATTTCTTTTTATGATGGAAGCTTTCTTGCATGTGCCTGTGTATAGTGAACATCGTCCGCCAATGACCCATACGTAGGGCACGTATTATTGTCGTCTTAGTCGTAATCACACATGCAAAATGAGGCTGAAAAAGATCCAACCTCTGCGCGATGACGCAAAACCTCACATGCAAAAGCAACTTTTCTTAGTCAACCTCTTCAATGATCAGATAAATAAAGAAAGCCAACCAGGAAGAAAATTGTCCCTGCCATGGATATGCAAGAGAAAGAAAGAGGTAAAGAAGCCCACCTGGAGCACCTCCACAAAGGCGCGTCAGCTTCGTCGATCATGCCGCTAGCAAACAGACGCGGCAGAATCTGCCCCTTACGATTCATGGTACGACGGTTGAGAGAGAGAGAGAGAGGAAAGGCGGCATGAAAAAGAAATCGTGTTTGGAAATCAATGGCTCTATGCCTGGGTACTGTAGATACTGCCATGTTGATGATAGCATGTAGCTTGTGCGATGAACACTCAAGGAAAGAATTGGTAGGCTCTCATCAGCATCAAAAGCACCGAGAGACTTGAGAAAAGGCACAGATCACGATCCATTACAGTCTCCAGAGGGGCCCAAACAACGAGCCCCTGAAAGCTGTTGAACAGCACGACACTCGACGTACCCACCTCCCCAGAAGAGTTGTCATAGTGACACATGACCTGCATCTTCAACCAATGTTGAGATATATCGGCCCTCTTTCACCTCTGTCCATGGTTGACTGTAGAGCGTAACTGTGTTAGTTTGGAGAGCCTTGCAAAATTATATGTAGTCAATTGTCACTGCGACCTGAATACCACTTGGTCGCCATGGTTCTCAAGCCACGACTCACTCGTCGGCGGCTCATCCTTTTCTTCGCCGGTTTCTTCCTCACTCTCCACACCACGTACCTCTTACTTCCGCACGACTCTCACATCCGCCTCTCCATCAACTTCAACACTTCGCGCTTCTGGAATGCAATCCGAGCTTCAACCACAGATCGGGACGCTTGGCTGCGTCAGAGCCCTGCGCCACACCCTCTGAGTCTGCGTGACGACGTCGGCTATCTCATCAAAACAGGCTATGGCACTCGCCATCGGTTGCCCGCCTTGATAGAAGCCTTCGCTCGCACTGGAGACATTCTAGGAGACGAACATCAAAGCTTTATTGTTGTCGGAGACTGGACGCCAACGAACCAGACAGTCGACGGGCTGCCAACCGTGTACAATGCCGTGGACATGCTCATGGAGACCAAGCTCGACCCATCGCTTCGGGACCACCCCCGTCTCCCCAAGTACCGCTCCCTTCAGGAAGCGATAGACTCGGGCGATGAGAATCAGGCGAACGAGCTTGGCCGGGAGTTTGGGTGGGAGTTGGATGCGCTCAAGGTAGAGTGATTGATAGCCATGCCCCCCCATGACAGCCCCCTATCCCGACGCACCGTCTGCTAACATCTGAGCGGTCAAGTTCATCACGGGCATGGAGTTGGCTTACAGGCTAATGCCCCAGAAGAAGTGGTACATCATCCTAGATGACGATACCTTTCTGATAGGGCCTTCGCTGCATCTCCTCTTGAGCCATTTGGATCCCACCAAACCGCAGTACATTGGCAACGCCGTGGGCGACTACAAAAGTCGCTTCGCACACGGGGGTTCTGGCATCGTGCTGTCGCAGGAGACCATGCGGCGCCTCTTCAGCAATCCCGGCATCGTAGCCCAGTCACATGTCGACTCGCTCGACGAGACATGGGGTGACCGCCTAGTAGGCACGACGCTGATCAAGCTGGGCATCTATCTCGACGAGCGGTATAGCCATTACTTCAACGGTGAGCCGCCCGCGATGGCCCGGGTCCAGGGTGACCGCTTCTGCTCGCCCATTGTCTCCCTCCATGGCATCCGCAGACCAGGGGCCATGGAGGCCGTCGGCGAGGCCCTCTCCAACAGACAGAAGCCAGTGCTGTGGACCGACCTGTGGCAGCTGTTTGCCGCCTCTTCACTCGACGATGCTGGCCGCGAGCCGGTACGTCAGATGCGGGACCACGTGGGGCCGACGGGCGACGACACGACGACATGGCAGGGCATCGCATCGGCAGAGGCATGCCGCAGCAAGTGTCAGGATGACAGAAGCTGCCTGGCGTGGACCTTTGATACGAAGGCGCGGGCTTGCCGCACCAGCCCTTGGATGGTCATTGGAGACGGCAGCGGCGTAGAGGCGGAGGAGGAGTCTGGTCTCGACGATTGGCAAAGGGTGGCGTCTCTGATGCGGCACTGCGGCCGAGCATCCACGTACGAGTATCAGCAGTAGTAGTAGCAGGAGATGGGTGCCTTGCAGCCTGTTGGATGCCCGGTTGCAGTTGGATGAAGCCCATGCGATGAATGGAGTTTGATCCCATAGGATGGCCGCAAAGGCGCTAATACCAAGGCAATGCAGAGACGGCGATAACACGAGGCAACACGACCGCTTGGCGCGTGCCGCGAGTGCGTCGTGGTGGTGACACCGGCCGTAGCTGGCAGGGCCGCAGAGGAGGCAGTTGACCGTACATGTATGTACTGTATTCAGGAGGTATTAGTAGCAGCAGCATGAGCTGTATTGCATGTAGTGACACTGCCTCGTACATAACACAGCTGGCTGCATGTGATATGATGCTACTGCGTGACCATGTCCAACATGCGCACACAGATGCCTGCTTGCAGACGCCCTGTTACCGTCTCCGCACCTTATGAGAACAGGGGGGGGGGGGGAGCCTCTGCCGCAGCCAATCTAGACTGGTAGCGAGGCTACGCGAGGACTAGTAAGGAGTGAGCGCCAAAGAGACGGGGAAAGCAAAAAGGGAAAAGGGAAAGAAGGAAAAGAAGGACTGAGGATCATGGGGCAATAAGACAGTGGGCAAGCTGTGTGAAGCGCCCTGCTCATTGCCAAGGAAAGGAGACAAAGTTGAACAGGGCATTGAATGACTCGGTGCTTTGGCGGGCTTGTAGAGCCTGCGTCTGTGTCCCCCGACGTTGGAAAGATCGGGCGAACGTTGCAGGACGTCGTGCTCCTGCGAAGTGATTGCTCGCTGAGTGCATAATGCGGAGTTAGCGCCCGTGATTGTCGACAGCTTGGTAGACACACAAGGACGCTGTCTCGAAGCCCCAAGTCCGACCAACGGTGACGATGCAGCCATGTCTCACGGTGATTGCCTGGCTGCGACTCTGGCTGGTCGCCTCTGCTGCACTAAATTCCTCCCTACTTGCACCACCCTAGCGGTGTGAGGCCATACAGGCACTTGCAGTCCGAATATGTGCTCTTCTTTGCAAATGGAGTGAGAATAGGGGGCAGCCTGGCAGGCTTCCGGAGTGGGCCAGAACCGGGCCATCTTCAGCTTTCGTCGGCGATGTGACAGTCAACCGTCAGCGCTGGTCAAGACCTGCTTGTAGTGCTTTGTCCGCACTCCTGGGGCCAGCGCTCCCCTACTGCCTCCCTCCTTCACTAGGAATGATGGCAGCGGATCCAGGAGCTTGAAAGGACGTCCTAAGGAACCTTGTCCAGGACGTCGGTGTTCGCTTATCTGGCTGTACAGCTAATTACTCCGATGGATTTGGACAGTCAGGAGCGCTTGCACGAGCGACTGCTGCCTCTAACGACGGATGCCACAAGGCAAACGATGAACCGGCTCCTTTCTAAAGAGACTTCTGGCTCTCGGCTTGTGGAGCTGGAGAGGAAATCGCAGACCTGGCAGGCTAAGTCATGCGGCTAGATCCTCCATGCGTCGAGATGGCATGGAGCGCTGATGGCCGATGCAGTCGTGTGTGAGTTCTCACTTAGCCTGCTTGGAGAGGGTCGTAGGCTAAAAAGACAGAAACCACACGGGGGCGACGACGTAGCATTACCATGTCTAACTTGACCGCGGATGCTGGCGACGTGCTGCTGCAGCTGCAGCACCCTCCTCAGCCAGCCTGGATCCCTGCAGCAGTAACGGGGAACACATCCCGCCATCGGTACGGTCTGCGTACGAGGACTTCGTCTGCTTGCAGTAGGGGGCTTTCGGGCGTGGTGGCGCCTGGGCGTGCATGCAAGCCTCGCAGAGCTTTGGAGTCCCTCCACGGGGAGCATCGCCAGGTTTGTTAAAGGCCATGCCAAACCTGGTGCAAGGAGTAGCTGCCTGTAAAGTACATCCCCTTTGACGGCTTGCCAAGGCTCTCGCCGAAAGCCAGGCGGAGGCGAAATCTTGGGCTTCTGCTTGGCGACGCATGAATGGGCCGAAGAGGGGGGTGAAGACTCTTCTGGTGTTGAGGCAGTGCTCGAGTACTAGTATCCTCTTGATTTGAGTATCAATCATATGTGATAAAGTTGCCAGCGTCGATATTGTGGAGAGACGTTCCACGTACCAATGATGGCATGCTGAGCTGAGAGGAGCAGGCATAGCATGTCGATCTCTGCGAGACTCTCGACCTGGGTCTTCTCTCGGATACATCAGGACGGCCGTGACGGGTGTAGAGAACAAGAATGCGGAGCAACTGCAGCAGCGCGGCTTGCAGTTTGCGGCCATCCATGTGGCCGATGGTCCCCTTTCGCTTCGCTCAGGAAGAAAGCCGTTCTTTAGTGCCCTGGTCGATGAGCTCCGTCTGGGGGGGCTAGTGTATGACTCCCATCGTTGTCAGGTCATATTTGCCTTTCCTTTCTTTTTCTTCTTCCCTTCACTCTCTTTGCTTTTTCTTTTGATTTCATTCAACTGGTCTCCCCCAACCTCCCCCCCAGGCATCCATATTCAGTCAATACCCAGTCATGTCAAAGGGTCTTACACAAGCTGGTGGCTGGCTGGCTGCTGCTTGGCCGCTAATGAAATTGCGCCGTCCAGGCAAGGTTGCTCAGCTATGGGCTCATCTCTTCCTTGGGAGCCATTTCATCGTCCGGCGGCAACCTATGGGAGCGCCTCTGCTGTAATTGTAGGCATCACTCGGCAATGATTGGTTTGCTAAGAATATATCAATTAGTGTCGAGTGATGGGTGTTTGTCATATTACTACGCTCCGCACCAGCGGGTTTGCCAAATTGAGGGCCACGACTTACAACGGAGACTGAGTGCTCGTATGTACATGCTGCGCGCGTAGAGAATAATCGCTCGTGCCCCATAGAAATAACAAGGCCGGAGGGCCGCGGCAGACGCTGCATGCTGAACGAAAAGCAGCAAGATCCACCGGATGCCAACTCCGGACATGCATCAGGGAGGGAACATATACGGAGTGAGTAAGAAGCACAAGCAAAGCGGTCGGCGGGTCAAATCAAGGGCACATGCCCAGGATATGAGTTACCGTGAACAAAAGGCGGCGACAAGGTCTCCTTGGAAGGTTCGGTGAGCTCCTTTTTCTCATCATACTCTGACGGCTCGATTGTCTCGCCTGTCTGTCGAGCCTCGGATGAGATGCGGACGCAGGCTCGACGGTTGAAGCTGGGTTGGTAGCGAGGGGGGTGCCATTGGCTCCCCAAAAAGGCTGCAGGCATCGTCTCGGGGATATTTCAGACCAGAGGCTGCAGTATCGATCTGGATGTGGGCTCGGCATCCCTTGTCGGATAGCTGTGATCGGTGAGCGTCTTCAGGGGCTGCGGTACGGGGAATCTATCCAGGCAGGAGTATCGAAGAGTACTGTACTCGCGGACAGGATGCGATGGTGGTATGGTTGTGGAAGAGGAGGAGGAGGTGGTGGTGGTGGTGGTGTAGGTGGCGGCGGCATGTGCAGTATGCATGCACAAGGTCAGTGGTCACATACACACACACACAGCACAATGCAGCTCTCAGCCGTTGTGACCTGGCTTCTCCCCCTTGTCTCCACGCTACCTTCCGTCCGGCCTAGGGATCCGAAGACTATTGCGGAGTAGTTGATGATCTAGCACCGCGGTGGCCTGCCGTCGTCGTCGTAGCATCTCATGGTACCCGCCTGATGCTCTGTGCAGTAGCGCAGCATTCATTCATGAGCGGCGAGAGTACGGAGTAGCACTGCTCACTCTTTGCTCAGGATGGCTTGCCCTGTTTGCTGCGGCACCGTTTGGCTATCTTGTCACACAAGCATAGTCAATGCGTATGAACAGACAATGGCAGCTGCTGGGAGTGACGCACCCACCTTGCCCACATGCACCTGGACCGCTGCTCATCGCGTCGTGCTCAGGCGATATGCGGTTGCATTCGTTTGGTCGCAAGTAGGAAACCGATTGGTAATAGCATATGACCAGTTACTCGTATCTCTGGCCTGACAGCCCTTTTGACCACTCGTATTCGTCGCTCGCCAATCTGCATCTCCATCGATCTTATCCACAGGCGGGCGTTATCGGCCATCTCCTTCGTCCTGCCTGCCCATGGGGGATGCGGCCGTTGGGCCAAGCGGTTCCACGTCTAAGACATTGTTTCCAGCAGGATACATACCTATGCTGCTCCGTACGACTAGCCAAAGGACTAGCATAGCCGAGTGTCGGTTGGCGAGAGTCAGAAGACGGGAAGAAGCCCGCGTGTCTCGGTGGTGTCGAGCGTACCTGGTGCTAGCGATGCACGCTCCCTACCGGCGGCTGGAGGCGTGCTGTGGCCAGCTCAGTCCAGAGCAGTCGAGCTGGACCCTGAATTGGATTGGAAGAGACCTGTGATGGTGTGTAGCAGCATGTGCGAGCATGGAGCACGCATGTATGGCGTATGTACGGAGAGGGCAGTTGAAGATATCGAGTATCAGGTAGGTAGTAGGTAGGTAGTCGAGGCAGGAGGTACCTTGGTAGTAGTTGCACTTGGCCAAGCATCGTCGAGGTCGTCTTACCTAATGGCGGCACGTGTCCCGTTGCCTGACCTTGACGACGACCCTTGAAGCCGCGCTTGCTTGAAGGCTCTATCCATTGTTGCTGCTTGCACGAGATGCTTGTCTCTCCGTGAATGGAAAGATGACGAGTAACATGATGTTCTCAATCCCAGAGCTGCAAAAGGTGTCGTGTGCTGGATCAGAGCTGCAGCTGCCTGGTACGCGCACCCTATGGGCGTCCATCCTCCCCGTATGGCGTCCAATGCCAGAGCTCAGGACAGCCGCACAAGGCACAGAATGAGCACCTCGCATCTGCGCCGGCGTCGAGTCCCTGTGGTGGTGGTGGTGGTGAGTCCAATAGATCTCCAGGGTTGCCGATGCAGCTCGAGAATCGATCCAATTGGACCGGGTCTGCAGTCCGAGCCGCCCTACCGGGCACCATCACAGACAAGCATCAGCGCCATGTACACTACTATGTAGGGGCCAAGCATACATACTACCTAGTAGTAGTACTACACACCAAGGACACATGCAGACTGCTGGACCCGCGGGCGAATCACCATCCGCACGTACGTTCGTACATCAGCAGGGAGCTTGAGGAGGCTGTCTCGGTACCAAGAAGCTACGAAGCTGCAGAGGGACATATTATCTGTACACGCATGCGGGCTGAAAGTGGGCTATCATTCATTGCTCGATATATTGACGGACTGAGTGACTGGACGGGAGGAATCCTCCAGTTTGTGGGCTGCATCTGCATCCGAATCCATCTGGCTGCGTCGCGGCTTATCCAGTGGTTGTTCGTGTCTGTCCTTTGCCATTGATGGATCACTCACGACTGCAATCGGTTCCATATCAACCCCTTGCCAGGACTTGTCCAGGCAAATTCTAAGATAGGTATCCCAAAGTGTACCTCCAAGGTAGGCAACTCGTATACATACCGACAGAGACACTCGACAAGCGCCGTTCTCATTGTACAGCAACTTGTACCGGCATTGCTGAAGACATCACCGCCATTCAGGGCCTCATTCAGCCTCTGATTCATCCGTGCTGTCTTGGACGGAGGAGCTCCCGGGAGTTGGCCCAGGAGAAGGTTGCGCTAGCCGACTCATAGGCCTAGCCGGGGGCCCCTGCCGCCAATTGCTCAGAGTCAGGGCCTGAGCCAAAGGGAGCCTGAAGTCGAAAGGGTCAAGTGCGTGCTCGTACTGGTACCTGGAGGCTCAGGTGCCGGAGGGCTGGTCCCGGGCGAATCTCGCGGAGGTGGCAGCTTATGAGAAGTTCCGTGGTGTAGGTATTCAGTTGCTGACGAGTGCCGGCCTCTGGCGCGGACCGACTGCAATGTGCGCGCTCTGCTGCTGCCGGCAGGTAGCCCGAAGGTACTGGTACAGGTCTGCGATTGCTGCTGCGGCAGCTCTAGCGCGCTCTCCTCAGTGGCCTCTCCCCTGTGCCTCCCTCCCCTGAACCGCCTGCCTAGGTATGCATGCGCACTGCAAGCCGGGTGCTAGTGGAGAGGAGGGGAAGTTCCGGTACTTCGCGCCCAGCCCGGCCGGCGCTAGGCGACCAGGTACCCTTTACGGGCCACCCTGCCTGGGACCGCTGCACCGCCTTCCAATGGCTCCTGATTGATGCTCCAGACGACGTCCAGCTCACAATTTTGCATCTGCACTGCACTGCACATCACAAACCACACAATCTCTTCTCCACGACTAGCCCAACCCTCCCTCTCCTGTTCGCTTCACGGCGGCCGGGGTCGCGTCCCCTTGCTCGCAGTTAACGCCATCCATGTCCGCCGCTCCATAATATTCTAATTACAGACGTAGAAAATGGTTCCAGACGATTCGGGAGACGACAAGTCTCTTGTCGCCGTCTCCAACGACGCTACTTCTCGACCTCCTCCTCGACCTGCTTCTGCTTCTGCCTCTACCTCTGTCTCTGTCTCTGCTTCTCCCGCAAGAGATCTCTCTCCCAAGCCGCAGCTCACCCAGGTCAGCGCCTCAGACCCGACCTCAACAGTTGCCGCCGCTGCGCCGCCCTCACAGGAGCTCAAGCACGAGCAGCAACCGCCGGTGACGGACGAGCAGCTACAGCACCATCCAGCTCAGCAGCAGCAGCAGCAGCAGTTGAAAGAAGAGCCGCAAGAGCCGCCGCCGCAGCAGAGACATCAGGAGCAACAGAAACAAGAGGAGGAGGAGCAGCAGCAGCAGCAGCAGCGCGAGCCACAGCCGCAGCCTCAGCCGCATCCGTCCCCCAAGCAGCAGATCCCGTCTCCTCTTCCGCACAACCCGCCTCTTCCTCAGCAGCATCCGTCTCCTCAACAGAACGGCGACAGTCGGGTGTCCGAATCCGCGTCCAATACCGCAACCCCCAAGCCCGAGACCGAGCCCGCGCCCGAGCCAGCGTCCGACATGGCCAGCCATCGACCGGCTCTTCACGGCCTGCATGCCGGCTATGCCACCACTTCCTCGTCGCCCATCTACACTCCCCAGTCCAGCCTCCCAACCACCCAATACGCCTCATATTCCACAGTCTCAGCTCAGCAGGGCGATGCATACCGCGTGAGCCCCGTGGGCACTCCGCAGATGTCACTGCCCAGCATGCGCACAATCGACGCCATGTCACAGCAGTCGGTCCCTCCCATGCCTCACCATTCCATGTCCATGAGCATGAGCATGCCCCTTACATCCGTCTCGCCGACCCCTCCCTACTTTACCAGCCATTCGACACCTCTCCCCTCCAACTACGGCTTCCCGCAAGACGCCCTTGCTCGGTATCCTCTCCCGCACGACCCTCGGTTGATCAACCATCGAGGACCCAAAAAGGTATGCTTCTTGTTCTCTGCGGCATTGCGAACCTGCTGGGACCCAATTGGTCCTGGGACGAAGCAATTGAACGGCCACGAGCACGAGAGCTGACGTGGTGGCACGTAGGAAATCAAGCGACGAACAAAGACAGGCTGCTTGACGTGCCGCAAGCGACGAATCAAGGTGCGCATATGCAAACATCCACTTCCTCCATGAATTGCCCCTTCACGAAGCTGCCCTCTTTGCCACTACGACTATCTTCTGCTTATTTGCCCCCCTCATTTTCATTCAATATCCTGTCCCCGTTTTCCCTGCTTGCAGCTGCAACGCGACACTGAAAGGCAGAGGGGGGAAAAAAAAGCGGCCCCTGTTAGAGCTGAAGCTATCCTGGAGCTGAGCTGAGGAACCGTCTGTAACCCGTGGCGCGTGCCGCTAAAAAATTGCCAACGCGAGCGTCAGACTCGGCAGAACCTCACTCAATCGTCCTTGTTTGCACTGGCCATCGACAGCCTCAGCTCTTCCTCCTCTCCGCTCTCCGCTCTCTGGCCTCACCGCCACTCGCCCGCACTCCCGCTCCTGTTGCTCTTGTTCTCCCTCCCTCTCCTGCATCGTCGTCGCTTCTGCTAGCTCGCCGCTCCTCTGCTTCATGCGCCCCACCTGCTACAGGCCTTTCCATTGACCTCACTCTGTCCTTGCAGTGCGACGAGACGCATCCCACCTGCAACAACTGCAGGAAGTCGAAGCGTGAGTGCCTCGGCTACGATCCCATCTTCCGACAGCAGGCCGGCACCCCGACCAGCAGCAACGTGCAGCCCGCCTCCAGCAGCCTCTCGCCGGCGACCGAGCCCTCCGGCCTGGCCTCGTCCACCGCTGGCCCGTCAACACCGCGTCTGGTCAACTCGTACGGCAGCCAATCGCCTATGCTGCCGAGTGTCTATGCGACAGGCTCAGCCCCCAGCACACCGTCGATCCCTCCCAACAGCTACATCCCGCCCATCTCCACCCCCGGCTCGTCTTCAGCCGTGTCTGTCAAGCAGGAGTACGGTTACGGCTACTCGTCCAACATCGATCCTGCTGTGCGCAGCATGTCTGGCACGCACAACCACCAGATGTCGCTCTCGGGCTCCGACAACGGCTATCTACGAGGTAAGACTACTCCTGCTCATGTCTGCTGCTTTTGGTTTCTTTCTCTCATTCATTCTTGTGGTCATACACAACCAGTCTAGAATGCTAACCCGGTTGGCAATTTGCAGCCAAGAAGATGAGGATCGACGAAATCATCGACCTACTTGGCCCGCCTGCACCCGCCCAGCAGATCAGTCACACGGAAGAGACGTTCAATGAGATCACAAAGGTCTACCATGAGATGTACGCCGGCGGGCTCAGCGCTTTTTTCGAGACCAGCTGGTACTACTTTACCGAGAACGGCAAAATGACGTTTCCCAAGGATGCCAACCTGATTGAGCACATGGCAACGTTCCTCAAGATCCTTGAGGGCGTCAAGGCCAATGACCACACCCAGATGGCCTATTCGGGTGTTCTAGAAACCAGGATTGTGTGGGAGCTTGCCTGCACAGCATATCAAGTCCCGGAGAGGGCAACCAACTCGATGCGTCTGAACCTGCCCCCCGACAACGACGCCATCGAAGCTAGAAACCGCCTCCATGTCGTCGAAGCCCTGCTCTGCGGTGACGAGCTGCTTAGCAACCCCCTCTGTCCCCCGGTGGCTGATGGAGATCACCACCGCGTGCGCCAGTTCGACTTTTGGTACAGCTTGGCCGAGTTTGTCCGTAGGAGGGAGAACCCCAACTCGCCTGCCGCTGTCAAGGCTAGGGAAGATGTTTTGGCACGGATGCGCCACCTTCTTGACGGTCGCGAGAACCGCGATGTCCTCTACTCGATCGCCGTCGTCCGCGAGCTCGCGCCCAACTTCGACGCCGGATATGCAGCTACAATCCCACAGCATCTGGATGAGTCAGACCCCAAGAATCGACTGGCCGTCGCGTCCAAATTTCTTCTTGACGAGTCCCAAGTCACCGGCGGAACAACCAACGTGGTGCGTCGATTCAGCGACATTGCCTCTCGGGCTTTTGTCAACCCTGGGGTAAACATTGCACGAAGGGTATAGCAGAAATGCCGCAACTTGTCGAGAGCCGGGCTCAACTACTATATCCTACATCGTCCGTAGGAAGGGGATGCATCTTACTTACTCATTTTCCTTTGTCTCAGCCGCCTGCTGCAAACCCATCGGCAAGTCCACTGTCACTCTGCCAAAGCTAGTGCGACTATTAAGCAAGCTTCTTGTTTTTCTGTTGACTCCGCGAAGCATGGCAAGTCTCTCCGTTTGGCCAAAAGCCGTCTGTTTTTTTTATTTTTTCCTATTTCATTGTCTGTTATCTGTTTTCATGGCGTTGCAACACCGTTGAGGGACCACGGCCAAGGAAGGGGGTAGGCAATTTCTCTGCTCTTTTCTTATTCTCTTTTCGCTGCGTTAGGTCTCTTTCGGTGGCCCCCCCCCCCCCGTTTTGATTTCCAGTCTCTTTATGGGACATATATGGCACACTGTGGCCTGGAGGCGTTTACGTGCAACCATTTTTGCGGCGGGCTGCCATGTATTGCTCTTTTTGTCGGCATCTTTCTGCTTTGTTGGCATATCACTAAGCCGATCTGGAGGTTGATGCCGCGTAAGAAGCGCACTGGAAGCCAGTTCCTAGTGGAACAGCACGTGAGCTGAACCTTTGCGCTTGGAGAGAGGGGGAAGTGAAGGATGAACGAAGATAGAATTTTTCTTTTGTTTCTTTCCAACCAAATTAGACAGGAAGGGCTGGTCCGTTTGGACTTCAGCGCGGATCATGGTTTTGGGGGGGCGGCATGGGATCGGTTTATAGAAGGGCGGTTCTCTCTGTCATAGCCTGAGCTACCTTACCTCAGAGCTTTTTGTTTTCCTGGTTTACCTATACTCAAAACTGTCAAACAAGAAGCAAACAAAACAAAGATCTACTGCCTTGAGATTTTTACTCACAGGCAGCGACTATTTTCCTTGTTATTACTTTTCTTGAAAGTGTTTTTCTCCTTTTTTCTTTATAAGTGTTTTCCTATTTTCCCCTTATTTCCTTAGTGTTTAATGTGGTGCCTGGGTGAGGCTCTCTAGGTGCTTATACATATAGATCTGGTACATTTCCCTACCTTATATACAGGATATATCCAACGATATCTCATTCTTTATCATTTAATCCATCTTGACGATCACGTCTTGACGACCATGCCCTTATGAGTGCTTTTATAAACTTTCTTCCCAATACCCCCAATGGCAGGTAACAGTCTTCTTCACCTCAACTCTTACCAAAATTTCCAAACCAGATACTGTCATCGGGCCGCATCCCCGTCGTAACGCCCTCAAGCCCACAAACAGCCCTCTCCTGGTCGCCAACCTTCCACTTCCTGACGACATCGCCCCTCACAAGCAGCTGCATGACCATGCCCGCCTCGGCGTGCCACATGTTGTGGCAGTGGAAGGCCCACATGCCGGGGCTATCCAGCACGACGCGGATGACGGCCCAGCTGTAGCCCTCCACGGTGACGGTGTCCCGCCGGAGGGGATTATCGTCCAGATTGAGCTCCTTGACGAAGGAAGGGAAGTCTGTTTCGGAGGGAGGGTATCCGCTACGGGCTTGGTAGAGAACGAAGAATTTGTGGCCGTGGAGGTGGAATGGATGTGAGCCGTCGTCAAAATTGTTGATGGCTAGGTCGATGGTGCGAATGCCCTCTGTTTGGATGACGAGTTCCTTTCGGGAGTCAAAGGCCAGGCTGTTGACGGCAATGGGCGACTTGAGGGTGGTGAGGTTGGAGTGTGCGTCGAGGAAGCGGTGCAGCGAGGGACGGGTGGCGTTGTGGTGCCAGGTTGATTCGTTGAAGAAGCCGCGTGCGAGGCGCCAGTCGCCGATCATGAAGCTGGCGTCGAAACGCATGTACTTGTCTGCGGGGGGCGGCGTCATGGGAATCACCGGATGCAGGGCGGAGACGTTGAGATCGCGGCATATGACTTCGATGGCGTCGGGCCAGTCTGTGCTGGTTGGATCGCTGAGTTCCTTGTCTGCTGGTGTGTCATTGGAGGAGTTATAGCGCATCACGGCACGCATCTCGGGCTTCAGCAGCGGGTTCTTGGTGGTGAAGCAGTGTGTCACCATCCTGGCCCTCATCCAGAAGGCGTCGCCGGTGGTAACATTGGTTTCCACGATGACACTGTACCGCTGGGCTGGGAGGATGTTGAGACGATGAAAGGGTTCGGGAAACACGTCGGTGCCGTCGACTTCCGTGACATAAAAGGGGTGCTCGTCGAACTGGATCTGGAACTCGGCAAAAGCCCCGACGTTGATGATGCGGAGTCGATGCCTTTGGCCGGCAGCAAGATCGAGGATTGGGGTTGAGACATTAGTAGCATCACAGTCCCAGCCTGGGAAATCGGCGCAGTCACGCACGCCGCGGCCGTTGATCAAGCCATTGTCCGGGACAGGCTCGTCGTTTCCCATGTCTGGCTTCAGATAGTCCATCAGGAGCTCAGACGTCAAGTTGTGATAATGGTCCTGAACCATCATGATCCTATCAGAGGCGTAGTCCAGCTTCTGCAACACTGTCCGCTCCTCCTTGGCGTGAATAACGACCGGGCCAAGCAGCCCATCAGATGCCTGAGCGCTGTGGTGAGCATGGTACCAATAAGTGCCCGACTGATGCTGGACCTTGAACTCGTAGGTGAAGGTCGAGTTGGGCGCAATCGGGCATTGAGTGATGCCGACGGCACCGTCCATGGAGTTGGTGCCATTCTGGAAGAGACCGTGGAAATGGATCGAAGTCGCATTCGTGGCTTTGTTCTCGACAATGACGCGGATGGTGTCGCCTTCGTTGCATTCGACCAATGGCCCGGGAAACTGATTGTTGATGAGAATCATGGGACGATAGATGCCGTCAGGGTTCAGACGTCCATCTAGAATGGTCCAATGGTACTCTCTTGTGGTGGGAGGAGCGTCAAAGTCCCACGAAGGAGATAGGACGTAGTGTGAGGCATCTCTCAGCTGAGGGGCGCTCGGCAGCTCTTCTTCATAGTGGACAATGGCTGGCGCAAGGCTGCTGTCGCCCTCGTCTTCATCATTGGGCTCAGATTCAGCCTCGTGATGATCAGACTCCTCTTCCTCATGAGGCTCACCCGGTGGGTGGTGATCATCGACTCCTTCTGAAGAACCCTTGGAGAGTGATTGAAGACCAAACGGGACAGCAGACAGCGCCAGCACAGATACGACCACGATGAAGAAGAAGAGGCCTAACTTCCACAGGGGTTGAGAGCGTGACTGACGTCGAGACGGACGGAAACGCGACGAACGGCGCGACTGGCGAATGAAGGGCTGATGCTCGCCGAGCTCTTGGTGAGCCTCGTTGCGCAAGGCACCAGCCGAGCCTCGTCCGTGATGCGGTCCAGCGGCATCCATTGCGCTCATCGTCAAGGCTCAAGAGAGTTGAGAACCATCAAAGTAACTGTTGTCATGGTCCAGCTTGTATACTGGGGGCCCCAAGATGACTCCTGTCAGACAATGAACGCCGTCCTCTTGTGGCCTCTCCCCAGATGATGAGATGGAACTTCGGGAGGTAAGCAAAGAGTAAGACTTCAGTGCGACATGTCGAGCTTGAGGAGGAGGGAGATTGGCTATCGGCAACCTTCAAAGACGAGCGAAAGCTATAGAACACTCGTACTTCTGCAACTCGATTACGGGGAGGGTGATGGGAATCGCTTCAACCCAGTGGAAGCCCGTTGATACTCGTCCGGATTGTAGTGTATTTCGAGCGAGAGGCTACGGCGAACAACTGAAGACCGAGCTCCACGGCTGGAAGACACCAGAAAGTACCCGTCAAGTTGGAGCACACGAGCAAGTGACGGCTCCGGTGTCGAAAAGGGCGTAGCTGGATATTGGGTCAACGAGGCGATGCGTCTGTCTGTCTGTCTGTCTGTTCGGATTGAGTCCGGATCTGAGGAGACATTGGATCTGGAGGCAACATGATCGGGTGGAACAACGTTTGGGCGTTCAGGGGGGGGCTTCAGCGACTTGGGGGCATGGTGGCGGACGCAGCAGCGATTGGACAGCGGGAGGATCCGCTGGAACCGGGTGCCTGAAGGGCTTGACAGCGCCTAGAGCCCGCTGTAAGAAGTTAAACCTGATGAGGCAGATAGATGAGCACTGGATCAAACAAGATGGATCTCAATCTTCAACTGACAAGGACGGACCATGACAGCAGTCCCAAGCCCGCGAGCGGATAAAGCGGCACCGTCTGGAAGCCCCTTCGAAAGGAAAGCTGGAGGAACAGGCGAGACAGACGAGGTGCAGCGGCGCTTTTCGCCCACGTGTCGGAGCAGCAGCGCAAGATGCCCATCGAAGCAGAGGCCGCTAGAAGTGCTAGCGAGTGGGTGGGAATGTCGTCAAGGTTCACCAACAGGGCAGTCGGAGCCAACAGTGGATGATTGGATGATCTCTTGCTTGGCAGCCCTCGCCGGCGGCAGGGATCTTTTGGGGAGGCGGTCCAGTCCAGCAACAGCCGAACCCGTCCCCAAGCAGGCAGAACGGGTGGATAGAGAGACCTTGTACCATGACGGAATACTGAGACCCATTGTGTGCAGATGCCGACCAGGTTCATGGGAGGAGGAATCCCCTCGTGCTGTAACACCGTGTCGTACGTGTACAAAGAGGAGAGAGACCGAGCGGGTACCGGGAAGCCACCACAAGGATGAAGCCCCGAACGTTGGGTGACATCGCAGCGCATGGCATCGCCTGTCTCGGAGCAAGGCTGGGCCTGAGCCTGCACGAGCATTGATATAAACCCCGCGGCGTCCCTGCCTTTTCTCTCCCTCTCCCTTCTCCATCCTCCCCAGCAAGGCTACAGCAAGGCTACTACTTGACATCAGCTGGGATCAAAGGCCAACGGGAACAAGAGATGCTGTCCAAGGTTGTCTCTCTGCTGGCCGCTGCCGGCCTTGCCTCGGCTGCTGCCGTTGACAAGAGCCAGTGCAAGCCCTCGTTGACGTCGACTGGATGGGAGACTCGGTACACGGCCACGGGCACCGCAGAGGTGGCCGCTGCCGCTGCCACGGCCAAGACCAGCAGCCCGACCAGCCACGTCAAGGGCAAGGCCTTTGACCGCTTTGTCGTCGTCTACTTTGAGAACCAAAACTACGACAAGGCCGATGGTGACCGTGAGTGTGGCCTTGATTTGAAGAAATGAGACGCACGGAGACTGACATGCTTGACAGCCAACTTCACCTTCTTTGCCAAAAAGGGCATCAAGTTGACCAACTACTTTGGCGTCACTCATCCTTCTGAGCCCAACTACATGGCCTCGATTGTCGGCGACTACCTCGGCATGCAGAACGACGACTTCAATGCTGCCGACTTCAACGTGTCGACCGTCATCGACCTGCTCGAGGACCGCGGCATCTCCTGGGGCCACTACCAGGAGGACCAGCCCTACTCCGGCTTCGAGGGCTTCCAGTACACCAACGTCAAGACGGGCGCCAACGACTACGTGCGCAAGCACAATCCCGCCATCCTGGCCAACAGCGTCACCCATTACGAGCAGCGCCTGTCCCAGGACAAGAACCTGTCCATGATCGACACCAGCCGCTCCATGTTCCACAAGGACCTCGAGGCCAACAAGCTGCCGCAGTGGATGTTCATCACCCCCAACATGACCTCGGACGGCCACGACACCAACGTCGGCGTCGCTGGCAAGTGGTGCCGCGCCTTCCTCGAGCCTCTGCTGGACAACAAGAACTTTATGCAAAACACGCTGGTCCTCCTCACCTGGGACGAGAACGAGACGTACGCCGAGCGCAACCAGATCATGGGCATCCTGCTGGGTGACGCGGTCCCCAAGCACCTGGTCGGCACCACGGACAACAACTTCTACAACCACTACAGCGAGATTGCCACCGTCGAGGCCAACTGGGGCCTGCACACGCTCGGCCGCTGGGACGTCGGCGCCAACGTCTACGAGTTCGTGGCCCAGAAGACGGGCGACCGGCTGCGCAAGTGGTCTTCCGACGAGGCGCTCAACAGCCACTTCTGGAACGCCTCGTACGCCGGCGTCTTCAACACCGACGGTGGCAACCAGCAGTACCCCGCGCCCAACCTGAAGCTCGACCACAGCTTCTCGGGCCGCACCATCCTGCCCGCCATCAAGAAGACGTGGGAGCACAGCAAGGCTGCCACCTACTACGCCGACACCATTGAGGTGGCAGACGGCCTCAACCCTCCCAAGGGATACGCTCCTCTCCACACCGACTGAGCGATGGAACAATCATGTTTGTTACGAGATGATTTTAGCTGTAGATAAACTTTCAACTACACAATTTTCCCAATTAAGTCATCCCATGTCTTTGTCAATCATCTCCATGATGACGGTACCATAAGTCAATGCACTGCGTAAGGTACCTATCTTCCGCTCAATGGCCAACAAAGAGCGGTGATAAGGACTTGCTGGCCGGCACTTACACGCACAGTAAAAACTCGGGTAGTAAAAAACGCTTACTTTCAGCCACCGGCACTTGTCAAAAGTCCCAGCTTCCTAATCGGGGTCTCTCCAATTTTCTTTCCGGAGATCCTGTCCTGTCCATCTTTACAGTCTTTCTATATCTTCCTTCTCTTTTCCTTTGACCGCGACAACTTCCGAGTCATCTTCAGTCTCCAAGATACTGTACTGGATACCCTATATCCAATTGATACCATAAATACCATGTCACCACTTGTCCAACAGCAAGAAACCGAGCTCAACACCACACACATACGCATTATCGGATCGACGTTCCCCTCACGAAAACCACGGCGCCACCCCACGGCCCCTAGAAAGCATCTCCACCACCAGGCATCACCCCTGTCTCGTTGCCTAAGAACGAAAAAGAGAAAAAAGAACCCTGAGGTGCGCAAAAAAACACGCTTATGCACGTTCGTCTGAATTTCTCCCGACCGCCAAATCAGCGTTTGCGAATTCTTAAGCACATGCCCCCTCTGGTGGTGTGCACGTGGGGCCAAGGCGAGCACCTGCTTGGAGAAGACGTCAAGAGGCCTTCGCGGTGCCTGGTCTTGCTGCGCGGAAAAGCGGCAAGCCTTTGACCTTTTTTTTTTTTTTTTTTTTTCATCCCTCTCTTCCTTGCCTTTTGCAAAGGGATCCGTGGCTGGAGATGGCGGTTTTAGGCTTTGTTGGAAGGCTGATTTGAGCGTTCTCGGTGTCTTTGTTGGGGTTGGTGGCGGCGCCGAGTTTTCGAGGGAGGGCGCAGATGTCGTAGACCGACGGAGGGGGAGAAATGAGGGACAAGGGAGGGAGTGTGTGTGTGGATTGTGTCGTATGTACTCGTAGGATTGTTCTTCTTAGCGATGCCCCGTGGTTATCGTGACGATGTAACGCCGGGGTGCAAGTGCAGACGCACGAGGGCGGGTTGAGGGTGTCGAGTGGCATTGGAGCTGTTCTCCGAGGTGGGATTGCATGGCCCGGGGGGTGTACAAGGGACTACTGATTGGGATGACAGGCCTGGTGATATGGTGGACGAGTAGACATGTTGCGGCACCAACCAACGACCAAGACGAGCTTTTGTTTTTGCTCGCCAACTGAGCCGAGGACCCGAGTGTCTTACTGTCTTGGTGTTATGCCTTTACGGAGCACGAGTGCCGAGTAGTGTTGCTGTCGATCTTGGCATTGGCTACAGTGCTTCATCACCTGTCCTGGTGCAAGACACGCTCGTCTTCATCCCTCAACCTCCCGAGTCAACACTACCTAGTCTCACTCTCTCGCATCTGAGCCTCTGCAACCGACGACACAGCATCAAAACACACCATGACGAGATCACGAAGCCCCCTCCTCATCCGCTTCCTCTCAGACTTCACCCTCGGCTTCTCAGATGGCCTCACCGTCCCCTTTGCCCTCACCGCGGGCCTCAGCTCCCTCGGCCGCACCGACACCGTCATCTACGCTGGCCTGGCCGAGCTCTGCGCCGGCAGCATCAGCATGGGCATTGGCGGCTACCTCTCCGCCAAAGATGAGCTGCTGCCGCCGCCCGCGACTGAGAACCACCATCGGGACGGTGACGAGGAGGAGCTGAGGGGCATGTTGCGGCATGTTGGCGACAGAGAGAGTGTGGATGAGAAGAGCAAGGAGGCGCAGGAGGTGGTCGTGAGGCGGCATCTGGAACCTCTTGCGCTGCCTGGGTGGATGGTTCAGGATATCATGACGGCGCTCAATGATCGGCCTGGGGGATTACACAGCGTTTCCCGACGTTTACTTTCCTCAAGGGCTGCGAGTCTCGTCCAAGAGGGCTCTTCCAGCACCGACCAGCTGCCCGTATGGCCCGTTGCCTCGGGTCTCTCCATTTCGCTGGGCTACATCATCGGCGGCACGATTCCCCTGCTGCCGTACTTGTTTGCTGCGACTGTCGGCCTTGGGCTCCGCTGGAGCATTGCTCTGTGTCTGGTGGCGCTGATGTCGTTTGGTGCTGGAAAGAGCTGGTTGCTGAGAGGCGGAGAGGCGTCGAGCAGCAGCAGCTGGATGCGGTGCGTGTGGGAGGGCTTGCAGATGCTGATTCTGGGGAGCTTGGCGGCGTTGGCGGCGGTGCTGTGCGTGTCTTTGCTGGGCGGCAGTGAAGAGATGGAGGGATGAAGATGAGATGAAAATCGGCGTCTTTTGATCTATGGGAAACCGGGATATATCACGTCAGGAGAAATACTGGGAATACGTAACATGGCGTTGGGGAGTTTTGGCCTCTCTTGGTTTGGCGATATGGAAGCAAGGGTCGGCTGGAGGTTCGTCTTTTTTCGGGGCTACTTACACCTTCGATCTAGAACAACGCTTCACCAGTTGACGACATCTGGAGGCTCAGATCACACGCGACAAAGTGGACGGGAACAAAAAAGAACAAGCAAAATGCAAAAACATTTAAAAAAAACAAAAAAGAAACGAAGCAGAAGCGTCTTGAACTGGTGTGTATAGGAAAAGCCCGATGCGGGGGTCGAACCCGCAACCTTGAGATTGCATCAGAAACGTGTTCTCTGCTAAGAGTCTCACGCTCTACCGATTGAGCTAACCAGGCAGTCACGTGACTTGTGCGCTATGCCTCATCTGTTGTTGAATGCGACGCTGGTAATTCTCCCTATGAAGGCTTCACCACAGTCAGTTTCTCATGTCTTGTCCCGAATTTCAGGGTAGCTGCATGGAAATGGGCAACTGGTGGAAATTGCAAAGCACAATTGACTTATTTGAAGGCTTATTTGCATCTTGGCTGTTTCCTGGTGTTTCCGTTACCTGTACTAGTGGTTCCCGTCGTCTTGATGTTCCGTGAGAACTTTCAGTTGTCTTACTGTAATGCTCTACACCAGGAGAGGAACATTCGTCTTTTGCTCTGCGTTCTCATATATGACCAGACAGTTATGCATTGTAATACAAACGTATGACTGCCATGCTTAAAATAGGTAGATAGATGAATCCTCCCACAAACCCAGACAATCATGTCCCACCTCCTCGAAATCGACAAGGCGTTCCCCAGGCTCAAAACTTGACAAGAGACCTGGCGTTATCCTCCTGTCCAATAACTCATTAATGCCACCAATGGATAATAAGCCCAATTGCCTAACATATGGTCCCTGCCCAGGTCCATTATCATGTATGCATACCGGCTTATAACCTCCTTCCCAGATCGCTTTCCCTAAAACAGCTGCTTCTATAATAAACCCTACGCTATCTAGGGCTATTACTATAATAACTGGCAAGCAGCCATTATGACCATGCTGCTGTTTATAAGCCTGCGTGGAGAACCGTAACTTAAAATGCATAACAGGGTTCGCCACAGCGCATCCGCATAGTGTGGGTTAACCACAGATGACGCCGCCGTTCAGGCTACGACCACACAGGTGAAGAATCCCTTCGCTAACATGGCCGCCACTGAACTGTCCTTCGAGGTTAACGGCGGCACCTCCGTCAACATGTGCTCAGTTAAGGACCTGATTACCATGGCGAACCCCCACGACACCGTCGCAGCCCTCGGTCTCAACCCCTCCTGCGCAGACCCCTTCCTCCTCCATAATACCATCCACAAGAAGTTAACCAACCAGCTATCCAGTTCAAACCTTGTGACAACTCGTAGACCACCTGAAAGAGTGGCTCTAGTTATACCCCGCAACTTCGCCTGTTCTATCGGTAGAGCCTCAGACTCTCTGTGCATCAACCTTCAGTCCCTTTTTTTCTTTGACAAAAAGAGGTGCATTGACAGACGAGCTTGCAGAATTCAGGGCGGCGATGTTGACTACGATGAAGCTGAGGTCGCCAGAATGGGGGATGCAGTACAAATCAAAGAAAAATTACTCGCGAGAAATGGTGAATATAAGGAGGGAAAACACATATGACAATCTTGTCTGCCAGGAGAATGCCGACCCGAAAAGGGTCCGCCCCTGGAAAACCAGCCAACTTCACTTTGTACAGTCGCACATGCAGGGCCGACCAAAAGATGTCTCAAGTAAGATGTCATTTTAGACTACCTATGAACACGCTGAGACCAAGAATCCATCGTTGAGTCCAAGAATCCATCGCTGAGACCAAGAATCCAACCGTTGAAAAGATAATCCATCGCTGAGAACAGGCATCCATTGTTGAAACCAGAAATCCACTATCCAGTGCCCGCTTGCGACTTCAGCCGAGCATATCACTCAAGTATGGTTCATGAACCGCCCAGATCACCGCCATGTGCGCTGAGACACCGAGTGAAGCTATTCCGAGCATGCCGCCTCAAAGTTTCGTCGAACAGCTCCAACGTATGACTCAGGAATGAGACAAGTGTAATCCTGAAATCGAGAAGGAAAGTTGGTATCACGACGAGGTGTGTACCTGTGCACGGGAGATTGAGCGCCGTCATCCGAGACATATGTGATCTGGCTGGCCCAAAGACATGGGTGATCACCGGAACTGACGATATGAGTCCAAAGTTCGTCGTCTGGCGACCGGCAGGAGCCAAGGCAGTGCCAGGTAGTGATTTGGAACTTGGTCTCGTTGAGCATCTTGTTCTGCTCGAGTGACGTCTCATAATCCGTGCTGCACAACACGCATGAGCCGTGATCGGCATGCTGCACAATCATCTCTCTAGTATCGGCCCAGTCGCAATACACGAGCTGTCGTGCGTGGATGAAGGGGAAACGGGGCTTTGGTTCGTCTGTCCCCTGGTGGCAGCAGAGTGGGCTCGCCGCGCAGCTGAGATGGCTGCAGAGAGGTACGGCCATGGTCTCAATGAGCCTCTTCAGGTCCTCTTCGGGAACCCAGGGTCCAACGACTGTGTAAGCCCTGGAGATGTAGAGCTTGTCGTCGATAATTTTTGGCGTCATTTGAAAGGTGAACCGCCAGGCATCTTTTCCCCTTGGCACCGTGTCGAGACTTTTCCCGGGAAGTTGAGTCTTGCGACCCAGGCAGGGCTCCAGGTCCGTCTGGATCATGTATTTGCGATAATTTTTGAATTGCCCTCGATAGTTGAGACATTCTTTCAATTCGAGGACAGTCTCGAACGCCTCATATCGCTCCAGGCTCTGAAGGGGTAAACCGTGAGAGGGTCCCAAGAAATGCTGATTCATGACCAGGTAGGGCTCCATGAATGAGATGTTGGCCTTGCTTAGGAAGAGAAAAAGATCCTTGGGAAGCTGGACGTGCAAGATGTGGTGTATATCGGGCAACCAGCGTGAGTTCTTGAAGTCACTGGTCCCTCCTGTATGGTGTTGAGTCTTCCACTCATGCTTGGGATCAAGCGGGCGCAAGCGGGCGCAACAGTAGCAGTAGTATGTGTTGGGGACATCCTTCTGCAGCGTAGTGAGGAACTTGGTGCGATCAGGCCCTTCAAGGCGTGTTCGAAGTTCTCCCATGGTGAGCATTGAGAGGAATTTGCAGGTTGAGCCCAGAGAGTGTTTCCAGGGCCGTGGGACCAAAGCAATGATCATATAAATGATCTCGTTGGGCATGTTCATGAAGAACGAGGAAATGGTGTCATCCAGGCATTGGAGGTTTCCTTGGACGGATGTCTCTGCCTCAGTGAGACGCTGGTTCTGGCGCTCAGACATGGTGTGATTGTTGTTTTAAACTTTTCTTTTCTTTCTTGACTTCTTAGTTGTTGGATAGCAAGTCTGCTGTCGTGTGTGAAGTCGACTGATGGTTTGTAAATGGGAATAGATGAACGGTTGACTGGTGGGTAGAATGAATCAAGGGGGACCCTTTGTTCTTATATACTACGCCCGACAACTCACTACGGGCATGAATTGGGTTTGTTGTCATGAGCGTAATGGGTTAGTATATTTAACAAGAGAGTATGGAAACGTACAAATCCCATTCTTGGACTAAAAAAAATTCTTGGACTACATGGCGCACATAGACTTTAAGGCTGCGTCTAGAGAATTCTTCCTCAAGGACATTAGCTGGTGTTGAGGTAACTTCTCAAGTCGGTTTAGAAGGGCTGAAACTTCATCAGGCAACAGCCGCTACAGCCGACTCGAGAGATGTTCATCGATACTGTAGTGTTGATAAATAGGTTTAGAATGCTATCTGGTGAAATGTGCAAGCCATTTGCAAGTTCAAGACCCGATAAAGGAGGGCGGACTGCTAACTAAACTGAAATCATGCCTACTCCACCGAAAGCCCGTTGAGGGCTCCTGAACGAGCCCTGAAGTAAGGACCTTTCTCTCCTGTGGTGGGAGTCTGAATGTCAATTAACAAGGACAAGTGACTGTGGCTACAGCCAGTCAGGGTGACGCCTCGCTCTCAACAGCAAGGTCTCACAAATCTAAAGAGAATAGACATCAAGTTAGCACGAAGAGTGATTAGCCGGACACTGAACGCTTGCCGAGTGAGATGTCTGGAAAACACGAGGCAGCTGTTTACATCCCTGGTCACATCAACACTCCGTGACATGCTACAGTGCTCTTCCGAGAAGTATGGTATGGGCATCTACGGAGCCAAGACAGGCTTCAAGTAAGATGGCGATGGACCCGGAACTGGTCGATCGTCTGCCAACTGTGGCGCACAAGTTCTCCCTGCTTAATTAGACTGCTGCAATTTTGGCTGCCATCATCCTGGCTGTGGTATCTCCGTATACTGTAGTGGCGTCTATGGCTTGTGTTTACCAGATGATCCTGGCCCGTTTCCATGGAGACCTTATCGAAAGAGTCCAAAGTTTGAGGCGAATACTTGCTCAAGAAGAGTGAGAAGCAAGGTACATCTGCGTAACTTCACATAACAACACAGGATGACTTCTTCTCGAGCTTGTGGATCCTCTCCGTCAGCTCCTTGATCTTCTCCTCGCTCGACTTGGCCGCCTCTTCATTCATCCGCCTCTCATCCGAAATCGTCTTTTCCATGCCCTCCATCATCTTCTTGTAGTGATGTTCCAGTGTGGCCATGGCGGCCTTGTTCTCCTCAGCAGCGGTCCGCAAAAGCATCTCCTTCATCTCAGCAAGCTCCTTCTGTTGCTGCTCCTTTAGCTGTGAGAGCTGGCTCATAATTTCTCGTCCAGCGGCGGTGTCTTTGAGTGCTTTGTTGTCTTTTCCCATTTCCTCTTGCAGCTCGAGGAAGAAGGGCTCGTTGTCCATGAGCATGGATGCAATCTTTTTGGCGGATTGCGCTGAGGCATCATGGCGACAGTATTGAGCGCCAAAGGCCATGAAGACGCTCCAGAAGTTGCCTTGTAGTTCCCGCTCGCGGTTCAGTCCCTCCTCTGGGCTCACTTTATCCCACATGCTGGTCGCTAGAATGACATTCTTGAGGTTCTTCTCGCCGGTGAGTTTTCGGAACATGTCAAGGTTCTTGGTGGCGTGATGCGTGACACGATTGTCTGAGATGGGATGGAGGTAGATGATGCCCGACAGGCGCATTTCCTTGGAGTAGCCTGCCGACAGGTAGTCTGCAATCATTTCGAGGACTTCAGTATCTGACAGATAGGTGTCGGAGAAGCCCGGAGTGTCGACAAAGCGGACAGTACGACCGTCAATTGTGGTCTCGATGATTTGTATCTCTTGGGTGCCTGCATGGATCTCTGTTAGTATATGACGGAGAGCTCGTTGAAGTTGAGGATCAACGTACATGAAGTGAGAGTGTGACCGATCTGAAGGTCGGTCCGCCCGGTCGCATTGGCAATAAAAGTCGTCTTTCCAGACCCCGTCATGCTGTCCGTAATGTGAGATGGTTGCCATTCAGGTGCTGTATTGAATGGATAACGTACCCCATTACGGCAATCAAGATGTCTTTGCCTCTGAACTTGTTATACATGGACTTCATGTTTGGCACGTATTTCATGAAGCTGCCGTGTCCGCCGTCTTTTGTCTGCGAATAGAACGAGGAACTGAGCGAGCCATCATTGGAAACCGGGGATTTCTCAGCAGCAGAAGCAGCAGCAGCAGCAGCAGCAGCAGCATCACTGTTGTTGCCGCTATCGTGATTCCCTCTCGGGGGCTGTTGTTGGTTTGGCTGGAGGCGGCTGATGAGCTTGGGAGTCTGGTAAGAGACTGCTGGTGGGGGGCTGTCGAAGGTTGCCGAGTTGACCATGGCAAAGTCGTCGTCGGAGACGTCGGGAGTGTCTAGTCTCGCCATCTTTGCACTTTAAATCACCAGGAATAGATCAAATAGAGAAGTAACTCCTTGTGAAGAAGAGAAGATCTGTAGAAAACTCTTCATGTTTGGGCTTCATTGAGGCCTGGCCTCCAAAGAGTGTTACGTCACCCCTGTTCGCCGATGCAGCCAGTGAGGCGCTTACACGCAGCTGATAGGCCTCAGAGTCTTGGTCCCCTAAACAGTGGCGACATTTTGAAAGCGTGGGCAGAGTCGCGAACCAGTTATTCGCCTGCATTTGGGTTTTAGTTTCGTTTCTCCTTGCAAGATTGAGAATTATAAAGACGGAACGATAGATATCATCATGAATGTGGACTGTATAGAGATAGCCACCAGCATGTCGAGGATTGTTAGATTTCCAACCCGATACTGCGAGACGTGAAGGCATTCCCCCCGTCAAACACGTATGGATGCCTGCTTCAAGAAATAGGATTGCCCAAAGGATAAAGACATTAGCACCTATTATCTAGATCGATCGATACCTTGTCAATTTCATCCAATTAAGAAGTCCAAGTTTGCAAGGCTTCAAAGAGCGTCTGGTGTTTCGACACACAACCATCTTTGAGGTTGCGTAAGTAACCCGTGTAACTATCCATCAGTCATTAGTGTCGAGCGTATATCATTCATCATCACTTGCTGGATCGAGCATACCCAATATTCGAGTTCCTCTTCATCCTCTCACAATTCCTTGGATGTTGCGTCGACGTTTTACTTCGTTAGGAAGGTCATGCCATAGTGAGGTTATGAAGCTTGATACCTACATACCTGCCATGCACCATACAAGCCCGTTGATTTCCGAGTCGCCACGTAGTCCACGTAATTGGAAGAAGTCGTTGGCGGGAGAGTCATCGCCAACCTGACCAACTTGGTATACCACAGCTTTCAACTGATTCAGCAGCCAAAGTCAGAACTGCCAAGCGGCGTTGAGAATATTGATCACGTACAGTTTCGGTCGTTGACCCTGGCTGTCGAGGAAAGCTGCGCACCTTCGAATCTCATCCGCCAGACCACTCCCGATGCGATGGCATCATAAACCCACGGTCTGAGTAAATTGAATGCCAAGTTTGTATCAATCTTGGTGTTCCCACGTGTAGTGGCCGTCTTCAGGAACACGTCCATATATGCGGCAGTCGGTGTAAACTGGCATACGAGGTGTAGGTTGTCGCTGTTTTCAGCATGTGCATCGCTGTGGCTAATTGTTCAACACTCAGCGTTGAGAACCTCAAATTGCCTGTGAGAGGCTATGCAGTCCATCTGTCAGTGAGGCTGTGTCTGCAATTTGCAAGTTACCGTGGGAAAAGTGCTGCACAGCCGCCTGGTGAAATGTTTCTGTCGCGGCTCTTAGACGCGAAGTTGGACTGATGTAAGTTCACCAGCGATTGGTAAGAGAGGCCTACCTTACCTATCTCAACAGTGCTACGTGAAGACAACATCTGCTATCCATCCACTAAATAGCCTATACTTTGAGACTCGTAGCCATTTCTAGCTATTTGAAGTTTTGTCGGATACTTTGAGGCAGGAGAATACATGTAGCTTTACCCCAGCCAATCACCGAGAATCCCAGTCTCGTCAGGCTGTTGGGCTTCTGTCGCAAGCCATGCATGTTCCCTGCAGGATTCAGCCTCACGGCTGATTTTCCCTCCTATATCGTGAGTAGACATTTTCCTGCCTCCAAGGCATCTCTACTCGATCGCATTTTCTCTCTGTGAGCTCGCGGAGACTTGAGGTTTGAAGGTTTCTCTGCATCTCTCCGCTTATATACTGACCAGAACATCCAGCGCCCGGGCTTCCATGCACCAAAACGGTCTGCTACTGTCTGTAGAAAGACGGCATTTCGCGCGAAACTTCGAAGAACGCCCTCGAAAATCGACCCCCCTCCTGCCGATGTTGATATAATTATATCTACCAGTCGATAGCCGAAATCGTTCGCTTCAATGGCCGAGTTGGATCCTAGAATCTATACGGTGGCATGGATTGCTCCTTTGGAAATCGAGGCACAAGCTGCGCTGCACATGTTGGACAGTCGACACTCAGGCAGATTTCGCATGGAACGAGGAGATGACTACGTCTTCCAAGCTGGCGATGCATGCGGGCACAATATCATCATAGCGACTCTACCAGCCGGTGAACTCTACGGCACGGGCTCTGCTGCGGCTCTTGCGAGCCAGGTGAAGAAGTTCTTCCCTAATCTTTGGTTTGGCTTGCTAGTTGGAGTCGCAGCTGGTCTTCCGAATCTATCGCGCTGTCCACCGCTGGATATCCGTCTGGGTGATGTCCTTGTGGGCCTTCCTATTGGAGATAACGCTGGCTTGATACCATATGACCTCGGGAAAGAGACTGCAAACGATGGATTTCAGCTACTGCGCGCCGGCCACGGGTTGGCTAGGACCGAAACTGTCGTCAGATCGGCCATCGGTAGCATCAAACTCATGGCACCACACGACGCAGACGAGATTTTACGGCATTACAAAATGATCCAGCACAAAGAACACTCTTTAGGCACTTTTGATGACCCGGGACAAGAGCGAGACGTATTGTATCAAGTTGACGAGCGCGGCATCGACAGTCCAGTACAACGTGAGCAAAGGCCAGTCTCGAAGCGCACTCGAATATGGTATGGATCAATAGGCTCAGGTGAAAAGGTTTTCAAAAACGCGCAAAAACGCAACGAACTGAGGGATAAATTCAACCTCATCGGCCTTGAGATGGAGGCGGCTGGCACGATGGATCGAATTCCTGTCGGAGTGATTCGGGGAGTCTGTGATTATGGGGACGAACACAAGAATAAAGAGTGGCAACCATATGCTGCTGCAACGGCTGCTGCTTACGCAAGAGCGGTTCTGGAAAAGATAGGACCAATCACCAGTGAGTTGGTCCAGTTCCGACTCTCTACTCTCCTTGTCTAGCTGTCTAACATCGTGCTTTAGCGAGTCAAGGGCTCAGCTTGAGCGTCTCACGCAAGCGGAATTTTGATGAAGGCGATTGCTTACCTATCTCGGAAGCAGAACGGAATAAGCGGCCATACTACGGAGTCAAGCCTACCCAAGACAACAGCTCCGACAATATGAATCTGTCTCTCGGGAACCGCAACCTTGGAGTTCCGATATTGAGCCACGGCTATTCGACCCAAGATATTGGCACCGCCGAAGACGGCGGAGTGCACAAAGGTATCGACATGGACGCGACAATCAAACAATCATTAATAGAGAAGCTCTATTTTGACAAGATAGACGAGCGTCTAATGAACTTGACAGCCGCCCAAGGGAGGACATGTCGCTGGTTTTTGGACATACCCAAATACATATTATGGAACGACTCATCTCGGCAACCAGAGCATGGCGGGTTTCTCTGGATAAAAGGAAATCCCGGCACAGGGAAGTCGACTCTCATGAAGTTTCTCTTCGAAAAGGCAAAGGCAAATGCCAGGACAGCTGCGTCACGCATCATCTTGTCTTTCTTCTTCCTGGCCCGCGGCACAATCGAGGAGAAGTCAACGACGGGCCTTTACCGATCCCTTCTTCATCAGCTTTTTGAGAAAGTCCCGGAGACGCAGAACGGTTTGGCATGGATGACAACCAATGGTGCAAAGGTCATCCAACGGAATGGATGGAGCGAGAAAGCACTGAAACAAACACTCACGCACGCCGTCCAGACGCTCGGTAGTCGGTCGCTGATGATTCTTGTGGATGCGCTGGATGAATGCAATCAAGAACAGGTTGCGGACATGGTTCGTTTCTTTGAGGAGCTGTATGACAGCGCGCAAGACTCGAAGGTTCTGGTACAGGTCTGCTTTTCAAGTCGGCATTACCCTATGGTAGTCATAGAGAAAGGCATCGAGGTCACTCTGGAGAACGAGTTGGGCCATACGCAAGATATTCAGCAATACATCAGGTCGGGACTTAGGCTGGGCAAGTCGCAGCAAGCCGATTCACTCCGATCCGAAATCCTCGAAAAGTCCTCTGGGATCTTTCTCTGGGTTGTTCTGGTTCTCGAGATTATCAATCGAGAATATCCAGGGACGTCTGTCTCTATTAAGCAGATACGTGACCGTCTGAGAGAGATTCCGCCGAAACTGCACGACTTGTTCGAAATGATTCTGACAAGAGATGGCGAAAATCTCGATCGACTACATCTCTGCCTCAGATGGATTCTCTTCGCGGCCCGCCCACTCAAACCCCAGGAGCTCTATTTCGCGGTTCAGTTTGGGCTCGACGAAGAATCCTCTGGCTTTTGGGATCGAAGGGATGTCGAGATTGACGAGATGAAGTCATTCGTGAGCAGTTTGTCCAAAGGCTTGGCTGAAGTCACGCAGGACAAAGGTCCCCAAGTCCAGTTCATCCATGAATCCGTCAGAGACTTCCTGCAGAGAAAGTATGACACGCAGTGGTCTGAGACTCCGGGTGGCTTTGTGGGCCACAGTCACGTACTTCTGAGAGATTGCTGCATGGCTCAGCTGGACAGCTTGAATTTTGAGGCTCTCGGTATAAGCGATGTCATACCCCAGGCCTCTACGATAACAAAGGCACGAGAGAGAGCCACCTCGGAATATCCGTTTTTGGATGATGCAATCTCGAATGATACAATGACAGAGGCACGAGAGAGAGTCACCTGGGCATATCCGTTTTTGGAATATGCAATCTCCAACGTCCTTCACCATGCCGACCGCGCACAGCAAAACGGTATACACCAGGAAAACTTTCTTGCCAATTTCCCTCTTCAAAGATGGATTTCCCTCAACAACACTCTAGAAACGACTTCAATTCAGCGATACACGAACTCAGTCAGCTTGCTCTACATTTACGCAGAGAAGAACTTCGCTCACCTTCTCCGCATTCATCCTCAGGCAACTTCATGTTTTGATATCGAACTTGAGGATGAGCGTTATGGCACACCGATTTTTGCGGCGCTTGCTACAGGCAGCCGCGAAGCTGTCTGGGCTTTTCTAAGAAAGCGAGCGGAGACGATGCCCTCAGACTCGCCCTTTCATAATCTCTGGGAAGAATATTGCCAGGATAGAAGTAGACGGACCAGGCTCTCGAGCAGCTTTGTCTTCTCGCGACGAAAAGGCGTGCTCTCTTATCTCGTCAAGGAAGACGAAGCACTATTTTCTTCTTTCCTCCTTGCCAATGGAATACATCCAAAAGCCTGGGTAACTGGCGACGAGAACATTTTATCATTAGCTTCCCGAGGAGGACACGCAACTGTTGTCAAGTACTTATTTGACCATAATGCCGTCGGTCCATATCTGCGAAGTAGCTTTGTCTGGTCGCCGTTATATGCAGCTGCCAGAGAAGGCCACAAAGCTGTCCTCAAGCTGTTGCTTGAACACGATGCTGAGCTAGCTCTAGAGGATAGAGTTGGCGCAGTTGGATCGTCGTCGTTAATTGCAGCTGCAAAGAATGGCCATGAAGCTATTGTCAAGCTGTTGCTCGAACACGACGTTGATCCCAACGTGGAACATGATGGCTGTTATGCGTTCTCGTATGCGGCTGAAGGAGGGCATGACCCTGTCATCAAGCTGTTGCTCGCAAAGGGCGGCATCGACCTGAACCACCAGGATAATGACGGCATCACTCCCTTGGTGGAAGCGGTTTTGTCTGGACATACAACTACCGTTCAGTTATTACTGTCACAGGAGGGTATTGATGTGAATCGGGTCGACTGTTTCGGTCGGACTCCACTAGCGCGTGCTGTTAAAAGAGGAGAGTTATCTATTGGCAAATTGCTGAGTGACAAGGGGGCAACTTTCTGAATCATCAAGATCATAACCTTCAGGCTCCATTATCTCTCGTTTCTCAACGAAGGCATGTCGCAATCGTCAGGTTGCTGCTCGAAAGGATTGGCATTGGCATATATCTAGAGGATCGCCAGGGCCGGACGCCATTGCCCTTGGCTGAAGCGGAAGGCCACAACAATATGTAACGTCGAACCTGCCCAATCATACGCACTTCTACTGCTGTGTCGCTGGGGACATTACTTTCTACGGTCTGACGGACTCTACCAGGCGGTAGAAGGAATGCATCGTGCGGGCTTACAACATATTCATTGCTTGTATAACGAGTGGCTAGCCGGCATTCTAGCCTAGCAATCAAGCATTATAGTATATCTATACTCTACATGTCTTTACTGTCGCTATATACTTCTAGTCTCGCTATATGTAAAAAAGTGTTGACAGATAGAGTATGGAACCCCAACTTCCCTGCTCTTAACGTACTGGACTTAGTATGCTGGATATCTAAGTTATGGTGCTGGCTACCCACTCCTTTTTTATATGGAAATCGTTCTGGTGTTCGGCTGCTAGCGCATGTCCACTTACAATCATGGAAACTCAATCTCAAAAGAATAGACACATCTGTATATCATACTTCATCACTTAGTCAAGCCCTCTGCCAGGGAGAAAACATGTGTGGGCCATTGGAAACGGCAGTTGAACAGACAAAACACCTGAAGCGACTGCTGATGGTTGATGCTATTCGCTGGGTACAACGTCACAAACATGAACCTACATGTAGTTCAGAGGCCTCTGCTGCACTATGCATCATGTGGTAATCAAAGTCTCTCCCGCCTTATTACCTACCCTGGCTTATGCTCTCGCTCTGGACTTTGGCTTTACTCATATCTATTTGAACAGGCTTAAGGGCTGCTATGGCCTCAACAGGCATATAGTAGTAGACTAAGGTGATGGTGGGACAATCCTGATCTTTGTAATCTTCAAAATCCTCTGAAGTCATTACAGAAGTCCACTTGGGCACGATAAGAACGCAGTGTCAGTATTTAATTTCACAGCTCAATAGGCTTGGCAATTGGACGATTTCTCCTCAGGATTTTCGATTGTCGTAACGTAGTCAATTAACGCATTCGGTATGAGATGGTCCGGAAGGTGGCCTCGATAAACTGAGAGTATCCAGCAATAATGGCTTTTTAGTACCATCTTCTCTGCCGCAACCTATGAGCAATTCGACAAAGGTCTCTGTGATATGGGAGCGAGTGTAGACATGGATAAAGCTCTTGCGGGCACACTTCTTACCAACTGTCCATTTTACTCAATGCAGGAGTGAACCATCCCCTACCCCTACCTTCTTCAATTGCACGAACATGACCATTGTACGTGAATCTCAACGTGTGTCTGATAGGCCTGCTCGAGACATCTGCATATGCCATTCATTACCTCTACCCTTGTTCAGGGACTAGTAGCTGTAACTCTTTTTTGTTTTATGGGTCACGTGTATCGCGACAATAGCATACAGACTTACAAAAGGTTTGAGGAGAGTTATGTCCGGGGGAAGTCTCAAGTGAACGACCGTGAACGCAGTCGACTGCTGAGCAGGTGGCATACAGAGTCGGACACCGGGGGGGGGGGGGGGGGGGAATCGTATACGGGGTCGAACACGGGGGGGGAATCGTATACGGGGTCGAACACGGGGGGGAATCGTATACGGGGTCGAACACGGGGGGGAATCGTATACGGGGTCGAACACGGGGGGGAATCGTATACGGGGTCGAACACGGGGGGGAATCGTATACGGGGTCGGACACGGGGGGGTGGAGTGTCTACGAGATGTCTACGGGGGCTCTACGTGGAATATGGTTTCTACGAGGCTATCTATGGGGTGAAAGATGGTGAATCAAGAGGGGGAAGGGGAAAGAGGTCGCTGGGGGTCGCTGGGGGTCGCTGGGGGTCGCTGGGGGTCGCTGGGGGTCGCTGAGGGTCGCTGAGGGTCGCTGAGGGTCGGTAATGACTGAATGTGGTCGGTCGCTGGTAGGGGTCGCTGGGTCGCTGGGAGGTAAAGACTGGACAGGGTTGGTGGTGGGGGAGAAGGAAAAAAGACAGAGAAAGGAGGGAGAGGCAACCTTCTTATATAGACAGAGCCTTGCCATACAGTGGAGCAGGGGCTTGCTGTGATGAGCACGGCGTCGGAGACAAAAGAAGCTTTGGAGTTCATTGAAAGAGCCAAAGCGTTAGGGGTTGAGAGAAAAGGGTTACGAGACCTGCTACTGGAGAGATTCCGGAGAGTGAGCAAACCGTGGAAAACGCGGCATCGTGTGTTGTGTGAGGCTTCAGGGGTGGCAATCCTTCCGACAATCGGTTCCCTGTCAATTGATATTCTCCGATTGGCCTCGCGTATGAGCTTTAACCGCCGACTGAGTGAGGGGCAAGTCAGCCCGCGAGGCAGCCTCGAAAACTTCCCCTTCAGTCATGCTTTTCTGTGATAATTGTTTGCTGGAGCAATGGGTAACTGCTTCTCATCGAGTCAGCGGCGCTGTGGGATCTGTTACTTTGAGTTGGACGAAGAATGCGCTGCTTTGGTCGAGCCGTCTGTTCACAGAAGCTACACTTGGCGCAAGGACTCTCACATTCACGATGAGGAACGAACAGAGTCTCCAGACGAGCAATTACCCTTTCCTTTACCCGAGGCCTGGAGAGAATTCCTCCGGATTGAAATCAAGGCAAAACTCGGCATATTCCAGGCATCTCGGAAACGTGGATGCCGTGGCTGCGAGTCCATCATAAAGGCTGTTGAGTCCGCTTGTGCCGACGACGGGGTGTTTTTGGACAGCAAATCATGGGAGGAAGTCGTGCAAATTACTTGGGTAGTCCCCTCGGGACGCGACAGAGAGTTGAGCAATCTCAAGATTGTGCTCACAGCGAACGTCAGCAAGAGAGACGCGCCAGACCGCGGCTCAGAGGAATACCACCTCTGGACCATATTGATCGATGTTGACCGGGCTGCCGGTCACGAAAAGGAAGAGAATTGTCAGTTTAGCAGAAGAGTAGAGTTCGTTGAGAGTCGAGATTCTAACGTTAGCCAGGGCATCCCTTCGCTTACAAGTCTCCGGTTCCGTTCAACAATACCGGGTCGGAGACTTCCTTCAAGAGAATCAGCGAGTGGCTTCACGAGTGCAACTCAATGCACAAGTCCTGCATGTCTGGTCCCGCCGCCCAGCTGCCCAAACGGGTGCTTGAGATGACGCCTGATTCAGGGAACAACATCAAGGTTCGCTTGGTTCAAGATGTGGGCGGGCAAGAGAGATACGCCTGTCTGAGCCATCGATGGGGAGCGTCGACACATCTCTGTCAAACGACTGTAGACAGTCTCCCATCTCATCTACACGAGATTCCTTGGAGCCTATTACCAAAGACCTTTCAAGATGCCGCCAAAGTCGCCGTGTGGCTTGGTATAAAGTATCTCTGGATCGACTCCCTGTGCATCATCCAAGATAGCGCCGAGGACTGGAAAGAACAGGCAGCGCAGATGTGCGAGATCTACACCGGCGGTTACGTGACCTTTGCAGCGGCATGGTCTGCAGACAGCGATGTCGGTCTGTTCCGTGAAAGTCCATCATTCACCGTGGAATGCCCTGCGCATGTCAAGCAACAAGTGGCGTCGTATCTTATTCGAAGGGTCCCTGAGCACATAACCTGGGACGTTGCCGGTGTCCTGAAGATGACCCCGGAGCTTCCCCTCTTGAGCAGAGCTTGGGTCTACCAAGAACGTCTTCTTTCTCCACGCATCGTCTATTTCACGAGATATGAGGTGGCGTTTGAATGCGCAAGGGGCAGCCGTGAAAGAATATGCGAGTGTGAGCATCTCCCGGGAGGCATCTGGGGAGGTGGCAGCAATGGCGCGGGTGGTGGCCTAGGCGAATATACAGAATTCCGCAAGCTGTACCATTCTGAAGGCCTTGCAGCGTCAAATCTTGCCGCGATCAGGAAGCACTGGCACCAGATTGTGGCGGAATACTCTGGGCTGCGCATCTCGTTTACATCAGACCGGCTTCCTGCTCTCGCGGGCGTTGCAAGGCAGTACGGGACAGCGCACTCTGCCGATCTGGGACGATACGTTGCCGGCATGTGGGAGAATTGCTTCCCTTCTGAGCTTCTATGGTATCGTGCCACGCAAAACGTCCATGACCGTCCTGATTCCTATTGCGGCCCTACGTGGTCTTGGATTTCGATGGGGAACATTGCTGCTTACGCGACGGGCTGCCCGAGAACGTATCCAGACGATCTAAAGGTTCTCAGCATCGACTTCAAGCTGAATGGCCTAGACAAGTATGCGTCTATATCCGATGCGGTCATGGAGGTTCGAGGCTACCTCGCTCCGGGGACGTTGGTAGAGGTGCACAATCCTCTGTGGAATACAAAAAGCATACGCTTCGAAGGCGTGGCTGGAAACTCTCTGACATTTCACTACGACTATCCTCTGGATAAGCCGGGTCCAAAGCATATCCCTTTCGGAACCCAGATCTGGTGTATGAAGACTGGCTTTGTGTGGGGAGGGAAGCATATATGCATGTTGCTGCATCAGACAAACTTTGTAGAGGATACATACGAGCGAATTGGTCTTGCTACGGAAGTTGGCAGAGCGGATCTTGACAGCTGGTTTGTTGACTCCAAAGGCAAGAGGCCCATAAGAATTGTATAGATAGGACGGATCGAACTTGATCGGCATGAGACAGCCTTTGCAAGTGTGTCAGAAGAGAATAAATACATGTCCAAGGGCTCATCGAGACAAAACTTAAACAGTCTTTTGGCGTTCACTCTTTCATTGTTATTCTCTTAAGGTCTATGTTGTTGAAGACGCATACTTGATGTTGAATGAACCAGTCTGTTTCGTAAAGTAGTCACCCGGGTTCTCCTCGTCTCCAAAGATCTTCAGCGCTCGCAGCAACACCGCATAGTTGCCTTCTGGCAGAATTGTCCCTTCTTGCGTTACCCCATTGAACGCGACCTGGTTGATGTTTGTGTTGAGCCATCTCACTGGGTAGCCATGCAGGCTACCAGCGACATCGACTCCCAGAATGTTGGTGGTCTTTGCTGGCGTAGCACCTAAGGGAATGATGTCTGCTCTTAGCAACGGGATGCCGGCATCCGCCTCAACACCAAGCGCTGGGTAGTCAATAGTTGACGATGTAGAAGGCTTGCTGCCGACTGTAGGATATGGTATCGTCCACGTGTCGTTGTCGGGTGCTTCTTGTGGGAAGCGGCCGGTGGTATGATAGATGAAGCTGTAGCCTGGGTCTATACTCCGAGCATTCTTGAGACTTCCAGCAACTCCGAGGTAAGGGAGAACCAAGTTCTCGCCGTTGGAACCACTCAGAGTGATGTACCCTCCGTAGACGGGGAGATTTGATGAGTTGAGTCCTTGCGGAGGAGTTACTTCGATGGTAATCTTAGCGGACCCTCCTGCTGGAACTGTGACTTTTGTCTCCGAAAAGGTGAGAGTTGCTGTAGCATTGCTAGGAGTTGTAGACCTTCCCAGCGTAGACTGGCCAGTCTTGTAAGCTTCTCTAGACAAAGTCGGTACGTGGCCGACGGAGTAAGTCACTGCTTGTTTGGCTCCATTGGTGATTGTGAAATCCGTGCTGTTCACCAAATGGTTTGTATCGTTCAGAGAGATGCTTGACACGCTGAGGGTCGTGGTTGCGTGAACTGCATCATATGCCTGAGCTAAACCAGCACCCTGTTGCGCCACGGGAGCCAACCCTTCATAGAAGATGCCAGTGTTATAGTCAACGTATTTCCTTTGATTTGCCGTAGACGAGACCAGGCCCATCAGGGTTTTGGGGTCTTTAATGGATCTTGCCTCCATGATCAAGGCGTATATCGAAGCCATGAGAGGTGCAGCCATGGACGTCCCAGAGTCGACGTAGTAACCTCCCATCCACAACGGATAAGTGGAAAGGATTGAGCCTCCCGGTGTCGAGATGCGTGGGTTCAGGTCTGCCTCCCATGTTGGGCCCCAGCTTGAAAACTCATCAACGCAGCCGCCATTCGAGTCGTTTGGAAAGAATGCGGCAGCAGTGCCGGCAGATTGAGGCTCAATCATTGTCGCATACACTTCCGTACCGTCTCCCAATAGGTCTCGCCATACCAGGGCTTGCTGCCGGGGGACCATGCCGGAGCCGAGAGTCTCTGGGGTAGTGCTGACGCTGTAGAGGCTGAAAAGATGGTCAGCACAATCATGAACTGGAGTGTTAGAGTGGAAAAGCACCTTACTTTGAGAGGTCATCGTCAGAGCTGTAGAACATGATGTACTTTGCATTGTTCTTCAAAAGACTGTTGGCAATATCAGGGTCACTGCAGTCGCTCAGCTCCACGAGAACAAGTTTGTCGCTGAGATCTGCTGGTGCATTCTCGTTGAGAGGACTGCAAGCATTCCAGGTGCCATATGCCGTCGTATTCGGCGTAACAACCCATAGCGGTAAAGTAATGTTGGGAAATGCTGGAGTTCCAGGAATCCAGACAAAGGAAGTCAGATTTTCGGAAGAGCTGTCTAAGCTGGTGAAGCCTTCAGTCCCCAGCAAAGGCGTCATGGTATTTTCTATAGATGCCACTGCCATGACCCCTTTGCCATCCGCGGGAGTCGCCGAGCTGAAGACGAAAGGGCCATTGTTGCCGTTTGCAATGACACAAGGAACACCCGCGTCAATTATCCGTGAGACGGCGATTGCCAGAGGATCCTCTTTCCAGCCAGAGATGATGCCGACAGAAAGCGAGATTATGTCCGACCCGTCTTCGTACGCCTCGTTGAAAGCGGCAATCAGCACGTCGTTGGAAGATACGCCAGCGCAATTCAGCGCCTTGTACATGCCCAAGTTTGCGCCATATGCAGCACCGATAAAGCCCAGGTAGTTCTCCTGAGCGGCGATGATGCCAGAGACATGTGTTCCGTGGCCGAGGCAATCTTGAGGATAAGGATCGGGGACAGGCGTGTTTGTGCCGTTGAAGTCGTCGCCGATTAGGTCCTTTCCATAGCTGATGATGCAACCTTCGCCGAAGCAGCCTCCTAGGACAGGGTGGTTGTAATCAACTCCTGAGTCGACGAGGCCGACGCGGATGCCTTTACCGGTAAACCCTTCTGCGTGGAGTTTGTCAACTTGGGTTAAAACGTGAGGCGCATACCCGACAGTATCATTGTCTGCCGTTGTCCTTGCGAAATGCTTAGATAGATGGTTCAATTTGCCGATATTGCTGTTTCCAGATGAACCTTTACCATTGGCTAGATGCTCAAAGTAACGGACGGGCCACACATTCTTTACAGAGGCGAGCGATGCGATCTTGGTCGAGGCGTGATGAAGATCCAGGTCGATTGCGTCTAATTGGATGGAAGCTCCTCTGAACAACGAATACGACAAGTTCATTCGTTTGGTGGCCGGAAGCCCACGGGTGTGAAGGTCGCTAAAAAATGAGGCCTCGCTCTCCTATTGAGGAGCATCAGTTGTGTGATCAATACAGATGAAGTATGTACTCCTTCTCACAAGCGCTCAACTTACATGGCCATCCTCATACTCCACGATGTAGGCACCAGGAACATAACCCCAATTGACTCCTGTCTGAGGCTCGTCGTTTCTTAGACTCAGAGCATTCGCATGGGCGGTTTCTATAACCAACAAGCCCAAAATGGGCAGCAAATGGAGGTACGCCACCATGCTGATGATGAAAAGCTGGGGAAAATTGCCTCGTCTCTATAGACAGCACAATAGGAAACTCTTGTCCAGGCATATCATTATATGTGAGCTTGATAGCAGCTTATGCTGCACTTTCGCCTTCCAAGTCGGGCACGTCTCATCCGATTATCTCCCCGCATGCTGGCATGGTCGAGTTCCGAGCTTCCACATTGGATCATGGATGGATCACAATCCTTGTGACAAAGGCACATTGGAGCCTGGTTATTGTTGTTCATGGTAAATGTCGTCACCCTCTTTCAGAGTCCGTACATTAATCAATGGTCTTTCAACTGCTTATGCCCTTGTCTCGAGTATCATGACCAAGAAGCGACGTGGCCCTCGAGCGCCTGCTGTTGCTGACTGGGAAGTGATACGTCAAAGTGTCACTAAGACGAAGAGACATGCAGTCGCTTCTTGTGGCAGAAGGAAATGGTAATTGAGCCTATTGCTCGAGGTATCACGCGATAGGGACTCTTCCAGACTGAAAGTCCCCTTAAAAGATAAGGTACTCAGCCAGTTTGTGGTGTATCACACAAGGCTCATCCCCTTGTTCACCTAGTTACCTACCCTGCAATACGGTAACTGATACAAGACCCAAACTGTCAGTAACAGAAGGCCTTCCATTTGAAGTACACCATTCTAGCAGTGGCGGCACTTTGCAACGTCGTAGGGCTGGAAGTTGTGTAGTACTTTTGTAACATTGTGGGCAGCGTGTAGAGAAATCGGGATGAGGCGAGCTCCTTCGTCCACTAGGTGAACCAACCTGTGAGTCCCGAGGTATTCTCATAATCGAGGATATGATCAGGCTTAGATCGATTCCGAATGGTTGACAAAATATATCAACAAAGTTTTCGGTGACTACCTAAGGATGTCATCTAATTGTCACTGATCTAACTTCTATGAGATCAACTCTGAAAATTCTCCGATGCTTCCCAACTTTGATCGAGGTAACGAGCGGCGACACGAAATGGCGATTGGCTTTGATTGACATGTGGAAAGGTACAAATTGAGTGGCAGCGGCTCTCTAGATGATTGTCACACTATGTCATTAGAATAGATTGATATCTGCCCTTGAGTGTTTCTTCCATGCGTGCAATCATCCAGAGAAGAGGCGAAAGAGGTTGAAATGAAGCTCCTCTCTTTCCGACGCCGGCTTACTCGGAGCTCCTGGCTTACTGGGAATCTTCCCAAACAGATATTTCCCTCGCTTGTGTCTCGCAAAAGAGACCTCGGGCGTCTCAAAGGTTTTCATGGAAAGATCCCTTGCCGTAAGATCGGCGGCGCTCAATCGAAGTTCCCTGAGTTCAGTTGACTCTCCATGATGGTTGGTCATCTCGAGATGAATATAGTAGAACTTTGAATCGGCTTTCTTCTGAGTCGGACCCGGTTTCGGTGCCTTATGCTCGAGGAGAGTTGCGGCACAGAAAGTCCTCAGATTGCTCGTCAAGCTGACCATGTGTCTATCGGCATTCCAGAGCACCCAGCGTTCTTCCAGAGGTCGTTCTTCCAAAGGTCGTTCTTTCAGAGATGGTTCTTTCAGAGGTTGTTCCTGGAGAGGTGGTTCATTTGGAGGCCTTTCTTTTAGAGGCTGTTCTTTTGTAAGTGAGTTAGGTTTCGGACTGAGGCGGAAGACATGGCGAAAGTCGTTGGGAAAGTCGGAATTTGAAGACGGCGCGTAGGCAGGTAGAATGTCGAATCTTGTGACATGCTCCTTGTCATAGCCGAGTCTCACCACCGCGTGATCACTATCTGGAATAAAGACAAGATATAGGCGCTGGTCCAATGGAATGTTGTTCGTAATGGAAGCCTGAATCGCCTTGTTGAAGAACCCAATGCTGAGCCAGCTGCAGATCTCGACGATGACCTTTTCATTGATTCGAGTGCCCCGGGGTGCATCGTTGGAGTTGTGACCATAGTTGCTATACGGTGTTAGTATCTATCAGTCGACATGAACTGTAAAACTCAAGGGAAACATCTTCAACCTACTGAATAGCGACCGCAGTTTCGTTGTCTTTGTATGGCATAATCACGGGCGAGCCGCTGAACCCTTTTCCTGTGCTAAGTGCATATTCAAGTTGGTCAGGCATGCAGTCCACGCATGTGCCATAACTTGCAGTCAGCTTGTAGCTGTTTGCAGACTCCGTCAGGCCATAAACGACGAGTCCGTTGTGAGTAAGGTCATCGTGGCCGCGCTTCAGAGCAAAACCAAAGCCCCGATAAGGACGAGTTGGATCCTTCTTCACTAGTATGACGCCGTAATCGTCAACTTCTTGCTTATTCGCTACGTATGCGGCAGAGACGTAAAGTGCGGAAGCCTTGAAAGATGGGCTTGTTGGGGATTCTGAGCATATCTCTAGGTCGTCCAGCTTCACATCGTTGATGTTATGGCCAGCAGTCAAGATGACATGATGTGTGGGATGCGGCATGTTGACATAGAAGCCGTTCCCTTCTCGGCGTTCTCCTATCCGCATTTGACAACTTATTATTCAAGCCCTGTTCAGTGTTTGGAGGATATGCGAGAATATGCATTGACGAACCATCTTGCGTGAACCGAAGCCTTACAATCCACTCCTCGAGATCCTGAGCTTTGAAGGACCTTGTTCCTCCCTCGTTCTCAGGATCAATGGGCTCACTATCGCGGTCGGGATCCCGCTCTGCTGCGTCAAGCTGCGAGCAAGAGCCTTGTACTTTTTGCCCTTCCATCATGCCTTGTTTTCATCAAATGCACAAGGAGCTTCTGTTTGCCTATTTCTAAGATTGTGGCTGTGAACGAGGGCGGCTCTTCGAAGATGCATGAGGCTGAGATACTTCGGGCATCAACGAGGGAGTCAAGACTAAGCATTGGGCATGCATACAGCATGACAGTCTTCTCAACACCGAATCGACATTTGCTTGAACAAACACACATCCTGAGGCTGTGCCATGTATGGCCACGTATGCTCGGATCGGATAAAGGCTTGGATTGAGGGCATTTAGGTAACACTTCCTGTGTCATTGCGTGGCAAGGCGAAATCCTTACACAGCGATGAACGCCTTTTACCAGCGTAAAGGCCAGTATGCAGGTCAGCTCTCGGCGATGACTTGTGCTGTCTTTATACACGGCGCCAACATTGATTGGTTCAATTACGAAGAAGGCGTCCGAAACGATCTTTGCAGCCAGGTCACCATATATTCATCATACGTATGTGGTACACAAGGATTACCCCTGCTTAACTTTACATATTTTAAGCATTCCCAAGATGCTTTGTGACACCTTGTGAGGCTCTTGACCTGTCATATCCTATATCTTCTATTTTCGCTTGTCCCTTGTTCCTGGTCATTGCCATCAAGAGGTGCCTCGACAGCGTAATAGATCGCCCAGATTTTGCGCTATTCGACTCTCACATCACCAGTCGCTTCACATCAACCACGTCAAAATGTCAGCACCCAATGACATCCCGACGCCTCCAAAGTCCCTTACTCACAGAGACTACACTGTGGGATGGATTTGCGCTCTGCCGAAAGAGAAAGCAGCATCCAAAGCGATGCTTGACGCGATTCACGATGACCTCTTGCCGCCTGATCGTGATCCATACACCTACACCTTGGGGTCAATAGGCAATCACAACGTTGTCATTGCCTGTCTTCCCGAGATTGGCACCAACTCAGCAGCGAGCCTGATTACCCAGATGAGCAATACCTTTCCGTCAATCAGATTCTGCCTCATGGTTGGCATTGGAGGAGGAATCCCTCCGCAGGTTCGACTCGGAGACATTGTGGTCAGCAAGCCAAGCGGGCCATTTCCCGGTGTTGTCCAGTGGGATCTCGGAAAGTCAGAAGAAGCCGGTTTCAAGAGAACCGGTGCATTGGACCGTCCCCCGAAGGCCTTATTGACGGCTCTTGTGGACCTGCAGATGTCTCACGACTTACAGGGCACAAAGATACCCACCTATATGAAGGAGATGGAAGAAAGATATCCCAAAACAGTTGGGAAATATACGTGGTCTCCTCGCCTCAGAGATCCCCTGTTCAACCCTTGCAAACCACGGAAAAATCCCACCTTCTGGCTAAGCGTCGCTACCGTCATCTACGAGATGCTCGTTGTTCTGTTCAGACTGTTGTCAGGTCGCTACGAGCCTGAAGGGCGAGATATGCCCAGCATGCCCGATCTTGATAACGGTGACGAGCAGCCCAGAGAGCCGGAAATCCACTACGGGTTGATTGCGTCTGGAAACCAGGTTATCAAGGATAGGGATGTCAGAGATCAGATCAACAAGGATCTGGGAGGACAAGTCTTGTGTCTCGAGATGGAAGCAGCGGGTTTGATGAACAACTTCCCATGCATTGTCATAAGGGGAATCTGCGACTATGCCGATGCTGGGAAGAACAAAGACTGGCAAGAATATGCTGCAGCTCTAGCAGCGGCATTCGCAAAGGAGCTTCTACAGCATGTGCAGCCGGTGGATGTTGCCAAGGAGCGTCCTATCAAGGATGTTTTACTCCAGCAAGGTTAGCTAACTCCATTCTCATTTGGAAAGTCTTCATTTTCTAATATATAAGACGCACAGTCCATGAGGCTGTCATTGATACTCGGGCAAAAGTAAGCAATATTCAATCGCAGATGGATAAAGAGGAAGTGAGCAAAATCCTCGACTGGCTCACAACCGCCAACCACGGCCAGCAGCATACCATGCATCTGAGAAGTCACACGAAAGGAACCTGTCAGTGGATCTTTGAGACCAAAGAGTTGCGAAACTGGCTCAATAGAAGCAACAAGACCCTGCTTTGCCAAGGAATGCCAGGATCCGGCAAAACAATCATTACTTCAGTTGTCATCGACCATCTCACTACTCGATCCATGGACGATCCCACCATCGGCATAGCCTTCCTCTATTGTACTTTCAAAAACCAGGAGTATCAGACAGCCGAGAGACTACTTGCAAGCGTCCTGAGACAGCTTGTCAGCAGCCGTATTCCTTTCCCAGCCAGCACGAGAAAATTGTATGACCAGCACAAGACCAACCAGACCGAATCATCTCAACAGCAACTTGAGGACGCCATAGAAGCTGTGGCAAGCTTATACTCAGAGGTTTACGTGGTTATCGATGCGATTGACGAGTGTCAGTTGTCGTCTGTACAGCAATTCCTCGATGCACTCTTCCGACTTCAAGCAAACTGCAACATGAATATATTCGCAACATCGAGGTTCATTCCGCAAGTCGCACAACGGTTTGAGGAAGCCGAAAGCTCTTTTCTTGAGATCCGGGCCAGCTCGAGCGACATGTCCAGGTATCTGATAGCCGAAATGCAACTTTCGGCGACAAGCATCATCAAGGACAATCCATCTATCCAGGAGGAGATCGGAACAGAGATATCCAGGGTTGCAGATGGCATGTAGGTATCGTTTTCCACTCAAATCCTCGTCTTTGGCAGTATGTAAAGCCGGCTAGGTGGTAGAAGTACTGACAATTTTCCATCATAGGTTTCTCCTAGCGCGTCTCTATCTGGAATTGGTCCGACACAAGACAACCAAAGTCGGTATTCAAAGCCAACTTCGGAGCTTCAAAGCCAACGCTGGGGTTCGGAGGGACAAGGTACTGCGAGACGCATACGAGCGTGTCTTTGAACGGATAGAGAAACAAGAGTCAGATATCGAGGACCTTGCAAAGAAGACCCTTTTATGGCTCACATTCGCCAAAAGGCAACTCACCACCTCCGAGCTTCAGCATGGCGTGGCAACAAGCCAAGCCATGACAACAGAAGAGGCAACTACGGCAGACGAGACAATGACTACAATATCGGAAGATCATCTCTCCAAGCTCAAGGATATTGGCCGAGCTTGTGTTGGTTTGGTGACGTTTGATGAAAAGACTGGTATCATCCAACTGGTGCACTATACTGCGCACGAGTTCCTGGTCAGTATACAGATGAGCTGGTTTCCCGAGGCCGAATATGCTCTATTCTGTGCCTGCATTACCTACCTCTCCTTTACGGATTTCGAAAGCGGATTCTGTGAAACAGACGAGGAGTTTGAACAACGGCAGAAGAGGTTCTCGCTCTGCAACTACGCTGCAAGCCATTGGGGGGATCATCTTCCGAAGGATGCCAACCCGAGCAAGGAGCTTCTAGAGTTCCTTCGCAGCGCAGCAAAGGTTGAAGCATCAATTCAGGCGCAGCATGCTGTAAAGCATTATTCGTCCCATGCGAACTACAGCCAGGAAGTGCCTCGAGGCGTGACTGGACTTCATCTGGCAGCATATTTTGGGCTTACTGGAGTAGCAAGTATTTTGCTGCAGGAAAGACTCACACATGGCTGCGACCCAGACTCATTCGACAGCGACAACCAGACCCCCCTGTTGTGGGCAGCTCGAAACGGCCATGAAGCTGTCGCTGGCTTGCTAGCAGACTCGAATGCTTCTCTTGAAGTGAGAGACAAGGAGCAGGGCGCCACTTCACTGATCTGGGCTGCCCGGAATGGTCATGAGGAAGTTGTTCGCCTTCTCCTCGAAAAAGGAAGTGAGCTGAATGCAAGAGACCGCCTTGAGAGGACGCCGCTTTCTCTGGCTGCCTATAACAAGCATGCGTCAATCATTCAGCTTCTTCTACAGAGAGGGGGCGTTATCCATCCCAACGACGAGGCCGGAAAGGTGAAGTTGCTTGCAACTCGCCTAGAACACCATAAGGTTATTGAGATGCTATTTGAGCATGAGAAAAGACTCCCATCGACAGGCAGTGGGAGGAACGAGACGATCCCTTATACCGCCGAGAGTTCTTCGGAGCTGACGATGCAGAGATTGCTCAAGGCTGATGACAATATCAATGAGGTTGATCAACACGGTCAAACGCTGCTCTCCCGAGCCGCTAGAATGGGAGATGTGCAAATCGTTGAGATGCTGATCAAGACTGGCAAAGCGGATATCAACGCCATGGACCAACGATATGGGGAGACGCCCCTGATAGGGGCCGCTAGAAAGGGACACCACGCAATCGTTGAGCTGCTCCTCAATGCGGGCGCGAACGTCAATGTACGGGAACTGAGAGAAGGAGAGACGGCGCTGACTCTGGCCATCGAGAACAGAGATGAAGCGACCGTTCGTGCGCTTCTTCAGCAGGGCGCCGATGTCAACAACAGGGATCACACAAAGCACACGCCTCTCCACACGGCAAGTTGGCAGGGCAGCAAACCGGTGATGCAAATGCTACTTGACAAGGGGGTGGACGTGGATGCCCGTAACCAGGAAGAACAGACTCCTCTCCACAGCGCCTGTGCTTTTGGTCATATCGAAATGGTCGAAACGCTGCTGAATGCCGGCGCCAACATCGAAGCGAGAGACGAAGAAGATCGCACGCCTCTGTTCTTTGCAGCAGCTTTGGGCCATCACGATATTGTAAAGCTGCTTATAGATGAAGGGGCCAATGTCAGAGCACGCAACAAGGATGGACGGACAGCCATGTTTGCTGCTATCGGGTCCAGGGAGATGAAGGTCGTAAACTTACTCCTGGATGCAAGTCATATTGATGATGTCCACAGGGCGGACGAAGGAGGAATCAGGCCAATTGATTGGGCTGAAGAGAGTGGACATAAGGATATCATACGGTTGCTTAATCATCGGGCAAAGACATTCTAGGTTTGCGTGATAGTCTATACTATGGTCAAATTGCAGTTGCCAGGGACTGATATCCCCCCCCCCCCCCCCCCCCCTCCTTTAAGCTACAGAACACGGACTGTTGTTACTCGGCTTTGAGGATTGGCTCCATCAACAGTTCCAGGAGCTGCAATGTCATGTCAGTATTGCAAGAGGTTCTCCAGTAACGGGACGCAAAGAGATCGAGTTGACTCACCCATTGTTCAAGACGATGCTCATTGTTCCGCAGATCTTTGAACTCATCATCCAGCTGGCCTTATCACACGCATCCATCAGTAACCGAGATACCATATGCAAGTCCACAGCCAAGTAATGAACTGAACATGAGTGTTTCTTACGTGTAGTGCAGTATAAAACGCCCTTTAATTGGTCGTCCGTCGCAAGGCCTTTGATGAATTCCTTCGCGGCTGCATCTTGTCCAATTTGGCTGATCTGAAAGCGGACAACTATAGTCTTGTCAGATGTGATAAAAGCTTAAGTAAAAGACTCTCTCTTACCATCTTTTCTGTACCCATGTTTCTCCAAGAAAACACCACACTGTAAAATGACATTTTTCAGCGTATCTTGCGTCTCACTACTGCCAGGGGGGCCCAAAGGGCATCCATCAGTCAAGATCGAGATAAGCACCGGACGATCAAACAGCTTCTTTTTTATGGGTCGGTAAACAAGCTCTTCGAGGATCTTTGCCCTGCAATTGGTTCCAATCTCAGTAGGCCCAGCGTATACAACTTGGTTCTTGAGTATATCGCTGACTCTTTCCGATGTAGGGTGATTAAAGGAATCTGGACAGTTGATGAGTCGCAGCTCGATGCCGGTACCGTCTGGGACAAGCCTCGTGGTGAGACTGGTGATTCGCTCACTCAAGTCTGCCTGCAGCTGGATTCGATTGTCCCTCTTCATTGAACCGCTATCGTCTGTATACACATGGTAGACATTGGTTAGTCCGAATCGTGATTCTGTTTCTTCAGTCGAGACAATAATTGTAATGTTGACATACCACAATACAGCACAGGTTGGAAAAGTGCGAGACGGATCAAGTCTGAAGGGTGAGCACTGCTTTTCGGATCTGCTTCCAACTCGACGGCTTTTTTGATGACTTCATCCAGAAAACCCTCCTTTTCCTTTCTGAAGAATTGATCCAGATGCGCCTTCTTGATGTACCTATTCATTTCTTCCTTGAAGTTCCTGGCTGACTTGTCCTTTTCGACTTTGTCCAAGATATGCTAATCATTTATTCCATTAGTAAATCACCGCACCCATGGGAAACAAGGACGCGAAACATACCGGCGGAATCTCTGCCTTTGCCAGACCACTGATCTTGAATCTTTTCTTGAGGGGTCCATATCCTCCAATTGCAGCCGCACTCATGCCGGCAGCAGCCATCATCTCAGGGCGCTTGTTCACCCACGCGATTACAAACACGATGAGGGACACAAGCATACCCAGGTTTCTCAAGTGGCTATGCTTCCTGTTATGGGGAGATAGAATAGCCAACATCTTTTTGTCATTCCGTGCAGTGGCTATGGACATGGCTGACTCCCTCCTGTTGTTTGTAGCATGAGGGTCAGCACCAGCATCCACAAGAGCTTCTATCACGTGAATATCATCTTCACCTCTGTACCGCTTGACGAGAGCAGTCAGAGGAGTGGTGTTCTTGGTGAGATCAGAAGCTATGTTCACGTCTGCCTTGTGAGCAAGAAGCATTCCGACGATGCTGCCGATATGCCCCTTTGTCCTGGCTGCTGCGATCCAAAGAGGTGGGAAAGACTCCGGAACGCCGTTCGGGTTCGCCCCATTGTCGAGAAGAAGCTTGATTGCCTCTTTTTGGCGGTAGAAGACAGCCGTACCAAGAGGGGTGTAGAGTGTTGCTTTGTCGACGGCGTCTATTTCCTTTTCTCTGCCGATCAGGTCACTTGGCTTGAGGCTTCCGTCGAGCGCGAGGTTGACTAGAGACCTCATTGTGTAGTGATCTTTGAGCCAATCACTATAAGACAAGGCGCTGGCGAAAGAATTCAAGCTGATGTTTTTCTAGACCCGTCCTCTTCAGTGAGGAAGACGTGTTATATTTATACAGCTTCCCGGTGATCTACTAAAACACTGCGACGCCGTCCACGATATTCTGATGAGGCGCCCTCATGTTCATGGCAACACACAGTAGCTTGGGCCAAGGCCTGAGCTATGTTGCGGCTCTTCGTTCGAGTGTATTCGTGCCCAATCGTCACCGGCATCTTGGAATCTGGTGCAATATCGGGCATTTAGGCCCTCGAGGCTGCGTCTACTGCAAAGTGGCGTATCTCTTGCTAGTACTTGGGCCATGCAAGTATGACCCCGGCCTATGGGAAAAGATCTCGGTATCAGGTGACTGATATACAGAGCCGACAGCCTGGTTCAACTGCGTCATTGGCGGCAAGGATTCGGTATCGCGTCGGCTGCTGATGCTTGAAGCATGAGTGCTATTGGGCATAATCACCTTCGTTGTCAAGTCGCACCAGAGTAATGAACCAATGGCTCATCCCGTACGTCCATCCCATCGAAGGTCTACCAAAGAGTGGTCAACGTGCCTCTCTGTTGAAGAGCATTGGGGGATCCAAAATTGGAACACGTTCTGACTATAGATAGCAGTCCAGACCCTTACAAGCAATCTGAAGGCACACATGCAGAAGCCCGACTCATGCGCTCAACCTGTGATTGGCCGCATATTGTTGTTTTGTAAGAGCCGTGATATCCACTTTTGGGCAACGACAATCCTCTTGGGCAAGAGACGTGGGTGCAATCTGTGGCTTTGCAAGCACATTAGAAGCATTCGGAGTACACTTGCTATTTTGGTGCCGGAACAGTCTCATGCCTTATGGCCGACTGTGATTTGCGGCTCAATTAGGGACAAGAAATCATCGCTTGCCTAGCATCTTCCATTGTGTTTCATTAGCGTCTTCTTCCATACGCATTCTTTCATCTGCTTTAACGAACGGATCAAGGCAAGGGTTCCATCTACCTCCTCTTCTTGGGTTTTCCCGTAGCAGACGTCACTGCAGCAGTTGCAGCTTTGATAGCAGACCCATTGCTCTCCTTGTCTGAGATCCAGACAAAGATGCCGTGGATAATTCTGCCCAATAGCGTCCGCTTTCCATTACCATCCACGCACTCTAGCTCCTCTGGCTCCTTGTCCTTATCTTTCTTAGTCAAAGCGAGGAGGTAGAATTCTTCCTGATCCTGCGGCTCATCGGGCGCGTTTGAAGTCCCATCCCTCTTCTTATTCTGCACGCTGACAATAAAGTTCGTGATGTGAGTGTCGGAGAACAATGCACCCGGCAGAAGGGAATCTGTTGCCTGTTAGAGAGTAGCATCTCGGAAGGGGTAGAGAATGACAGATGGGTGCAGACCGGAGTAGAAGTTGGATGTGATCCCTATGCCTGCCTGATGGATATAACCGTCTCGGTTCATGTAACTCAGGTAAACGACACCATTCTGAACCTGAGCAAGATGAGGGTTTCCCGGCTGAGAGGCCACATCAAGAGAGCGGAGGAATTTCCAGCTTCCATCCTCTTGGACCCGAATGCCTCGTATTTGGCCTTTGTAGTCCTCAAAAAACACCAGAGTGTCACTGCCATCAACGCATCCGCTCATTCTGCTTGAGGGATGCACCAGGATATTTCCTCTTCCGGTGAGGGTGACCTCATGCCACTCGTCTTCCCACAGCGTGAAAAGCCTGAGCGCATCATTCTCGCCGACGCAGAAGACGGACCGCTATAGATCGAGTCAGAACCGCTTCAGCGATTTTCCCCAAAGACGGCTTTGAAGCTCACTGTAGTATCATGGACAGCATAGACAGCAGGCGAATGAGCCCTGATCTCCGATGCGATAAAGGTCTCACCGGCGAGCTGGGATCCGAACCAGTGCATTTCGCTCAGTTCGTTGCTCTCTTCAACGACGACATAATACTCGCTGCTGTCGACATCGGGGATGAAACCCCCAGCGGCATGCAGAATTCTCACAATGTCTTGGGCCGAGGAAGCCATGATCGCTGTCAGATGCTGTGCCTGGAGGCAACATGTCAGGAAAGACAGTCGTGGATTGTGTGGATGGAGAGTGAGCGAAAATGGTCGAGCTACATACATGTATTTCGCCCAAACCCCCAGTGAAGCTGCTACGCTTCTCGGCATTTGAGCCTAACGTCTGCAGAGCCACAAATTACAGCGACTTCCAGAGCTACGCAATCCACAGACTGAGGGGAAAGCTATCAGACATGATGTCGAGCCACTAGATAAAGCACAACCAGATTATACATAAAGGAGAAATGACTAGATAACCAGAACCCTTGTATGGCATTAGAAGGTTTGCTATTACTGCTGCGACATTGGGTTTGTGTGCAAATACAGAGCAAGATTGCTGAAGAGCTGGCAGCCTAGTGTGCCCCTCAAGTCTTGATTCTATAGATAACTTGCATTGCATCACATCGCAGTAACTAGTCTTGAATTCAGTTTGCTATTTATACGACGGACACATATTATTGTGTCACAAAAGGCAGATGGCGAGGAGTGTCGATGAAAGTCGACTCCGGAATAGAAGCCTTCTAGCGCCTCGCTTAGCCGCTGTAGAAGCGCTAGAACAAGAATCCCGGCGGCCCGAGATCCCGCTAAAACTGGGGCCGTTTACGCGGGCGCAAACCTTGAAATGTCTAGGAGGAAGGAGGTGCTACCTTAAATAACCCATGCACCCTAGTCTAATATAACCTATACTCCACTTTTCTAAATTTTTTACTATATTAAAAAACCTTATATAACCTATACTTCTTATAATTTAATTAGCTAAAATTTTTAAAAAGTAAAGTATAAGTTATATTAGCTTTTATATTAAAGTTAAATACCTCTTTAATATAATACTAAAGCTAAAATAAATATATTTTTTATAAAATCCTATAAGTTTATTATAAATATATTATAAATATATTTATAATAGATTTATTTTAAGCTTTTACTAATCCTTTTTTTAATAATAATAAGTTTAAAATTTTACTTAATATTTAGCTTTTAAGGCTTTTTATTATAGTAATAATAAAAAAAAGCTATTATATAAGTAAAATATATTTATTATTTATTAATAATAAATTACTAATATATTATATAAGAATTTTAATAACCTAATAGCTTTTTAAAGCCACTTAATAAAATAAAAGCGCTAAACTATATTTTATTATTATTTAATTTAGTCTAGTTTAATTACTATAGTTAATAAGTTAATGCTATTATAATAAATAAGATTATATACTTAATATATATACTTAAGTAGCTAATTATATTAAAATTAAGTATAGCTTATTTAATATTTTTAAATTAGCTTACTAAAGCTTAATAATAATAGCCTTAAAATAATATAAGTATAATATATTAATAATATATTTATAATAAATTATTAATATATTATAAATTTAATACTATTTTAATATAAAAAAACCTAATTATAAAAGCATATTATAGCTTTTAAACTTAGTCTTAATAATATATTATAAATTTTATTATATAAGTATAAAGGTTTACTAATATCTTAACCTTTTATTATATAACTTCTATTATTTAAAAGTTATAAAAAAGTATTAAGTAACTTAGTAAAAGTATTAAGTAAAGCTATCTTAACTAAGTTATTAATAAAAAGTATTTAAGTATATAAATATATTAGTAATAGCTATATAATAAATTAGTAATAATTTATTAATATATTATATATTTATAGCTAATTATATATAATTTTAGCTAATTATAATAAAAAAAAGGCTTATAAGTATAGTTAAAATATATAAAATAATACCTACTAATTATAAATTATTTATTTTATAAAAAATATAAGTAGTCTTATTATAATATATTATAAATAGTTTATTAATAAATTATAGTTTATTATTATTATAAAAAATATATTTATATAATATATTAACTATATAAGTGCTTTATATTATTATAAAATACTTATTAAGTTAAAATACTAGCTATATATACTTATTATATAAAAGCTTTTTATAAATAGCTTATAAATTAATAATAACCTTTTAATATTAAAAATATATACTATAATTAATTATAATACTTAGTAAAGGAAAATATATAGTAAGTTTATATAATATATATATAATATATTAATAATTTATTATTAATATATTACTAATAATAATATATATCCTATTTAAAAAAGGTAATATTAAATAACTTAAGTATAATATTATTTACTACTTTTTTATTTTTTATAATTAAATAAGCGTTTTTTTTATTATATTTTCTTATAGTACTTATATATATCCTTTACTACTACTATTAAAGGTGCCTTAATATTTTATTACCTAATTATAATAAATAATTAATTTAAATAATATAAATTATATTATACTAAGTAAGTTATTAATAATTTATTATTAATATATTACTTATA